AGAGAGAGATGATTCGTTCCGTCGGGCTGCAGTCACTTGCCCAGATGGACGCACACAAATCGCACCAGGACATAGCTAAAGGCCATCGGAACCCCTAACCCTCAAAGCACAACTGAATTGCAGAGCTGACAAAATGGCAGGCAGTTACATGACCTGACACATGAAACAGGATCAATCCAAGGTACTTCGATTTCCGGCAAACCTGGCCCAGCTGCACCTTCCCAGAGGAACATGCACTTACAAGCTCCCCAGAACATTTCGGCATCTCAGGAACGACAAGCCCTTGTTCGACCACATTTTCAAACTGAATCCTGACTGTGATGAGGACACCCCTGCATTGGTTGATTGGACAGCCATGGTCGAGCTGTCAACCGTCACGAGATCCACAAAACGACAATTGTGAAGTTTCTATTTCAATTGTTGCCAGTTGGGAAACGGGTCCACCTGGATGACCCCAATTATGATCACCACTGTCCCGTTGTGGCGGTGATCACGAGACTGAAAACCTTGTTTATCGATGCCCGCATGTGTGACGTGGACTTGTGGCGAGAGGACCATGCAACGAGCGATCACAAGCACAAGTTGCGCAAGGATTCCACAACCCCTTCCTCCTGGAAATTGCTCTGGATGACCTACAATACACACTTTGAAGATCGATTACTCCACCCATGGCACTAACCTAACAGGTATAGGGACCTCGTTGACACTACAAATTCTCATTGGTTGGGACAACCTCCTGGGAGGACGTTTGTCCACGCACTGGGCTAAGCATCATGATTCATATCTGCATCGGGTCGGCTCCCAGGAGACAACCAAGACAGGCAGCTCTGGGTCACCAACTAGCCTCACTCTCATCAAGCAGTGGTGGAAACTGTGGGAGGATCGAAATGCTGCCAGGATGGCAAGACGAGGGAAGATCAGTGGAAGAAGAAGCACCGAACAGCTTCAGCGGGAGGTGTACTCATTTACGAGAAAGCGGATCTGATCCCAGTGGAGTGGTGGACTTTATCTTCCAAGCGACCAGCTTGACGAGCAAATGGAAAGGGCCAGGCGACATCAAAGCGTGTGCTTGCCAATGTGGCTGCCCTGTCGCCGACAAGGCACTCAGGGACGAGCATGCACGCCAAATGCAGAACAATGACACAGGGTAACTCCGCACAGAAGGGGTCCTGCCGTAGAAATAGATGCCATCCAGCCAAGGGTAGATAGTTAGCTGCAAAGCACCCTCCGGAGTTTTTAAACTCTCCGGTGGGGGGTTGCACTAGGCCGGTTCCTATGTGGGCGTCTTGTACGTCTGAGGTACTCCGGTTCATATGGCTCCGTTCAGCGGGTGTCTATTGAGGTGCAGCCTAAATAATAAAACTTCGTTACTTATTCAATGAATCAACCACCACTTCCTTGACTTCGGTTACGTCGTTGCTCTCTTGAGTCATCCCATGACCACAAAAGACTTCGAAGTCCGACTCGTCCGTGGAGCTTTCAACGTAGGAAGTACTTTTGGCCTCGGATGTCTTGGATGCCTTGGATGCCTTGGATTTCTTGGTTGCAATCGAAGACAAGGATGACGAGGATGAACTTGAGCCAGAAGACACAGAGTTAGACGAAGCGGATACGTTACCATCAGTTCCCTTCGTTGGAGTGGAGGATGAAGACATGCTCGGTTCTTCGTCCGAAGAAGCAGCAGTGATAGATGTTGGCGACACCAAATCAAAGACTTCCGGTGGTGCCTTGGCCGCAAAACCAATTCTGTTTGCGATGCCAATGAATGGGACCTGGATTGTGTTTCCTCCTTTGGTCCTGAGAACAAGTAGTTCCGGGGACGAGATCAAGACTTCTGCTCCGTGGGTTCGAAGACGTCGTCCAATCCATTCATCATCTTCCTTGCTGAGAGCAACACCGGTAAGAAGAGTCGCCATGATCCAATCATCAGGATGTGTTGTGTTGTCAGCAGCTGTAATGAGGTTCTCAATGCCTTTCATGAAGTTCTCTTTTGCTTGCTTTGGCATGGTGGTGGCCAGTTCCGCTTTCTTGACCTTGACGCCGAACAGCTTCATGTTGGCAGTCTGGAGATGAGTAAGATCAATAAAGGTAGGCATCTTGGGTCTTCTTGGTTGTGAGCAGTCCAAATTTATGAATACAGTGTTGAGTACAAATAAGCCAAGCATCAACCGAAGCACGATAACAATATTTCAATCCAAGACTTTGTTGTGAGCTGCTCGAAAGAAGTTTCCTCGGGCTTTCAGGGTAAGGAACGACAAGAATGAGGGTAAGGAACAACAGAGTGGTGCCAAATTTTGCTGCGGAATCTTCTTCAAATCCTGTTAAAGTTGCACGATCTCATCAATCACCGTTGATCTCATCAACCACTGTTGCTGCTTGCTTCCCCACTTTATTTTCGAAATGAGTTACAGAGACGTAACCGTGTCAAGCGACCGAAACCCTCGTCGTGTTGGGAATGTGGCAAGCGCCATGGCATCTGTACATATCAGAAGTGATGAGCCCGATCATTTTATTGGCTTAACGGTGCTACAGCAATCAGCAGATGAAAGCAGCGGTGATTTCCGGCTCTCCATCACGGGGCGACACGAACACACCAGAGTATATGGCACGAAGTATGTTTGTCTTCCATCCAACCTGCCGTGGTTCTACAAGAGCCAGAAGTATGAAAGTGCCAGGCACGGAAGGCTTGCTCGAGCTATGAAGATCTCTTTTGGTAGCAACGCAGACGATGCTCCTCACGTACAGATTTCGGTTTTCTTGGATAGCGAACGTGACAAGGAAGGTAAGGTGTTGGATGCTGGGCTGAGCTTTGCTGTTGTTGAGCATAATGCAGCCCTGGCAAGGGCAAGGCGCCGACGAGAGGAAGACGCTGAGGGCTGATCTGAGTGATGCCAATTAATCGAGGAGGATCATACTGTGCGAAGGTATCGCTGGGAGCAGTGGCTCTGATGGTGTTAGCAGTGTAAGAAGAACGCGGCAAGGCTGCGGCAAGTCGGATTTTTGTGATAATTGGCTTCTCTTCGCGGAACAATACAAGTAGGCAGCACCTTCAATCAGAGCCGCTCCTGCTATTACAATGTTTTAAAATACTCTTGTTGTTGATACTGATGACATGCTGCGGTGTTTGTCTTGTTGCGCTGCTGTAGCGGCATGTTTTGTGTCATGGTCGCAATCCTTGAAACGCGGATAAATATCCGGCAACGGATTGAAGGCACTAGAGGGCCCAAGCCGGTGCAGCTCGACTTCGCTCCGTCAGGCTTTGCAGGTAGTTGCGGTGGTTCTAGGGTTTCTAAAAAGGCAATGATTGATGATTTCCAGCCATTTCAAAGCTGTGTTTTTAAAGTGGTACGGCACACACCCCACCCAAGCCCAGACCAAGGCTAGAGCTTAGAGCTCACAGCAGCATTCGGCTATGATACCATTTGGATCGGAGAAGCTTGAATGCATTGCTGTTTATTGCCTTACCAGTGTACCGTATGGCAGCTCAAGATGGTCGGAACTGGCAGACACAACGTGCTGGCTGCAATGACAAGGGCAGATTGTTTGGCAGCAACGTTAACGCACGTAAGTGGTGGCTGCAATCAAGCAAGTGGACAAAATGAGGAAGTATTCTGCACTATTACGCATTATTACCTCTGCAGCACTGCGAATGGTACTACATGTAGCTCGATTGGTTGGCTAAGGGTGCATGCATGCATGCATGCATGCATGCAGAGAGTTCCAGAGAGACATTGAGCGAAAACTAGGCACGATGGTGGAGACATGAACTGCAGACGGGTTGAATCGGTGCATAGACAGCTTGTTGCTTGCTGGGATGCAGAACCAAATAGCAGCAACCGGTTTCCCGCGAGTGCGTTTTATGCTTGTTCTCGTGGACCCATGGCTACCGTACTGACAGCCTTCCATTTTCCACAAAACAGTCGTTCGATGCGCTATCGCTACCGTACCTATGCGAAAGTTTTTAAAACCATTTGTCCTCTTTTAATTTTCTATGGATCTATTGAATATTACTGCTATGTAAATGTAGATATAAGGGTTGTTGGATGCCCGGGGTGGTATTGTGGATGTCGGAAGCTTGATGAAGTAGTATTCTTTTGGTGCATTCTTAGGCGGCGGGGCTACCGGTAGCTTTGCTGAATCCGCGAGCAACCTTCTTCTTGAGCTTTTGGGTCCATCCTGATGCAGGCTTAGGTCGCTCATTGTCCTTGCTGCATTCTACCGGTACAGTCCTTAGTGTGCGTGAAACACTCTGCACGTGCTGGAGAATTTCAGCTATTTCATACCCAGCATTGAGGAGAATGAGGATGCGAGCATTTGGATGAAATGGGACAATCATGCCAAGGCTGGGTGCGGATTGTTCCAAATAGAATTCTTGTACTGTAGTGACATTTGTTGCTACTGGCTCCCACCCAATGGTCAAAGCAAGACCTGCATGGCTGGTGTCCAAAAGCCGAGGATATGTACGAATCTCTGTGGTATCAAAGGCAACACGCTTTTGTGGCCTGGAACGGGGCAACTTGCTGGAATAGAGGGATTCATCGATCAGGGCAGAAAACAGAGATTCGTTTTGGGTCTGAACCTTCAGGATGCTACGAGGCTGCATCATGGTGGAGGTACGTTGGCACATTTTTGGATTGTGTTTGCTTTTTGAAGATGTGAAGTTTTTGAGATTGTGAGAGCCTGATGAGTGATGAGGGGGAGTGCTGGACGATCCTCCGAGAAGAAAGATTTGGGTGCTTTCACTGCTTTGGAGACCCGAGGTGACCGATGTGGAACTGTAGCGGCCTTCATGCAACGTCACCTCTGTTCTCTTGGAGCAGTCTGAGCGTCTGAGCACTTCCGGGTTCGTGGTTTGGTATTTAGAGACCACTCAAACTCCAGAATCTATTTAAACAAAGAAAGAACGTGATGCATGTTACCCGGCAACAGACATTAGGCACAATCTGAGGGATGCAGTCCTTCAAAACAAATTCATTGGAACGTGTTATTCAGCTGCACCTGTTGATTCAATGATGGTTCCGAGGGAAGCGCCATACTTTACGGCTTATGCTGGCGCTTCGGCAATTATTCTTCAGGGGAAGGAAGATTCTACGGAAGAGCTACGGCAGCCACGAGGGGCAAAGCTTTGGCACCTGGCACCCGAAGAGCACGTGCTTGCAAGGAACTACTGAGTATCGGTTTTGGAACGGTACCAGTACACCGGTACTGGTACCACCGAACCAGCAACTTGAGGTTTCTCCGGAGTCCGGTGTACCGGTATCGGAATGAAGCTGTCCACAGCACCTTTTACCGTACTCTGAGAATGCTTTTGGATCGCCTTTGGCAACGACATGCTATGCAGCCCCAACAAAGTTGCTCTAGCCAGTTCGTCCTTCGAGATTGATTTCCGTCGCCTTCTCCACGCTCACAAAGCAAGCAAGCCAAACATTCAACAAAGCAAACAATCCAACATGCGCCAACGGAACACCACCACCACCTGCAACCACAACAACGCATCCACCGTCCATCTTCACAGCTGCCTCAAGTTCAAAACCCAGATTGATTCCCTTTATGAGGCGCTATGCGAAGAGAAGAAACATCGCACCCAACCCCAATATCATGTAACCTCCGGCCTTACATAAATTCATACTCATCCACGATTATTGGATACCGCTCGTGAAGGACCTTCCCTCACCATTGGGTGGGAGCCAGTATCCACAAGAGTCACTACAGTGCGGGAGCACTATGTGGAATGCAAGAAGCCCAGCTCGGATACAATGCTTCCATTGCATCCTGATGACCGGATTTCCATTCTTTGCCATGCAGGGTGCAGCAAACATGACATGCTCCAACATTTTCTTTACCATGCGGAACTGGAGAAGATTAAGGAACTCAAGATGAGTGGTGCTACCGACAGCACCATGTACTACAAGAATCCTGCCCGCTAATCTCACAGGAATTCCAAGACAAACGCTGCTGCCTAGTCTGGTTGCAAGGCATCACTGCATCACTCCTGAGAATCGAAACAAATCTGATATAGACCAATAGATGGAGATCATATGAAATAAAATAGAGCACAGGTCAATAGACCACAAAACCTGAAGGACGTTAGTCGTACTGAACTGTCTTGCTTGATGTGGTGGTGATTGCATCGGCTGGTATGATTGAATCAGATGCCTGGCTGCAGTGGATATGATGGCATTCTTGACTCAGGGACAGAGATATGGCAGCAGATGCTATCCTCGATGGTTAAACAAGCACATGCAAGTATGAGCACGGGATGAATGAAGGACGAGTACAATACATGAACCACGTACTGCCTAATGCCAACCCTTCCAGCAATACCGGTAGTACTCTAAAAGGGCAGATTGTTTGGCAACAACGTTGACGCATTGGTGACTGCAATCAGGCAAGCGGGCCAAATGAGTATACCTGTTTCTGCACTAATATATACCTGCACTGCGGACATGTACCTGGTAGCTCGATTGGTTTGCTAAAATGCATGCATGCAGAGAGAAGTTTCTCCAGAGAGACATTGAGCACAACCAGCCACGATGGCGCGAAATGCACACTGGTAGAACCGGCGCGTGGACAGCTCGTTGCTTGCTGCTGGGATTCCTGTGTTTTCTCCTGTTCTGGTGTACCCATGGCTTCCACACTGACAGCCTGTCGTTTCCACAAAGCAGTCGTTACACATACGGCAGTTTTAAATAATGCGTCTTGTTGATTTTGTATGGATCTATTGATAATTATTACTAGTACGGAATATGTATATATGTGTAGGGTTGTTTGTTGGATGCCCCAGGTGGTATCGGTATTTTGGATGTCGGAAGCTTGATAAAGTAATCTTTTCGCACGTTCTTAGGCGGCGCGGTTAGCTTTGGTGAATCCACTTGCAACCTTCTTCTCTAGGTTTCCGGTCCAACCTGAAGCAGGCTTGTGTTGCTCATCGTCCTTGCTGCATTCTACAGTCCTTAGTGTGCGTGAAACGTTCTGCACATGCTGGAGAATTTCAGCTATTTCATACCCAGCACCGAGGAGGAGGAGGATGCGGGCATTTGGGTGATATGGGGAAATCATGCCAAGGCTGGGTGTCGATTGTTCCAAACAGAATTCTTGTACTGTCGTGACGTTCGTTGATACTGGCTCCCATCCAATTGTCAAAGCAAGACCTGCATGACTGGTGTCCAACAGCCGAGGATACGTACGAATCTCTGTAGTATCAAAGGCAACACGTTTTTGTGGCCTGGAACGAGGCAGCTTCTTGCTGGAATTGAGAGATTCATCGATCATGACGGAAGAGAGAGACTCAGTTTGGGTTTGCACCTTCAGGATGGTACGAGGTTGCATCATGGTGGAGGTACGTTGGCACATTTTTGGATTGTTTTTGCTTTTGAAGATGTATGTGGAGTTTTGAGATTGTGAGATGATGAGTGATGATGAGGCGAGTGAAGAAAAGTGAAGGGTCCCGATACCGGTACCGTTTTTCCGGTATGGTAGCGACGGAAGATTTATTTATTTGGCCACCGAAATGATTCGAGGCGACCTATGTGGAACCGTAAAAGCATCTCCTGTTTTCTCTTCGCACTTTCGGGGTTCGTGGTTAGGTGGCTCAAAACTTTATTTAGAGGTGAAGAAAGAACGTGATATTCACCTTCTTCTTCTTGCTGGCAACTCACGTTCGGCTCTTATGAGGGATGCAACGATTACAATCAAATTTATTTGTTGCGATGATCTATTAATTAAGGCTGCACCTGACCAAGGCACTGGAAGCAGTATTGTTTTACCGCTTTTGCTGGCACCTGGAAATTCAAGGGCACACGCAAGGAACATTCGGTTTTGGTACGGTACCGGTGCGAACTGGTACCAGGTACTGGTCCAGAACCCACAAACGACAAACCCACCAAGGCAACAACTTGAGTGCACCTATGCATAGACTATAGACTAACTTGAATGAAGCAGCTATGAAGCTAAATCCAGCATTTCCTACTCTGAGCATGCGATGTTGGAAGCCTCTTGGATCGCCTTGGGATATGCCATGCAGAAACAACAAAGGTTCTGTAGCTAGCTAGCTAGTGCGTCCTTTGAGATTGATGGTCCGTCGCCTTCGACATGCTCACAAAACTGCAATCTCAAACCTCACACAAAAATCAAGCAAGCAAACCAAACTTCAACAAAGCAAACTATTGATAATCCAACATGTGCCAACGGAACGCCACCACCTGCAGCCACAACAACGCCACAACCGTCCAACTTTCCAGTTGCCTCAAGTTCAAAACCCAGATTGATTCCCTTTATGAGGCAATGCGCGAAGAGAAGAAGCATCGCACCCGACCCCAACACAATGTAACCTTTGGCCTTACAGAAATTCATACTCATCCACGATTATTGGATACCGCTCGTGAAGGACCTTCCCTCACCATTGGGTGGGAGCCAGTATCCAAAAGAGTCACTACAGTGCAGGATCACCACATGGAATGCAAGCCCAGCTTGGATACAATGCTTCCCTTGCATCCTGATGACCGGATCTCCATTCTTTGCCATGCAGGGTGCAGCACACATGACATGCTCCGACATTTTCTTTACCATGCGGAACTGGAGAAGATTAAGGAATGCAAGATGAGTGGTGTTGCGGCCAGCAGCGTGTACTACAACAAGCCTGCCCGCAAATCTCACAGGAATTCCAAGACAAACGCCGCTGCCTAGTAGTCTGGCCGCAAGGCATCACTCCTGCGAGTCGACAACCTGATAGACAAATAGATGGAGATACGAAATATAATAGAGCATAGAACGTCACAATAGACAACAAAGCACCTAACTCGCACTCGAACTGCACTACTATCGCGCTTGTGGCTGGTGGAACGCAGGCACCGAGCTGGTATGATTGAATCAGATGCCTGGCTGCAGTGGAGATGACGTCAATTCTTGAGTCAGGCACCAAGATATCGCAGGAGATGCCAACACTGAATGGTTAAAGAAGTACATGCAAGAAATATATGTGATGAGGGAAGGACGAAAGACGAGCTCAATACGTGAGCTGTCGCAACAGACGCCATCATCAATGGCTATCAAGTCCACGTAAAAGCACGAGACGAGGTAAGGACGAGTGCATAGGAGCTGCATTGGGTGGTACCGTTAGATGAGGGCATTTCTTGAGTCTGGGACAGAGATATCGCAACAGATGCCATCCTCAATAGCTAATCAAGCGAGATGGCAGTGCATGTGACACCAACTCTTGAGTCTGGGACAGAGCTTGCGCAGCAGTCGCCAACCTCAGTGGCTACCAGTGGTAAAAAAGCGCGAGAGAGTGTGGTACTACCATTGCCGTACAGTGTACCGTAACTATCCTGTAAGGGTGGAAATGTCGTCTGGCTTGGCCGACGTTGTGTCGTGGATGGGCTCGTGCATCCGCAGGATCCAAAAACTGCAGAGAAGAAAAAGCGAAGATAGATTGGATTTCTCCACCAAAGATTCTCATAAAAACCAAAGCAGAAAAGATCAACCGACCCAACCAACCAAGCACTTACTAAACCAAAATCCACAATGGGCGTCCTCACCGTTTTCCTCGACAAATGCACCAACTTGCCCAACTCTGATCTCATGACTGCCAGTGATCCTTACGTCCGTCTTGAATTGGAGCAGGACAACTGGGTAAGAAGTTTTCAAGCCTTGCTGCCTCCAGTAGCAACGCAGGGGTATCTTTGCTTCTTTTGCTCATTTAGTGTTTGCCAATTCTAACGTTTTCCTTCCTTTGTCATTTTATAGACCAAGGATGTTGACTACGGATACCAAAAATCCACTACAAAGCAAGATGATCTCAATCCAGTCTATGGGGAAACTTTCACCTTCAATATCCCAACCCTTGACAACATGGTAAGCCTGCAGCTGCAGCAATGGGAAGATGAAAGGTGTGATGAAGGAAGATATTCACACTAATCTTTTTGGTTTGCTTTTGACTTGATGTCTGTGTTTTGCAGGTCTTGACTTGCAAGATCAAGGATGATGATACCGGTAGTTTTGATGACAAGCTGGGATGGTGCAAAATCAAGTTGGAAGAATTGGGACTGAGCGAAACTCCCATGGAAATTGAACGTGTAGTGGACAGGAATGTGATCACGGCCAATGGAATGATCTTTTTGAAGTTGTCCTACTCGGAAAAGGAACAAGGTGCTGCTGGGGGCAACAGTGGTGTCACAGATGAGGTGGACGTTTAAAACGAGGTTGGAAACATCTATCTATCTTTTACAAGTACAATTTGCCGGCGAGAGAATGAGTCTTCACAGCAGGAAAAAGAGCTATGGTTGTCTTGGTTATCGGCTGTTAGCAGAGATTTTTGAAAGCTTCTGTGTACTATATTAAGAATTTTTGCTGGAATCATTGTAGCTTGCAAAAACGGGGGGCTGCATGTAATATGCCACTAGCTAGCTACCGTAGCGGTTTCTTGAGACTGTTGCCAGAGCCTCTCCGATCGTGGCATCCAATGCAACCATGGACCCAAGTGAATACTCGTCCCACCGGCTGAGCTGTCGTCGGGTACTGACATACTCATTCCACGTGCTAGCTGGCTCCTGCGATCTCGCCATTTCGAGCCACGGACCTTGCTATGTTCCACAGCATGCTCTACTGGTTGATTGAAACAGTCTAACAGAGAGAGAAACGACGATAGAAAACAGTCCTCCAAATAGCTCTCCCCAGGCCAACGGAAACTCCCATTTTTGCGATTCTTCGGGCTGCCCCTGAAATGAAACCAAACGGATCGGAAACACCATGGAGATTGCGTGGACATCACAGGGAACGAGAAGCAAACATGACAAACCCAAGAAAATTCACAATCTTGTCTCGGCAACAATGAATAGCGCTTCGATTCGAGTGCGGCCAACGCATGTTGCTTGTTTGGATTTTTGTTTTTTGTTTGATTTTTATCAGTATGCAGAACATCAATAAATTACGTAGACTCTTCCAGCAAGTTTCCCAAACAACGAATGGCCATGTCTTTTTTTGTTTTTGCGCGTTTTTCTCTTTTTTCTTTTTTCTTGTTATGCAGCGGCGAGGTTGTCGTGTGTGTACCTACAGTACTGTGAGGTTATCTTGTATTGTGCATGCTGTGTCCATCCAAACTCTCTTTGACGGCACGCATATTGGTTCGAGCGACTGGCGCCACGGCGGCGGATACGGCTCTCTTGGCAATTCCTGGTTTTCGTGGCATGGGTGGTGGCGGCGACGGGGCTCGTCCACTGGGTGGCGGTATTCCTGCGACGTGATCTTCGGCGTCATAGAATTCTTCGTCGTCTCCCTGCACACTATCCCGAATGGACTGCATATTGCTGCGCACCGACGGTGTCACGGCGGCGGATACCGCTCTCTTGGAACCACCACCACCACCGCATTTGGAAGGACTGAGTGCCCGTTCGGGCACGGCTTCCATTGTGGTTGCTCTTCGGTTTTTACCGCCGCTGACCACCGACGTGGAAGCAGCGCGTTGTGCCGGCAAGGGTGGCGGAGGAACACTGTGCATGTCGTCAAGGGGAGATTTCTCGTACGACTTCTTTGTTTTGGTGGGAGAATGCTTTTTGTGTTCCTTTTCATGGGCAATAATTTCTTGTACCTGATTCTTGTCCATTCCCTCCAACTGCACAAGGAAATCTTGCATTTCTCGCATTTCATCACTCAAATCTAGGTCCCGTCTGCCGCGTTCGGCACTTCGACCACGTCCCGCATCCAGCGACACTTGCCGTCCGAGGATTGTTGGTTTTGGAAGTTTGGGTACCGGCATGGAAGATCTACCGCGTGGCGTCAGGAGCCCGCCGGTGCTCTTTCGGCTGGTATTCATTTCATCATCTTCTTCAAATTCACTGCGCGTACTGGAATCCATTCCTAACAATCCACCAAAATTGAATTCGGACATGCGATTTCTTCGTTCCTGATGACTACTGGAATCCATACTGCCGGTGACCAATTTGGATATTCTACGACCCGTGCCCGTCATCATATCCAATCCAACCTTACCAGTGCGACCAACTCCCGCAAAGAGCACTCCCGTTCCTTTGGCAACGGCTTTGGTGGACCCCATCATGACATTACCGGTACCCTTGACGACATCCATTCCGACTCCACCCGTTTTGGCCATGACTTTACCAGTACCCTTGACGACACCGGCGGTACCCTTGACGACTCCAGTGGTTAATCCGGTGGTACCCTTGACGAGTAATTTTCCGGACCCCACAACAACATTGGCGGTTCCTTTGATTCCCTCGGATGCAACACCGGTAACAATCGATCCGGATTTTTTGGCCGCCATGGCCGTGGAATTGACGACGCGACTGGTAAGACCAACGACTTCACTGCCCACTCCCACAACGGCTTTGGAAGTTCCATTGACCATGGCCAATCCAGCACCGGCCATGGCTCCAGGTACAATAGTAACAGCGCGTACAGTATTTCCAGTAGTTTCCGCAGCTCCCGAGAGTAATCCCATAATGACAGAAGTGACGAGTCCCTGTGTTTTGAGTGATTCGGCTCTCAATTGTCGTAATTCTTTCATTTCCATGGTGGCCTTGGCAATTTCGTCAATCGTGTAGCCAGCGGCAAAGAGACTGTCGTGTAGTGTTGGAAATTGATATTGGTTGTGAATTGGGATTGTTGTGGGTCATTCAGGGTATATACCGTATATAAGGGGGAGGTAGGTAGATAATGACGTCAGGCGAGTTGAAAGACAAGGTGAGTTTAGTATTGATCCATGAAAGGCCGGGTGAATAGACAGTCCATTAGTAAGAGGAGGATCAGGCGAGATCAGGGCAAGGCAACAACCAAATCCAAGCCAAATTTTGCAACATTTTTAGTTCCACCAATAAGAAGAAGAGGTGCCATAAGGTCAGGAGTAGGTAGGCAGTTTTGGTAGTTGGTGTCAGCAAGAGTAAGTAGGTATTGAATAGGTATGGAGTGGTTTGTAGTAAGTGTAGTGTAGGTTGTCATTTAAGTAGTGTGATTGGTGGTGCAAGTACAAGGTGTTTGAGAAAAAAAGAAAAAGCAGCAAAAGAATGGGTGAGGTTGACTTGAATCGAGTGAGTCGACTACGTAGAAGTCTACACAAATCTTGGTACTTACATTTTGACCCGTTTGTGCGCATTCATGAGAAAGCCCCTTCTATCTTTGGCTCTCCACAGCGACCGTGCTTTTTCGTAATTGTCGATTGGCACGGGATCGTGTTCTTCTTGTGTGTCCCAATCGAGTTGCACCGGAGCGCCATGGGAGACGGCTGGGTTTTCGCCTAGCACCATTCCGTACTCGCGCAAGTGGACTACGTCAAAGTGAACCTTCAATAGCATACTGCTGTTCTGAGCGGATCGAGATTGACCTGGTTTCTTCATGGCGCTGCGGCGCATGTCTAGCTTGTCTTCTTCTGTGCCGTCCACCCCTTCCAGTGGCACGTCAAAGTCGTATGATCCAAGGTTGGAGGAGGACATCTTCTTCTTCTATAATAGCTATAGTCTCTTGTCTTTGGATCAAAAGGAAGTTCCAGTTTTTTGTTTTATTGTGTGAGCGTTGGGACGATCGGGTGGAGTGAAGTCCAACTTACTTTTTATTTTGGCAGCTCTGCAGTGCAGTGCGGCCACGCATCCTCCACCGGCCACAAGAGCGAGCCAGCATTCGGACAAAACTAAATGTTTACGAATCTCCAGCCCCAGCAACGCAGAATAGGAGTACCAGCGGCATAAGAGTAGGGTTCCACCAAGAAATGTCATTCGTACAATAGTCCACACATTTGATACAAGCAATCGGTTCTTACACTTTGATGAACTGGGTGCATCTCATTTTATGCATTATGTATGTTGGCATGCTGGCAATACATAGATACGACATACCCCAAGCAATCTGAGCTCACTTCCCTTGACATACTTTTCATTCCTTTTATTAAATAGTCAGTGTGCGCCTTTGCTGTCGAAAGGAATCGTGTCAAAGCCTTTCTCGGTGGCTCTGGCAATCAAAATTCTTCTTGTCAGAGTGTCAGCATAAATCGTTAAATCTATAAAATATCAAGATTGTTCAAGGATTTAAGCAAGGAATCCTGTAAAGTCCTTCCCTCTTCTCTGCAGGACCTCTGTGGAAACTCGAGTCGTGCTACTTTTCGTCTCCTAAATCCTTTTGATCGTCTCCTATTTAATGGATTTCGTCTCCTAAAAATAGGAGACGGAACGGATCGTCTCTTAAATCTTTTGTCTCCTCTTAAAACGTCTCCTATTTTCAACGGATCGTCTCCTAATCTCAACGGATCGTCTCTTAAGTGTACCATGTAAACTGTATGGTATCGTCTCTTGAATCTTTCAGATCGTCTCCTATTTCGAAATTTTCGTCTGCTAATTGGAATGTCTCCTACTGAATCGTCTCTTAAATATAGGAGACGATTGCTTTCGTCTCCTAAATCATTTCGATCGTCTCCTATTCCTCGGTGTATCGTCGCTTAAGTATTTTGCCACGAATGACGTTTCCACAGAGGTCCAGGATCAAGTGCAGAGCAGAGCACAGAGCACACTTTAGCAAGCTCTTTAGCATGGAAGTAGCCCAAGTCTTCGAATTTCTAATTCTCACGCAATAGGGGGAAGACGCCGCATCTCAAAACAAAAACCTTCAGAGCTACAATGTCCACCAAAGCAAGCTGACAGCCCCAGTTCAGATATTCTAAATAAAGATGTTTGTTACCAGGTGGTACCAATAACTTTGTAATTCAGATTGGTTCGCCCAGGCAACTTGGGGGAATGTCGACACAGCAACTTGTGTTGACCAGCAATCAGAATAGCACCAACGCCTTGCTTGGTGCTATCCACCCCTCGTGTTTGGCTACTGCCGGCTTTCAAGGAACTGTGCTTGGTTTTGTATGGTCATACCCCGTCACACATGTACCGCGAGGGAAGACGATAGCACCTCCACTGTCACGGTCCATTGCCCGCTCCATGGATCCATGCACCTCCAGTGTAATGCAATGCAAATCAATGCAATGCAATGCAATGCAATGGATGTACAGCAGTATACTATTAATACTATAATATGAGCCCAAGGAACCCCAGCACTGCTCCTTCAATATCCAAGCTCGTTGCTTGAAGCAAACGGACTCGGCAGGGTTAGTCTACTGGTACACTGGTACAGACTAGCCAGTAGTGGGCCCGAGAGAAGTATCTTTCTCGTGAAGTTTTTCCCCAATCCGAGTACATGTACCGTATGGAATCAGCTTACGTATCTCAGTCCTGCAATGTCACCTTTTGAGGCAAATCAAGAGTGAACTTCCTCGATTCATTTAAATAAACTTGTGGAAGTGAACTGACGTGTTCTACATTGACGCATGCTTTTGGAAGTCAAAGCTTGGACCGTGCTTTCTTCGCGGCTAAGCTTTGTACCTTAGCGAAAGCAGATACTGTACCTTTACGGTAGTAAGTACTGCCACTCTCCCACAGCAGTTCAGAGGTTCGAAGAAGATTGTTTGAGGGTGGCGCCTGTATGTTGTGCAGTGCAGGCCATCAGAGGCTGTTGGAGCTTAGACAACCTGGCAGTGCATGATATGTTTTTAGACTTGCATTGGGACGGATGGCTGACGTGGCTGATGAAACATGTCGGGTTAGGTTGAGTACGTTTCCTCGCAACCATCACGGATTGGATTCAACTCAACTCGACTCAACTCAACTCACACTCACAAAACGTGAAGCAAAATCTTTCCAAGAAACTGTGAGAAGAAAAAGAACAAATTTGAGAAACAACCATGAGAGTTTTAGCCACTCTTGTCGCCTTTGCACATGTCTGGTGCAATGCCGCTGCTTCGAGCTGCTTCTCTGTGAGTGAGGGGTCCTTCGGTGGGTCCTTGAGTCGGCCCTACAGCATCGACATTACCAGTGGTGCTACCGAAATAACGTGCGTCCTCTCCTGTACCAGCGCCAACAGCGTTTACGGAACATTGTCAGCCAACGGCCTCACCAATTCAAACTCGGATTGCGGTGCGTCAATCAATATCAACAACGTTGGAAGCGATACCAATGCACAGCTTTTCCTTTACGCAGACACCTACCAAGATCTTTCTGTTGATTGCGCTTGCGTGGACACGAGCACTCCAGCTCCAACTCCAACCCTGGGATGCTTTTCGGGCGAAACTTTGGTGCAGCGTTCCGACCATCCCGAGCCAATCCAGATGAAACATCTCAAGGTCGGCGATGCTGTCCTGGCCAAGTCTGGTGTCTACAAGCGTGTCTATGCCTGGGGACACATCGATCGCAAGCTCCCCGCTTCATTCCTTCAGTTGCACATGGCGGATGCACCCACGCCTTTGGAGGTCACCGGGGATCACATGGTGTATGTCAATGGAAAAGCCGGTCCAATCCGGGCGGAGGTTGTCAACATTGGAGACGAGCTACTCGGAAGCACACCAGGCAAATTCCACGAGGTAACAAAGATCACTTCCAAAGAACGAAGCGGTGTGTTCTATCCATTGACGGAAGACGGGACCATTGTTGTGAATGGAGTTTTGGCATCCACGTATGTGGACATTCAGCGAGACGGAAACGAGTACATGCGATTGGGTCGATTCCAACTTCCCTTTACCAAAGGTTTCTTGTCCCATGTGTTTTACAGTCCGCTCCGTCTGTGGTGCCTGGGCGTTGCGGCTGGGATTTGTGAAGGTCGTGACCACATCGATGGTGCGAATTTTTGGGACAGCCTTGGCTCCAATCTCGATGAGTTGGCAGAGAACCAAGAGTCACTTCATGGCCAGCTCGTTGTGTATTTGTTGACCATTGTTGTACCAGCCATGTCCATGACCATTGAGTTTGCAGTTGGCCCCTCGCTGGCTCCCCTGCTTATTCTTCTTGGTTGCGTTGCAGTGCTGTCTTGGGGCAACACTGGGGCTGCTGGAAGGGCAGGAAAACGCAAGGTGGCTTGAGGAGAAGGTGGCTTGAGGAGAAGACGAGACTAGAAAGTTAGTTGCAATACTACTAGAGTAGTGCTTCTATGATAATTTAAAAATTGAAAGGTGTGGTTTTGTATATGAAATGGTGTAGACCCGACCGCTGAATGGTCAAGAGTGGAACTCTATGGAGGTCCCTTCTGGATTGAATCATTCAATCCACCTTGACTCGTCACTCAATTCCCACTACGAGCGGTCGGCTCATGGGAGCCCCCATGCGTCCACTCGATCGACAAACCCCATACCGGTACCCGAAGCTTTTTCCCACCGTTACCACGGTGACACAATGCCGGTTTTTGTGCCTTTATTAGTGTCACTTCACGGTCGTCAACCGTTGCCGTCTCGTCTCCTTTAGTTCCCAACATAGTTCCAATGACAATGGTGGTGCCTGTTCGTGACTCAGTCTCTTGCGGGCGGTGGTTCCTCTGTGTGGAATGGTCCGTCCTCGTGCAAGGCAAACGGTCAGCTCCGCCTCCAGGCTCATCAACAGCAAACAGGTACGGTTCGCTAGTGAACCAGCATGCATACATGGCATTAGTAGTTCGGAGTCCGTTTGAACCTTGAGAAGTTGGTGGGGTCAGTCTTCCGAGGCTGGTCCTCATTGGCTTCGCTGAACAAAAGTGCCATGCATGCATGCGGTCTTGCTTTTGCCTTGTTGATCAGCTCAATTCTAACCATTTGATGTTCCCATTCTGTATTTAGACAACACAGTCGATCAACCGTTGCTTCAATGTCGATTTGGCAGTTCGATCGAGCTGCTTATCGCCTTGGTCTTGATTTGGTTGCTACATTCCTCGTCTTCGAGTCCTGATCGCTTGACATGCTCCTTCATTCGGTCGTCCGTCACAACCTTTTCTTTGGCGATCTCCTCAGTTCTTCCGAGTCCTGCGTGCAATCACGCAGGTAGCTAGCTAGGGTACGGTCCGCAAGCATTCGCGTGCATCCATGTCATTAGTCAGACCCACGATGGCAGCAACGCACCAGTACTGGTATCAGACCGACGCACTGCCAACGCACACCCCCTCGATTCTCGAGCCCAACCCCAGATCCATGTGACCTTTAGGTACTAGTACTGTATCAAGACAAGAAACTCACCGTCAGTGCAATGCAAGAACCCTGGAGGAATGACGATTTCACTGCGCCTCTACATTCTGGTTCGTCTACGACACCTTCGCCTGCATTCAGCATTCATTCGAACCTTCTGTTCTCCAGCATCTTTCCCACGACGATCCTGAGTCTACATTGCTCCAGCTCCGGCGCGGCAACACAGCAGTATCCTACCTTCGAGTAATTCAATCTTCCGACTCGTCCTCTGGTCATGGTCCAGTGCTCCCTCGAACCAAGTCGTCGCTCTTGTTAAAGGAATGACGATTTCAGTGCGCCTCTCATTCTGGTTCGTCTATTGCTTCTTCCTCGGTTTGGGCATGTCATCTAATTGGGATCTCTGCGTGCTCCAGGAGTCGAGTCTCTCTTTCCCGGCTTGTGGCATGGATCCGAGCTCATGTTCACTCTTAGATAGTTTTAACTCTCACACTTCTCTCTCTTTGGCCCACTGAAGCCATGTGAGCAGCCAGCGTTGCAGGCTTCCGGAGCAATTCGGAATCCCCACAACAGAAGGCAGACCTCATCTTGTCCATGTCTTCCGATCGTCCAAGGCAGAGCCCCGGAACCAAGATTCAATCTTCTTTCTCCTATATATATTGTCTTCCTCCTCTTTGATCCAACCGCTCACTCTTCTCCTCGTCTAGGCTGGTAGCCTATCCTCCTTGGATTCGTCGATGCTTGGTGTGAAGATCTTGGGCCTACTGGTGTTCCTCGTCCTTGCTTATCGTTTTCTTTTCAGGCTCTCCATCTTGTCTTCTTGCCTTCGCACTACCGTGCGGACCTAGATAGTTACCATCTCAGATAAAAGAGTCATGTTTAGTACACCCAAAGATGTGAAACTTCGCTCCCGTCCACTGCACAACCGTACCGGTATCTCTCTTACTCTTGTTGAACCCCAGACGAGTGGACGTTGCCGTTGCCGTCCGGATACATTAGCTGGTACACGGATCATCGGGAAATGCCGGGGACGAAGAGACGGGTTACATCCATGCTCCGGCTCATACGATGCGTCTAGCTAGGTGTAACGGTGCTGTGAATGCTATAATGATACCGGCCTCTAACCTTTCGTTTGTTTTCATGCCTAGTTCATGCAACTGTTGGACTATTCTAGAGTTTGCTTTCCATGGCTAGCTAACTATGATAGAGTGAGTCAAGTCTCTCACATCTGCAGCAAATCCACAATCTTTTGTCGGCTGTGTTCTTTGGCCATGGTATCAAATCTTTGGAACAAAGGCTGAATCTCCAAGCATGGCACCCGCATGGCAAAACCAACATGGGACAGATCCAGAAAACAAGGAGACAAAGAAGGGTGTTGGAGGACTTTCTTCCCCTCAATATTAATGGCATGACTCATGAGTGGCTCTTCCAGTGCCTTGGCCACAGTTTCATAGATGCTTCCCTCCATGGCATCGGGTCTGGCTGGTTTGGACACGAAGTAGACACAGGCCATGTCATGTCCACCTGCCTGCAACGCCAAAAGTGTCTCCAATTCTTTTCTGAGCATGATATCCAAACAGCGGGCACTCCCAAAGGACAACAATGTGGGGGCCTCTTCCAATGTGGCTCTGTATTCTTGGATGCATTTTTCTACTGAGACACAGACTCGGAGGCAGCTACTACGGAAATCTAGTCCCACTCCATGATCTTGTCCATCTTGGTCTGTTTCTAGCATCCACAAGTACTTGGCATGCAACATGGGTTGCAACAAGAGTGTCTGGACACGCTGATATGTTTCGGTTTGGGGGACGATGGGGAATTGGCGAATCTCCACGGCGGCGCCGTTGCGTTTGTGTACGTTATTGGACTGCCTAATGACAGTGGTGGCTCGTTGGAACTCTGAATAGAGCCAGTGGCGGGCTCGTAGCGAGGGTTTCTCTAATGCCAATAGAGCATCGGAGGGGCATGTCAAGTTGAGAAAGCCTCCCTTTTGTAGCTTTTGCAAGACTGTCAACTGCCCGGCTTGGGCCAAGGACTTGCTCAGAGTTCGTACTCGGACCACTTGATGCAAAGGTAGAAAGCTCAGAATGTGCACCATGGCATCTTGGGGAAGACCTGTGTGGTCCCAGCTAGCACAAGAAGTGGTACCTGTAGTGGTAGTTTTACTTGTAGAATGTAAACCTGTGTTTTCTGTCTGGATATTCTTATTTTTGGCAGCGTTCATCTTGTTGAACCTTCCACCAAAGACAGATTTCAATAACATTGGTTTACCAGTACCACTTCTAGCAGCGCTTGTTGAGTTGGTCTTTGGCTTGTTGTCCCCCCTCGGCAACTTCTCCCAGAGGAAAGCAGGTTTGCGGACAAGGGTGTTGCTATCAACGTTTCTCATGGCTGGTAGATAGAGACTGTTTTCAAGTACTTTGGAGCTTTGCCCAAGCTACGAGCTAGATTGTTTTGTGACAAATGTGAACAACAAAGAGGTGTTGATCCACTGGTCCACTGGGGCGAGATGGTGTTGATCCACTGGGGCAAGATTGGGATTCATTCACTGTTCCATCACTAGCCCCATGAAACGCCTGCCCCCCTCGCTGGCTTCCATAGATACCGGTCCCTTGACTACTAGACTACGCATATTCGTATGCATACATCTGTACTCTATCCCCGTTCAACTTTACCAGTTGACTCACATGCACCAAGCTAGCAATCTACATGTTCTACTATTTTAAAATAGTAGCAATTAGCAATCATCAGATTCTACTGCAGTAACATCGCAAGACGATTTATTTATGAGCAAGCTGTGCACGGTATCCTCCTAAATCCTAAATCCTAAAGCTGTACTAGCTAGTATTAATAGTACGACGTACACTGAAGATTTTGCTCTTGAGAGTTCATAGCGTAGCATGCACTAAATGTAAATTTCACTAAACTGGGCGGGGAGCAAGCGCGAATTCGAAAGGCGTAATAAGTGCGCCTGTACGGCTGTACTCACGTACTCACCCAAAAATGCTTGAACGCCGACTCGTGTGTCTTAATCAATGTCGGAACTGTCTGTGGCTCACCGTGTCACTCCGACAAGAAAGCAGGCTGAGATTCCGCTCACACTTCAAGGAATTTACATGGTCGAGTCATTGAAAATCGCGATCTCACCTACGCATACGGTACGGTAGAATCCATCGACAGGAGGAGCTGAGGATACCAGTTCGAGCAGTTCTAGGTGCTACTATTGAAGCCTCCGTCCTCCATTTGGTCATAGGGTATACCACCTTGAATCTTGGAAGCCTTCCTGTGAAGATTCATTGGCTCGAACGCTGATGTTGACCAGCTTCCAGTGTATCACATTCCCGCAATGGGACTCCCAACAGACCACGGTGACTGAGGTATTCAAGTACAACCAAATCGACCTTCTTAGGCCCCTATCAAGGTCCCAGGAAGTCCCCTTCGTTTCTTCCAATCCACATACAGGCAGTCACTCTGCTACAATAGCTGGATTCTGTGATTCGATTCCACCGGTTCAACCTACACCCAGCAGAAGTTGCATCTACTAGTATCCTACTATCGTACGACCAACTCGCCCGAGGCCACGTGTACACAGGAAATGGATACCAACACAGGAATCGTCACCAAAAACTAGGGAAATACCGAGTGAGGGATGAATCCAATATGAGGATCCACACTCCGGGTATGTGTTGTCGTCTCCTCCAATCGACTGTTGCCATTCAATGACTCGTCGACGATCCGTTCAAGCCTCGTCCGTAGCGATCGATTGGCAGCAGCCTCTTCTTCTTGTTGTTATCTGTAGCGATCGATCGACTTCAGCGGCCGTCGGCATCCGCAGCAAGAGAAGAGAACGTATGGTTTTCTCGACCTGTGACTTGCCCATATTCTCCAACTTGATGGTCAGCGGCGAAGACATGACTGCCATCCCATGGTCCATTGAAATGAATGAGGGATGGCTTTCACCTCAGTACCCGAGATGCTCCCCTAGTATCCGTATAGCTGGTACTTGAATCACCGGAAGAGATCAGGCGCATCCATGATCATACGATTCACATAAGTGTAATGCTGCTGTATGTGCTAGAATGATACCATTTTCTGTACCTTTTTAGACTATTCCTCTAGAGGTATGATTTAAATGGCTTGCTATGTTTAGTAGAGTGAGTGGAGTCCCTCACATCCATAACAAATCCACAATCTTTTGTTGCATGTGTTCTTTGGCCATGGAATCAAAGGTTTGGAACAAGGTCTGCATCTCTGAGCATGGCACCTGAATGACAATTCCAGTGTGGGACAGATCCAGAAAACAAGGAGAAGAAGACCGTTCTTCTTCTGGATTTTGTACTTTCTTCCCCTCAATGCTAATGGCATGACTCATCAGTGGTTCTTCCAGTACCTTGGCAACAGTTTCGTAGATGCTTCCCACCATGGCATCGGGTCTGGATGGTTTGGACACAAAGGGGACACAGGTCATGTCATCATGTCCACCTGCCTGCAACACCAAAAGGGACTCCAATTCTTTCCGTAGCATGATATCCAAACAGCGGGCACTCCCAAAGGACAACAACGTGGGAGCCTCTTCCAATGTGGCTCTGTATTCTTGGATACACCTATCTATCGGGACACAGACTCGGAGGCAGCTACTACGGAAATCCAGCCCCACTCCATGATCTTGTCCATCTTGGTCTGTTTCTAGCATCCACAAGTACTTGGCATGCAACTTGGGTCGCACCAAGAGTGTCTGGACACGCTGATATGCTTCTGTTTGGGGGACAATGGGGAATAGAAGAATCTCCGCAGCCGCGCCATTGCCTTTGTGTATGTTATTGGACTCTCTAATGACAGTGGCGGCTCGTTGGAACTCGGAATAGAGCCAGTGGCGGGCTCGTAGCAAGGGTTTCTCCAATTTCAGGAGGGCATCAGAGGGGCGGGTCAAGTTTGGAAAGCCTGCCATTTGTAGCTTTTCCATGATCACCAACTGTCCTGCTTGGGCCAAGGACTTGCTCAGAGTTCGTACTTGGACCACTTGATGCAAAGGGAGGAAGCTCAGAACGTGTACTATGACATCTTGGGGAAGACCTGTGTGGTCCCAGCTATCACTAGCAGTGGTACCTGTAGTGGTAGTTTTACTTGTAGAATCTGTGGTTTCTGTCTGGATATTCTTATTTTTGGCAGCGTTCATCTTGTTGAACCTTCTGCCAAAGATAGATTTTAAAAGCATTGGATTACCAGTTCCACTACTAGCTGGGCTTGTTGAGTTGGCCTTGGGCTTGCCGTTCCCCCTTGGCAACTTCTCCCAGAGGAAAGCAGGTTTGCGGACAAGGGTGTTGCTATCAACGTTTCTCATGGCTGGTAGTTAGAGAGTGTTTAAAAGTATTTTTGAAGCTTTGCCAAGTTAGATTGTTTTGTGACAAATGCGAACAACAAAGAGGTGTTGATCTATCTGGCTTGAGATTCATTCAACGTTCGATCAGTATACTGGTAGCCCCGCACCCATGATCAAACAAGCATGGCGATACCGGTACTATCGGTCCCTTTAATATGTACGGTGAGGGCATGTTCAAGGGAGACATCACAACGAGAACGGCCCTGGTAGCATGTATGTTCAAGGGAGACATCGCAACGAGAACAGCTGGCATGCTACGAAATCGGTGAGATAATCTCGGTGAATGATGCTCTTTGGAGCTGCACCGTGCCATGGTTCTGTACATGAAACTTACCGGTTGACTCGACTCACCTGGAAGGCATCAGGTTTTAGAGATTTATGTGCAAGCGCCCCCTTTGCCAAAATATCGAATTTTCGAGTTATTCGCGCACGAACTCCGCCTGGAGTTGCGCGCTTCATTCGAATTAGAAGCATCCAAGTTAAAGTTACCAGGTATTAATAGTTACTCACTGGTGCCTTCTTGCACCTAACTAATAAAAGCGATCTCTAAATATTTGGCTTGTATTAATTAATAGTGGGAGTAAGTTTAACGGTCGGAGTCCCAGAATCTGGGAGTCACCCCTGCTGCGAACTCCACACCTCTACCAGTAGATGATGCTACCGGTGTATCCTCTTTTGCTCCTCTTAACAAAGGCTACTACTCACCACCATGACAGGCTCCTCTTGTTTGCCTAGGCTTGAAAGCGGAAGCGACAGCCGTTCGATCGATCGATCGGTCGACGGATCGATTCAGTCCATGGCTTCTTTCTTCTTCCGGAGTCTGTTCACGGAGCGACCACTTCTCTTCCATGGAACGACACCGCCTCTACCGCTAATGCAACAACAAGCGACCAATACTCCTAGAACAACAAGCGATGGCAACAAGCGACTACTACTCGACGCCTCGACAATGTTTCTTCCGATCTGTATAAAACGACTCATCAACCATCAACCGACAATTCAAAGGCATCCATTTTCCTGGAAGACAGGATATTCAGGTAGATGCGGGAATAAAATAGAAATCTTACCCAATATTTACCACACCTACCTGTAGAGACTCCCAGAATCTGGGAGTGGGGTCTCCCAGAATCTGGGAGTGGGGTCTCCCAGATTTTGGGACTCCGAGCGTTAAAAGTGGGGTTATACATTTGGAGTGTAAATACTCTTGCTATGCTCTTGAGTTCTCCATATCCACGCACTAAAACCGGGGTGCAAGGGCGAAAGGAAATACTACTAGCTAGTATGGTGGCAAAGGAGGGATGAATGATTGAATGAATCATTCGATTCGATTCAATAGGAGGATCCAGCACTCTTTGGATGGACCATCCTCTCCTCCAATCAACCGTTGCCATATCAATGACTCGACGACGATCTCCTCTCCTCAGATTGTTGTTATGGCTGGAGCTAATATCAGCAGCAGCCACCAATGGATCGATGCATCTCATTCGTTGTTTTCGGAGCGGTAGATTGTCAAAAGGGCCTAATTCATGCAACAGCTAGACCATTCTAGAGGTATGATTTTAAAAATGGCTAGATAGATAGTAGAGTGAGTCAGAGTCCCTCACATCCATAGCAAATCCGCAGTCTTTTGTCTGCTGTGTTCTTTGGCCATGGTATCAAATTTTTGGAACAAAGGCTGAATCTCCGAGCATGGAACCCGAATGACAATTCCAGCGTCGGACAGATCCAGAAAACAAGGATATTTTTCTGGATGCTGCACTTTCTTCCCCTCAATATTAATGGCATGACTCATGAGTGGCTCTTCCAGTGCCTTGGCCACAGTTTCATAGATGCTTCCCACCATGGCATCCGGTCTGGATGGTTTAGACACAAACGAGACACAGGCCATGTCATATCCAGATGACTGTAGCTTCAAAAGTGTCTCCAATTCGTACCGGAGCATGATATCCAAGCAGCGGGCACTCCCAGAGGACAACAATGTGGGGGCCTCTTCCAATGTGGCTCTGTATTCTTGGATGCATTTTTCTATCGAGACACAGACTCGGAGGCAGCTACTACGGAAATCGAGTCCCACTCCATGATCTTGTCCTTCCTGATCTGTTTGTAGCATCCACAAGTACTTGGTGTGCAACTTGGGTCGAGACAAGAGTTTCTGAACGCGTTGATATGCTTCTGTTTGGGGGACAATGGGGAATTGGCGAATCTCCACACCACCACAACCATGGCGCTTGTCACAGTAGGATTTCCCCATGACAGTGGTGGCTCGTTTGAACTCGGAAAAGAGCCAGTGGCGGACTCGTTGTGTGGGTTTCTCCAATGCCAAGAGGGCATCAGAGGGGCATGTCAAGTTGGGAAAGCCTGCCATTTGTAGCTTTTGCATGACTGCCAAATGCCCAGCTTGCGCCAAGGACTTGCTCAGAGTTCGTACTTGGACCACTTGACGCAAAGGTAGAAAGCTCAGAATGTGTACCATGGCATCTTCTGGAAGCTCCCAGCTAGCACCATTTTCATTCTGAGTCTTCTTGGTTTTGGCAACCTTTGTGTTGAGGAACATTCCACCAAAGACAGATTTCAAAAGCTTGCCACTCGTGTTCTTGGGCTTGTTCCTCCTCTGGAAAGCAGGTCGGCGGATGACAAGGGTGGTGCTATCAACGTTTCTCATGGCTGTAGAAGCTAAGAATTGTGAGTGTAGATAATGTTTTCAAGTAGTGCTCTTGGTGCTTTTCTCAAGATTGTTTTTATGATCGACAACTTCGAATCTTCGAATCAAAGGAAGCCAAAGAGCTGCCAAAGTCACCTGATCCGGATTTTTGGTTCATTCACTTTTCACCGGTCACAGTCAACAGTCAACAGTCAACCATGGGCTGGTGTGGGAGCTTTTCTGCTTTTCTTGGATCTTACCGGTTGACAATCGAGGCGTATTCTATGCAAGCCTCTTTCTAGCTTTCGTACATTGTCATGTACTGATGAGTTGCAGTTTTGCGTTTGTTCTTCATCCGCCATTGCACTGTGACACTGTGGTAATATGATTGTGGTAACCGGGGAGGAAGCCGTAAAAGGCCCAGTAAGTCGGGGTATATATGTCATGTGTTACCGGTACTCAGGTAGCTCGGATTTTGAGTACCGGTACATAAGTGCAGCAGTACTCAAGGAATAGTGCACTCTGGATCCGTCTAGCCTTAGTCGACAATCCATTCGACTCTTATTAACAGTTGTCGGCTGTCGGTGGCAAAGTGGGACCGCTGAAAGATCGTACCGGTAACTGCGCGCGCCCCTTCCATGATAAACTAACTTCTACTACCAGGTACTCGTAGCTATTATAGTAGACTCGACTCGCCAGAGTGCCGAGGAAGAGAGGAACATCTTCTGAATAAAGAGTCATACGAATGTTACTCTGGTAATATTACTCTCAGAGCCCCTATGTACCCAGTCCCGGTACCCCAATCCCTTATATCTGTTCAGTGCCAGTTACTGCTTCCCCGGAAAGAAGCATACCCAAACTACATAAGAAATCATCAATTCGTGAAAGAGAAGAACAAGCCCAAATAACACCAAGAGTCACTTTAATTCCAAGGCAATGTTACTATTTTGTACTGATAGTCGTGATAGTGCGCTATGTAACCATCGGGCAATGTTACTCCTTTAAGCCTGATGGTTTTTCAGGCATTTTCGCTCGCTCAGCCGTTGTATCCCTCACAAAGTGGTGCCAGTGTACCTGATCGATCTCCACGATAGCCATTTTCCGAGTAACTTTGTTGTTATCTCCTCCTCTTCACAATGGCGACGGACGATATTGGATGGGTGTATCCGTACAACAAGAAGCACCAGACCACCATGGTGGGCTTTATGAGCTGGTTCCATGAAAGTGTGTTCCCAAAGAACCAGGAGTTTGCCAAGGATCAGCTCAATCAAATCCTCCCATCGAACATCAAGGCTTATTTGGAATTTCGGGCTTATGGCAAAGCCAATCCACAGGAAGGAGATTTCCCAATTCTCATGCGGGCTGGCTCTGTGGAGAAGCTCAAACAGAGCATTAGCTGGTACATGCCAAACAAGAACGTTCCTTGGATTGATGGCCGTGGAGGCAATCCAGCAAGGCATGCCTCTCTCAATGAGGTGATCAAGAAGATCGAACGCCATGAGGCTCGCGATGAAGGAAAAGATGCCAATGACAAGCGGCCTTACAACGACAATGAATTTTTCAAGCTACTGGAGATGCTCCGGAGAAAGGAGGATTTTGATCATAACATGAAGTATCCCATGATGTCGCTTTGGAGCTACCATCTCATCCATCGGCTTGATGATACCTGCCACTTCAAAGTTGAGCATCCTCACGGCTCAGTTGAGTATCCATTCGCAATCTTCACAAAGACCAGATACTCTAAGAATGTCCGCAGTATCAGAGATTGCCCAGACCAAATCCTCCTTGGGGCTGATGATTGGAAGGTGTGTCCGCAGTTGAACTTGGCCATCTACCTGGACAAATGGTTGGAAATGCACCCAGACGCAGTCCACCTTTTCACCACCAACGACGACACGAAGAAGGGTCCAAACAACCTCAAGCAACAGTATGCCAATCGAATCAAGGGTGTGGTGTGGGACCAAGCCGAATTTCAGGCATTGGAAGACCAAGTGGGAAACCAACGAGACAAGAAGGGTGTGGGCACTCACAGCATGAGGAAATTTGCCTCCACAAAAGCCTCTAGGCGAGGAGCTACACCTCGGCACGTTGAGTACCGTGGAAGATGGGTCGGTGACAAGTCTGGCAGAGTGGTGAGCATCCGGTACATTGACAAGCGTGACGACTACGTTGATGCGTTCGTGGCAGGGCTTTTGTGCAATGGTGGGCCTATCAAATATTGTACCGACCTCAACATCACGGATGATTGGCTCAAGTCGCATGTGGTCAGCCATGTGGCAAAGAGAATCCAGGATAACAGGCTGATCCGGATCCTTGGATTAGCCAAGCTTTGGGCCTGCTTCGATCCTGAGGCGAAGTCACTAGTGGAACAACAAGATCGTGAATACATTATCTCCATGTTTGCTTCTCGATATGGCCAGCCACAAGCCAATCCGGTCAAGAAGGTGCCTTTGGAGATCTACAACGTGAATGGCGACTTGGATATTCGCGACGCTTCCACGCCACAGCCTCCTCGCGATGGCGCTACCGCAGCTACCGCAGCACCAACCGGAGCTCCTACAGGAGGCCCATCGAACGAACAAGTCATCACCTACTTGAAAGCTGTTGAACAGAACATGATGCAGCAATTCCTTCAACAACAAGCTAGAGAAGAGGCTCAGCGTGCCTGGCTTTCTATACAAGTTAGCAAGCTACTTAACAACCAGCGGCGGTGGGGTGCTCAACTTCCTCAGGCCTTCAGTCGACAGGATCCCAGGCAACAGGCAGCGAGACGCGAAGACGCCGACAGAAGGAATGAGCAACAACAAGGGGAGATCATTGTCCACGACGACCGACTGTTGGTTGGGGATGACCCACATGCCAGGCTCTGCGATCGCCCAAGATCTCTCAATGAGTTGTGGAGGGAGTTTACTCATGGCATTGGAGACAACAAGCCGGCCAAGGACTTCACGGTGGCAGAGAAGAACAACAAGCTGCTGAATATCAAGCAGAAGTATTGGAGGCGCAGGAGGCTCTGGCGTGTGCAGGCTTTTCTTGTTGTCAGGTGCAAGTTTACATGCCATGAGGCGAATGCCATGATCCAGACCTGCTATGGTGGCACTGTCACCAGTGTCATCAACAGGATCGACAAGGATAGTCGCAACAGGAACTACCCTGTCATCGACACGACAGAAAGAGGCAAAAACTTCCACTGCAATCCAAGGCTTGTTCCATCCAACGACATGTTCAAGCAGTGGAACACTCCTGACCAGTAAAGGCCCTCCCCGCTCCCTGGTTCAAGGAAGAGTTAGAGGCGAAGAGCGCTCAAGAGATGCCCAAGAGCCACCACAACCCCCACAATGTAAGTGTTTCATCCTGTACGTACGTTGTCTACCAGCCCTACAGAGTCTCACTACGAGTTACTCATTCTGTCCTCTTCTCCTAAAGAAATGCAGGTACCGTTCTTGTTGGATCTCGTGACGCTCTGAACGGAGGTGGATTTCCAGGAGAGGAAGGAGATCCGCCGTCGACACTAGACTAGCTAGCTAGCATGTAAATGTTAGTTCTGTTGCAGGGATGAATGAATAACCATACGGATGCAAATCCATCCTCTTGACGATCCTGCTGCCAGGTGTGGTACCTGTACACGTGTATTATTTTAGCTCTGGGCTTGGTACACTATATCCACTTCCTCTACCTACCGTACGTACTGTAAGCTGCAAACCAACAAATCCATTGGCTCCTAGTAGTAGCTATTTCGACAAGACTTCTAAAGTCAAATGCAATTAGACTACCAGTGGTCCTAGCTAGCAAGCAAGCTAGTGTATCAAGGTTTGAACCTCCCTCGAATCGGTACTAGTACCTTCGTCCTTCGTTATGATCTATCGGCACGGTCCCAGTTGTTGTCGGATGGTGAGCATGAGACGCACTGTTGACCTTTACCAGTCCCGTTGTCAAATTTTCGAATGGCCATGAAGGTGCGCTAGCAAGACCAAAAGAGTTAGGGTATTGGGATGACTGGCAGATGGAATAAGACTGAAGACTGGAACATGATGGAGTTTCGCGGCACAATCGATTCCAGCCATCGCAGCAACAGCGGCAGCAACTCCTTCACAAGCGCAATTGAGCGCTGAAAAGAAAGACTGTTGGGTTGGGATAGACCAAGAGACCAAGAGCTACTATCTAGTGTTACTACAGCTAGAGCTAGCCAGATAGAGACAGAATGTGTCCTGGAGCTCCAGTACTTCCTGCTAGTGGCAGCAGTGACAGTATGGATGGCACTAGCAAGGCCAGTAGCACTGGTAGCAAGCAGATGCAGAGGATGAGGAGAAAGAGGACAATGACTACAACAAGTGCTAGTACAAGTTCTACTAGTAATTCCACTAGTACTAGTACTAAAGTGTCTGTGAAGAGAGTGCTGAAGATTCTGAGATTGACAATTGGACTTTGCGCTTTTGTTTTGATGTTTTTGTCACACTTGCATACTACCACAAGCAATGGAAACAATCAGTTGTCCTTTTTGAGAAAACAAAATTGGAGTGTCAAGCATCAGCAGAGTCAAAAAGGAAATCAAGAAAAAGATGAAAATGATCATCAAATTTTGTTGCAAAAGCAAAACATGCTCATTCAAAAAGATGCTCAACAGAATCCACAGTACACTCAAGACCTTCTCAATCAGCAGTTAGGTCTAGATCAAATCTATGCAGACAATCAGGATATTCAAATGGACATTCAAATGGATCATCTACATCTACCTATTCAGGAGCAAGATGGACAAGATGGAGATGAAGATGAATTTCCTCTATCAGATTCTGATTCTTCTTCACATTTGCAACACAGACTCTTGGGACAATCTCATCTGCAACTTCAGTCAATTCCTCTTCCTCTCCCCCTCAACAATCCACACACCCAACAAATCAATCCACACAATAACCTACAAAGACAACTACAACTGCAAACCACTACTACTGGAAAAAGACAAAAACTATCCATTCCCTTTTGGGATCAACAGCGACTGTTCAAGTCCAGAAACTCTTGGAAACTCATGGTTGCCATTCTAGCCCAAGATTGTATGCCCAAGTACTCTCAGCCTAACAACAAGAATGCTACTGCACCCATCAAATTTCCCACCTTGCTCACACTGCAGGATGCACTCGAAAACACGAACCATGCCACACATGTCATTCTATACTTGCCACAATCACCCAATTCCACTCTATTCCCAAACCTATCCGTATCCATGCAGTACAATCACAAACACTGTCAGGCAAAACTACTCGCCATGATTCACACACAATTCCAAACACACATTGAAAATCAACAATTGCAACTCGTTCATGGCATTGTCAATCCACTCCCCGCACGAATTGCCTACGATTATACACACAAGTTACCCAATGCATTCCAACAACTCGAACAAATGAAATTGCCACAAGAACAAGTCGCACTCTCGCAAGAAAAAATTAAAAAACGACTCTCCATTGGACAACTCATGCTCGAACAACAATACTCGCTGGGGCTCGATTTTGCCTACATTGCCGAATTGGCGTATCGCCAACACGATGATTTGCTCTTTTTTCTCACGGCCGGGACACGATTGACACCCGACATTCGAAAGCAACAATCACAAACGCCACAACAACGAGCTCTCGACTATGGATTGGCATTGATTCAACAATACGAAAACTTTCAACAACGATTGTCACACGATCTTCTCGTTCATCGATTCTGTTACATGTCCTTTCTACAAGAAGATACATGGTTCGAGTTACCGCCGCCCAATGCCACGTCCGATCAAATACCACCCCGCTATCAAGATAAGTTGCAATTGCCCACGGGAATACTCATGGAACGACATGGACTCTACCGCATGTCCATGATTTTGAGATCGTTACTGCCGTATCACAAGCATTCCACGGCGGGACTGGTCCAAAAATACTGTAATGATCTACTCTGGCAAGCACAAATTCTACAACCGGTCGGGGCGGCACAACTCAATCTCACGACGCTGGAAGAAGCGACATTTCCGCCCGTCTTGTGGATCGATCAAGATGATACATCCGTTCAACCAGAATTGCCGCAATACAAAAATGCCCTGCAGCAAGAACAGCTCCGACAATTCGAAGCCTACGTGGCGGCCACGGCGTCCTGGACCATTCCGGAATGGGTCACCGTCGACAATCGACAAATTGGACCGCAACGAGCAGAAGCCGTTCTACCGGCCGATCTAATTCAATTGCCAAATCAACCGCAAGCAGCACCACCACAACAGCCGAAACGCAAAATTACCTTTTTGGTACCGACATCGACACGACCCAATGGCATCAAGAATCTGTACGTGACGCAAAGTCTCAATCAATTGTTCCCCTTGATTCGACGCGATTTACGAGATCCCGACACTGGAAAATTACAAGCGGCCGTCTTGTTGGTGATTTGTGGCAACACCCAAGATGAGCTAGATGATCATCAAGATGGATTGTGGGAATACTACGGTCCCGAAATCAAAGAGGGCATTCTCGAAATTGTATCGACCAACCTCGAGACGTATCCCAGTCTGCACGATTTGCCCAACAATTACAACGACAATGAAGCGCGGTTGCGATGGCGGTCCAAACAAAATTTGGATATTTCGTCCAGTTTCTTTGCCGCCAAGGGACGATCCGAGTACATTATGTTGTTGGAAGACGATACGGGATATCGAGACAAGTTCACGCCGACGCTCAAGGCCATGATGCAAGCGGATCAACGACAAGAAGCGGTCTATGTTCCCGATCCCAAAGTGACGGGGATTACTGTCCCTCCGGAACAAGATTATTGGCAGCACACGTTTGCGCAAGTGCATTTTGGATTTGGGTACAGTGGCGTGTTGATTCACGATGACGATGCGCTGGTCTATGCCGTGGTGCATTACGTCTTGATGGACGAGAAACCCTGCGACCTCATGTTCTTGGCCAATCACTTGCAAGGACAAGTGTTGGACCAAAAGTGGCGATGGCAAATGAAACGAGTCCTGTTGACCCATCTGGGAAGTGTCTCCAGTTTGAAGGGAAAATTCCAACCTGTGTGGGGGAAAATGGGATAAAACAATCTGCTTGTTGCATGTTCCATCGATTGCGGGCATTTTGTAGTAGCTTTGTAATCGTGCGTGCGGCCCACCAGAATGGCTGCAGTCTAAATACTTCGTTTTTGCATGATAGTGCGTGATGTGCATACTGCGGCTGGAATCGTGGCTTTGACGGGCAGAGGCTATCAACTGCGTGACCACATGATACGGTTGGGTGGCTGCACTGCGAACGAACCAATGAACCAACGAACGCCCGAAAACGTTCATGGCTACAGCATCGCGGCACCGTGAACGAACGATTGCTCTTCCAAACATCCAACCCAAAAACGTTCATCGCGACAACATCAGACGCGTAACCAGCTATAGAGCCAGAGACGATCGAACACGATATCACGTAGGCGCCCCAAATGATGCGTAGTCGCTAAGTACGACGAAATACGGGGGGGCAGCCGTGCCAACACAAGTTCAATCCGAGATCATAAAGTAGGGGCAAGTGTGCATAGAGCAATGTACCCGCGGATCGAATCGCACCTCTTCACTTGCCGCCAGCATTATAGTCCTCCGCATCGTTACATTAGTCGAGCAAGTGGCAGGACAAGGGCATGTGGGTTATTTTGCCCCAACGTTCGCTCGAAATCCCCTACGACTCGAGCTGCCGTTGTTGTACCGTATTCTTCCCAAAGCAATCTCTTCCGGGCGAACCGCTCAATCGATTCCATACGATACGGTACGGTAGCTAATAGCTGGTCACATGCATAATCCCGCGGAAGGATGCATGCATTCAAATAATTGGAACCCCAACCAAACTCTCTCTACCTATTTAGCACGTGCTAGCGTGCAGCTGCCCTTATTTAGGAACACTCGCAATCGGCAAAATAATAACAGGACGAACCGTCCACCTTTTCGCAGTCCAAACAAACTCGTTTGTGCCCTGCCAAGCACAACTGAAGTGGCAAGTTGCCCGTAATATTGTTCCTGTGCAATTCGAGATCACTGATTCCTTTCAATCCTTCCCCCCACTCGACCGGAATGGTACCGGTCAGTCGATTGTCACTCAGGTCCAGTTTCTGCATAGAGCTCATGTCTCCCCATTCGTTTGGTAATGCACCAAAGAGTCGATTGTGTTGGAGAAAAAGGAGCTGCAGATTGGACAATTCCGCCCACTCGGCTGGAAGTGCCCAGCCTAGTTGGTTGTTGGATAGATCCAGCTCGACCAGATTCTCCAAATTCCCAATCTCTGCCGGCAGTGTTCCGGCCAAGCCAGAATTGGAAAAATCGATGGACTGGAGAAGGGAAAGTGCACCCAGTATGGTTGGAAGGAAGGAATTTGTCATATTGGACCCTGTGAAATCCAATACTGCCAGATTGGTCAAAGTTGCCAGCTGCTCTGGTAGAAAATCTGGAAGAGATTGCTGAGAAGGGATATTGGTGACATGTATTGCTTTTAACCCCGTCAAAAGATCAATCTCCGGTGGCAAAGAGCCACCGAAATTTTCAATCCCATCCAACCGAAGCGTCTCCCATACACCATCCGTGTCACAACAAGGATCTTCCATTATTATTGGAGATGGAGTGCTGCTGGTTATTGTGGCGGTTTGATTATTTGGTCCTGGTAATTGTCTTGGCACTGGCGGTTCCCATTTGCATTCGGTTGTGTCGTAAGAAAGCCAGGAATGAGGTTGATCCCAACTTGGACCATTCGTAGAAAAGTAAATTGTGGCCAATGCAAACCTCTGTGCGAGCTGCCATGGAGGAATTTGCCGCAAGTTTGGGTCCTGGCCGATCCAGCGATATGCCTCTGCTTGTGTGGACGTGGGTTGGTGTCGAATCATTCGAAGCGTGGAAGCATCCAAATTGTTATTGAGTGCGGGGATGCCTAGTTCGTTTGTCGTGCCCTCTTCTTTGTCACTGGGTTGTATCAGAACAACTACAAAGATCACCACTATCAAAATAACCACCATCACACAGACAACAGCAACGATTGTATATGTCTTCTTGACCTTGGAATTGTTTGAGCGATTGAAATCTTGTGGCTGCTCGTTATTGTTGTCGAAGTGAGTTTGGTCTGACGTTCTGGCAAGAGCCGTGTCTGAGTCAGCATTGTTGATTTCAATGCTACTACATGCAGTGGTCCTACATGCAACCTCTTGATTGTTTTGGGCACTCCTGTTGGTAGAGTTGACTCTACCAACTAATTGAAAGGAAACTTTGTTCCTGTGTGATCCATCTTGGCTGAATGCTCCCACGAGTGTGTGTGGTCGTTGCACAGGTAGGGGTTCCACAGGTGGCAGTGCTGTAGGTTCTACTATTTGCCAGGTGTCCAATGGGTTGCTTTGGTGGGTTGTTGTGGACAGTCTACTATTAATAGACATGTCAGTGGAAGCCAATGACACGCCGGACGCCCTCATCTGAAGATTGTGTGGAGTCTCACACACCTGGTCCTGATCTTGGTCTTTAGGATGGAGTTCATTTTGTGTCAGAACATGCTGCCTGTAGCCACTGATGGGGTGATGAACACCCTCATTCCTTTCTCCGCCATCACTTCTTTTGACATCCATCCCGTTCGACCCTACACCCTCCTCACCATTTGGCATTGGCATGGGTTGAAGATCAGGGGTATACATAAAATCGGGGGATGAACTTGAAGCCTTCAAGGCAAGTCCAGCCACTAAGTTGTGCTGTTGCTGTTGCTGTTGCTGTTGCTGTTGCAGTGGCAGGGGATCCCTTTCCTCCAACACTGAATTCTCTGAGACTGGCCAGGTTGGTGTGCCAAGGGGGTTGGTCTGTAAAGACAAGACTGGAGCCACTGGCACAGATGCTGGCTTTTGGTGGATGTCCTCCAGAATTCTTATTGGAGTTGGATGCTTGCCATTTTCTTTTTGCGACAGAACATGTTGCTTGTAGACACTAATGGGGTCATCACCATCCTCATTTATTTCTCGGCCAGCCCTGCCATTGTCCTGTGTCCCGGTCGACCCTACGCCATCCTCGCCATTTGGCGTTGGCATGGGCTGCAGCTCCTTCAGGGCAAGTTCATGATCGGCATCCCAGGACCACATGTGATACAGTATCAGATATCAGAACAGATGATCAGTTTGTTGTCCAGGAGGAATTCGAGCGGTAATAGACAAAAAAGCAGTCCAGGAAGATGAATAATGAAATGATGTCCATCCATGCAGCGCTGCCGCCTCCGGCCGTCGGTCTGTGGGAATTCGTCGGAGATTGAGAAAGCCAGCTAAGCGGCTTACAAATTGGGCAAACCTTTCTCAAAAATTGAAATTGAACACTGCTACCGGTATGATGGTGGTGATAATCAAAATCTGCTTCTTCAAGAACCCAACACTCTCACCGCGTACGGTAGATTGTAGCTAGCTAGTAACCTGCATTATTAAACAAGAGAATCCCGCCCTGTAGTGGTTCCCTCATAATACGGGTACCGGTACGTTTCCGTCCTACTGAGCATTGCCCTTGCTCATGCCGCTGCGATGTGCCTCCATGGTTCTTGAGTCCCTGCTTCTATGGTACTGTACAGAAGCCGAGGGGGGTTCAGGACTAGCTAACGGTGATGTGATCAAGGGAAGCCATTGTCGCGTAGCCACTGTGGATCACTTCGGTTTGGTTAGACACGAACGCAGCATTAGATGTTTCTCCATTCCAGGGACAACCATTTGCACGAGCCCACGTTAATTAATTAAAACTTCCACATTAAAATAGCATCCCTTTGAGGAGTGATAGTTCAAGTCTCTGAAAGCCATCTTGCCCACAAGTGGGCCCATCCAGAAACAAGAATGCGGGAAGGCATCACAGTCTACAGTACATGTGTGTAGGACCCAGCCACGGAATGATCCGCAGTCGTGTGGTTGCAGCTTGGCGGGTTTAGAAACAAGCCAGCTAAGTGCCCAAAACGCATCAAATCAGATCTGATGCATCATCGGCATCCTTTAGCACGTACTAGTAGAGTCCATGGCAAACGTCCTCTGATCAGCTCGAGCATAGAGTAGGGAAATTATATATATCTAAGGAAGCCGAGCTGAGATAGTTGTGGTCCATATTATAAAGTATTCCTTACATGGACCCACCCATCGAGATAGAAGAGGGAGGAGCCCAAGCAAGCGTCTCTAGCTAGCTAGTGCCTCGTTTCTCGTTTGGGACGGTTGTCGATTGTCCCGTCGTTCTGCATCTTTCGGGCGAGGACTTCCCTCCATCCATCCCAGTAACAATACCAATGGATGCTACATCGGATCTACCAGTACATGATGGCAAAAGTAAGGAACACAAAGAGGAATCATCCGTTGAACCCGAGTCGATGCAGCTAGATACTCTTGGTGTCAGCATCCATCACCTGAAACATATCTTCTTGGAGAGAGAGGTCGAACGACCAAAAAAGAATGCCACAACAGGACACTTCCTTTCTAGACACTCCAGCATCTGCGAAATTGAGGATTTAGAAGGTCCTCCTGGTGTCATCCGAACAAAGGGTGCTACCACTACCTGCCCCTTGGATGGAAAAATGGGTGCTGCCTATGTTCATTGCCTGCAAGGAGAGGACCATGTTGGAGAGGCAACTCACATGCTCAGCTATTCCTGGGATTACACGATTGGAGATATTGTGGATACCCTTTCCGACTATTGCCTCCAAAATGAGCTTGATGCCAAGAGGTCCTATATCTGGATATGCTGCCTCTGTGTCAATCAACACAGGGTGGTCGAGAATACCACCCAAGAGAAGTCTGGAATGATTGCCTCTGCTGCCAAGGTGGACTTCTTTGCAATCTTTGGAGAATGTGTCAAAAGGATTGGACATGTGCTGGCCATGATGGCTCCCTGGAACGCACCAGTGTACATCACTCGAGTCTGGTGTATTTTTGAAATCTTTACAGCTCACACCACAGAGGGGTGCAAACTGGACATTGTCATGCCACCCAAAGAGAAGCTATCACTAGAGCAGGATGTTGTTGAGAGTGGAGAAGGCATCAATGCTGTCTATGAGACACTTGGGAACACTAAAGTTGAAAATGCCAAATCATCAGTCACAAGTGATAGGCTGGCTATTCTTGGCCAAATAGAATATGATGTTGGATACTCTGTGCTCAACAATCTAGTCAATGACTTGTTGCGTGGGTGGATGCATGGTGTCCTTGCTCAGTTGGTGAGGGCTCGAGAAAACACCAACAATGAAGACTATGTTGAGTTCTGCAATAAAATTGGGATCATTCTTCTGTACAATGGTGAACACGATGCAGCCATGAAACTCCACCAAACTGCTCTGACAATTTGTGAGACTGTGTTGGGTGAGAATCATAGTGAAACAGCTGCAACCTACGGCAATATTGGTTCGGTTCTGGATGATATGGGTGACTATGAAGGGGCCTTGGCAAAGAACAAGAAAGCTCTTGCCATTCGACTATCAGCATTGGGCAAGGATCATCTTGATGTGGCAACCAGCTACAACAATATTGGTTCTGCTCTGTACAAAATAGGCGACTATGACGGTGCTTTGGCAAAGTACAAGGAAGCTCTTGGCATTAGACTGTCAGCGTTGGGCAAGAATCATCCTGATGTGGCAACAACCCACAACAACATTGGGGTTGTATTGTGGAAACTGGGAGACTATCAAGGTGCTTTGTCAAAGCATGAGGAGGCTCTTGCCATTCGATTGTCAGCATTGGGTGAGAATCATCCTGATGTGGCAACCACCTACAGCAATATTGGTGTGGTGATGTTTTGTATGGGTGACTATTCTGGGGCCTTGTTAAAATTTCAAGCATGTCTTGCAATTGAGGAGCTAGTACTGGGAATCAACCATCCCAACACCAAGACTTGCCTGGAGCGGATTGAACTTATCAAGTCAGAAATGCAGCAACGTGTTTGCCCACTGTGCTGTTTGTGTTCATTGTGTTGTTCTCTTTCATGTTTAGTAGTAGCTTTAACTATTTAGAAGGAAACAGTCTCATGATCCGGAAACGGTGAATGTCCGCATAGTCGTTTGGCACTGGCTATACGCCACTCTAGTGTGTGCACTACGCCACTGCAGGGGATGTCTCCACGGAAGACGAGAAATCGATGATGATCATGGACGCAAGGAGCGACTATGCGCAATCGAACCTTTCATGGATCTGTTACTAGAAGTCTATAGAATCAGATGATTCTATAGAATGGAAAAAAAATCTGTAGAATGGTCTGATTCTATAGAATACTTGAGGGAGGTATACTAGAATTCTATAGAATCAGATCAATCTATAGAATCAAAGTATGTGAGAATCTGTAGAAATCGTATTCTATAGAATCACACATCATATTCTATAGAATCACACATCATATTCTATAGAATCAACTAAATTTTCTCTTGATTCTATAGAATCATCTTCAATTTTTCTGATTCTATAGAATGAAACATGAAAATCTGTAGAATGTTGCTGCTCTGTGATACTGGCGGTAGTACTGTTGTTGCCATTGGACGACATTGAGGCTGGTGATAGAGCATGCATCAATCCACAGACTTGACTCTCTCCTTGTTATCCGGATCGATCGATCGATTGATCGTGGACAATGATTGATGGTTGATTGTTGTTCTTCAAATTCCACCAACTTGAATGTCAGTGGCCAAGAACTGACTGCCAATGAGGGGTGGCTTTCAGTTCTGCACCGGAGACGGTCGGCTTGAGTGAGGCTTGATAGAAGAGGTGGAACGATCCCATTCGAATAATTCAAGAACAACTCCCCGAGATCTGACTGCCTTCCCTCAGTCCATAGAAATAAATGAGGGATGGCTTTTGAATCTGCACCTTCAACAATGCTCTTGATAATCAATCCATTGATAGATTCAACAATACCGGTACATGTACTCTTATTGTCGGTCAAGCTCCATATTCAGTCAATGAAGGAGAGAATACTGATGAGGCTGTCAATTCTATGAGAAGTCAGTGCTTTGCCTTCAATAATACACTTGATAATAGACTTACCTTATTGCAATACGACTGTAGTAGCAGTAGCAGTAGTAGTACATGTAGCAGTAGCAGTAGCAGTAGTAGCGATGGATTGATCCACTATCCACTGATGAGGCTGTGGCACAACGCCATGTGTTGCTGCTGTTGTTGTTTGTTGCTCTTGCTGGTGCCGCTGTGGAAGGGTGCTGTGACCTTTCTGTGCCCTTCCCATTCTATAGAATGAAAACCGCTGATTCTATAGAATGGTCTCTGATTCTATAGAATGGCAAATTCCATAGACTTCTAGCATCAGATCCTACAGTATTCCATCCCTCGGGCACCATCCCTCGTCCCTTCTTTTTGTTTTCGCAGCGGCATCGCTCACTCCTTTCGACCTACCAGATCTTTCGTACAGAGATATTGTGGAAGAGCCGTACTATGGAGCGTTCACGAATTCCGTTACAGGCCCCAATTTCATCCATCGCGAGTTGCACGGTGGCTTCGACAAGAGTATTCGGAGGTCACTTTCTCGCCCGCATCGATCCTTACAACGTACTATTTTACAGCTACTACACGAGGAATCGCTCGGTCAAGGGATACCGGTACGATATAGATGGCGTTCTCGAAAGCATGCATGCATGCAATGTCCAAAACGGACGAGCACGCTGGTCAACTTATTCCGGCATCACGAGAAGCAGCTGGCACATCGGTTCATTCTACTGGTACTGCACTACCGCTGCGTCCAGTCGTCCACTGACCACATCGTCAGTCATACTCGGGCCGGTTCAACATCACTGATTCCTTTCAGCCACATCGAACACGAACCAACCCCACATAAAGGAACCAGGAGATGCAACTGTGAACTGACCTTGTTGAAGAATACAAACGAGAGCAAACGACTTTTGGAACGAAACGAAATCGAAGGTAGGTCAAAATGACGGTAGATGTCATCCCCAGCGTAGTGACGATCGAGAGGCGTACCGGCAAGTCAAATACCACGAGACCCCCAAGGGGCGGCTCCAAGAAGCACCAGGAAATGGCACTACTAGTAAAGAGATCATTCAAAGAGTGACGCGAATGTGTGTACTGGCCTTGGTGGAACATGAGCTGAGCTGAGCTGAGCTTTGCGAGAAGACTTTCCGTTGAAGATGAGACTCGAACACGCATGGCCAACAGCACCATTGTCAATAAAAAAAGGCAAAAAGAAATAAGGAAGGTTAGTTTAGATGTCATTTTCCGGCGGAGAGGCAAGCAGCACGGACTCATGAAATGGCCGCCCATTTCCCAATCCCAATGGACCCCCAAAGGAGCGGCTGCACCACGTAGCACCGGAAAATGACACCATGGTTGAGAGTCTAGGAGAGGAATGTGAACTGACCTTGTTTTGGATGAGACTTGGACTCGAACTCGAACCCGAACTCGAACGGCCAACAGCAGCATGCCTTGTCAGACACGAAGTCGGAAAAGCAGTAATAAGGTTAGTAAGACTTGACTCGGAAACATAGGGGGAAAGAAAAGACTGTTTTGGTGCCATGTTTCCGGTGGAGAGTAAATGGAACGACCTCACGCAGAGACGCCGCCTATTCACTCTTCTTCTAGCTAGGCACAAAGCAGGTGCAAGCAGCACCGGATATGGCACCTTGAGACGAGTCGAGTATGCGAGAAGAATGCATGTGAACTGACCTTTTCGTGACAATGCCGACGCGACCGTTGCTTTTCGAAACTCATCGATCCTCCTAGCTAGTCAAGACAAGAGATGGTGAGACGTCGAGCGACCCCGCCAAACAGAAGAACCGACCGACTTGAAAAGAACAAACGGCGACCCGTCAAACAGAAGAACCGACTTTTACCTTTGCACGAGTACGAACCAGCCAACCCAATGCTACTCAGCTATGAACTGTTCCAAAACCTCAATTGGCTATACCATGGAACAGAGCACGGCCTTTCACCCGACAAAGAAAGGTAGGTAGGTAGGTAGGAAGGAAGGAAGGAAGGAAGGAGGAAGAGAGCCATCAGCTATGAACTGTTCCAAAACCACAATCGGCTATACCATGGACCAGAGCACGGCCTTTGGCAACTCTTTTTGTGAGGAGTGTGTTTGTTTGTTTGAGGTAACGTTTGCAAGATCGATCGAGGCAAAAAGCGTTTCCTTTTTGATTTGAGGCAACGGCGTTTTTGTTCCGAAAATCAAAAAAGGATTTCGAAGGGAGGGTTAGGGATAGCCTTTTTCAAGCGACTCGACTCGATTCAATTTTTACACCAAGTCTTTGACGTCACCAGCCTTTGGCACGAGGTACTGTACACAACACTACACAACATGATTGAATGTTGAATAACGACCCAGTCAAAGTGTCGCCGTTCTTCTTCGACGTGGGCTGCTGTATGCAGCCTTCGAAGTGGCAACCATGAATGCCTAATCAGAGAGTTAGAGGGGCGTAAGTGGCAACCATCCAGAGAGATAAAGCATAATGCCCCTATGGATACATGCTGTACAACTTGTTCTTCCTTTTGAACGTGGCGTTTAATGCTTTCTTGTTTGAGGTTCTTTGAAGGTTTTTCAAGAGACAACTCAAGTTGACTTGCGAAGTTAACACAATTCACAAAGATTTACCCCCACGTAATTGGTCGATGCCTAGGACTGTCACTCTACTCTACACTGTATTGCAGCATGAACGTTTCAGCGTGCTGTTTGTCCAAGCATTCGCTTATTCCTCCTCCCATCACCTCATCATCTCCGAAATAATGATGATCGTCAGATCGTGAAGCACCACCACTGATCGACCTGAGTCGCCATACTAGTACTCTGGTTACCTCTCAACCCTCATTCATTTGTAACGATGGAGGAGAGTCAAGAGCTTGAGCCTGAGCTTGAGCCTGAGCCCAAGGCCAAACCCAAAGCTCATGCCTTGGTTCCTCCTAGCGCTGACGAGTGGCTGGAAGCACTCGGCATGGGAGACAGCAGCGATGACGATGGAGACGAGGAAGGCAATCCCATCAGTATCTACAAAGAGCACATGCTGGCAGTCCAGAGAAAACTCAACGAAGACGAAAAATCACAAAAAAAGGTTCCAAAAGACACCAACACCAACAATGACGACCCAAAATCCAAATCCAAAGAATTAACGGAAGAATCGCAGCAATTTTCAGCTGAGCTCTGTGACCCAGATGTTTCCTACAACAACAACCCTCTCGATGCCTGGCAGGTTATCGAGTCTGCTGCTCTGGACGATATAGAGCCCTTGCCATTGCAGCGCTCCGTTGCTCGACCACTGCCCTCCCAAGTGGGAGCATATGATGAATCGGGAAATGGAGAACAAATTCAAAGACGAAAAGTTTCCTTCCAACTATTCAGCAGCAGTTCCTACAATCCACAACCACTCAGGGTTTCTAGTACTGCCAACACCACATCAGAGCTCACCGCAGAAGTCAGGCGATCAGATATTTCCTTGAATGAAGAGGAGGAAAAGTCGACCTTCAAGACAAATGCCATTGTGACAGCCATTGGCTGCTTGCTGATTGTTGTGCTGGCCATTATTGTACTGGCAGTTGTTCTTCAACCAGATGATGACTCTTCACTCGAAGAAGTGGATTGGGAATTATTGCTTCTGTCGAGTCTGGATACTCCAACACAACTTCTCATTGAACAAGAGCCTGCCTCTATACAAGCCCAGGCGTACAATTGGGTGATCCAAGATCCAGACTTTGATGAGATGCCTCCATGGAGACATCTGCAAAGATTTGCACTGGCTACAATCTACTACTCGACTCAAGGTCCACAGTGGAATCAACCACATGACTGGCTTTCCTACAATTCATCAGAGTGCCACTGGAGACCACCTTCTCCATTTTCACAGCAGAATGGCACAAGAAATCCCACTGCTTATGTTGAAGAGGAAGATCCAGATCATTGCAACCTTGATGGTGTTTTTGACATGCTTCATTTGGATGGTATTGACAATTTTGGAGGCTCCTTTCCATCTGAAATAAAAGTCTTGACAGGTCTCAAAGAGATTCACATCATCAATATCCCTGCCCAGTTGTCTCTTTCAGACTTTACACCACCACAGCTAGCAGCATTGACCAAACTGACATCCTTGGATTTCACAGCTTCCAACCTGGAAAACTCCAATATCCCTCCTCTAATTGGTACATTCTCCTCTCTCAAGTCCATCCTCCTATCCACTGCCCAAATTGCAGGGACCCTTCCAACAGAGATTGGGTTGCTAGAAAACTTGGATACCTTGGATGTCTCTGTAAATCGACTTGGCTGGTTTCTTCCCACAGAATGGTCACAGTTGACCAATTTGGCTCGCTTGTACCTCCAAAGCAACAATTTGATTGGTGAACTGCCCAAAGAATGGGGGAACTTGAGCAGCCTCCGAGAACTTGATATTAGTGACAATCAACTCACTGGAAACATTCCAATGGAGTGGGAAGGAATGGTCTCTCTCACAGAGTTTGCATTGTATCAGAATGAAGATCTGGTAGGGGAAACGCCACACAGTTTTTGCACTGTGCAGGAAGAATTCCATCAGAAGAGCGATTGTGAAAAAGTCCCCTGCTGTAGGTTAGGGGGTATTTGGTGCACGTGTGTTGGAGGATAGCACCATTTGCAACAAAATGTACCAGTACTGGTAAAAAGAGAAACACGATTCTTTATTCATCGACATGCCAAAGCCAGGACCTACAGTGTACTGAGTTTACTGCATGAGCATGCACAAACGCTAGTGGAGACGATACCTGAGGTTCTTCGGAATCAAGATACTGACCTTCGTTCTCACATGCATTGTGTGGCAGTGAGGTACAATTCGAGCTGCTTCGTAACCGCCAGATGGCTCGCGAAGTTGGTTTCGGGGCCACAACTAGATCCCACTGCTTATGTTGAAGAGGAAGATCCAGATCATTGCAACCTTGGTGGTGCTTTTGACATGCTTCACTTGGATGGTATTGACCATTTTGCAGGCTCTTTGCCATCTGAAATAGAATTCTTGACAAGTCTCAAAGAGATTCACATCATCAATATCCCTGCCAAGTTGTCTCTTTCAGACTATACACCAACACAACTAGCAGCATCGACCAAACTGACATCCTTGGATTTCACAGCTTCCAACCTGGAAAACTCCAATATCCCTACTCTAATCGGTACATTCTCCTCTCTCAAGTCCATCCTCCTATCCACTGCCCAAATTGCAGGGACCCTTCCAACAGAGACTGGGTTGCTAGAAAACGTGGATACCTTGGATGTCTCGGTAAATGAACTTGGCTGGTTCCTTCCAACAGAATGGTCGCAGTTGACCAATTTGAGGTACTTGTACCTAGAAAGCAACACTTTGATAGGTGAACTGCCCAAAGAATGGGGAAACTTGAGCAGCCTCTTAAATCTTGATATCAGTGACAATCAACTTACTGGAACCATTCCAATGGAGTGGGAAGGAATGAGGTCTCTCATAAATTTTGCATTGGATCAGAATGAAGATCTGGCAGGGGAAACGCCATTCAGTTTTTGCGATGTACAGAAAAAATATCATCAGAAGAGTGATTGTGAAAAAGTCCCCTGCTGTAGCCCAGCGAGTTCTCAGTGCACATGTGTTTAAGGATAGCACCATTTGCAACAAAATGGAGCAGTAGAAAAGAGAAACATGGTTCTTTCATTCACGGGCATGCCAAAAGCCAGGACCTACTGAATTTACTACAAAGGAATAAAAGTGGTGTGGCTGCTATCACTCCTGTTGCTAACAACTGACTTTTTGATAGGATTCCTGCAGGAGCATGCACAAAGTCGAGTAGTTTGGCTAGTATAGCCGATACAGAGGTTATTCCAAATCACGATAATGAGCTTCGTTTCCCGAGGCAGTGAGGTACAATTCGAGCTACTTCGTAACCGCCAGATGGCTTCGTGAAGTTGGTTCGGAGCCACAAATAAAAACACGATGCTGAGCTTCGTTTCACGGTGTGTGATTCATTCCCTGCTGGTTGGTACATGTATGGTTGTGAGGTGCTGATGGTGCGTGAGAGCTCTTTCGGGCACTGCGTACATAGCTGTACTGAAGCGCTTCTTGAACGAGTGAGGCTCTTGCAAGTTTAAAATCCGTGATCATACATTTTGCTGCATCGATTCGGCGGCAAACGAGGACAGACGAAGCAGTCAAAACTCGGTTCATTGATAGTGTTAGCTTCGTTTTCGAGGCACGTACGAAAGCCCACTGGACTGTTCAGGGGTATATGACCTCCGATCGGCTTCCCGTCAGGGTAATGCAACTGCAGTGGCTGTGTCGATCTTTGGCACCAAACAACTGAATGATCCGATTGAATCCTTCGATTCCGTCCTGCAAGCTACCAGTATCCGCGAGGGACACTGCGGGAGGATGACCAGCACAATCTATAGGTACACCGTACTGTGGTATCTGAAGTCGGCAGCATCGAAGGCAGCTTTGGCTCCAGAACGACTCGACTCGACTCAGAAACCCAGGCATACCATCTCAGGAATGTGATGCAAATCGAGAACGTGTAAGCAGCTCCATGGATCGAGGCACCCGTACCGGTACCGGTACAAGGCTCTGCCCCGCGGATCTGAGCCCTCAACACTCTTCACGTTTTGGAGAGCCGGTGGCTCCAACAAGAGCAAACTGGATCGATTAAAGGTTTAAAGGGGCTAATACATGGAATCCACTCCTCTGTCGGACTCCAAATCGTCATCAGCAACAGAGCTCTCTCTCTATATATATAGCACCTCGAGGGAAGCCAGAAGCATCGGGGCTTTCACTGAATAACCCCGAGAGGAGAACGACCGCGGAGAGAGGTGTCTTGTCATTCTTTTCCAAGCAGTCAAAGTCGGCAACAAAGCAGTTGGATCATCCTATGGTAAATTCATCAAAGTTTTGGCTGGTTGTGCGGAATGGCATCGGTCCTTGAATCATCGGATGAATGCATGCAGAATCGGACTGACTCGACCTTAGGGTTTTCGGGTCTCAAGTTCCTACCGCACCGCTGCAACTCTGCAACGTACCTACCGTCCGCTCCCTGAGACACAGACCTGCCACCACTGCCGCCACTATAAAAGTTGTCGAGCTCTCGACTCGAACGACTCGACTGTCCTCTGACTCATCGCGTTGTCTCGATCTCATGAAACACTCAGACGTTTGTTCTGGTGAGAACACAGGCGGGACTTGGACGAGTTTCTCTAGCTCTAGCTAGCTAGACCCGAAGTAACAGAAAAGTGTGGATAGAAAGAATACGAAGATTATGTCCGTACCATCTTTGTGTTTCTACAACGACATCTTTTGGCAATTAACTAGCTGGCTGGCTGCATGTATCTATACTTTAGAGACTAATCCAATTACGACGGCGGCATTATCGACGACACGGGTTGCTGCACCACCGCAAATCCATCTTCAAGGTTTGGTTTCTTGCTGTGAATGCTAAACTTGTCTCGCTTGACATCAGTGAGGAACGGCGTCCAATGCAACCGAGACGGATCGATCCGTGGTTCCTTGACGGGATACTTCTTGGCCAATTGTTCCAGCAGTGATTCTTCGGCGGCAATAAAGTAGACGCCGTTGATAATCTTGAGAATGCCAAGTTGATTGAGCGTAAAGACGATATCTTCCGCCATGATGGACGTTCGTTTGCTGATATCCATGATACTGAGCGACGTCGACAAGATTTTGCCTTCGGGAGTCGTGTTGTGTTGGCCCGTCGTTCGTAAAAAGTCCACCACTGTAGCGGCCCAGTAGGGTTTGTATGCCTTTTGTCCCAGATCGCTGACGGGTCGTTCGGGTCCACCGACCTTTTCCTGCTTTTTGGAGAGTTCGTACGAGAAGGCAATGAGGAAACGACCGTATCCAGTGCGTTGATGTGCTGGAAACGTAAGAATGCAAGCCAAGTTGTATCCGACGTCCGAGTACTTTTCCTTGCTAAAGTACCCGACCGGATGATATCCTCTGTCGTCTACTTCACAAAGTACGTAGAATAGGAATGGATCAACATCAAAGTAGAGTGTCTTGTGATCGAGGAAGAGCTTTGCAATGTAGGATAAGTTTTGACAGTAGATTCGTTCCGTGAGACCGTCGACTTCAAACACTGCACAGAACAAAATAGGTGCAAGGCAAGAAACGTAGAGATGTGAGTGAGTTGGCACGTTTTTCGATTCAAGCCCGCATCGGTCTCTTGATCAGCCGAGATGTATACACGTATTAGCTGCAGTACGACTTACTGGAAAGATGATCCTTTCGATAGATTTCATTCCCGGGCGGATGTCGATTCTGTGGATTCTGCGAAAGCGATCGTTGTTGGAATCGTTGGAGTTCACACTTGCGAGCAAAGAGGCGAAATGTGAATTCGCAAATGTACAGTACTTCAATGTATCCTCGGGCACTCAGTAGTTCCTTGGGAATGGGTGAAAAGTACCACGTTTCCATTTGATGCCTCCCCAATTCAATGAACGAGACATTTTTGATTTTGGTAATTTCTTCGTGTTCTCGCAAGGATGCTTCATCCAATCCTTCGTGTTCATCGAGTTCTTGTGCGGGAATGGTAGCGACAATGTGTTCTCCAACCGTGGTCGTGTTGGTGGTCTGTAACGTGAGAATTTCGGGTGTCGTGTTGATCGTATTGGCATTGGCATTGTTGGTGCTGGAGTTGTTGGCCGCGTCATTGGTATTGGTGGTTGACGCAGCATTGTTGTTGTTGGCGGCAGCATCGTCTTGTGGTGCGTTTCCCGCCACGACAGTGGCATCATCATCCGCGATCATATGCGTACTGCGCCGTCGCAATCGTGTGGTGCGTCGTTTGTCCGTAGTGGGTGGTTCGTGTTGTGCTGTCGTCGTGGCAGCCGCGTCCATGGCAGACGTGGGTGTCGCCGCCACGGCCGTACTCCGTCGTCGACTGGACCGCAATGGCTGATGATCCATGGCATTTTGCGATAGAATCTCCGAGTTGTTTTTAATTTTTTCTTCCAATCGTTGCTGTTTTCGTTTTTGTTTTTCTTCCTCCTTTTTGAGTGCACGTGCCTTGGCATTTCCAATGGAAGGTGGAGACACAATGCGATCTTTTCCAATCCATTCGTCCATTCTGCGATTAAAGTCTCGGTAGTGTACGTAATAGCGCCATTCCGTTTGTTGTTGTGGTGCGTTGGAATTGTCATTTTTCTTGCTGCCAGTTGTAGTGGTGATTGTGATTGCTGTGTTGGAGTTATTGTTGACAGGAACTCTATCAATAATGTCACAAAGTCGGACTGAAGCAGCATTTTGATGTTGGTGGTGATGATGGTGGGGATGCTGATGGGGGTGTTGACCTGTCTGAGAACTTGTAGGTGGTGTGGGAGTGGTTTGTTTAGACTTTTCTTTTTTCTCTTCCTTTTCCTTTTCTTTCTCCTTCTCCTTTTCTTTTTTTGTGACTTGTTTTTTCTTTTTGGCAGGTCTTCCTCTCTTTTTGACTTGAGTGGGTAGAATTTGGATGATTTCTTTTTGTTTGGGAGTTGGCCTGGTTTGTTTTTTGGTGGCTTGTGGTTGATCCATGGATGGCACTTGAATACTATTGGTATTGGTGTTGGTATTGGTTTCTGTATTGTTACTGGAGTTACTAGTGGTGGTACAGAGACTACTGTCGTCTGACCAATACCACTGATCTCCGTTCATTCGAGCGGCTTGAATGGACGCCGTAGTTTTTCCTACTGCTGTGGCTGGAATGTACAAAACTTCAATTACGGAACCTCGGGGATACGGGTGTTGATCCATCGCTGGAGTCGCACCACTCGTACCCAAAGTACCAACACTGACACTTGCATGGCTAGTACCACTACCACTAGTGCTTGTACTCACAACTCCAACTGGAGAACTTAAGCCTGTACTTACTATACTAGTACCATTGCTAGTAACACCACTTCCACCTGCCATTGCTCCTCCAGAAGCATTGCCAGCAGCACCAGCATTGCTACTAGCAGCAGCACCAGCTGCAGTAGAAGACAAATGAACTGAATCTCGCTTGGTGCCTCTTCTGCTGCCTTTCTTGGGTCCTCCACTCGCACCACCACTAGTGGAGTCAGTCTTGTTGTCCTTCATTCTCTACAGCTAGCTATACTAGCACTAGTATACTAGATAGATTTATTCTTGCTCTCTCTTATGCATGCAGAGACCAATGCTGTGAATTTTGAAAGTTGTGTTGTGGTCGCTGTCTTCCACGAGTTTCCATCCACTTCTGATGGAGACTGTGTGCGTCGTCTGGAAGCAAATTCCACGCCACGCTTCCTGAAGCCTCCATCATCACCCTCATCAATGACGGCCGCTCTCGATCTCGTGGCCCGCGAGCGAATGAACCGATTACATGTAGTCCTCTATATGGCTCCGTCGGTCAAGCGGTATAGTCTATTAGCTAGAGGGGGACAACCTTTTAATAAAATAACAATTTGTTACCCTTGAAACGATTTGACTCCCGAGGCAGGGAGGAAATATCACTCTGCCTCGATCTCCATGCATGCATGAATGGTCGTTGCAACCATGACGACCGCTCGATCTCATCGTCGCGCGAGTGAATTAGACTACATGTATCGTATCACTTCAAGGGTTTTTTGGACTACCGGTACAGTTAGAATGAATACTAGCTAGTACACGTACGCTAGGGAAGTTATTATCTACGGAAGCCAACGAGAGCTGGGCAAATTCGGGACATGAACAGTGAAGCGAGAACAGTTGCCAGTACCGCTAGCTGTCTCAAAGTGACGTTCGGGAGAAGTTGCGTCGTGCGACTTTGTCTCACTACGGTACCGGTATATTGGAGCTGTCTCTAAAGTGACGGTACGTGCTAGACGTACCATACAACTGGGCTAGCTAGCTATAGCTAAGACACCGTACAAAGCAGGATCTGAACCATAAAGAAATGGTGGGTAGATGTGAACACGTGCATTTTCACTCGCGTACGTTGGATTGTTGGCCGTGACGCCAAAGACTTGTGATTGTGGTCTGGATGCATCATGGTCGATGTATGCATGCAGTGAAAAGGCAAGGCCAATTATTGAATCTAAATTAATCAGTTGGCAAGGCAAACTCCTGTGTCATCACAGCAACTGGTGCAGCAACCAGAAGGACACTGGATTGCAGGAATTCCAGTTTCTGTATTGGGCAAACAGTCAGCCACAAGCTTGTAAGCTTCTTTCCCAGCATATTGATTCTGGCAGAAAGAGACTGGAACTGTGCCAGTTAGATCATTCCCATTCACCCCAAGCTCAGTTAGTAGTGGCAATGCCTCAACCTCATTGGGGAAAGTGCCATGGAAGTGGTTATTGGAGATGTGCAGCTCTTTGAGATTTGTCAAAAGGCCCAGTGATGGGCTAATAGTCCCAGTAAAGCTGCACCCATCCAAGTACAAATAGCCAAGATTAAGTCCTGTGAAGAGTTCTTCAGGGATTGTCCCTTGCATGTTGGTGTTAGAGAGAATGATTTCATTAAGCTGGTTTGCCAAGCCAATCTCTGAGGGCAAGGATCCAGAAATCTGCGTGTGATTCAAGTCTAGCACTCGCAAATTAGTGAGTAGTCCAACTTCACTTGGCAATGTCCCAGTGAGCTTGAAATCAGCAGAGAGGACCAACAAGAAGGTAAGCTTTGGCCCTGCATGGGTAAGTGTTTCTGTCAACAGCACAACCAGTAGTAACTTACATCATTTCTTCCCAATCGAAGCGATGTAACCGAAGCTTGGTTGAATATTTCTTCTGGGAGAGAACCTGTCAGAGAGTTGTCTTTGAGTGAAATGGTTTTCAAAGAGATTAGACCCAACTCTGATGGAATCATCCCGGTCAAAGTGTTCCTATTCAGAGCCAGCAAGGTAAGCTTTCCACTTCCTTCAAGAAGGTCTGCAACCCATTCTGCAGGAATAGTGCCAGAAAATTGATTCGAGGACAAAACAAGAGTTTCCAGGCCAGAACCGGCTTTCTTGGAAAAGAGTCTTGGGGGCAGCGTTCCAGTCAGCATGTTGTTATCAATCCGTAGAATTCTCAGCAGCGACAATCTTGTGATCTCCCAGGGAAGAGGGCCATTGAGATGATTCCTTCCTGAAGAACAATAAAACTTATTCTGTAAGATATCATTAACACAACGCAACTACATGCCCAGCTTTGCTGACTCACCAAGGCGTAGGTCAGTGACTGCCTTTTCCTCTGATTGGGCATTCTCACAGATTACTCCAGCCCACTGGCATTCATGACTGTCAGAGAGCCACTGATCATCCCAGATGTCTAATGTAATGTCACCAGTTACAGGATGTATTTGGTAGCAGAAATTGGTTGTTGAGCTTCTTCGGTTGGTTGCTCCCGGGTTGCACACTTTCCATGGCTTGTGCCTTGTGGTCTGATAGTAGAAGAGTACCAGCAGAAACCGTTGGATCAAGTTGGGAGAATCATACTCCAACTGCATGGGGTCATGATTGACAATCCAGTCAAATGCTTTCTGTCTTGTCTCTAGCAAGAATCGAGCAAGGTCAACATCCAAATCATCTCCAGATTCTTCCGCATGTTCGAAATAATCCCTACCCAAAAGAATTTTCAAGATAGTTTCAATTTCTGATGCTGCGGCGGCATCTCTTGTTGTGGTTGGTGCCATTGTACTGCTGCCATCCACATAGACCTTCTGATTGCAGTGTCCAGCTCCACAAATTGAGCCAATAAAGATCCCTCCGATAAGCAACAGAGAGATTGCAAAAGCTGCAAATCGAACTTGATACTTCTGAGTAATGGATTGTCTGGTGTTGGTGCTGTCAATGGCAGGAACAGCGATGGCTTTGGGCTCCTCCTGTTCATCTACTGACTCTGCTTCCACCAGGCCCGCATTGTCGTGAACAACAGCTTGCTGTTCCAGATCGGGAATGTTGGTTCCTAAAGATATGTCTTGCTCTTCTCCAGCCCCGCGTACTGCCACTGCTCCTATCAAATGGTGTTGATCTTGTTGTACATCGTCCTGTCCTGGAAATTGATGGGGTGCCGTTGGTGTCATCCCAGTATTTTGATTGGTTCCAGAGACCTGTAGGCTTGACCTTGCTCTTGTACTATCCACGGGGCTCGCTACGGCCCCAGGTAACTCTGTCATGCCAATCAAGGAGTTGTTGCTCTCTGACATGTCAAGACTGGGATGACGGCCTTCAGCGGTTTTGACTATGGCTGCTGTGTTGGCAGGATCAGTCATTTTTGAGGAAACCGGTCCTTTGGATGCGACTGTACCATCAGTGACAGTCACTCGAGATTTCTCCTGATCCCTTCGGTCTACCGGTAGCTCTTCGAGTAGAACAAGGTTCCCAACCAACCCAAGAGGTTGACCGTTGGCATCAGAAATATCCTGCATCTCTTCTTTGCTATTGATTGTTCGTTTGGAAGAATCCATCTTGCTTCTATTCAGAATGACAATAAAGGTAAATCAGATGAGATGATGAAGCGCCGTGATCGGACGAGCCAGTCAGTCCACGGACAAGTGGGGTAGATCGCAGGTGGATGCACATGGAACATGATCATGATTGCCCCAGCTATTGCCCTTGAACTTCAAGCGAGCGACAGCTTCCTGATGGTTCAAGCGATCAAACTGATATTAACAGCTGCCGGTACTGTAGTACCGGTAGTCCTTACTAGTAGAGCAATTAATTGGGATCCTAGGAAATCCACTTGAGAGGAATCAAATCCAGAAGTTAAAAAAGACTTGCCCCACGACATTCGCTCTTATGTTACTTTTCTGCTTTCTAATGCACCCGGAGCACCCCCTCTTCTACAATGGCAGTGCCCGTTGCCTTTAATAAAAAGCTTGACTTCACATCGAGTCGGTAACATTCCACGCCACGCTGCATCACACCTCTGGCCCCGCGATCGAGTGAGGAAAATAAAAGCGGCAGTTGCAACCACGACGACCCCTCTCATCGCCATGGTAGCGGTATCACTTCAAGCCTGAGTGGTTTTAGACTACGGTTACAGTGCTAGTAGCGAAGTTATTATCTACGGAAGCCAACCGAGGGCCAGGCAAATTCGGGACATGAAAAGGTTTAGCAGTTGCGTCGTGCTGCGAGCCTTGTCTCGCTACGGTTCCGGCACGGTATTGGTAGCTTGAGTTGGCTCGAAAGTGACGGTACGTACGTACAAACTCCGTGTGGCCTTATTGGCACCGCACCGTACCGGTATGGGTAGCTTGTGCGTCTCGAAAGTGACGGCGTATCCGTATGTATCATTACAAGTGGGCTAGGACAAAATAATAAAGCAGGATCTGAACCATCAAGGAATGGCGGGGAGACCCAAACACGTGCCACAGTTTTTCTCTCCCGTAGTTTGGGTTGCCTTCGCAATGGTGGCCAGGATTCATGCATCGTGAGTCAATGATTAATTAATTGGCAAGGCAAACTCCTGTCTCATCACAGCAACTCGTGCAGCAATCACATTCTATTCTTGGTATTCCAGTTTCTGGATCCGGCAAACAGTCTGCCACAACCTTGTAAAAAGTTCCTTCTTTGGCATAGAAATTTTGACAGAAGGAGATTGGAACTGTGCCAGATAAGTCATTTCCATCGACCAGTAGGTGTTCCAGCATTGTGACTGCCACAAGGTCATTCGGGATGGTCCCATGGAACTTGTTTTTGGACAGATGCAGGTGGCTTAGGGTTGTCAACAGGCCAAGTGATGGGCTGATGGTACCAGAAAAGTTGCAATTGCTAAGCGACAAACCCTGAAGACCGTCAAGTCTTGTATAGAGTTCATCAGGAATTGTCCCTTGCAGGTTGGTGTTAGAGAGTACGAGTTCAACAAGCTGGTTTGGCAGGCCTATCTCAGAGGGTAAGGAACCAGAAATCTGTGTGTAAGTCAAGTTCAGCCTTTGCAAATTAGAGAGCAGTCCAACTTCACTTGGCAATGTGCCCGTGAACTTGAATTTAGCAGACGAGACCAAGACGAAGGTAAGCTTTGGCTGGCTATACATGGGTGCGCTTGGAACTGACACCATAACAACAAGCCAACTTACATCATTGTTGCTCAGAAAGAGCCACTCAAGCAAAGATTGGTTGAATATTTCTTGTGGAATAGAACCTGTGAGTTTGTTGTTTGCAAGTGAAAGGGTTTTGAAAGTGAGTAGACCCAACTCTGAGGGAATTTTCCCGGTCAAAGTGTTTTGCTGTAGACCAAGATGGTAAAATTTTCCATTTCCTTCAAGAAGGTCAGGAACCCATTCTACAGGAATAGTGCCAGAGAATTGATTCTCACCCAACAAGAGAGCTTCCAGGGCAAGACCCGCTTGGTTGGAAAAGAACTTTGGTGGCAGTGTTCCAGTTAGCACATTTTTGTACAAATCAAGTTGTTTCAACCATGGCAGTTGTGCAACCTCCCAGGGAAGATGGCCATTGAGATGATTGCGTTCTGAAAACGGTACAATTTAATCTGTAAGAAATCAACCGAACAATGCAAATGCTTGCCCAGTTTTCTGACTCACCAAGGACTAGTTCAACAACTGTCTTTTCTTTTGACTGTACAGTCTCACAGGCTACTCCAGCCCACTGGCATTCGTGACTGTCAGAGAGCCACTGGTCGCCCCAGATGTTTACTGTAATGTCACCAGTGTGGTACTCTGGCTGGTAGCAAAAATTGGTTGTTGTGCGTCTTTGGTTGGTTGCTGGTGGGTTGCACACCTTCCATGGTTTGTTCTTTGTGGTCTGGTAGTAGAAGAGCACCAGAACAAATCGTTGAACCAAATTGGGAGCTCTATATCCCAACTGCATCGGATCGTGGTTGACGATCCAATCAAATGCTGTCTGCCTTGTTTCCAGCAAGAATTGAGATAGATGCACTTCCAAACCATCACCGGATTCTTCCACTTGATCAAAGTAGCCATCTCCCAAGATTTCAGTTAGGACTGCTTTCATTTTGGGAGCCTGAAGCATGTCCCTGTCTGTCATTGTAGGCTGAACAGAATCATCAGCCTTACACAATCCAGCCCCACAAATGGAGCCGATAATGATCCCTCCAATGAGCAATAGAGTGATTGCAAAAGCTGCAAATCGAAATTGATACTTCTGAGTAATGGACCGTCTGGTGTTGGTGCTGTCAATGGCAGGAACAGCTATGGCTCTGGGCAGTTCCAGGTCGCCCACTGACTCTGCTACCACCAGGCCGGCATTACGATTGCCATGATGATTATCACGAACAAAGTCTTGCTGTTCCAGATCGGGAGTGCTGGTTCCTGAGGATACATCTTGTTCCTCTCTAGTAGCCCCTCGTACTGCCACTGCTCCGATCAGAACCTGTTGATCTTGTTGCACATCGTCCTGTGATGGAAATTGGTGGGGTTCCGTTGGAGTCTTCCGTGAATTCTTTGCAGCAATTACACTGCTGGTATTCTGTGTGCAAATAGAGACCTGTAGGACCGAAGCTGGGCTGGCACTGGCATCGGCTCCGGCACGTGCAGGGGGGCTTGCTCTTGCTCTTGCTCTATCCATAGGGCTAGTAACTGGAGCATCTGCATTAGCTGCATCAGCTGCATCAGCTGCATCAGCTTCTTCTTGTGCTAGAATGAGCCTCTTTCCAACCATGCCCATGGTGTTGTTGCTTTCCGAATCATAAAGACTGGAGTTAGATCCTTCTACGCTTGTGTGCACTGGCCCGCATTGTGTTGGTCGTCGTTGACCATCAGCGACACACTCCACCTCCCTTTGGTCTAGCTCATTGGCATCAGAACCATTGATGATGGCATCAGCAGTATGTATATTCCTGCCCTTCATCTCTTCTTTGCTATGAATGGTACCTTTGGAAGTATCGTCCTTCTAGAGCCAAAGACAAAATGACGAATGGCATGCATTGTGAAGAGCGTTGTGATGCGAGGTAGTAGTGTTACGATGAAGAACAAGTCATTCGCTTCCTTGTCAGTTCTACTGAGTATCAGGTAGTACTAGTATAGATAACCTCCCAGCTATGATAGCCCCTTCTTCCTTCTTCAATGATGCCAATAGGATCACCTAGCTTGCAGTCGCTAGCTAGCTAGCTACTAGCCACTCGAGTAGCATCACAGCTCGTGATTGGAGAAGATCCAAGGGAATGCCCAAGGAAGAGTGTACTATTATTTTAAATAGTACGTTGCATCGTTGCTTCCAGTTGGAAGGTTCATATGATTCTTGATTGTTCTCGCGGTACTCCTCTTCAGCTCCTCGTAAGCATTTTTTACAGTACTTTTTTGACCATTGTCCATTCCATTTGAAACAGTGCTGGTACTGTACTGACTAAGCATACAGTAAAGCTACAGCAATCAGCATCCAGTTCCGAATTCTTCGGTCTGACTTCAATGGCTTCTACTACTATAGCCAGCCATCACTGGCCATATTATTGATTATTGCATGGTTCAGCCCCCATGGCCCAGCTTGCTGCGATGAAATGAACTCTATGGAGCTACAAGCTGGCTAGGGCTACTACATGTAGTATGAACCAGTTTGCAGCTAGCTTTCGCATTAACTGTATCTACTGGCTAGCTATAGAGTATAGACAACCTGGGATGTAAGCACTTGAACAGCTCACGATCTGGTTGGCGGAGAGGCGATCCAAGGATGGTTGTTGCAGTTGATGAGAAGACAGAACAGATGCGACCAAACGCCAAAAAGATTTGGAAATTCTCCAAAGAAACTCCTCAGTATTTCTGTTTCCCATGGAAGTGGACCATTGATGCTCGAGCTGTTTTTTAGCCGAAGATCCAATGAATCCAATGAATCCAAACTGTTAGGCATCGGCAGCGCATTCACAGGTCAGGCCAGTCCGCACCACAAACAAAGTTATCAAGGTGTAGCCCAACAACTGTCATCTCCTCTGATTGTGCACACCCACCCAGGCGGTACTGAAAACTGAACTCCCGTCTTCTAATCAATCAACACGCGACTGCACGAGTGGATGTGTTTCTCACGGGGAGGAGTGGCGGGAGGTCTTCATGCTCTTTTCAAGTACGAACCAGCTCCTTCACCAAAGATCATGGCTCCGAACAAGATGCTTTAGTGTCCGGCAATGCCCGGCAATGCGCATGTGATTACCAGTCTTCTCGAGAGAGTCCATCCACATGACCTGAGAATGCTTTACGAGAGAGGCAGAGGAAGTTTGGAAGATTTTGTTTTTGAAGGGGATTTCGCCCAGAGATAGGTTGAGCTTAAAGCCACGGCAGAGGGCGTCATTCAAGAAGCCCTCGACGATAGTATCAAGATACATGGCCAGAGGGACAAGCATGCAACGTTGTTGGTATAGCCATTTTGGCTCGATTTTCCGTGCTTCGTATAGTAGACAAGGCGAATGGACCGTTGTGCGCGTCTCAACATAGCTACCTACTAGACAAAAACAAGATAGCTAGACCAATCACTGTTACGGGCTGAGAATCGCTGCCTGCTAGATTGACCAGCCACAGCCAAAAGCGATCGAGATTCTCATAAGACAGCCTTAATCTTGAGAGTAATCAAGTGGAGAGGCAAAGTCCTGTCTTGTCACAACAACTGGTGCAGCAACCAGAAGGACAATGGATTGCAGGAATTCCAGTTTCTGCATTGGGCAAACAGTCAGCCACAACCTTGGAACCTTTTTCCCCAGCAAAAAGATTCTGGCAGAAAGAGACTGGAACTGTGCCAGACAGATCATTCCCATTCACCAGAAGCTCCCTTATTAGTGTCAATGCCTCAATCTCACTGGGAATAGTGCCATGGAAGTTGTTATTGGCTAGGTACAGGTGCTGGAGCGTCGTCTGAAAAAGACCAACAGATGAGCTGATGGTCCCAGTAAAGTTGCAACCATCCAAGCCAAAGAACCAGAGATTGTCAAGTCCTGTGAAGAGTTCTTCAGGAATTGTCCCTTGCATGTTTGTGTTAGAGAGTATGAGATCCTCAAGCTGGTTTAACAGGCCAATCTCTGAGGGCAAGGTACCAGAAATTTGTGTGTAATTCAAGTTCAGGTATTTCAAATTAGTGAGCAATCCAGCTTCACTTGGCAATGTCCCAGTGAGCTTGAAATCAGCAAAGAGAGAAAAGAAGGTAAGCTTTGGCCATGCATGGGTGAGAGCTTCTGCAAACAGCATCGCCAATGCAGCAATGACTTACATCATTTTTACCCAAAAAGAGCCACTGTAGAGAAGTTTGGTTGAATATTTCTTGTGGAATGGAACCTGTGAGAGTGTTGGTTGCTAGTATGAGCCTTTTCAAAGGGAGCTGACCCAACTCTGATGGAATTTTCCCGGTCAAGGTGTTTCCATACAGATCAAGATAGGCAAGTTCTCCATTTCCTTCAAGAAGGTTTGCAACCCATTCTGCAGGGATAGCGCCAGAAATTTGATTTGAGGACAATCCAAGAGTTTCCAGGGCAAAACCGGCTTTTTTGGAAAAGAGTCTTGGGGGCAGCGTTCCAGTCAGCATGTTGCTGCTGAGCCGTAGGCCCCTCAGCAGTGACAATCTTGTGATCTCCCAGGGAAGCGGGCCATTAAGATGAATCAGTGCTGAAGAACAATAAAAAGGATACGATAAGAACAATGACACAACAATGCAAATAGATGCCCAGCGTTTCTGACTCACCAAGGCGTAGCTCAGCAACTGTAGTTTCCTCTGATTGCACAGTTCCACAGATAACTCCAGCCCACTTGCATTCATGACTGGCAGAGAGCCACTGATCCCCCCATATGTCCGTTGTTATCTCCCCGGAGACATGATGAGCTTTATAACAGAAACCAGAACTTGCGCTTCCTTGGGGAATTGCTGCTGGGTTGCACACCTTCCAAGGTTGATGCCTAGTAGTCTGATAGTAGAAGAGCACCAGCAGAAACCGCTGAACCAAGTTGGGAGAATCATACTCCAACTGCATTGGATCCTGATTGACAATCCAATCAAATGCTCTCTGCCTTGTCTCTAGCAAGAATTGAGCAAGGTCAACATCCAAATCATCTCCAGTTTCTCCCACATGTTTGAAATAATCCCTGCCCAAAAGAATTTTCAAGCCAGTTTCAATTTCAGGCGCAGCGACGGTATCTCTTGTTGTGGTTGGTGCCATGATACTGCTGCCATCCACATAGACCTTCTGACTGCAGTGTCCAGCCCCACAAATGGAGCCTATAATGATTCCTCCAATGATCAATAGAGTGACTGCAAAAGCTGCAAATCGAAATTGATATTTCTGAGTAATGGACTGTCTGGTGTTGGTGCTGTCAATGGCAGGAACAGCGATGGCTTTGGGCTCCTCCTGGTCATCCACTGACTCTGCTACCACCAGGCCGGCATTACGATTGCCATGATGATTATCACGAACAACAGCTTGCTGTTCCAGATCGGGAATGTTGGTACCTGAGGATACATCTTGTTCTTCTCTAGTAGCCCCTCGTACTGCCACTGCACCTATCAGAACCTGCTGATTTTGTTGTACATTGTCCTGTCCTGGAAATTGATGGGGTGCCGTTGACGTCATCCCAGTAATTTGATTGGTTCCAGAGACCTGTAGGCTTGACCTTGCTCTTGTACTATCCACAGGGCTAGCTACTGCATCTGCCAACTCTTGTGTTAGAATGAGTCTCTTTCCAGTCATGCCAATCAAGGAGTTGTTGCTCTCCGACATGTCAAGACTGGGATGACGGCCTTCTGCGGTTTTGGTTATACTAGTAGTTTTGTTTGCTGTCTTCCAATTGGCAGGGTCAGTACTTTTGGAGGATGCCACCGGCCTAGGTCGTGTTGGTTTTGTTGGTTTTGTTGGTTGTGGTTGGTGTTGACCATCAGTGGCTGTCCCTCGAGATTTCTCCCGATCCCTTCGGTCTAGCTCTTCGAGCAGAACAAGTTTCCCAACCAACCCAAGGGGCTGACCATTGGCATCAGAAATATCCTTCATCTCTTCTTTGCTATTGATGTTACGTTTGGAAGAAGAATCCATCTTGCTTCTATTCTAAATGAGAATTCAAGGCAAGGCAGATGAGATGAAGAAAGTGTTGTGATGTTGTGGTGTTGTAATGGGACGAGGATCGAGGAAGAAGATCAAGTGCTGTACATGTATGTCAATGCGAGCATCCATCGATCATGGATGTGCAATACTAGCATCCCAAACGGATGCATCATTTTCATGATTGCCCCTGCTTCAATCGAGCGACAGCTTCCTGATGGAAGCAAGCTACTGCCTGGTTAGTTAGTGACTGCAGTGCAGTGAGGATGGAGGAAGTCGAACGGAGAATAATCAAATCCAGTGAGCACGACTAGTTAAAGGCTTCCCCCACGACATCTTGCTTCCTAACACACCCGGAGTACCTCTCTTCTACATGTACCTTCTACAGTGGAACAACATTTAAGGCTTTTGGCTTGACTTTTATGGTGCATAGTAATGCATTGTCCTTGAGCTCTAGATTCTCGTGTATGAATATATGAATATGGGAGCAGGATCAGCTCCGAATTCCGAATTCATTCAACATCTGCATGGACATGAACACAAAGAGTGATCAAAGAAGCCCAGAGAACAACTAACTATTAACTTAAGTATCGAGAAATAAAAGAGTCGAGTCTTACTAGCTAGTACAGCAGTACAGTACCGTACCGTACCCTGCACCTGGGGTCGCCGTAATTGCGTGAAACCATTCGATCAGTACCAGGAGGAAATTCACCTACCGGTACGATGACACGATGACCATGGCGTTCGTGTTGCTGCCGACGATGATCAGTGAGTCTGTCGTGAGTCTGTTGAAGAGTGCATGGCCTCGAATTGGGTGTTCGGAATACCCGAGACGAGCCACGGCCACCGTCGCGATAGGAAATCCCCGAAAAGCATCCATTACACATACATTGTGAGCATCACCAAACTGTTTTATTCCTCTGAGGCAATCTTTTCCACTGGTTGGGGTGTTTGTCTGTTCGCCAGGTGGTCCCGTGGCGCCATGGTTCCCGGTGGCGCGGCACCTGTTCCATGCCACCGGAGCCCCCATTCATCAATGATGACCAGTTGGAGGAACCGGGCAAACGATGCATATCTTTTCCATGCAACCTTCAACCTTTGCCTCCTCTGTCAACTACTAGTAGTACGGTATGGATCGCCCTTTTTTTGATGAGGTAATATCCGCCACTATCATGGATACCACCGCGTGTACAATGGGAGGCAACCATTGGATACAATCAAGGCACACCAGCATGCAAGATTACCAAGTTCAGTCTATTGCCAGTCACCTCGGGTCTTGTAGGAACACGGGTCGAAAATCCCGTGTAGTGTTGGATCTTGTGGCTGCCACTCCAAGAGGAGGCACCATTGGATTGAACCAAGGCAAACCAAGGCACAAGGTCTCTCGTGGTTGAAAGTTCTTTGGTAAAGGGAGTGACATTCATTGAAATGTGGATTCCTTCGTAGCTTGAAAGTTTTGTCATGTCACGGGTGCGGGATTTCACGCGGCGGCAATCCATTGGCTTACGCAGTCCATGATGGAACCCTTCTATGGTACCGGTACTAGTTAAATGTAAGTTAGTATCTAAGTTAGTATCTCATCCTGATCTTCTTCCGTGGCGTGGTCTTGTCCCTTTTAGGGCACCAATTTCTGGGTGTAGGGTGTAGGGGTGACTTTTTCCACAATGGCTTGACAACCCTGGGAATTGATAACGACCGACTCTCCCTGCGTGACCTCTTCCTGCGGTACCAGGAAGTGGCAGAGTATTGTATCCACGTCCCTTCCAGTCGCTCCACCAATCACAAAGAACAACAACAAAACCTCTCAATCATGTAATATCGTTGCTGTTTGCTCTCCCCTGCATGCATGCGGAGCGGTGATTTCGCTGTCATTGCATGCTTGGTTATTAGTGATAGCTATAGCTATAGAAGGAGCGATTTCGCGTATCGAACAAAGGGGAAAAAGGCAAACCAAATATTCATTAATTGGCAAGGCAAACTCCTGTGTCATCGCAGCAACTGGTGCAGCAATCAGAAGGACACTGGATTGCAGGAATTCCAGTTTCTGTATTGGGCAAACAGTCAGCCACAACCTTGGAACCTATTTCCCCAGCATAGCGAGTCGTGCAGAAAGAGACTGGAACTGTGCCAGATAGATCATTCCCATTCACCTGAAGCTCCCTTAGTAGTGTCAATGCCTCGATCTCACTGGGAATAGTGCCATGGAAGTGGTTGTTGGAGACGTGCAGCTTTTTGAGATCTGTCAAGAGGCCAAGTGATGGGCTGATAGTCCCAGTAAAGTTGCATCCATCCAAGGACAAAGCACCAAGATTTGCAAGTCCACTGTGGATTTCTTCAGGGATTGCCCCTCGCATGTTGGTGTTAGAGAGAGAGAGTTCAACAAGCTGGCTTAACAAGCCAATCTCTGAGGGCAAGGATCCAGAAATATTATTGTAATTCAAATACAGGTACTCCAAATTGGTGAGCTGTCCAATTTCGCTTGGCAAAGTCCCGGTGAGCTTGAAAATCAGCAGAGAGGACCAAAGGAAGGTCAGCTTGGCTGACTACATACAGTGAGTGTTTCTGCAAACAGCATGACCTGGAGTAACTTACATCATTTTCGCCTAAGAAAAGCCGTTCAAGTGAAGTTAGGTTGAGTAGTTCATGCGGAATTGAACCTGTGAGAGTGTTGCTTGTGAGTATGAGCCTTTTCAAAGGAAGTAGACCCAACTCTGATGGAATACTCCCGGTCAAAGTGTTCATATTCAGATCAAGAATGGTAAGTTTTCCATTTCCTTCAAGAAGGCTTGCAACCCATTCTATGGGAATAGTGCCAGAAAATCGATTCTGGTACAAAACAAGAGTTTCCAGGGCAAAACCTGCTTTTTTGGAAAATAGTTTTGTTGGCAGTGCTCCAGTCAGCATGTTGTTGTGGAGCCGTAGATTTCGCAGCAGGGACAATCTTGTGATCTCCCGGGGAAGAGGGCCATTAAGATCATTAGAATCTGAAGAATCCAGATATCCACAGCATTAGAAATAGGCAAATCACAGACGTTTGGAAACCTTTGGAGTGACTTACAAAGATACAGCTCAACAACTGTCTTATCCACTGATTGCACAGTTTCACAGGAAATTCCAGCCCAATGGCATTCATGACTGGCAGAGAGCCACTGATCACCCCAGATGGTTGTTACTAATTTACCAGAAGATTGATGAGATTCATAACAGAAACCAGACATGGCACTCTCTTGAGTAGCTTCTGGTGGGTTGCACTCTTTCCAAGGTTGATGTCTAGTAGTCTGATAGTAGAAGAGCACGAGAACAAACCGCTGAACCAAGTTGGGAGAATCATACTCCAGCTGCATTGGGTCCTGATTGACAATCCAATCAAATGCTCTCTGCCTTGTTTCCAGCAAGAATTCAGCAAGGTTATCATCATTACCTTTTCCAGTTTCTTCCACATGTTGGAAGTAGTCCCTGCCGAAAACAACTTTCAAGGCAGTTTCAATTGCAGGTGCTGCGGCGGTATCTCTTGTTGTGGTGGGTGCCACTGCTGTGTTGCTGCCATCCAAATAGACCTTCTGACTGCAGTGTCCAGCTCCGCAAATCGAGCCGATAATGATCCCTCCAATGATCAATAGAGTGATAGCAAAACCGGCAAAGCGAAGTTGATACTTCTGAGTAATGGAATGTCTGGTGTTGGTGCTGTCAATGGTAGGAATTGCTATGGCTTTGGGCTGTTCCAGGTCGTCCACTGTCTCTGCTTCCACCAGGCCCGCATTATGATTGTCATGATGATTATCACGAACTAAATCTTGCTGTTCCAGGTCGGGAATGCTGGTTCCTGAGGATCCATCTTGTTCTTCTCCAGTTCCAACCCCTCCTACTGCCAATGCTCCTATTAGAACTTGTTGATCCTGTTGCGTGTGCACATCATCCTGTCTTGGCGGTTGCTCGGGTTTCTTTGGATTCCTTGCGGTAGAAACTCCAATAGAATTCCTATGATTTTGATTGGTAACCGAGAGCTGTAGAACCGAAGCTTCCCTGGTGTTTGCACTTGCACTATCCAGAGGGCAGGTCACTGCATTAGGGAACTCTTGCGCTAGAATGAGTCTCTTTCCGATAATTCCCATCAAGGAGTTGTTGCTCTCTGACATGTCAAGACTGGGATGACGTCCTTCTGGGGTTTTGCCTATGGCTTTGCTTGCTGTGTCAGGATCATTTCGTTTGGACGTCACTGGCCTAGGTTGTTGTGGTTGTGGTTGTGGTTGTGGTTGTGGTGTACCATGTGCATCAGGGACTGTCAGTCGAGATTTCTCCCGATCCCTTTGGTCAAGCTCTTCGAGTAGAACCAGTTTCCCGACCAAACCAACTGGTTGACCATTGACGCTGCCATTCATCTCTTCTTTGCTATTGATAGTACTTTTCGAAGAATCCATCTTGCTTCTATCCTATTAATTAAAATAGTACGGTAGATCACAAGACAAGACTTGACAAGCCAAATGAAACAAATGAGATACTATTAATAGTAGTCTCCAGAAGCGTTGTGATGAGAGGACTGTAAGTCGATGCATGCATCTCGTCATCTCGTGGATCGCACCGATCCCAAATGACATCTTCGGTCTGTCGTGTTATTTGGCCAGTGAGGAACCCTGAGGAAGAATCCAGTCCGGTGAGGACAGCCAACTACTGTAGTATGTACTCGGAGTAAAAGGCTTCCCTTTCTATCTCGCATCTTCTACAGTGGTACCTCCCATTAAGCCCTACTTGACGACGTCTTATTAAGCAGGTACTTGAGGAATACTCAGGACTCGGAGGATTGATTAGGGTGGAGGACTAGGACTCTTGTGCCATAAGTATGATAGGTCCGAATACATCTATGTGCGTTGCCTGCGACATCTTCTCTTTGCCATCCATCAATGTCATAAGAAGTGTGCGGTCTCATCTTTAGAAATGGGAAAGTGTGCGGTCGTTTGAATCAAATCCACGCTGCGTCATTTCCACGAAATAATGAGTCCCACTGTCAGAGAAGCAATTGGAAGGAAGGCGAAAGAATCTCACAGAGACCACCACTTCCATTATTTTCATTCTGTCATTGCCGATTTTAGAGCCAGATAGAAGTAGAGATCTTCAGCCCAACCAACGCATAGCCAAGTAGAGTCAAGTCAAGTATAGAGAGATGAGTAGCTCTGCCGCTGGAAGTCGCTTCCCGGTGCAAAGCTGCGACTCTAAGCGTATCGATTGCGTACAAGTGTACGGCCCCAAGTGGACTGCTAGCGCTGGCAGCAGCAGCAGCAAGACTGCTAGTGCTAGTAGTAGTACTAGTGCTGTTAGTAGACTCACTAGTAGAGTCCGCTGGTACCATGTGATCTTTGGCGTACTCTACGTGTATCAGCTAGGTTGGCTCGTCTCCACGATGGGAGAACCGTATCGACTCTTTCTAGAAAAGGCGGATAGAGAAGGATTGGCAGGTAAGAGACAAGGCAGTCAGTCAACAGTCACTCGGGACTCAATCACACACCAAGCTATCTAGCTATCTATGTGTGTCATTGCTAGCATTGTATGTCCATCTATCTGTCTTTCTAACTAAGTTTGATTCTTTCTTTCTCATGTAATTCTCTCTCTGCACTTGCAATCTGATCTCGCTGCCACTCTACTTTCATTGGTTGGGTTGATTTTGACTTGCCTTCCCTTTCCTGGGTATATATTGGCTGGATCTATCTATCTATCTACCTACAATTTGGCACCCATCTAAAACCAACCATCTATCTACCATATCTTATGTACAGTCATGCAAGGATCTACCATTTACCGTGCCGAACTGGAGCACTCCTTTGGAGATCTCAATGATCCAAATCGACGAACCCAAAAACTAAGTTGGACTTCCTGGATGGATTATGACATGGAAGAATTGGTGGAAGAAAAGAAAAAGGATGCTCAGCAATCTGTCATTGATTCACTTTCACAAAAGGAACGGGTGCCTCACAAATTGGCTCCGGCGTTTCTACCCTCTCTCATCATGGGCATGCTCTGCACGTTGCACGCATTGGTCATTCTCATGCAGCATTGGTCTGTTGCCGTACTCGTGTGGATGAATTACAAGGAACTCGACGTCACACATTTAGAAATACCCGACACTATCATGGAATACGATTACGAACAAGATGCCAAGGATAAGGAACTACCCAAAGCGGCTGCCGCAACATCCGACCCCACGAAAAAGAAATCCATCGCGGTAGCACCCATTCCCGCACACAAGATTCCATCCTACTTGCCCACTCATGCCCGTGTCGTGCCCGCCAAAGAAAAACCTGTGCTGGTACCACTCGAATTCTTTCCGACATTAGGCATGACGTTTGAATATCATCGTCGACGATATCTATTTGTCAAGAATGGACCTGACGACTATGTATGGACCAAAATTCGATGTCGCACCGATTTGCCACTCTCCTTTTTAGCACAAACGTGGAAGGGATTTGCCAGTACGGCGGTTGTCCAAGCTGCCACTATTCGCTATGGACCCAACATTTTTGAAGTCAAACAACCAGAATTCATGGAACTGTACAAGGCACAATTGATCAATCCATTCACCGTCTTTCAACTCTTCTGTGTTCTGCTCTGGGCCATTGACGATTATTTGATTTACTCCTTTTTCAGTCTGTTCATGGTACTCCTCTTTGAAGGAACGGTTGTATTCCAACGACTCAAATCACTCCAAGCATTGCGAGGAATGGGAAATCCAACACGACCCGTTTACGTCTACCGAGAGGACAAGTGGACCGCCATTGCATCTACCGATTTGTTGCCCGGTGATATTATCAGTTTGACACGACAAATGCCCAAGAAAAACAAAAATGACGACAAGAAACGAAAGACTGTAACCGAAGACGGAGGTGATGTAGTCCCGGCCGATTTGCTCCTCTTGCGGGGATCCACGGTCGTCAATGAAGCCAGTTTGACGGGAGAATCCGTCCCACAAATGAAGGAAGGGTTAGCCGATTTATCGACGGCAACAACCACCGAAAACACGACAACCAATGACGATGACGTGTTGGATATGAAGAATAAGCACAAGATGAATGTCGCATATGCCGGTACCAGAATGTTGCAATGCTTGTCGGGCGACAGCAATGAAAAAATTACTCAAGATGGAGAGGGTGGTGTAAAATCCATTCCAAATCCTCCCGATAATGGAGCCGTCTGTTTTGTCTTGAGAACCGGGTTCAGTTCGGCCCAAGGAAAATTGGTCCGTATGATTGAAGGATCCCAAGAAAAAGTCAAGGGACATGAACGTGACACCGGACTGCTCCTCTTGGTCTTGTGCTTCTTTGCCATTGCCAGTTCCTCCTACGTCCTCTATCACGGACTGCAAGATGAAGGACGATCTCAGTACGAATTGCTCCTCCATTGCATCATGATTGTGACTTCCGTGATTCGACCCGAATTACCCATGCAAATGGCCATGGCCGTCAACAATAGTCTCATGACGTTGATGAAAATGCACGTCTTTTGTACCGAGCCATACCGTGTTCCCATGGCGGGCAAACTCGACGCTTGTCTATTCGACAAAACTGTGAGCATAATTTTGTGTTTGCCCCATCGTGGACATGCATGCAAGGTGAAGTCACCCATCCTAATCCTTGTTCGTCTTCTGTGCAGGGTACTTTGACCACGGATGAACTGGTGGCCGTCGGTGTACTCGACAATGGACAGCTTTCCAAGAATTCCAAAAATGACAAACTCGACTTGACACTCAAACCAATGATTCAGGTGCACAACGAAGCAGCGTTGGTCATGGCGGGATGCCATTCTCTGGTTGTCTTTGACGAAGAAACGACGGGCGATCCACTGGAAATGGCCGCCCTCAAGAGTATTCGCTGGCACGTTACTGCCGATGGCAAAACGGAACCCATGCCACAAGGAAGCGGAAGCAGCCAGGATGACAAGAAAGATGCCAAGAAAACGACAACAGCTGCAGGTCCGGCCAAGGTACAACTTCCCGCTGGGCAACCAATTCGTGTTCCTGGCAAGGCAGTGACAACTCTTGAAATCCTTGTGCGACATCACTTTAGTTCCAAGCTTCAACGTATGAGTTGTGTCATTCGATCTGGGTCAACCCACTATTCCGTAGCCAAGGGAAGTCCCGAAGCCATTGGGCAACATTTGCAATCCAAACCGACGGGGTACGACGCAACTTCGGAGGCGCTGGCCAAGGAAGGATATCGTGTCATTGCTCTGGCCTACAAATCACTCGACGCCAGTGTCGTGGAAGAGGCCAAAGATTCTCGCGCCAAGTGCGAAACGGATCTCACGTTTGCAGGCTTTATCGCCTTTACGTGTCGGGTACGAAAGGATACCGCATCCGTCCTGCACCGGCTCAAGGAGGGAGGAATGAGTGTGGCAATGGTAACCGGAGATGCCCTCTTGACTGCCATTCACGTGGCCAAGGAGGTTTACATCTGCGAAACAGTAGACGGAAAGATGATCGATCCGATGGATGAAGTGAAGAAAGAGTCGGACGAAATGAAGGCTCTTCTCATCCAGAAACGTATTGCCAAGGGCGAAAAGGTAAATCTCACCAAGGAAGATTTAGTGTACAGACCCATCCTGTACCTGGAAAGCATTAAGAGTGGCCTCACGTGGAAGAGCTACGAGAGTGGGGACACCTTTGGCGATTACGATGCAGAGAAAGTGCCAGAGCTGTCAAAGACACACGATTTGGCTACCACGGGCAAGTGTCTGACGGCCGCCTTTGAATTTGACCACGACGGAACGCGAAAGGTTCTCGGATACTTCAAAGTGTTTGCTCGTATGACTCCAGACGCCAAAGAGACGGTGATCGAGTGTCTTCATTCGGTGAATTCTCTCTGTATGATGTGCGGTGATGGTGCAAATGTAAGACTGTGTGGCTCGTCGTTGCCTTGTTGCTGTTGACGCCCCACCCTCACCCTGGTGTCATGTAGGATGTTGGCGCATTGAAACAAGCAGACGTGGGCGTGGCTCTCTTGTCGGGCTTTGGAAACGTGAACGTCGACAGAACTGACGAGAAGGAAGAATCTGATGATCAAACCAAGCAGGAACCCGAGGTTACAGCAATCATGAGCCAAGAACACTTGGATCAGCTGAGAGCGTTGCCTGTAAGCCTGATCAAGATGAGAATCAAGCAGCTGGGCGTCGACCCCACCAAGTACCCCGATCTCGTCGAGAAGGAAGACCTTGTCAAACTATATCAAATCAAGGCCCGAGAGGTGGCCGTTAAACGTCACGATCAAAAGAATGCCAAGGACAGATCGAAGATGACCAAAGCCGAGCAACAAGCAGAACAGAAGGCCAAGATGCTGGAAAAGCAGCAGCGCATGGCGGAGCGAGTCAGGGAGCTAGAGGCACAAGGCGAGTCCTGGGCCCAATTCAAAGCCATGAAAGAGTTCATGAATGAGGAATTCGCAGACGCGAAGAAGAAGAAGGCTGCCGTTGCGAATTCGAGGGGTATCGAGGGATCCGCTGCAAGTCTCGCAGCTCAGTTGGAAGAAATGGATACCGGGGAGTCTCCCGTGGTCAAGCTAGGCGACGCTAGTATCGCAGCACCCTTCACAAGCAAGATGCCCAGTATTCGGAATTGTGTGGATATCGTGCGACAGGGCCGCTGTACTTTGGTGTCGAGTATACAAATGGTACGTGGGCTGCTTTGAAGAGCAATTGCTTGTTTCATCTTATCTGCTTATCGCTTCCGAGTCTTACCTCACGTCGATTTGCTGTCGCTCCTGTGCCCAAATAGTACCAAATCCTGGCGCTTCAGAGTTTGATTAGTTCTTATTCACTGTCAGTGCTCTACTTGAGTGGCGTCAAGTACGGTGACACCCAAATGACAGCGCTTGGTCTGTTGGGATCGGTTTCGTTCATGTCAGTCTCTCGGTCCAAGCCATTGGATCGACTGTCGAGCGTTCGCCCGTTGACTTCCATCTTTCACCCGTCTCTCTTTATCAGTCTGTTGGGTCAGTTTGCGATTCACCTGCTGACAATGATTGTTGCCGTGGAAAAGGCCAAGGAGCACCTTCCACCCGACCACTCTGTGGATTTGGACGGCAGCTTCAAGCCTGGAATGCTGAATACAGTGGTATTCTTGGTCAGCAGTGTCCAACAAGTGACAGTCTTTGTAGTCAATCTACAGGGTCGACCCTTCATGACGGGCGTATCCGAGAATCGCCCGTTGCTATGGAGTCTGCTGTCGACCTTTATCCTGACATTCATGTTTGCCAGTGAATCGGTGCCTGCCATGAACCGCTACTTCCAGTTGATTCCCTTCCCCGACGATGCCACACGAGAATTCATTTTGACCATTCTGGCCATGGATTTGATTGCCACCTACGTCTTTGACCTTTTGATGAAGTTCATCTTTGCCCGTCACATTTTGATTGCGAGTTTCAAGGAGACGACCTGGTCGGAAATATTCAAGTTGCTCCGTACGTTTGCAGTGATTGCCTTTTTGATGTATTCCTTCCTAGGAAGCGATGAGACTTGGGAAGAGATGGAACGTGCCATGGCGGAACTGGAGGGCACCCTGATGGAAAATGCAACTGCCGCAGCAGATGCAGTGGAGGCTGCAGCAGAGTCTGTGGGAGAATGCATTGGCGACGCTTGCGAGGCAGTTGCAGAAACCGTGGCGGATGTAGCGGAGAATGTCAAGGCTGCTGTACATGACGAATTCTAGCTACGGTAGCTAGGAGGAGCAACGGAACGCCCAGTTCCTACCTACTGTAGATATGACGAGTTCAAATTTTGCTGCCGACCTTCCCAGCCAGTACAGTACATAAATGACAAGTAAGTTACATCAGAAGCCAAGCCCTTGTATCTTTTAGTTCGGGAGCCATCTTGTAAGTTATTACCCAGGATGCCTAATAACATAGTAGCACTAGATGAACTCGGCTGAAAGCAAAGATCTCCTTCAACAACTTGAACCCAGTGGACTCAGTATTTGCCAGGAGAGAGGACAAAGAATCAGAGTTTCCGGGAAGTTCCTTTGTTGGCCTGGAAATCTTCACCTCATCTCTGCATGCTGGAGCTGTCTGATAGATAAAGGCTGCGGCTTGGCTGATGGATAAAGGCTGCGGTTTGAAACATCCCAAGCTGCACTTGACTAGATAGCCAGCCAAGGTACCAGCCTGCACTACTATCTTGTTGAAGCTCACGCTTGGAATCACCATAGCTCGAACCCCGGCCTTGCTTCACCCTTATGCTCCTCTAATGCCGGTACTGTCCATGAACTTTGTTTGCTTCATAGGCCAGCCACCGGTAGCCACAAGGTACCACCACTCCTCTACGATACCGGTAGCTTCCCCTTCCCCTATCAACTATCAACCCAAGCCCATAATACGGTAGCATAATCAGTACTTCCAGGTAGGACAATTTTGCTCAAGCTGTTCTTCGAGTGAACTGGCAACCGTAAAATCCATGAATGGTGTGTGAATCTTCCAATCAGTTGGCACTGCCCCAGGCCACAAAAATTTACACAGGTCGCTGTAGATGTAGACATTTTCTATAGCTCGGGCTTGCTGGGTTGCTGTAGAGCAAAAGTGCCCGAGCAGCAAGCATTCGGGTGACCTTCTTTGGCTCATTCAAGGCTTAATTAATAAAGTGTTCCCTGTTCAGGCTACTGGATTCCAGAGTGTTCCAGTCGAACGATTGATGCCTCTCCTGAGCGTTCATCCTAGAAGATTCTATACAAAAGTAATTATCCCTGTGTATGGTTCGGAACGATGGGGAAAACAATGAAAGTTGCCTGTAAAGATTTGGTTATTTTTCGGTTGAATGACGTGCGTTAACGTTATGAAGTGAAGAAAAGCGCGGTGCCTCGGCATTGGCGGCATTCGAATTCTTGCCAATGCTTTACTACGAGGATCTTCTTGTGGGGGTATCTTTTTTGACATCAGCTCGAGCATGTTGAATCACTGATTGCGTAGGTAGCCTAACGGAGTTCACGGGGAGAACCCTTTTATCCATCCATAGAGCTTCGCCCGTGGATATCTCATAAAAAACAAAATCCATCTGTCAAGCACCTCTTCTTTTGTTTCTACAGGCAAAAGGCAAAAGGCAAAGGAGAGAGAAATCAATCAATCAATCAATCAACTTTTTACTGAAGTGACCATGAAGATCTTTGGATCCATCTTGGATGGATTGGCCATTTCGCCGTTGTTTTTTCTGCTGAGTCCAGTACCACTGGTACATGGTCAAGGCCAAGACAGCTGCGATGGGTATACGACTACCATTGTGGCCGAAGACGCTCCCTCGTTGCGATTATCGTTTGTGGCCGACATGAGTATGAGAGTTTTGCGTGGTCAAGTGGAGTACGAAGGCGCTGGCTGGGTGGGATTTGGCGTGAATCCCACGGGTCCCATCATGACGGGCGCCCAAGCCGTGGTCGGCCAAGAGTCGGGAATTGCCCGTTACAATCTGGGCATCGTTCCCGATGTTACTCCCATTGAAGGAGTCTTTGGCCCAGAAGGCGTTTTTGAAAGTTGGGAAATGAATGCTACCCATGCCGTATTGACCTTTGGATGGCCTCTCGATAAGGGAGATTTTTCTATTGATACAGAAGGAGGCATTAATTATTTTCTGGTGGCCGGGGGATGGTCGGGAATTGTGGGACATCATGCTGCACGAAGTCCTATTGCCACCACAGTCGAACCCTGTGTTCCCACCGGTACAAGTAATAATGAAGCAGGAGCCGTGGTTGTTCAAGACGCAGTTGTCGAAGAAGCACAAGCACTTTCTGTGGGACAAAATATCATCGTCGAAGGATACGTCATGGATCAGTTCTGTATCGATCAGGGATTTTTCCTCGACACGAAATTACCCACCCTCACAAGTGCCGATCTTCACACGTTCCACTGCCTCTTGGATCCTGCGCAATGCTACGAATCCACCTTTGAAATTCTCACCGATCCAGATTATGCCGCTGGTGAAACGATGTGGTCTCGCGGATACACCGTCGATGATGACAGCCGCGCTCTTTTGATTGAGGAAGGACGTCGGATTGGAAATTGTGTTACTTGTACGGGAGGAGAAACGGGACAGCTGGCAGGATTCCGTGTCCGTTTGGATGCCACCGTTTTGGTCGCAGAGCGAAATTTGACCTCTGGAGCGGGACCTCTTCTCTCCATTAATGCTGTGGAATCTGTTGGGCAATATTCCGTGGGACAAGTCATTCAAGTGGAAGGATACATTATGGATCAGTTTTGTATTGATCGAGGGTCATTCGTGGATACTGGGCTTCCTTCTTTGGCCAATGCCGACAAACACACCGTCCACTGTCTTGTGGATCCTCCTCAATGTTTTGCATCTCCATGGGAAGTCCTTATTGATCCAGCTTCACCTGATGGAAACTGGACTCGTGGATTTACCTTGGACCCTGACAGCAAGCAGATTTTGGTGGATTTGGCCAAGCAAGTGGGAGATTGTACTGACTGTACAGGAGAAGGATCACTCAAGGAAGGATTCCGAGCAATGATTACAGCTACTGTTGTGGACAACCAACGAAACCTCACATCGGGATCTGGTCCTCTCATTTCGGTCACTGAGGCTGTCCCGATTCTATCAGAACGAGATAGCCTGGCTGTGGGTGATGTCGTTGAGGTTGAGGGATACGTGATGGATCAGTTCTGTATTGATCAAGGTGTCTTCTTGGATACAGGACTAGCCACTTTGGAATTTGCGGATCAACATACCTTCCACTGCCTGTTGGATCCTCCACAGTGTGTGGAATCTACATTTGTGATTCTCATTGACCCAGACTATGAAGCCGGAGAGACCATGTGGTCCCCAGGATACACGTTGGATAATGACAGTCGTGCCCTTGTCATTGCGGAAGGCAGACGTATTGGAAATTGTGTCACTTGTACTGGAGGAGAACTGGGGCAGCTTGCTGGCTTTCGAGTGCGTGTAGATGCCACAGTCGTAGCTACTGCGCGCGACATGACATCGGGATCTGGACCACTGCTCTCTGTTAATTCCGTGGAATCCGTTGGACAATATTCTGTGGGACAAGTCATTCAAGTGGAGGGATATATTATGGACCAGTTCTGTATCGATCGAGGTACTTTTGTGGATACCGGGCTTCCTTCACTGGCCAATGCCGACAAGCACACGGTCCACTGCTTGGTTGATCCTCCTCAATGTGTCGGCTCTCCATGGGAAGTCCTTATTGATCCTGTTGCAGAAGGTGGAAACTGGACTCGTGGATTCACCTTGGACCCTGACAGCAAACAGATATTGGTGGATCTGGCCAAGCAAGTGGGAGAGTGCACTTTCTGTACGGGGGAAGGGACACTCAAGGAAGGATTTCGAGCAATGATTACAGCCACAATCGTGGACAACCAACGAAACCTCACATCGGGATCTGGTCCTCTTATTTCTGTCAGCCAGGCAGTGCCAATCCTAGAGCCAAGGCTGCCTGGTGGAGGCACCTGCGAGCAACCCCCAGTCACTCTCACGTTTGATGAAATCCCTGGGGTTACAGTCACCTACGAGCTGGGCGTTGATGAAGCAACCAACACAGGGACTTTTTCCGCAACTGTTGTTTATGAAGGTAAGTCCTGTGATTATTTATTTGGAGAGGCCACTGTGGAATATATATTTTTTGATTGCTGATTGAATGTTGTGTTGTCTCGCTATTTCTCGCTATGAACCTGACCAGGCTTGGCATGGGTTGGTTTTGCCATCAGTCCCACTGGAAGAATGCAGGATTCCAATGCTGTCATTGGGATGCCAGGGGAAGAGGAGAGTGAGACAAACCCAGGAAAGTATTTCCTTGGTGGCTACACCGCCGATGGAATCACCTTGAGTGAACAGCAGACATTGCTTAGTAAGAGCCTCGAGCAGAACGATACACACACAGTCCTTTCCTTTACCAAGCTCCTTGAGGAACCTGATGAAGTGGCCATCACTCCCAGTGGTGACAACAATTTCCTTGTGGCAGTTGGATTGAGCAATGAATTTGGCTATCATGCGGCCCGTCATCCATTCACAGAAAGCATCACCTGCGGAGGTGGAGCTGTCGAAGTTGCTAAGGACGTCACAACAGTAGATCAGGAAGCCCCAATGACAACTGGTGCAGATGATGGCCCAGTTGGTTGCAAACCGTTTGTTCAATCTGTTAGCATAGCTGGCCTGACTCTGAACTATGTTGTGGATCTGGACGATGACATGATGAATGGAAACTTTTCGGCAGAGCTTATCTATGCTGGCCAAGGCTGGGTTGGCTTTGGAATTAGCCCTGACGGTGCGGTAAGTTTTGGTGTTGAACGACTTCTCTTGTCCAAGTTGCTGTGGAGTTGGAACATGATTTTTTCTTATTGTCTCCTTCACATTTGTCTGTACGAGCAGATGATTGGATCACTTGCGGTCATTGGCGTACCAGGCCAGCCAGTTGGCCCCTCGAACCCTGGCAAGTACATTCTGAACGCCAAGTCACCAAGCGGGGCTGAACTGCTTCCCGATTCCCAGCAGACGATCATGGATGGGAACATTGTACAAAACGAGACACATACTGTCATGACGTTCACGAAGCGGCTTACCGAGCCGGGTGAAATCGAAATCATTGCTGACACCCAGTTCTTGAACAATTTCTTGGCTGCAGCTGGCATCGACAACGACTCGCTTGGATTTCACATTTCCCGTGGGGCCACTCAGCTTGGTCTTGCGCCAGCCACGGAGTCCTGTGTAGAATTGCAAGCCGGTGATGTCATTGTCGTGGAAGGATATGTCATGGATCAGTTTTGCATTGAACAAGGGTTTTTCGTGGATACATTACTTCCCTCATTGGAATTTGCGGATCAGCACACCTTCCACTGCCTTTTGGACCCTCCCCAGTGCCTTGAATCACCCTTTGAGATCTTGATTGACCCAGATTATACTGATGGAGAAACTATGTGGTCTCGCGGATACACCTTGGATGATGCGAGCCGAGCGCTTGTCATTGAAGAGGGCCGTCGGGTGGGAAATTGTAATACCTGCACAGGAGGTGAAATGGGACAGCTTGCTGGCTTTCGAGTCCGCGTGAATGCTACCGTTTTGGTGGCTGAGCGAAACTTGACATCCGGATCTGGACCACTACTCTCTGTCAATTCTTTGGAATCCATTGGGCAATATTCTGTGGGACAAGTCATTCAAGTGGAGGGATACATTATGGACCAGTTCTGTATTGATCGAGGCACCTTCGTGGATACCGGGCTTCCTTCTTTGGCCAACGCTGATATGCACACGGTCCACTGCCTGGTTGATCCTCCTCAATGTGTCGGATCTCCATGGGAAGTCCTTATTGATCCAGTTGTATTAGGTGGAAATTGGACTCGTGGATTCACCTTGGACCCTGACAGCAAGCAGATTTTGGTGGATCTGGCCAAGCAAGTGGGGGACTGCACTGACTGTACCGGAGAAGGGACACTCAAGGAAGGATTCCGAGCAATGATAACAGCCACAATTGTGGACAACCAACGAAACCTCACATCTGGGTCTGGTCCTCTCATTTCTGTCACTGAGGCTGTGCCGATCCTGCCTGGTGGCGGCGGCACCTGCGAGCAACCCCCAGTCACTCTCACCTTTGATGAAATCCCCGGTGTTACAGTCACCTACGAGCTGGGTGTCGATGAAGAATCTGAAATGGGAACGTTTTCCGCAACTGTTGTCTATGAAGGTGAGTCATACAAATCAATGGATGAATTCTGGGACGCCCACGTGGATGATTGTTGTGTTTGCTCATGGTAGGGCTGTCTGTGCTATGAACTAGGCTTGGCATGGGTTGGTTTTGCCATCAGTCCCACTGGAAGAATGCAGGATTCCAATGCTGTCATTGGGATGCCAGGGGAAGAGGAGAGTGAGACAAACCCAGGAAAGTATTTCCTTGGTGGCTACACCGCCGATGGAATCACCTTGAGTGAACAGCAGACATTGCTTAGTAAGAGCCTCGAGCAGAACGATACACACACAGTCCTTTCCTTTACCAAGCTCCTCGAAGAACCTGATGAAGTGGCCATCACCACCAGCGGTGACAACAATTTCCTTGTGGCAGTTGGATTGAGCAATGAATTTGGCTATCATGCGGCCCGTCATCCATTCACCGAAAGAATCACCTGTGGAGGCGGAGCTGTCGACGTTGCAGAGGACGTTGCTACAGTAGATCAGGATGCCCCAGTTGCAGATGATGGCCCGGTTGATTGCAGCACGTTTGTTCAATCTGTTAGCATAGCTGGCCTGAGTCTGAACTATGTTGTGAATCTGGACGATGACATGATGAATGGAAACTTTTCGGCAGAGCTTATTTATGCTGGCCAAGGCTGGGTTGGCTTTGGAATTAGCCCTGACGGTGCGGTAAGTTTTGGTGTTGAATGGCTTCTCTTGTCCAAGTTGTTGTGGGTTTGTTGGACACACTGTTTTCTCACTATCTTCTTCACATTTGTCTGTACGAGCAGATGATTGGATCGCTTGCTGTCATTGGTGTACCAGGCCAGCCAGTCGGCCCCTCGAACCCTGGCAAGTACATTCTGAACGCCAAGTCACCAGGCGGGGCTGAACTGCTTCCCGATTCCCAGCAGACGATCATGGATGGGAACATTGTACAAAACGAGACACATACTGTCATGACGTTCACGAAGCGGCTTACGGAGCCGGGTGAAATCGAAATCATTGCTGACACCCAGTTCTTGAACAATTTCTTGGCTGCAGCTGGCATCGACAACGACTCGATTGGATTTCACATTTCCCGTGGGGCCACTCAGCTTGGTCTTGCACCCTGCACAGAAACAGGCATTGCTGAAGCTGCTTCCGTGGAGCAGGAAGATCGGCCAAAGATGAGGAAGTCCTTCGCGGCTCACGGTTGGTTGGCCTGCATAGCCTGGGGAATTTTAGTTCCAATTGCCATTGGAAATTCTCTTTGCCGTCACCTCATTCCGGTTCAAGGTCTTTGGTTCGAGATCCACCGTGCTTTTAATTCTCTGGCGATCTTGTTGACTCTTATTACTTTTGTCATCGTGGTGAACGCTGTGGAGAAGAGCTCGAGCAACCCTGATCACTTCCAATCCACCGATGGCGCCCTTGGAAAACACAAGACGATTGGGTTGGTCGTGTTCATTTTGTCGCTGATCCAAGGTATTGGAGGTCTTATGCGTCCGCACTTGCCAAAGAAGAACGATGATGGTACTGATGCGGAGCCAAAGTCTCCCATTCGCACCCTCTGGGAGTTTGTGCACAAGGGTAGCGGTTATGCGATTTTGGCCATGGCTTGGTATCAGTGCCACAGCGGTCTTGTCAAGAACGGTGCCTACTTGGCGCGTTTCCCTCAAGATGACGACTATTCAGATGTTTTCTGGGGTGTGACGGGCGCTATTTCCGCCATTGTCTTTGTCGGTGCATTGACGCGATTCGCGATGCCACCTCCAGCAGCCCCACAACAACATTCCCCCGTTTTTAACGAGGGCGCGGGCCTGGAAGAACCAAAGGCGTAGGCCTGTGCATAAACACGGTCGAGAATTCCTCTACCAACTCCACCCGCTCCGACCAACGTCTATATATAATTTACATACATGCATTGATTGTTACATTGCTTGTTCAAAATCTCATTGACAGTAGACGAATGGATACGCGTTCATAGCTAGCTAGCCCCCGGCCGAAACCGCAGCTTCTTCAGTCTGTTACGTCCATTTCGATAGGCTGCATTACTAGCTAGTATGGAGGCTTGGTGAAGCAGAGGGATAGGGGTGCGACCCCAACAATTGGCCTCAACTCTGACATGCCTCTAGAACGAGGATGGTTGGCCCCAGCACTGCATTCCGAGTTCGCACATTAGTTTGCCACATGAAGGCCCAAACCCAAGCCGCCATGTTGAGCCAGCGGGTACTACCAATTTTGTTCGGAATGCTGCGGGAGTTGCACTCCGCCGACGATCATGCGCGAGGGCTGCCTATATCAACTTGGCGAATAGCGCAAGCATAGTTGTAACGGTTGGCATGGGAAGCAAGGCACGCCAAGCAACGGCTAGAAAATGATTGACCCCACGACTGCAAAGATCCACGCGTTCAGGAAAGGCTCACAATTTTCACTTTCTCCTTGGTTTTCTTCCCTCGGCTGGGCCTGCCCATCATTGTTTTCTCTACAGTAGCTAGCTAGTAGCGTCCTTGCAATCGAGAAAGATGAAGTTGTCCTTCTGTTTCAGTCTGGTTTTCCTTGCTGAAATCAGAGTTTCCCATGCATCCCTGGGAGGCCTGAGGCAGCTTCGACCAGGTAAGCTACCTACAGTTTGCAGCTCTTGCCTACCTTAGCAAAGCTAAACTTCCTTTTTCCATCTTTCCCATCCACATGTACCGGTACCGGTAGCAAACTTCAACTCTACAAGTACAAACGATAATTCCACGTCCTTGCCGGACCATGATAATGATCATGACCACGAATACGAAGACCTCAATAGTGGCATTGGCGAATACGATTTCGACTGCGACCCCGGTGGCCTTGTCTGCTCTGGTGACGAGATCTGCTGCGACGACCAATGCGTGGCAGACAGATCCCTTTGCACACAACCAGAAACAGCCACTGATAATCCTACGGAGGCTCCCACTAGTTCTCCCACAGAAGCTCCCAGTGGTAATCCCACTGGAACTCCCTCCAATGCTCCCTCCAATCCACCCACATCGATGGCTCCTAGCAATGCTCCTAGCATGGTACCTACCCTATCACCTCCTCCGCCACCCAATGACTTGTGCGTGAATGCACAAGGTCCACTCCCCATTACGGCGTCTAGTTTGGATGGGAGTGTCGAAATAACCGCTCTAGGGACCACCATTGGAGCCACACGACAAGACAGTCCCGCTTGGTGCGGATCCACACCCATTTCCAGCGCCAATGTTTGGTACACCGTCGTGGGCAATGGCAAAATCTTGGCCGCCACCACCTGCTGGCCTGGCACGGAATTGGATACCAAAATATCCGTCTTTAAAGGGTCTTGTGGAAATTTGGCGTGTGTCTTGAGCAATGACGATGTGGGCAATGCCGGAGGTGGCTGTCCTGACAAACCATTCAGTAGTTATGCCAAGTGGAGATCCGAAATTGGAGTGACTTATTACCTTCTTGTCCATGGCTTTACCACCAAAATTGGCAATTTTGAAATCAACGTACAGGGTACCAATGAACAGTGTGAGTATGCACCCCAAGTGCCACCAGGAGTTGTTGTGGCCAGTGATACCACCGGAGCCATCTTTCCCTTTGGGGGAGTCCTCGACAATTGTGATGGAACCGGTCTCATTGGAGAAGCCCCCGCCGTTTGGTTCCAAGTAAGGGGCACTGGCGGTCGGATGCAAGCCAAAGTGTGTCCGGAGGGTGGAGAAGCAACAGCAGCTCGTCCCTTCAAATTGCATATCTTTGAAGCCTCGTGTGACGATTACGGTTCCTGTATGGGTGGCGACGATCCTCGCAAGGGGTGTGCCCTCTACGAATGGGAGAGTAACTCCAATACTCCCTACTACATTTTGGTGCACAATTATGCTCAACCCTCGGCAGGAAACTTTGAGTTGGGCATTGTCGATATGGATGGCATTGGTTACAACAACAATCCAGCAGTGGGGCGAAGTGGCAGCGATTTGTTTGATTGATGGACCAACACAACTACGGTTGCAGCCGAACGGGACCGTACAGCATTGGGGAGAAGCCCGGGTGAGATGCATGAGCTTGGTGGAAAACAAAATCAATCAAGGTGAACGGGGATCTACATAAGGGTGGCCAAGCTCAATCATCCCTAGCTATAAGCTTTCTTTCCAAACACACGGTTCGAGTTGGCACTGCCTCAACGTGCTGGCTATAGTACATGTATGATAACGGAGACAATCGGACCTGAACTATATTATGATCTGCCTCTTATGCATTCATGTGGTTTCAAAATGCTCGGCAGTGATGAGGGTACTTCATCCTCTGAAAGTGGTGAGCTATTATCGTATAGTAGTGATTTCGCACTAAGGGCAAGTAGACAGTATCAGTTTTTCACCTGACTGTCACTCCAGTCAAGGCTGTCTCGTCCTCGCAGCTTTTAGAAATGTGTGGGCATTTCTTGGCATGGTACCGGAACATGGCAGCCACTTACGAGTGTCCCTCCCAACGAGGAGGATCTTGGGCACATAAACTTGCGCATGGGCAAGGAAGAACATGTCCCAAAAGACAGTCCATAACATTGCAAGACGTCAACTGGCAAGGGATCTCTTCTGAGTTTCCTTGCAAGGCAGCCTCGTTCTGAACACAGAAAGTTCCGTGGGCGAAGAAACCAGAAGAACTGGTTTACACTGCATCCCTATCATAGTACCTATCTAGCTGGCAACCTGAGGATTTCATTCAGGATCCTGGGTTTGGATTGGAAGTGGGAACTTTTTAACATTGCATGATGCGAAGATGAGAAGAAGAGCCAAAGAAGCAAGATTATCTCTTCACGAATTGAAGAAGCCATCATAATGAATATTATCACGCCAGCAAATGACTTACAATCAGCTGCACTTGGTAGTCACGAATTGGCTCCTCGCTGAAACCTGAAAGTTAGATGCATGAGTTGATGCATGTAGCATGTAGTACTGAGCAACCCAAAAGAGTGCATGTACCTTCACGGTTGACGGAGTCTCAAGGGTTGTCTAGCTAGCTAGTAGAGGGGAAAACCTTGAGCATGTCTTTTAAAAGTCACTGACCAGTACCGGGCTCAACTTCGAGGCCTGGTGCGATGCATTGTGCTCTTCAGTCAAGAGAGCAATCAAGCCATCACCAAGACATGCCTCAAATCATGGTTGTTGGCAAAATCTTGAGTCCGATCATGGCTTCATGCTGACTTGATTGTACACTGTACATGTACATGTATTGCGCTGCATTGCATTGCATTATTGCATTGCATTGCATGGCATTGCATTGCTGACTTGACTAGTACTACCCAATGCCCAATGCTCTCATCACTTGCTACCACCGGAACATTTTGACCGTGGTGGTTTTCCATCTGTCTAAGCCCCTTTCGTCAATTTATGGAAGTGGGCTCTTCATATTTCGGAATAATAAAGTTTGGCTTGACGTTCCAGAGAAACTTACTGTTGTTGGTTGCACTTGAGTCACGCTTTCGCTTTTCGTCTAAATCCATTTTTTCTCGATGAATTAGCGTGAATGGAATTCGTGAATGCTAGTAGGCTTAGAATCAATCAAAGATTTTAATTAAAAAAGGCGGCCAAGCACATGCCTGCTTTGACCAATGCGTTCGCGCAGAACAAAACCGGCTCTGGAGGCAGATGCCACACCAAAACTCACCAAGCTTCCCATTGCCAATCCTCACAATTTTTGCTTTGGCAGAAGTTCAAAGCCCGGAATTTCCCCCTTCTCTCCCTTTTCCTTGTCTTCGCTTGCTCTGTCTCACCATGAAACTTGCACATATGATGCATACGCTCTGTTTGGGTGCTGGGTTGGCCACCCTGGCTCTTGTTCCAAAGGCAGCAGCCCAACCAATGACTGCAGCTGCAAACTTGATTTCAATTCCCGACCAAGCAGTCAATCCTAGCGAGATTGATCGTCTTCGTCAGCTGAGATCTAACGGTGACTTTAATACATTTGCCCCCACAAAAAGTCCTTCGGTCAGCCCCTCCACCGTTCCTTCGGAAAGTCCTTCGCAAAGTCCTTCGCAAAGTCCATCGCAAAGTCCTTCTCAAAGTCCTTCGCAAAGTCCATCGCAAAGTCCTTCCCAAAGTCCTTCGCAAAGTCCTTCGCAAAGTCCTTCGCAAAGTTCTTCGCAAAGTCCTTCGCAAAGTCCTTCGCAAAGTCCTTCCCAAAGTCCTACGCAAAGTTCTTCGCAAAGTCCTTCGCAAAGTTCTTCGCAAAGCCCCGTAGATCCTGAGATGTCCGGTGACCCCCATCTGAGATCATGGACGGGTGAATGGTTTCCGTACATGGGAGAGTGGTACGTTGGATAGATCTACTTTGTGGTTTGACTGCATTCAATTTGATAACCTTTGGGGTCTCATTCAAACACTGTATTCTTGTTTTCCTTGGTGTCTATACCGGTACCATATCACACACATCCTCATAACCAATGATGCTACAGTGACCTCAGACTCATTCATGCAGACAAGTTTGATGGTTCCCAGAACCTCACTATTCATGTCCGCACTACCATCAGGCATCAGTACAGTTTCATTGAAACAGCTGCTATCCAGATCGGTTCAGACACTCTTGAAGTTTCTAGCTGGGGTGACTATGCTCTGAATGATGTTGAAGATGCCATGGCGAATAGTCAAAGTCAAGCCAAGAGTGTTCTCAGGAGAGGCAGTGCTCTCCACACTTTGGGCGGGCATGCCATCTTTCACACACAAATGAGCAAGAAGAAGCATGTGTTTGATATTGTCCTTGGGCCTGCTGAGAATGTGACGATCAGCAACATGAAGGACATTGTCTCTGTCAAAGTCAACCGAAAGGTAGATGGCCCCTTTTCCAATGTTGTTGGATTGCTGGGTCACTTTGATGGAAGGATGTTGGCACGTGATGGTGTGACGGACTTGCATGACGACATGAATGCCATGGGCCAAGAGTGGCAAGTGCGAGACAACGAGCCCATGTTGTTCCGAGCCAGTCGAGAACCGCAGTATCCCCACAAGTGCCGACTACCCAATGTGGAGGAGAAGGAATCACGTCGGCTCAACGAAGGAATTACCGAAGATGCTGCCAAAGCTGCCTGTGCTCATCTGCTTGACAAGGATGACGGTGCCCAAGTATTTGCCAACTGTGTTTATGATGTGACTGCCACCAATGATCTTGATCAGGCGTTGAGTTAGTTAGGTGGCCGACCAGCACAGCCAATGAGTGAGAGCATGATGTGAAGATTTCAAGAGGCAAGCAGCCAGCATTTGTTTCCACCTGCACGGACGCACAGACAGAGAAGTGAATGGGAGTGGTGGTTGTTTTTAAAAATGTCATTGAAACTGTATGCATAATAACTGTTTAGGTTTGGAACGTCAACATATGCTGGAACTTGTCACAGGCTCGACTGTACCGGGCAGGCCGCAACTGTCCAGTTGTTTTCCTCATTGTTGCACTAGACGATCGTTCCACCGCACCTCTTTGGCAAGGTGTACACTTTGTTGGGTCGCCCAGAGAAACCGTCTAGCTAGTACCAGGTACAGCAACCTGGCTCGAGGCTACCGGTATCGTGATAGCTATCTGGCCGTTGGTTGTGGTGCCGCTCGTACTTTTGCCATCGCCGTTCATGCAACAGTCGGAAACAGTTTCTCTTCAGCAGATAGTGAAGAGTTCTTTTGACGTTCTGAATGTGATACCGTTAAATAAATTTGGCAAAGCCACACGCCTGCTCTAAACACTTGACTTCACTGAGACAATCAATGCAGATGGTGCGCTCAAGCACGAATGATTACGTGTGCTTGGTAGAGTAATGGTATGGGAGCAAGAGAAGATCCAAAAGGCAAGTTTTCTCATTCTTTTCTTTTTGAAACACCACCACGATGATCAAGTCCAGCGTCAATATACCATTGCTGGTCCACTTGGGTTTCCTGTGGCTTGCTGCTGCAGTTGTGCTACCAGTAGTAGAGGCGAATCAGCAGCTAGGTCATGGAAGCCTTCGTCGTCTCGATGGTAAGCCGATCTAGCGATCTAGCTAGCTAGGTACAGTGGTACAGTATCCTGTGCCTTTTATTACTGGTAGCAAGTCTCGTTTCTCACTTTCTCTCGTTCTGTCTCTGCTGCTGTTTTACAGTAGAAGCAAACGGCACAATAATGGAAGGGACGGCTGTTCCAACTTTAGCCGAAGAAACCATTTTTGATGAAACAGCCATTGACGAGTCTGACGTTGCCTGTGGTTACACCGTTTGTCCCATGGGTTCGCTCTGCTGTGGAAATACATTTTGTGTCACGGACAGTTCCCTCTGCTCCATCACCTCCGCAACCCCTAACCCCACCATCTCTGTGCCCATGACTGGCGCCCCCACGGAAGCTCCCAGTAGCAGTCCAGTCACTCCAGTAGTGCCCCCCAATAATGATCTCTGTACCACAGCCGAAGGACCCTTGACAGTTACCCCTCAAAGCTTGGACGGATCCTTGGAAAATCGTATTTTAGGAACCACCACGGGTGCCACGGCGCAAAGTGAACTACGACGATGTGGAGGAACCATTAGCAGTCCCAGTGTCTGGTACACCGTGGTGGGCAACGGCGCCAAACTGGCCGCATCCACGTGTTGGCCCGGAACCGACCTGGATACGCAAATCTCTGTCTTTCGTGCTGGCAATACATCTTTGTCTTGTGATGATTCAGATACTGATAATTTGGTCTGTATCGGAGGCAACGATGACGCTGCCGGTGCTACCTGCGACATCAAACCATTTGCCAGTCGCATGATTTGGAAATCCGAGGTGGGAGTCACTTACTACATCCTAGTGCATGGATTTGTATCCCGCGTCGGAGACTTTGAACTCAATGTGGAAGGGACCAACGATCAGTGTCAATATGCCCTGCAACTGCAAGTCGGTGACACGGTGCGAGGAGATACCATTCCGGCAGCGCTCCCCTTTGAGGGAGTATTCAATAACTGTGGTGGAACGGGATTGATTGGTGGCGGACCGGCATTGTGGTATCACGTGGTTGGTACGGGAAGTACACTTCAAGCAACGGCTTGTCCCGATCCCAACAGTATTCGACCCGTCCGAATATCCATGTTTGAAGCGTCCTGTGACAACAGTGATTCCTGCGTCGGAGGAGCGGATCCAGACAGTGGCTGTGCCACCTATGAATGGGACTCCCAAGCTGGAACCAACTATTACATTTTGGTGCACAGTCAGGCTCCGTATGCGGCTGGATATTTTGACTTGACAATCTCCAATAATAACAACAACATTGGCCCGGATGTCGGTGTGGGAAGAGGACAGCCAGATATGGAATGGCCGTAACAACAGAGAGTGGCATGGATCGATCAAAAATTGATGCAGAAACTAACTACAACGAACCATGGAGGAGCGAGCAATGCAAGGAACCAGCTAGATGTATCATTTTGGTGGACTCTGGGGTGCATAAATCTGGCAAAAACAATCACAGAAACTGAGTTGATTGAGACTGTGCTGAGGCTGAAGATGAGGACGAGGATGACGAGGACTAGAGTGCTGGTAGTTTCAAGTAAGTTAGATGTGTGAGAGCCGCACTACGGCTCCGCGTCGTACCGTAGGAATGCATGGATACATGTGCATAGACATCCTTTAAAACAGTGTTTCAATAGCTGTGCTGTCTAGTAGACGCTTTCATCGGCCCTGCTGCCCTGCTCAATGCGCCTTCAGGTTGGCCATTACACCCGTTGGAAGTATCTTCAAAACTGGCTGGTTGAACAAGCTGCCTTATAAGATGGATTCCATACATGTACGGTAGCATGAGCCCATCTGTCTCTCTGCCTCCCTACTAGCTAGCTAGCTAGCTACCGGTAGCTGCCCAGTGACCAGCCACCAGCCAAATTGAATCGTTGCTTCCTACCAGACTTGCTTTCCTTCTCGAACATGGTTGGTGCTACTAGATGGAAGGCGTCTCGTGAGCTGAACAAGCACAAGAATCTAGCAAATTTAATTTGTAGCAAGCCTTTGGTTGCCAAACAGCAAACAATTCAGCCGAAAAGTTCATCTGAAAAAGAAGCCTCCAACATGTAGTTTCTGACATTACCACCAATATTGTAATCGAGAAAGGTTGCCACTCTGCTTGCGGCACGTTCCTCCTATCATAACTGCGACCACCACCCTGAAATGGAAGACTGGAGCGAGGGAGGGCAAGCTAGCTAGCAGTGAGCAGTGGGCAGTGGGGCGGCTCTAGTCAAGAGCCCGCACCGTAGGCGGAAGTGGATTTCAAATAATGGGGCGGAAGCTACCGAAAATACTTCTGTCCACGAGTGACGAGTGCTAGAAAGTTTCTGGTGATCGTAAGTACTTGCTTGATTCCGAACCCAGTGAAGGTCATCCAGTTAAAGAGTATTGTTGATGACTCCTTTTTATGACCTGTTGCTTCAATGGATGATTAGGATGGATGAGAAAGGATCCCATCTGGATGACTCTGGGTTGGACGAGGAACAGAATGTGCCACAAGGTGACAGCCCCACCCGTCAAAAACCGAATAAACTGTTTCATTTTGACCACCAAAAGGAAGAAATAGTGCCTGGAAAGTAGCCAGCGTCCAGCTTCTTTATGGTACTGGTACTGCAGGGCGCAGACAGGGAGGTTTGGTTTGCTCAGTTAGGTGTCTTTAGTGCGAGTTGAAAAAGCTCCTAGCTATTAATAGCTTCCAGCTTCTTTGGTGGCAGTTGGCCAGAGACAGGAACAAGGTTTGATACTAGCTACTAGGAGGACATTGCTAGCTAGCGGCTAGTAGCCAGCCAGGCAGTCACCGGTAGCTGTTGTGTCGGGTGTTTAGGCGAATCTTCTTCGGTTCCTTTCTCAGTGTGGCACTCAGTTCTCGGTGGTCTTGTCCGGGAGTTGAGGTTGAGGTTCAAGTTTGCTCTTGGCGCTTTTGGAAACCGAATAGTAGCTACCGGTAGCCCAGCTTGTACGATTTAACCAATTGCATGGGAAAAGCACTCTCGTCATTGGTCTTGCAAGTTTGTTTCTCACAAAATCAACCAAAGCAGACCAAAAAAGGAAAGAAAATCGCACTACTCCCACAACAGCTCTAGCTAGCCAGCCTAACACGAAACTAGCAAGCAACACTTACAAAAAGGAGACTCGACTCCACCAAGCACAGCAGCTGCAGCACCAACACAATGCCGGCCCAAGCAGCCCACTACTCACCCACTTCGACTACGGAACAAGCCATGATGTCGTGTTCTTCGTCGTCGCGTCTTCGTACGCTCCGTCGTAGCTTTGTACAGGAAGATCAAAAGCCTCTCTTGGACATTATGCTGCAATACGGAAATCTATCACTGACGGACCGCAAGTTGGACTCGTGGATTGACTCGGCTGCACCGCAACCGCACCACATTCGAGTGCACAAGGACAAGGACACGTGCGTCTTGGACGACAGTAGCTCGGATCATCTTTCGCGTCGTGTTTCGTGCTTGTCGAAACGACGCAATCGACTCTCGCGAAGCTGGAGTGGCAACATTTGCATGATCCAGCAAGACTCTCTCATTGACGTGCTTCCCAAGGCCGCCGGCGACGTTACGGGACGTCACAAGCGCAGCAAACCTCGACGAGCCAGTGGCGATGCAGCCACGCTCATTGCCATGCGTCGAGGGCGTAATCCTCGACCCAAGGACGTCCTGGTCGAAGGAGATCTTCAGACGGTACGTAAGGTTGTCTTGGAAAAGAAGCTACTCCGGCGTCCACTCATTCCCAACTACATGAAATATAACCACGATGATAATGACAGTACGGGATTGCTTGCTGAGATCCTTCGTACCCAGCAACAGCAAGACGATGCGGACAAAAAGCATCACGCACCCCCACACCGTCGTGGTGTCCTACGATCCAACTCGCTCAATTCAGCCGTCCTTTTGAGCAAACGACACCTGTCCGTCATGCCCTCGAGTGCCTAGAGGAGATAATCCTGCATTATAGATACATACATGTCACACTAAAAGTACAAAAGCATTGTCCGAATTCTTACATGTATCCACTGGGCTCTGGCATTGTCTCCAAGCATGCCGCATGTATGGCCCTGGCAAGTCCCAACTAGCTACCGGTACATGCAGTGTAACTCATGTGGTGACATCTTGTCACCTCATGAGCGCTCTGCTCTCGCGTCTTCTTATTGATGTGCTCTCATAAAAGCTATTGTTAGTAGTGAAGTTAAAATGGATGCCGAAAAAGTCAATCAGTCAATCAATTGGCAAGGCAAAGGCCAGTCTCGTCGCAACAGCTAGTGCAGCAACTGCTAGCGCACTCAATGGCAGGAACTCCAGTGTCTGTATTCGGCAAACAGTCTGCAACAACCTTGAAATTTCCATCGTCAAGGGCAAAAAAGTTCTCGCAGGCAGATACCGGAAAAGTGCCAGTGAGGTCATTCCCATCCACCAACACTTGATTCACAGTCGTCAATGCAGCAATCTCATTGGGAATGGTGCCATGGAAGTTGTTGTTTGCCAGGTGCAGCCATATAAGCCACGACAATTGGCCAACTGATGAACTGATGGTCCCGGAGAAGTTGCAATCGTTGACCGCGAAGGCCATGAGTTCTGTGAGTTTAAACAATTCTTCAGGGAGCGTCCCTTGCATGTTAGTGTAGGAAACATGAATCTCTCGCATAACAGTTGCCAGACCTATTTCGGAGGGGAAGCTTCCGGTAATATCAGTTTGATCCAAATCTAGGTATCTCAGGCCTGTTAGCAATCCAATTTCACTTGGTATACTGCCAGAAAGCTGTTTGAGTCAAGGGGTGAAGTGAAGAATGAGACCAGGTTACAGATCAGATCAGACAATCATGCATAGAGATATGAAATATCGTGTATCCACAAAAGGCAATTCACTTACAGAATTGTCAGTCAATCTAAGTGTCTCCAGCGAAGTTTGCTGAAACAACGCTTTTGGTAGTGACCCCATGAGTTTATTCTCCCTAAGCATAAGCTGTTTCAAGGGAAAGAGTCCCACTTCCGATGGAATGGTCCCAGTCAACCTGTTTGCGTCCATGTTGAGACTCAAGAGTTTTCCACTTCCTTCAAGGAGATATTCAGACCATTGGTTAGGAATAGTGCCTGATAATTGATTCCAACTCAACAAAATGGAATCCAGGTGGTGACTAGACTCTTGTTGTAGTAGTCCTGGAGGTAGCACTCCAGTCAGCATATTGCCATCCAACAAAAGTTTTTTCAGCTGAGACAACCGTGTGATCTCCCATGGGAGAGGGCCATTGAGCTCATTCCACCCTACATAAGAATGAAGCAGAAGAAGTTTTTCTTTGTTAGAAGTCGTGCAAGAATGACACAATCCAAATGCCAAGGCTATGATCTGATCTGATCTGATCTGAGACTTACAAATGTTTAGCCCCACAACTGTCTTTTCTCTTGATTGCACAGTCTCACATGTGACTCCGGCCCACATGCATTCATGGGTTTTTGTGAGCCACTGATCACCCCAAATGGTTGCAGTTAATTCACCAGTAAATCCATCAGGCTTTATAATACCACCAAATTGCTCTGGCTCATAGCAGAGACCAGATGACTGCAGGTTTTTGGGTGGGTTGCAGTTCTTCCAAGGCTGGTGCCTTGTTGTTTGGTAGTAAAGGAGTACCAAAAGGAATCTTTGCACCAAATTGGTGGCATCGAATTCCAACTGCATGGGGTCTTGATTGACAATCCAGTCAAATGCCTTTTTTCTCGATTCGAGCATGAACTCGGCAGTGGCACTATCGTAGGCTTCTTCTTGTTCCACCTGTTCAAAGTACTTCCAACCAAGGAGGCTGGTAATGACAACTTCAATCTTGGGTGCCTGTTCAATCTGTCTTGGGGTCTGTGCTGCTGCCGTTGGAACAGTATTTGTGCCGTCAGTACACAAGCCCGCTCCACAAACGGCACCCACCACAACGCCAACGGTAGTGACGATGAAGAGCAGTGCCATGGTGGCCCAAAAGCAATCCTGTCTAGTCCAAGGCATGGGTCTTTTTGTTTCACGTGCAAGGACTGCCACGGCTTGGGGCATCTCCGTCATGGGATCGACTTGATTTGCTTCGACCAGCCCGGAAAGATCGTCCAAAGCATGTGATGTTCCATCGTGATGTGATGCATGGTTGTGTCTACCGGTAGCACCACTGGTGCTGCTACCTACTGAGGATGTGGACATTTCTTCAGTGCGTTCTGGTAGTCCACTCCCTCCAATGGCCAACGCTCCTACGAGCATGTCTTGGTGGTTCCTATTACTATGAGTGTCAGTTGTGCTTGTAGTCACACTGATACTGGTACCGGTACTTGTGGTAGGAGTGATGGGAACGTGGATTGCGGGAATTTGTGCATTGACTGGTTGCTGCCCATCTTGCTTCTTGGTTTCAAGAAACTGCCTCTTCTCCCACTCTGCTTCCTTGGTGGTCTTCTCTTGATCTTTATCCTTATCTTGATTTTTTTGACTTACATGGTTTGCTGGATTTTCCAGCTTAAGGGCAGGTTGGGTCATAGGTGGCTCTACCTGTACATGTTGGACATGTTGGGACACTGGTGGTACATCTTGCTGCTGCTGCTGCTGCTGCTGCTGCTGCTGCTGCTGCTGCTGCCTTGCCATCCTTTGCTGGCGCATATCTTCTTCTTGCAGGATCAGGAGCTTTCCAGCCATTCCAGATACCGCATAGACATCGTAGACATCCGCTGAGGCTTGCGTCTGAGATTGAGATTCAACGTCCCCATCAACATCCCCATCTCTACTACGTGTACTAGTAGTATCTCTCTCCTCAGTGCTGCCGTTGGTGTTGGTGTTGGAGTTGTCATCCTTGTCGTTGGCGCTTTCCTTCATCTTGGTCTTCAAGTCTCGTACTATTAATAGCTTGCTAGCTACTAGCTAGGATAGACTAACTGTTTGTAATAGAAGGTGGCTTGTTGCTGCTTTGTTGCTTGCTCAGTTTGTGGGCATTTGAGGAGCGGCTGCGGTGCTAAATGATTTTCCTTGCTGCTGCTGTGTCATGGCTACCCCATCGCAGATACTGCGGGGTAGCTTTGACCACTGACAAAGGCTTTGCTGGGAGCTGTATGGTTGTACAGTACTAGTACATCCAATATCCCCTCACTGCTTGCCTTCCGTCGGTACGGTAGACTGTAGATATCCTTGACGTTTTTGACCACTAACGAACGCTGTGGATTTTATTCGATTCTCTGGAGGACAATGGAAGCATTCCTCCTTGTAAATCCAATTGGCCTTTTGTTCAAAAGGAATTCCGAATAGTGTTCCGCAGCTGTTCCATCCTGCAACATCAACTTGCTACTAGGTATTGCCCCGTCACGTAAACTGAATCCTATTGCACCCCAGCCCCTCAACCTTTGTTGATGGTCAGTGTATGTCGGCCTAGTCGGTCAGTAGATGCAGATTCCAGTACAGCTGAAGCACCGTTAAATCTTTCATTCGATTCATGGTGATAGCTACATGTAAGTACATGTACTCCTCGGTACCACTCGAGGAATCGAGAACTATTAAGATTAAAATAGCCTGCATGGTATTTCTGCATTTTTGTATTTTTGGTCGAACGCAACAGGCTGGCTAGCTCCTCGAGCGAGTACATGTGTCGCCATGCATAGACTAGCTAGCTAGCTAGCTCGTTTGCCGGACCTGTAGGAGCAGTTAGGAGTTCGTTGGGTGGGGGCAGACCATCCAGGAACTCAGGGATTTTTTTCTTGGCAGAAAAGATCTGGCTCAGGGCAAGCAACTCCACGGCATGTAATGTACTGTACTCTCAACTCTCAACTGGCTGAATACCTACATGTATGATCTGGCTCACCATCCCTCTTCTTCCTTCTTTGTGGGATGTGGCGAAAGGCTGACACCTTATCCATACCCTCTACGTGTACCTACTTTAGTATACCTAGCTATTACAAAGCGACCTCTATGGTAGTAGCTAGTACATGTAGGGTGCCTTCCGGTACGTACAGTATCTAGAATTTTTTGAGTTTAGTAGTGTGCTTCACTCAGCTTCCTCTCCATCTTGGCAATGACGGGAGATGGGAGGAGGATCCGACAATGATGACGCACATGTGGCATGTATCGAATGATTCCAATTGATTCGAAAGGATTCGATTATGCTCTTGCCCCTCAAGCAACGGGACCAATTGCAAAAGTGTGGATGGTCCAACTGCTATCGAAACCTGCGGCATTGCGGCATTGATGAACTTTGTGTTGGTCTCCATGCCAGGGTTGGAGAAGGTTGTGTCCATGTTGTCCAGGGTCCTTCGACTCGACTGAGTCACTCAATTAATTTTGCTCTCATGAGCCGGCCGGAAGGGGGCTTGAAAATATTATTGATGCCAACCTAGACTACCGATCGAACTCAGCAGAATCTTCAATCGAGAATGCACTGTCCGTGAGAATGTGAGAATACAGTAGACTACTGTACAGCACCAATGTTGATAGGTCAGCTTTAGCTAATTTACATTTTTAAAAAGAGACTCTTAATTAAAGAGTTTGTAATGGCTTGGCTGGCTGCTATGGCTGTACGGTAGCTGACCAATGGAGCGAGACTTCTCGGCTCGTGTTGCTTTGGCTGCAATCATTGCGGGGTCTTGGTAGGCCTTGCCTAGGATTTGGGATGGGATTGAGGGCGATGGCTGTGAGGCGGGAAACCAATAACCAATGACCTTTCGACCTTTTGTCATTCGTGCGAGAGATCTTTTGCATCAGATCAGTCACACTTCGTGCCTCGGCAAGATCGAACACAGAAATGAGCAGCCATAAACCAAAAGCCAAATCTCATAATCTCATTATCTCAATCTGCAGCCAAGCCAAAGCAGAACCCATCAGCTAGCTAGCGGTAGCATATCTTGGAGATTTGATAGTCTCTGTTGTACGTATCGTATCAATTATTAACGTGCTTGGATCCTTTCATTCCGTTATCTCTAGCTAGCTACACGGTACTGGTATACGGTACCTCATGAAGAATCGCAATAAGGAGCAGAAGCCCCAAGAGCAGAAGCAACGGCCAGTGACAAAACGTTGCGTGGCATGCCAACGGTGCAAGGACAAATCTGGATTCTACCAGAAGCAATGGAAGAAGGAAAACAGCACTGGCTATTGTCAACCTTGTTGGGAAGACTTTATCCTTCGCAAGCAACAGGGTATACGTGCAGACGTCATTGGTCCCGTAGACTCCAGTACCAGTCCTACGAGCACAGCCACTTCCAGGTCATCTTTGCATGTCAAGATCCCTGATCTTCCTTCGCCTGAACCTGAAGCTGAACTTGATACTACAAGCACAAGTACATGTACACTTAAGCCTGAAGCTGGAGCTGATTCTGTCTCCACTCGACGAAGCAAGCACAAGACAACGAGAAGCTACAAGGACAAGCCTTCCCACGGTCAGGCCAATGACAATCTTAGTCTTTCACCTGCCACATTCTCTTCTGACAAATCCCTCTCGGAACCTGATGTGGCATCGAATGACATTGTGGTCTCTGGGTCTGATGTTGTCCCCGTGAATCAGCAAGACAAAACAGCTCTACTAGTAGAGAAACCCAAGAACAAGCAGAACACAAAGCGTTGCCGAGATTGTGGCATTCCCAAGCATCAGGTCGATTTCTATCCTACCGAATGGAGCAGACTCTCGGGAGCTGGATTTTGCAAACCATGTTGGTACAAAGCCAATCATATTATTGTGCCATTGTCGATGACAACACAACAAGATCACGACAAGCCTGCGACTGTGATGACCGGGCCACCCGGACCAACTCGAGATCAGCCAGTCATCTCTGATGCAACCAACCGTATTCGCACAAACAAAAAGGCCATCAATCGCAAACAACCGACAATGAACACCGGTCCACCATCCGATTCTCCAAAGGACAATCACTCCTCTTTTGCCTCCGCTGATCCACAGGGAAACACCACCATCAGTAACGAATCGCGAAAACGCGGCGACACACGACGTGATGATGATGAATTTCCGAGACCAACTTCACGTACAAGTCTTCAGAGCAGCCACCAGGGACTCGACAATGCAAGTACTACCAGTCAGACAATCTCCCAAAAGGACAATCCTAAAACGACGAGCAACCTCGGAACGCCCCCAAAAAACCGGAACAAGCACCCCCGCGAAATGAGCACGAGCGACAATCCACAAAAAGAAATGACGCACGACAATGCGCATCCCGAGACAATGAATCAGAAAGTCACGGAAGCGACTCGTCGTCGTCGTGCCAGTACTCTGCAAAAGAACGTGGCTCGTCGTCGTGACACGGACGATATTGGCGACAATCGCACCAATAATTTGGCCATGGAAGCGGACAACGAGGCAACAACAACGTTGGGCAATAAGAAGCCTCCTCCATCCACAAACGTCAGCCGTGCCACCTCGTCAAAGACTAGTAATGACCTCAAAAGCAGCAGCAACAACAACAAACGACACCCCAGTGGCACAGTGGGAGGAGGCAACTACAAGAGCCACGATACGACCTATGACAACGACCTCGACAGTGATCACGACCATGACGACTCGGGTGACAAGAATGGTACCAGCAGTACATGCGCCCAACAAGTCAAACAGACCAGTGGCAACCGCATTCCACGAAAGCAGCCGCAAACGCTTACGGTCCGTGGTGGTGGCAGGGACAAAACGAAAGGACGAGTGACAGTCATTCGAGCCCGTAGCGTCAAAGACAAGGGCAACGGGACCATCCGTATCAACGATTTTATCAAAGAGCCATCTACCAGTCGTCATACCGGTAAGGGCAATCGATTGATTGACCCCCGTGGTATTGGAAACGCCAAGCGCAACGAGACGGAAAACGAAAGAGGCCGCATTCAAGAGTGTTCCCCCAAAGAAGACCAACCATCTCGCAGCCAAGCCGCAAAGAGCAATGATCGACACGCCAAGAACCAGCAGCATCTCCAAAATGGTACCAGCCACAGTGAACAAGTCGTCGACAAACTTAGTACAAACGGAACACGCAACGACGTGGAGACGACGACGAATCCTCCATCGACAAGCCATGATCCAGCGACTCGTGAAACGCGGCGAATTGAGAATGAATGCAGCCGAGTCAACAAGCAACACGAAAATAATACCAATCGTAATGGCAAAAAGAGTGTCAGCCGCAACGAGGAAAAGGTCACGACAGTCATCCGAAAACGTGACAGTGGCAATACCAATGGCGTGCCAACCTGCCGCCGTAAACCGGAGGCCTCGTTTTCGTCAAGCCGCCCAAGCAACGACAAGGACAGCAGTGAAAACCCCAACACTGGTAGCAATCTCATTGGACCAAGCAGCTGCCAAAAAGAGGACGAGAGTCTGCCAACAACTATGAGCCCTTGTCGCAAGGACAACGCGAGGGCAGTGCTACGGCCAAGCTCAAGTTGCAAGGGCCGACACCCAGAGACTGAATTCGACGAAACACAGTGGGAATTGTCCATCCATGGCAACGGGCGGTGCAAGACTTGTCCACCTGTCAACGACAATGGCAAGAATAGTGACCATGCCAAGAATCTTGGTATGCGCAACACGAACTGCAAGGCCAAAGACATCCTATTATCATCCCAGTCAGGCAAGAGCAATACGGTTGGCCATGACAATCAACTAATTGTTTTTGAAAAGAAAGACACCAACAAAGAAACCAACAAAGCCAGCGAGCAGGGCAACAAGACAATCAGCTGCCCTGGCAAAATCTCCGAGAAGGTACCCGTAGTGCACCCAACAGACAAGCTTCGTCCGTGCAAGAAATGTCATCAGTCTCTCCACAAGACTGGTTTCAACAAAAAGCAATGGTCGTTGGCTCTGTTTGGCTATGGGAAGTGCACGCAGTGTCCGGAGGACACAAAGCTGTGCTATGGATGCAACCGTGAACGCAATTGTGGGTGCTTCAGCCCGTCCCAATGGGATTTACCCTCCGGTCAAAGTTCCTGCAAGAAGTGTGAAAATATCCAGTCGCTCGAGACTCGCTACAGCAGCGTAGTGTATTCTGGCACCTGCCGTCCCTTGGCAGTACCCATGAAGATCGACAAGACGGAGCAAGCGATCAACAATTTATGTGTAGTGACGAGTGATACCGCCAACAATGAGCACGATTTGCTGGCGGAGAAGGTACCCATACACAGCAAGAACGGCAAGCGAAAAGGACGATCTTGCGATAACGAGCAGAACTCAAACGAGAGCTGCGACAAGCAGATTGGTGCCAGATCTCCCGAAAAGAAGAAGGTCAAACATGACAAGGCCAACGTACGAATCGAAAGCAGTTCGGACGGCGCAGCAACCACGACATCGGACGAGGCTGAATGGTCTCACACAACCGAGGAACGAACGGTGAATGGAACAGGGGATCCAATCATGAAAAAATGTCAAGGTTGTGGAGCGTCCAAGTCTCACATTGGATTTGCAGAGAAGCAATGGGAACTCGCCACCGGACTGGGAATCTGTGTCGTTTGTGAAAACCCCACGAGCAAGCGAAAACGTGAACAACCTCCCGCAGTCACTGGGCAACCCTCAAAGAAGAAGGCCAAGATCAGCTACAAGCAGTTTGAAAAGCGCTGTGCCAAATGCCGCTCATCCAATGGGGTCCCTGGAACTTGGCATGACGATTCGACTTGCAAGGCTTGTGTTGAGGCCAAGTACTTTGGTGCCCCAGGGATTCCTTATCAGCGTTTCAAAGCGTACGGCATTGACGAATGGAAGCAGTTCGACGGCAAAGACGACCCTTTTTTGGTGGGCACCTATCATCCAATCTACTACTCGAGTTCTCGTCTTGTCCCGGACCACGAGATGGAAGATGTGTCCCGAGGCGGATTACGTGGCTGCATGAAACTCTCGCTTACGTCGTCGGGAGACACTAGTACAGCCTTGGCTGGTGAATTTGAGCTGGACTACACTGGCAACGACAGCCTGTTCCAGGCATCACGTCCTTGTGGATCCTTGGTGGACTCGAAAGCGTTCCTGGACACAGCCAATGAATCGATTGACAATCTGCACGACAACCCAACCTCCAAAACCCTTGTTCTGAATCGAAAGATTGGATTGGACCCCACTTGGTTTCGTAGCCTTGACAAAACGGCATTGTCCAGAGACACCAAGACCTATTGTAGCGCCAAACTCAGGGTTGTCGGTGGCAGCAAACCCTACGCGTTGGGCTTGGAGTTTGATCAGTTGCCGGCAGCATTGCATGCCTTTACTCCCACGTACGGTGGAGAACAGCCAGAAGACTTGGGTCACGCCCTGGCCATGCTGAGCAAATATCGAAATGGTCGCAATTCTTGGATCCACAAGCACTTGGGGTGGCCTGACAAGGTGGCCTCCCTCATTCGTTCCTTCATGGCCCCGGAACCAGTTATGTTGATCAAACCTGGTGATTTGGTGTTGGAGGTTGAGGAGAGCCCAGAACGCGAGTGGACAAAGACTTTCATTTTTCGCAAGAGTTGTATCATAGAAATCATGGACTGACCCAAGGAAGGACTTGGCTGGCGGTGAATTGAAACTCGGACCATAGAAAGCACGCCTTAGACACAGCTGAAAAACTGGCTTCGCCTTGACATTAGACAGTGCATTGGAAAGAAGCCCCCTTGTTGGCACTTGGCTGTTCCTTTGGCTGTCATGTTTGGATACGAACCGGTAGTGGATACGGCATGGGCAAGCGGAAGAGGAGACTCTTTAGCTAGCTAGCTGGTGCAGTACACGCAAAACCCAAAGCTGTTCGACAAGTGTCAAGTCAAAACAGATATGCCTTCTAGCTAGTAGGTCTCTCAGCTGGTTAGATGCCGTAAGAACCCAGTCTTTGTGCAACCTTGGTTTACCGCATCTACCAGGTACCCAGCTCTACCAAATATATGTCTTCCAGTCTTCGATGGAAATGACCGTGCCTTGCATCACGTGTACGCACACCAATTCTGTTTTGTCGTCGTCGTTGTTGGATTGTTATTATTGTTGTTGTTGGATTGGTTCAGCGACTGGAAGCCAGAGCTGGATAACAATACTCTTGAAAAATTTAGCAAGATGGACGATACTTCCATAGGTAATAGTCAAAACAAGGAAGAGACGAATGGCAGGCCTACCGGTATTGCTAAAGCCACCGTCAAAGATTCCAATGCCACTGATGAACCAGTTGGTATGGTTGGCAAAATACTTGTCCTAGAAGAGCAAGACCGAAGGGAACGGGAGAGAGCTGCTGATGTTCAACCACAACCGGCACAATGTGGGTCAGTGCACACGACCATAGAAGGTCCTAACTCCAGTCTTTATGATTCGGAAAGCCACAATGCCATGGGCATGGTTGGAAAGAGGCTCATTCTAGCACAAGAAGAAGCTGATGCAGCTAATGCAGCTGCCATAGTTACTAGCACTGTGGATAGAGCAAGAGCAAGAGCAATTGCCCCTGCAGGTGCCGGTGCCAGTGCAGCTTCTGTCCTACAGGTCTCTGGTACCAACCAAAATACAAGGAGAGCTATTGATGTCTCCCCTGCAAAGAACTCACAGATAACTCCAACGGAACCCCCTCAACTTACGAGACAGGATAATGTGCAACAACAGGTTCTGCCAGGAGCAGTGGCGGTACCAGGGGTTGGAGAAAGGCAATTTGGATCCTCGACAGGAAACAACATTTCAGATCCGGAAGAGCAGGATTTTGTTCGTGACAACCATCATGATGACAATCACAATTTGGGCCTGGTAGAAGCAGAGACAGTGGACGACCTGGAACTGCCCAACGCCATAGCTGTTCCTGCCATTGACAGCACCAGCACCAGACGGTCCATTACTCAGAAGTATCAATTTCGATTTGCAGCTTTTGCAATCACTCTATTGCTCATTGGAGGGATCATTATCGGCTCCATTTGTGGGGCTGGATTGTGTAAGGCTGATGATTCTATTCAGCCTGCAATGACAGAAAGGGACATGCTTCAGGCTCCCAAGATCAAAGCAGTCCTAGCTGAAATATTGGGAGATGGCTACTTTGATCGGGCAGAGGAATCTGGAGATGATTTGGATGTTGACCTTTCCCAATTCTTGATGGAAACCAGGCTGAAGGCATTTGACTGGATTGTCAATCACGACCCAATGCAGTTGGAGTATGATGCTCCCAACTTGGTTCAGCGGTTTGTTCTCGTGCTCTTCTACTATCAGACCACAAGGCACAAGCCGTGGAAAGAGTGCAACCCAGTAGCAACCAACCAAAAAAGCTCAACAACCAATTTCTGCTACCAAATACATTCTGTAACTGGTGACATTACAGTAAGAATCTGGGGCGATCAGTGGCTCTCTGACAGTCACGAATGCAAGTGGGCTGGAATTAGCTGTGATGAAACTGTGCAATCAGAGGAGAGGACAGTTGATGAGCTACGCCTGGGTAAGTCTTGACAGTGTTGGCATGCATTTGATCATATTTCTTTCTGACACTGCAGACCTGTGGACGGTTCAGATTGGAATCATCTCAATGGCCCTCTTCCCTGGGAGATCACAAGATTGCCGCTGCTGAGATCTCTATGGCTGCACAACAACATGCTCACTGGAAAACTGCCAACAGGACTTTTTTTCAAAAAAGCTGGTGCTGCCCTGGAAACTCTTCTTTTGTCCTCGAATCAAATTTCCAGCACTATTCCTGCAGAATGGGTGGCAAACCTTCTTGAAGGAAACGGAAAACTTGTCGGTCTATATCTGCGTCGCAACACATTGACCGGGAAAATTCCATCAGAGTTGGGTCTACTCTCTTTGAAAAACCTCATACTCACAAGCAACACTCTGACAGGTCCCATTCCACAAGAACTATTCAAACAAAGTTCGCTACAAGGGCTCAATTTGGGAAAAAATGATGTAAGTTCTGCTCATCGTGCTGTTTTCAGACACTCACACCCAGGCACGGCCAAAGCTTACCTTCTTTTTGTTGCTCTCTGTTGATTTCAAGCTCACTGGGACTTTGCCAAGTGAAGTTGGACTGCTCACCAATTTGCAATACCTGTATTTGAATTACAATAATATTTTGGGTTCCTTGCCCTCAGAGATTGGTCTGTCAAACCAGCTTGAGGAACTCATTCTCTCTAACACCAACATTCAAGGGACAATCCCTGAAGAACTCTTCACAGGAGGACTTAAAAATCTTGGGTATTTGTACTTGGATGGGTGCAACTTTACTGGGACCATCAGCCAATCACTTGGCCTTTTGACAAATCTCAAAAAGCTGCGTGTCTCCGACAACCACTTCCATGGCACTATTCCCAATGAAGTCGAGGCATTGCCACTTCTAACTGAACTTCTGGTGAATGGGAATGATCTGTCTGGCACAGTTCCAGTCTCTTTCTGTCAGAATCTTTATGCTGGGGAAATAGGTTCCAAGGTTGTGGCTGACTGTTTGCCCAATGCAGTAACCGGAGTTCCTGGCATCCAGTGTGCTTCTGATTGCTGCACCAGTTGTTGTGATGAAACAGGAGTTTGCCTTTCCACTTGATTACTCTCAAGATTAAGGGTTGTCCAAATTCTTGTTCTTGTCTGTAGCAGCTAAGCATCATGTTCTATTAACCTACCTTTTCTGGCCTGTTGCAGGGCCGTGGCAGTCAATAAGGCCAGGGACCACAGGGAATAGTCTTCAGCGTTGTGTCTAGAGTATTTTACTCATTTACTATTCGTTTTATACGAGGTTGTGTTGGTGTCAGATGGGTCGTGATTAATGTATTGCGTGGTGCGAAAGCGCACAGGCTATATAGAGGCTATATTTCGCAGCGCACAAGTCATTGTGAATCGAGTTGATGTATGCAACCCGTGGATCAGAAAGATTCGAAATCACACATCTGTAGGCGATCGAGTGGAGCCACAAGCGTCGATCGGGGTTCTGCTGATGGCGTCAACTCGTCGTGTGTTGTCCCTTGCCTCCACGGTTTTGTCCCCGCAACCCATGCCTTGGACCAAGCCTGTGGGCCTGACGGTTCTAGCTAGCTAGCCCAGTGATGTTAGAAAGTAGAACTTTGAGGATCACAGCCAACTAGCCAGGGATGCTGATTCGCAATGTGACCAGACGACCTCTCGGGTGGGAATTTTGATTGGGTTGGATTTTACCGACAACAGCAAGATCTCGAGTCGACGGTGTTATGTGCAACTGGAACAGGAATCCGTGGAGATCAAAGTCTTTGCGCAAGACTTGGAGTACTTTTATAATTGTCGATACGTCCCTCTTCAGACGGATGCGGTCTGGTCTATATTGGCCCCTTGGCTGGGTCTTTTCGGGACGATGTGGATGATCAAGATAGACCGCCAATCTTTAAGATTGGGCAACGTGTGACCATTCTACGGGCAAACCAGTCGCAGTCGGTGGTGTTTCATGGATATCCTCGAATCAACGGAGCAGCCGGATCCTCATCGATTGAATGGTATTTGTCGACCCAAGTCGTCGGCCTTGCGCAATTCCATTGTGGACATTGATTTGTGCATGTATTCGCAACGAGATTCCACTAGTGTTGCATCCTCTATGTTTCGCGAGGACGAGGACGATTTGCTGGACTTCTGATGAATAAAGGAGTAACCAATGCGTGCAAGTCGCAGCAAGTAGCCCTTGGACAACCGAAACTCTGTGCCCCTCGAATCGAATCGAATCGAATCGAATCGACCTCACGTCACGTCCAGACGTCCACACGCGTGATTTCCTTTATTGCGATTGCTAGCTATAGTGATGGCTGCCTCAAGCCATGCACCTTGTGTTGGTCAGAGTCTTCGGAATGGATTCGTGCCACAGCTGACTCTTTAACTCAGGAGCATGCAATTGCAGGGCCTTGCCGAACCAACTGCTTCCAAGACTAAAATTAATGATAAGGACAAGAACATCCGAAGGTACAGCGTAGTCAGCCATGCATTGCTTCGTTTGTGGCAAATCCTATAGATAGGTAGGTTGTAAGATGTAGCTTGGACAGTACCGGTACTATGCATACTTAGTTCCCCTATAGATACAATAACCTCAAGCAGTGTGAATGGGAGGAACCTCCACTAACACTCGTTTGCAATTACACCTTACAACAAACAAACAGCTCCATGCATTGCTTGGGCAAGCGGTTGTACGGTATCCATCTCAAACCGTTCTAGCTCATTTGTTGCCGTTCATGTAGCCTCGGACTTGCCAGTGTCGTCGGGCACTTCAATAATGCCCAAGGCCAAAGCTTCTCTGAGGACTGTTAGAGACGGTCTGACACCGGTAGTCTTGGCCTCGTCAATGATGGATTGAACTTCTGTTTTGCGTCGTGTCAAGTCGTGTTCATCGAGCACCCCTGCTCCTTCTTGAGCTTGCACCAATACTAGTACAGCAGGGTCTTCCTCGTCACTAAATATTTCTGCAGTATTCCCGTGGTGATCGTCAGTGCCCCCTGGAGCTTGTTCCCGTGAATTGGTGTCTCCTTCCTCTTCATATTCATATTCTTCCCCCCCAAAAGCTTCTTCCCCTTTGGTGTTGTCGTCGTCTGACATTCTAGCAGCCTCCGCTGCATCATAATCGAAGGACACTTGTGCTTGCGACTGTTGTGACTGTTGTTGTGATTCGTTGATGATGGTTGGTGTCCGAAAAGCTGTACTGAGCCGAGTGGATATGAACCGAGAGGATTTCAACCGTGACCAGGGTGATCTGGTGGTGCTGACACCCCGATCCCAGTTTCGTCGAGTATTGTTTCCTTGTGGCCAGATGGTATACATGAATGTCTGGCAACACGACCAATCATGCTTATGATCCGCTCGATTCTTGAAAAAGGGCAGTGCAAAGTAGGCAATCGAACTCCAAATCCCGTACGTGGGTAGGAGCAACAAATTCAAGTAGAAGAAGGGATCTTGATCGGCGACCAAATCGTTTTCCTTGTCACGCCCCGCCAGGATTTCGTCTCTGACGGCGGTGAATAGGGCAAAGAACCATGTGATTTCAAAGCTGAGGACGTAGAGGGTACAGCGCAATGCCACCCGTCGTGATTGTGTCCGATTGCGTCCACCGGAATATCTATCACCGGCCCGTTCCGCGGAATAGACGGTCCAATAGACCATGATCATGGCCAATGCCACAATGATTTGTGTGATGAACAAGGGTAAATATCCCGTATAGAAGCGTAAGGTCCTCCAATTGGCCCCACGATCACAGGACACGGTAGGATGTTCGGAACATCCCAAGGGACTCTCAGCGACCCAACATAACCATCCCCCCGTAGCATTGTAGGCTTGATACGGCAATGGTAATATGGCCGCAAATAAGCCCAAGAAAAGGGGGATGGCATGCAAACATAACTCATAGTTTTTGAGGTACTCTTCGCCTTGTCTGAATTTGACCAATACCAAATAGACCACAGCCAATTCTGCATTGTACATCCAACTGGACTTGGAACTGAAATTATCCAAAAAGCCCTGAGCCGTACAGGTAGCCTGCGTCCCCGCCGCCCCATAAATCTCCACCATATTGCCATTGGCATCGACGACATTGGGTGGGACCATCCAAGTGGATAAGAAGGGAGTCACAAAGGTATAAAGCGCATCACTGATGGCGACACCCAACAGGATACGATTGCTCACTTTTTGGATTTGTCCAGGTGTCCGAGTGACATGATTGATCAGTAATGCCGAGCACACCAGTGATATACTACCGGTGACTTTGGGAGAAAGGGCAATCAGCTTGGCAAAGTCGGATCCCGAGCTCATGCTAATGATTGCAATGATTGATATATATATTAGTATTAGTATACCCCCTTCTTTACAGCTATATCTATAGATAAGAAAGAATACAGGTACTGCACCAGTATACTAGTAACATTAATGAGGAGGATGGAATACCAATACAATACAATACAATACAATACAATAGCTATACCGGTAGCTAGATACAGTACCATACATACCGGTACCGAGCCCAGAATTCAATCTGATGCAAAAGCTTCTGTGATGATGGAAGAAGAACGACTTCAAGTTGGTTTTCACCCCCATTGCTACTCCAAAACCCCCCTACCCCCATTGCTGTTTGGCATGGATAAGACTTATCGATATACCAGGTAGTCTGGCCGTGTCAGCCGATTTTGGTTACAGTATTATTTTTCGTACATGTTGTTAGCGATGGAGCGCGTGAGCGCGTATACATAGGTATGCATATACCTGGTACCAGGTATACCGGTAGGCACGGATGTGCGCCCTTTGTTGTTTAGAGAACCCTATCCTCACCATTCTTCCTTTCGAGTGAAGGACTGATTGGTGACGAAGCAATACTGGTACCGGTTACCATACCAGCAATGATAACATGCTATGATAACCGACTAACAAACACTGTTGAATTACAGTAAAAACTTGATCATAGTAAAAATCTGCTTTTGGTTTGCTGTCCACAGTACGGGTACGGTAGGCACAGTACTGTATCTAGCACAAGCTAGCACAGCAGGCAGGAAGATCAAGGTTGGCTAGCTATTAATAGTCCGCTTGGAATGAATGTCATTCATGGTGTCTTCTTAGCCAGCCAATCGAGCAAGGACAATCTAGGTACGTACGTAGTGGAAAAGCATTGCCGGCCAGTAGCTAGCATTGGCAGCCTCAGGCTGACCCACAATCTGCCTGTGATGGTATTTCACTGCCTGAAGCAAAGACTGTTGATGGTCAAGGTTTGCTTCGACTGGACTAAACCACCGTACGTACTCGACTTCTCCGAATCATTCAGCTTGATCGTGGCCAGCTACATACTGGCTAGCTAGCTAGAGTAGTGGTTTGTCTGTTCATCCCATGGGCATCCATTCTCAGAAACCCACCCGAGAACTTCCAAATGTCCATTTCCACGTCATGCCGGCGTGTATCTGCATCCCATGTCCCATGCCCCATGCCCAGTTCAAGGTTACAAGTGTCCATTCTCAGTGCCACTGGAGTCCCACGACTTGGCAATTCACTGCCAATGATACGATACCAAGACAGACAGCTTAACTAGCTAGTTTATGGGTTTTGCATACAGGGTTCGGATGCCCGAGCTTTCAAAGGAACCGAGAGAAATAGACGAAGACCTGGTGAATCTACTCTTTAAATCTTCTACACTCAACCAAGTTAAGTATCTTTGGACGATTCGTCCGTCTGATCTCGAGGTGAGCAGAAGATCTCTTGGACCGCCGACCAATGATCGAGCAACTGGCAAACGGACGAAACCAACAATCCTGCATCTCGTGAAACCTCGCTTCAGAGCTAGCTCAGTCTGACAGTGGCCATGGCTGCTGCTACCCATGTTCGCTACTAGTAAGAGACCGCACCTCCAGAGATCTAGGATGACAACAATAATGAGCCCCATGAAGAAAGGCATGAAACGAAACCACCGCACTGGTAGTACCGCTGGCAACCGCGGTAGACCCACGATCACAACCACGACCAGTCTGTTGTTCGTACTGTTGCTTCGATCATCTCGACTTTTCTTCGTTCAGGCCGATATTTGTTTCTTACTGTATCAGAATGCAGACAACTTATTAGAAACGGGAATGCGCAAGAGTCTGAAGCAATGGATCAACTCGGACGCCATTCGAGACCCGACCGTGACGACCTGGGTGTACTTTGACGCGCTCAATAATGTCAAGGGCGTGCGCAAGGACACGCCGGATATCAAAGTACCCACGACACCGCTGGAAGATGTCTGGACTAAGGATGGAAGTCAGCTCTTGACGGATGAAAGCAAGGTCAAGTTTACGGGGAGTTACTACATGTCGTTCGATCACGAAGACCAAAAGATGAAAGTCTACAAGGAAGTCCGCGAAGAACAAGACAGTGACGATCCCGGAACTCTATGGGGATTCGTAGGATACTCCATGGAACGTTGCCTGGGGCGTGGAGCCAACGAAACCTTTCTGATCTTGAATGGATACGGAGAAGGCAGCAACGGATTCGGTGGCGATGACAATAAACAACGGCGACAAAGACAGCGAAGGCGACGGCTAGTCCCCGAAGTCACAGAACCGGAACCAGACGAAACCCAAGATCCACCGATAGAAACGGACCAGACAGAAGGAGGAGGAGGTGGAACGCACGACAGCCAACCGGTCCAGGTAGAATCGCACGAAGATGTGGTCATGGCGCTGCGACAAGTCCTGCATGACCTGCACGGAGGACCTGCCAAGTTCTCGGTTTTAGGATTTGATGCACACTTTATGCAGACGTTTCGTTCCGTCAACGAATACAAATCCATCACCAAACACATGCTGGCCAGTCAATCTCTCATGCCTGAACATGGTAAGTTCCTTCCTTCCTCAGTGCGAAACTTCTACAATACCGGTATGATGCAATGCGCTTGGTCCTTATAATTAACCTTCATATCGAATTCAATCCATTTTCACAGGCTTGGCATACGAGACACTGACAGAGACATCCACAGCCAAGGCGCTGGCACAACAGATGGTGTCCGAGTTTGTTTCGCAGCCTCAATCCGATAATGGACATCACAGCACGCCCAAGACCCTTAGTTTGATCGATACAGGACTCCCCTTTACCACCTTTCTGAATGCCACCAATGCCTTTCTTGGAGCCATGACCGAACTAATCAAGAATCCAAACACGATGGATGCACACTTTTTTGCTCATTTACATCGAGCGCGATCCCAAGCTGTCACGTATGCCAAGGATTGTGCCATTGATCTGGGGAGCTTCTTGTACCAACTTGCCGACTTGTGCGATCCAGAACCCGATTCCGACCTGGCAGTCTTGGCCAACAACCTCAACGACGCGTACCGGCATTTGTTCGTTGCTCGAGACTTTGGACCAGGCACTGTGGAAGGCACCGGTTTACTCATTGATTTCCCCACGGTGCATGAGTACAATAAGGATCCGACCTTTTGGGAAGATAGCTTGTTTCTCACAAACGACCAAACCGTCCGAGAGGAGAACCCCAAATACGTGGAGTTCTTTCAAGCCTACGTGTCTGCAACACAAAGGGATGATCGACAAGCCATGACCACCGAGAGTGTCTGTCGCATCCAGGCAGCTGGAACATTTGTCGAAACTGCTTCTAGTGGAGTGACTATCTTTGTGCAACCCTTGTCATCGGTGAGTGACATGTCCAGATCGTTTGTCGTCGGCGGTATTGACAAGGAGGACGCCATGATGACCAATCCTGGTGTCGATGGACTCTTTGTGGACCCACAAGTGGCCAGCAATCCCAGTACGGGCCATGTCGAGGTCAAGACGGGATTGCAAATGTTAGCCACGACCGTGGATGCATTTTATGGAGTCAATGTTACCAACTTGATGGATGACTACAAAGGCGCGCACCAGCCGCATGATCAGAGAATGTTGCGTCGAAACCTAGGCTCGGAGCACCCGGTCAATAACGACGAGTTTATCATTCTTTACGGAGGCAAGGCACCCGGAGACTTTGTATCCACTCAAAACACCATGGAATGGAAGGCTACATGGGATCGGCAATTCTATGTCCTCAATGACGGCTCAGGCGAACACTTTCACATGATCTTTGTCAAGGAACCAGAAGAACCGGGTACGTTTGATGCCAAACAGGTGGAGGTTGTGTACTTTCCAGACTACAACACCAAGATACGCGAAGAAATGTCTGTGCGCAGTGGAACTCCTGTTGCCTCAGCCGTTCCTCATATGGGCGGAAGCAAGGGGTATCTTGAGATTCGCACGGACCCCACGACAGGCAAGGATTCGTTCACCTTGTACGAGACCTATTGCAAGATGGCGATTCTTGGGCACGAGAATTGCAATGTTCGTCAACCGATTGGTGGATTTGTTGCGCCAGTGATACCAGTCCGCGGGCGAGTTCATGGCCACATCCTGAGAGACATTGTGGGTGGACCTTCTGGTAAAGTCATCGCTTGGGACACTGTCGATGGATGGAGCTTGGATGCCATGTCCCAAACGGAGTTTCAAGAAGCCATCAAAGCCGGATCTGTTGTGATGGAATTGGAAGCAAGCTCGTCCGATGAAGTCAAGACTGATCTCCGTTCGTTCGACGTCACAGCCACTGATGATGGTCGAGTCGAGAAGATTCTCACTGAGCAACCGACAGGATCCCCGACGACCACGCCAGCAACACCATCCCCTACAACTTTACGACCAACAGGATTCCCAACAACCCTACCTCCCGAGATTCCTCCTGCCGAGCCGGATGTTGCCAGGTGCAAGCCCGCCATTCAGAGCTCTACACTAGAAGGCAATGTAGCCCGACAGGTACGTCGAGGACTGGTTACCGCGACTTCCTTGTGATATTCCCAACGGATTCTCTCACTTTCTCACTTCCTCGTCCTGCAAAGGCATTAACGGGCGACATAAATATACTGTCACACACACAATGCGAAATGCACCCCTGGTGGATGGTTGATCTGTTCTCTTATCGCCCAATCAGCAGTGTAATAGTTCATAATCGTCAGGATTGTTGCACTGATCGATTGAGTGGCGTTGTGGTTGAGTTGCTGGATGAAAACGATAAAGGCATAGCCTTTGTCCAGCACAACCCCGATACGGAGGGTCCCATCGAGTCGTCCTGGACTGCACAATTCGAAGGACAGGAAGCAAGGAAAGTTCGAGTGTCGATTGAGAGGTTGGACGAATGCGAATTTCTGAATCTGGCGTCGGTGCAAGTGTTTAGTGACAGCTGCACTGAGAAGGATTCCTGCAGCCACATTGGTGGTGGTTGCGACTACGGCAACGTTGCCCTCTGCAAGCCTGCCACACAGAGCACATCGTTTGTAGCTGATCCCGCCAATGACCCCACAGGGAGTGAAAACGGTGCTTGGAGAGCCACGGATGGAACCCCCACTCTGTCCCACACCGACTGCGAAGAGGCACCATGGTGGGAGCTCGATTTGCTCAGCGAGCGGATTGTGACAGAAATCGTCATAAAGAATCGAGAAGATTGCTGCTTTGAGCGGCTGAACGGACTGACAGTAGAGCTCACGAACCAATTCAACCAGCTCACCGGGTTGTATCAACGTAAGTACAATATCCTGATTGGAAATCTGTCGGATCTTAACTTCTAGTCGCTCACACAAAGCCCATGCTGTTCTCTACAGACGACCCAGCTACAGGTGCCATCAAGCCAATGCTGATTGTCCACTTTGACAGCGTAGAAACCAGGAAGGTGCGTCTTTCCTTGAAGCGAGGCCCAAACGATTTATGTGGATTTTTGAACTTGGAAGAAGTACAAGTCTACAGTGATTGCATCCCAGGAGATGCGTGCCAAACAGAAACAGGATGCCCGCAAGTGGCAATAGCAACTTAAAAAATAAATTCATTGACAGATGGGGCTTCTCCTTATCCTTGTTCTTCCAAACGACCTCGTCAGTGTCTGCAAGTAGCGACACATGAGCAAAGACCTTGCTGTTCGTACTTGGTTGCAGACTCTGGAGAGATGCAAAGCTTTACCAAACTTCCACACATTGGCTCTCGCAAAGGTCCCCTATTTGTCCCCGGATCCCAAGTCTATATAGCCTTCTCTTCTCTTTAAAAGCTTCTCCCGCCGCCAACTTTCCTTTTGTAGCCAATAACTTCCCTACTCTACGGGTATGCACAAGACCCCTTTTCTTTTGATCTAATCCACAGATGTAGACTATTGCATAGATAGATGTGCTTCCGTGACACGGTTTAACTTGTGTAGTCTCGGTGTTGTATTGGACACACTGGCTTTTAACACATGATGAATAAAACAGCAAAAGCTGTCCGCCATTGCCAGCATTGGTTGTTTTCCACTTTTTTTGCCGACAGCTCGTTGCATGCTCTTTGTGAACTACTACATGTACCACTACTTCGCCTTGGTGGGATAGGTCCTGTTGTTATCATAGCAACCAGTAGTGAACAGCGTTTGTTTGATTCACCATGAAAGCTTTTACTGGAGTTAGCCGGTTGGTGTTGCTTGGATTCTTTGGATCTCATATCATCTTTACACTGTGTTTGGATTGTCAAGGTATGAATCTACCAGGTGCTTGTGGCCACAAGGGTTGCGTGGCAAATCTGAACTCTGCTTAAAATCTTACATCTCCGCCTTTGCAATGATCAGCTGTTCTACCTGAATCTCTGTTTCCTCAGGCGTTGATTGATTTGGGCAAATACGAAGTGGAGACCTTCAATGATCCCCTTATGGGCAACGCCCGCAATCTTCTGTGGTTCCAATCCATGGTCTGCCTGGAACTGCTATTCCAACTGCCATACTTTTTTGCAGCGTTGTACTACATTGGAGACGCTTCCGCCACGAGCTATCCAGACGGTTTTCGGGCGGCTTGCATTGCCTACGGGGCTCATACCAGCACAACTCTCATCCCCATTCTCTCCACCTTTTGGGCAGCAGACTACAACGGGACCACGCAGGAACGAGTGTCCTTGACCGCCATGTACTTTCCTTATCTCGCAATTCCCGCGTGGCTGTTGTGGACTGCAGCCACGGATAGCAGCGGAGCAAAGACAGGACAAAAGTCAGACTGACCAACGTCCTGCAGATACTATTTTTGTCTAGGAAAGAAAAATGCTAGACAACCACACCAAAATATAGACAGGAAACGTCACATCTAAAATTAGAACAGTTATGAATTGGGATTTTGCTTTGCTCAACTCAGATCAGACCAATCTTCCTTGCAGACTCTTTGTCGTCATGGCAAGACAGGCTTCATAGTCAAACCGTTGGACTTGATGTGTTTCATGACATGCTCCCTTAGTTCCTGCTCCATCCGTGGCATAGACTGGGCGGCGCTACCGGGATGCGTCTTTCTTGTTTGCTCCTTGATGGCTTGTTCACTCCAACAAAAGTCGGGCAAGGATCGACTCGTTTCCTCTCCCAAATGCGCCCGGAGAGCGGCGTCTTGCTTCTTGCCCTTGGTACAGATCTCAACCATGGCAGTGGTGCTCTCTCGCAACAAGGGCTTGAGCATCCGATAGAGCAAATAGAACCACTTGGGAGCATTCACGATGATCGTCTTGTGCGCTCGCATGGGAAAGTGAGCATCAAATGTCGTGGCCATTTCCTTCAAAAAGCTGACCTGGTCCTTTTGACCGAGTTGGTGGAAACGCAAGTCGGCCACATCGATAATGCTCGTAATGGTGGCACGGGGATTCTCAGCCTCGATGATCTGCCAGAGGTACTCTTGGACGTAAATGGCATGACGAAGCATGTCATGATACTCGAGCCCATTCCGTTGCATCTGTTCGTCATTGAAGCGTGCCGGTTGCTGTACGTACACGACATGGCTCTCCACGTCCCGGCCAATGAAAACGTGGGGCACGACTTGCTTGCAAACATCGTAGTTGACATGAGGCTCGTTGAGGAGGTCGTTGATGCCCTGATCTCGACGCCACTCCACCGTCTTTTGCACGGCCTTCAATGCCAGATGACGGTCCTGTTGGGCCATGGTAAGATATCGTGTAGGAATGCCATCGAGATCTTCTGCACTGCCGTCGCCTACTTGGTACAAGCTGAAGAGACCTCGATCCTTATCACTGTACACAACGTCTGATGCTGAATCGCTGCGAGAAGTAGTTGTGCTTTGGGTGTCTTCCGGTTCTTCGTCGATATCGTCTTTGATAGGGTACAATGACATGTTGCAGTAGCGGGGCGATAGTAAGGTCAGGTTGCCCTTCCAAGTTTGCCCGCTGTTCACCACTATGTCGACAGAGTGCTTTGTACGAACAATACGAGGGGATGAAGTGACAATCATGGTGAAGAATACTGGAATACAAAAGGACGAGAGAAAAACTGTCAATTTCATTTGTAGGGTAAAAAGGCGTGTTTGATGCTGTGATCTTTTGGTTTTTTATGGTATTCCCATCTCGGTTATTTTCGGGCTGTGCATACATACATGCACCGAGAGGATAGTTTTGTGCTCGCCAGTTCGCCAGTGCACATTCCAACGACTGGAAACTAGCTACATGTAGTAGACTTCTAGCTAGGTGATGCATGGGATGCCAAGATTTCTCAGACGGCAATGAACAAGCTCCCAGACAGGCAGCCCCAAGCTTTTTGAGCTCGGGCTCGATCGGGCACCATGCTCGCTCCTCTCGTCTTCTTGTAAGTATTACACGCTACTGAATACAGCCAGCCACCGGTAGCGTAGCCAAGACTATTACTAGCTAGCTATAATAGTAGGTTAGTCACACATGTACCTCCAAGCCTCCAAGTGTGCATATGAGACTCCAGTTTTAAAGTTTCTCCACCACGTAAGCAATACTCGAATAGGATTTAATACTGGTACTTAAATGGATCATTGGGGTACTAGTACTTTTACAAGTGCTTGTAATACTTGCTTTTCGTCCACACTATGTCATTCAGTCGCGGATACGTTCGTGGTCCAGAATGAATAGAATGAAAAATGCATGCAGGAGCAGCAAGACCGCCAACCCTTTACTAGCTAGTACTAAGCAATGCCCTCCTTTGTGCGCGATGTGCCCACCATTGCGTGCCATGTGCCCAACTCGCTTTCATCTCTCTCGGTCACAAACCAAACAATATTAAATATATCCAACAAACGCACTAGCTAGCTAGCTAGCTACCGGTAGCAAAAAGAAGTATCTATCTATCTACAAACAATCATGACAACCGAAAGCCAACAGCATCAGCCGACGACAATGCGGGTGGTGGAATCCGAGCCATTACCATGCTCGCTTGCAAACAACACAAGCTCCGGATTACTGTGGCAGAAGATTTCGGTAACTGCTTTGAAGAAAACGGGCGAAACCGATACAACCGTGCTGCACGGTGTCACTGGAATGGCCGAGAGGGGACGCCTAACGTGCATCGTTGGAGGATCCGGTGCGGGCAAGGTAAGTTCAGTTCCGAACAGACTTGATTCAAGATGGAAAGCCGTTCCTGACTTCACTGACGTAACGTAACGTAACGTAACGTTGCATTGATTCGGTAAACTTCAGACGAGCTTGATCAAAGTCCTTGCCGGTCGCATCCGGGCTTCCAAGGACCTCGTTCTGGAGGGCCAAGTCTTTCTGGATGGCAAAAAGGTCGACCCCGGAGTCCTTGCGAGCTCGTTCGGTGGGGCAAAGAAGCATCTCGGTTATGTTCCCCAGCAGGACACGCACATCAAGACAATCACACCTCGTGAAGCGATCCGCTTCTCTGCCAAGCTTCGTTTGTCCAAGCACGCAACCGAGAAGGAAATTGATGACCTGGTCCAAAACACGCTCAAGGAACTGAGGCTTTCGACCGTTGCCGACAGATACGGATCCAACCTCAGTGGAGGTGAGATGCGTCGCCTATCGTTGGGTGTCGAGCTCGCCACCAAGCCAAGCATCATGTTGTTGGATGAGGTCACATCAGGCCTGGATAGCCACAGCGCCGCCGTAGTGATGGAAATTTGCCGCGTGGTGGCTCGTGAGCAACAGGTTGCTATGCTCCTCTCGGTTCATCAACCAAACTCGGAAGTCTTTGAGAAGATGGACACTTGTATCCTTATGCACAATGGCCGCTTCATGTACCAAGGAGAAGCTTCCGGAATGATGGACTACATGACATCAAAAGGCCTACCACCTCCTGTCGGATACAATGCCCCAGACTGGGCAATCAAGGTGGCCCAAACGAACAGCTTCCAAGATCTCTGTAACAAGCATGGATTCTTTGACGCCGTGGAGGAGTCCAAGTTTTTCTTGCTCGACAATGACAGTCATGACACCATGGGCAGCAGCAGCAACGATGAAGATCCGTGCGCGAGTGTTGCTGCTGGTACTGACAAAGCTTCCCACTCCTTTCAGCGGGTCTCGCTCTTGACCGAAACCAAAGAGATAATGCGCAGAGATTTCCGAAATCTATGGCGCGATCATGAGGCCCTCAAGTTGCGAATATTGACCGTTGTCGTCATCTCCGGCCTCCTTGCGATTTGCTTCTGGCAAATTGGCTCTGACTCACTTTATAGTGCCAGTGCCTTCTCCTATCATGTCGGTTCTATATTCCTCTTGTCAACTGCAACATTTGTCCCTCTGCTCATGGTTATCACCGACAGGTAAGGCTTGCCGTGACTTTCAATTGCACGGGTTGGATGCGATGCTATAGCAGAGCAGCCCACTCTAACACACTTTCATGATTGCGACATCCTCATCCAGCATTGAACAACGTCAAGTCTTTGTCCGAGAGCACTCCGCTGGATACTACCGTGCATTGCCGAATGCAATCACCAAGATACTGCTAGATGCTGTAATTCTGGCAGTCTTCACCATCACCATCCTGCTTATTTCGTTTTGGTCCCTTGATATGACTGGCAGCTTCACCGCACTGACCTGTGCGCTCTTTCTTGGCTCAATGGTGGCCAATGCTTTGGGACACTTCTTCGTAACCATCCCTGAAAATGCTGCTTTGGTCATGGACTTGGTCCCGTTGGTCCTGACACCACAGACGCTCTTCTGCGGCTTCATCATTGCTGTCGATGCTCTGCCCAAATGGATCCGGTGGTTCTCTTGGCTCCAGCCACTGACTTATCTGTACAGGATTCTTCTCAAAAACGAATTTTCATCCTGTTTGGAGCACACTCCAGAGGAAACACTCCTGTTGAACTGCGCCCGGGCGGCGAGAGAGGTGCTTCATACGAATGGTGTGGTGGATCTTGCTGGATTGTACGACGACAACACCGTGTTGTCCGTACCCACTGTCGGTGTATTTGTTGGCAACGATGCTATCCAGGAGTACGTTCGATATTTCTCAGTGCAAGGTGATTCGGGTCCCGACTTTCTACTTTGGGATACTTGCTCGGTGAGTCTCCGATCTGCATGGCGTTGTTTTTGTTGTCGGCTGTTCTCCATCATGTCTGATGACCAAATTCACGGTTCATTTCGATGCGCTTCGTTATCATGCAGACGGAAGGGACACAGATCATTGAACTTCAGGAAGTCGGTGAAGGCTATTGCGAAATTACGCTTGCCCATGCTGGTGAGAGAAAAGGAATTCTTGCGGTCGCTGCCTGCCGCCAACCAATCCTCACGCCTCTCCTTATTCGTTTGGTTCGGAAGTCTATTCCTTGGTGAACCCTAAACTTCGCAGTTCGCCTGAAAAGATTGCCAACTCGATGGTGTTTGGTGACCGATTTCGATTGGAATACGGCGAAGACGGGAAGGACGCGCACATGGCAAGTCGTAACGTGTACTTTCCCCCACAATTCTCCACTATCATTGGCGGCACCGTCGATGATTCCATCATGCGGTCTCATGTCTGCGTCGCCATGGAGGATTACTGCCCTTCAGTGTTTGAACAGAATGGCTTTGAAACCCCCAGCGATTGTACAGAAGCGTTGGCACCAATCCCAGTGGTTACGAGATCCCATCAAGGGATTGATACCATAGATGGGAACTCGCTGGGTTGCCGGCACGTTCATTCAACGTTGGCCAAACACGACCCCAGTACCCATTGCCCGCACATGTCGTTGCTCCCCATGGAAGATCCTGCAGGAAAGGTCAAATGCCAGGATAGCTACAACTTCACCTATGAAGAGTTTTTTACTCCCGAAGACTTTGCCTTGTTTGATCTCGTTGCCACCCGAAACGGACTGGATGAAAGTCACATGCACTTGTTTCGAGTGGAAGAGTCCCCTCCTCCAGAAGTCACCTGCGTGCAATCAGTGGTTTCTTCCGATGACGTCGTGTCATCCTTTGGTCTTCCATCGGACCACTTTTGTTCCTCCTATCTTGAAACACAAAAGGCTACGGATGAGAGTGCCATCACTGGCTATTGGCTGGCACTGCTTGGGATGTGGTGCGTCTTCCGTGGCCTTTCCATCTGGAGCTTGAAGCACAAGGGCACACTCTGAAAAACTTGTCAGGACACATACATATCCATGTAGTAAACCCATTGTAGTAAACAATACAATTTTGCTTTTATGGGAAACAGTAGATAGACCATCCCGAGGCAGTTGCCAATGACGAGGCTAGTCATTTCGTTGGAGGAGATCCAAAGATTGGAAGGCTTTGGCGGTGAAGGATCTTGCAGAGCAGGATGCCTTCGGTTGTCTCCGTATCACCATCGTCTGCTACTGGCTAAGAGTAGTACCTGGTAGCCCTCTTCCAAGATTTCGGTGTGGTCAAGCAAGATGAACCCCAAACACTATGCATACTAGCTACCCGGTACAGCTGTAGCGGTACCAACTCCTCAGAGCATAAGCCAGCAGAGTACCGTAAGCTTTGCCACCCAAGACTTGGGGTCCTGAAGTGCCGTCCTATTAGTGCCGCCTCTTGACCTATCCAAGCCCTCTAGTAGCTAAGCCAACCGTCGCTAGCGACGCCGACGGGCTCATCATCGGCATCAGAATGGTGGAACGTAGCATCAACTTCATCATGGTTGGGTACTGGTACCAATGGCATGGCTTTCGGCAATGCCATCGTAAACAGCTTTGGCTGCTCCACCGGGTCTCTTCGGGACAAACTGCGTCCTTCCACCCACCTAACGGTGCCGGTAGATAGCCAGCTAAGCTGATGATTTGAAGTACGTTAGTGTCAGGGTTGATGTTTCAAGACGCTGGCTGCATTTCCACTCTGGTGGTCCACGATCCTTACGTATCAGCCTGGCTGGGCACCAGTAGCACGAGCCAATAACCAGCAGTTACTTGGATGTCACTATGGCTTAGAGTTGACTAATCTCCCGTTAGTAGTTAGAGTTGGGTGCATCGATCGATCGATCCGTCGTTGGTCTTTTCTTGATGTGGTTTCGGACTATTAATAGCTGCGAAGCTCCAAAGTACGTTTGTGTCAGGCCTCAAGACAAATTGAGGTGCAGTTTCTGTAAACAAGGCCAGCTTCGGCACAGACAGAGGGAGGACTAAGGGGTGCAACTGACTTCTATATTGGTACCACCAGGTACGAGTACCAGGTAGCTCTTCTTGTATTCTTCATCTCTCCGAGTCGAGCCGAGTCAGTCTATCGAGCTGCACAGAACTCATGTTGGAATCAATGTCGGTTCCCATCCACCATGCCAATAATCGTCCGGAGACTAGCTACCGTAGCGCGACAGCCTTTCTATTCAGGCCACTTACTTTTTGGCTTGGCCAAGGGTAAGACTGATTGATTGATTTACCTACTTCCAACCAACGCTTCTTGCCTTTTACTCCGAGTAACTACTGGAGTACCGTATTTATTCATTTTGGTGCAGCACTCCTTCTCTAACGGCTCAATTGCCAGGTGAAAAAATTGATAGTTTTGTCATTTATTCCTTTTTCTCTGATTCGATTCTCATGCATCATTCAATGGATCCTTCATGAAATGCTCGCTTCCAAGATCTCGGCTTGTCTGGCGGTACTGGTACCTGGTGCCAACAGATTGATTTTCCTACCATACTCCGAGTACTGTACCGGTACTTTCGACCAGCACTGAAAACTTTCATTTAGTGCCTTCGAACTACCGTAACAAATCACTTGCAGTGCTCCTCAAACGTGGACGGCTCGATTGCCAGATGCAAGAGTTGGTCCGATTCATTTCTCAGTCCTCTTTTTTCTGTCCGTGCATTTACATGTACATGTAAAAAAGCTATGTAATGAAGTACCGGTACATGTCAAGGACAGTCGGAAATCTCCTAGGTTGCAATCTCCCACGAGCGCGCTGGCCATGCTTGCATAGGACCGGTATGCATAGGGACTGGATCTTGCTGGTACTGTTGTAATACTACCGTGACAGGCAGGCTTAGAAGGGTAGTTTAGGTAAAATGGGATTAAAGATATTTTAAAAAAGAGGTTGAATCTCATTCGACTTCAAGACTGTTTTTACCAAATCTCCTCAAAACCGAAAGATGTCTTCCCGTAGATCTGATCCATGCTCTGCCGGTACAATAGCTGGCTACGGTAGTACCACTGAAGCCAGCTATGCATAGATAGATGTGTAAGAAAAGCTCACAAGGTCTGAGGTCGAATCGCCAATGGTACTACCATAACCCAAAAGCTCTTCCCCTCTTATTCAGGAGAACCCATCTCCGACAGCACAGTAGTCATTTCGGGACAAAAAATCATTATTTTGTTTGCCAATCACGGTTCCCGCCCAACGTTTCGCATTCTTCCTGCCCTCCTGAAGTTTAGACCACCGAAGTATGCCTATTTGTGTGTATGACCAATATGATCACATCAGTGATACCAAGGCCACAACTTCCTTCTGGGGATCCAAGCAGGATTAAAGGAGGCCAGTGACTGTAGTGTTCCAGCAACTATAACTGATGCAAGAATTAACAGGGATCAACAGTACATCGTCCACATCGGCGAGCCTCATACTCTAGTAGAGCACACTGGCAAGGCTTCTGCCTGCCCCAGAAATATCTATCCTCCAGAAATTTCTCCGCCAAAAGTATCGTTGAATACATTCATGCTCCATCAGGATGTGTAAGAAATCTCATAATTTGAGTTTGCAAACAACCTCAGAGCCGAGTGACAGTCGATCACAAGCAAGCTAGAGCAACGCAGAATCCGGTGCAACACTGAACAGATCATAGAAGGCATCATGAGCATCAAGAAAGGTAACGCCATGGGTGATATGGTACACTATACTCGTATGAGCTCCTTGGACGAGTCAGATGTTAATGATTTGTGTAGAATGATCCTCAATCTCAGTGGCTCTGTGGATGTTCTGACACAAACCGTGGAAACCGTGAACACAATTATGGACAATCGACTTTCCAAGCTTGAACTGAATACGGGGAACAAGGAGGAGACCAAGGAGGAGCACAAGGAGGAGAACGAGGGGGGCGAGCCTTCCCAAGCCAAAGCAAGAATCACCAGAATCGAACCATTGACGAGCGATATCAAAAGTGTTACTGTGAAGATTACCAAAGGTAACGTGTGTTTTGAGGCTGGCCAGTTTATGGGTGTCTACGATGGTCGAAGAACTGGCTTGGACGTTGGTAACAGCATTTTTCCAGGGACATACTCCGTGGCTTCTCCGCCCAGTGCTCTCCCCTTCATTACCTTTGCAATTGGTCAAGATAATAATCCTCGTAGTCTGAGGAACTTTCTCTACAATCAAGCCAAAGTTGGGGATCCCATCATGTTGGACCAGAAAGGATCTGGCACTGTTGCCATTAGCCCTCGCATGGTGATGACCCCCATGGGAGGACCTGGCGGATTGGTACTCATCGGAGGCGGATCTGCTGTCATGGGACTTGTGTCGATTGTGGAGGAACTCCTCTCCGATAAGGAAGGTCAAAAAATTCCCTCTATCACTCTCATTCATTCCAACCGATCCAACACGAATGTCCCCTTCTATGAGAGAATGACACGGCTCGACAAGGAAATCGCCCAGTTCCATTACAAGCTGTTCATCACCGGTGATACGATGGGACCTTCAGAAAGCCCCAGGGGTGCTGTGGGAAGGGTAGGCGTTCGTGACTTGGTGAACGTAATCCCCGGAGCCCGTCTTTTTTGCGTCTGCGGAAGTGGTGTCTTTTGCGAAGCAATGGTCAATTCCCTGTTGAATCTAGGTGTGTGGCCAGGAAGCATCCGAACCGATTACACCACAAGAGTTGATCCTGCTCGAAAGCTCCAAGAGATTGATGCGGCCAAAGTCCACCAAACGTCCTCAACTCGGTTTGAATCTTGTTCCGATGCAACTCAATCCAAGGGTACAATGGTCTCTACTGACAGTGGACAGAACTATTTGAAGACCTATGGCATTGACATTCTCCTCAGCAAGATAGCCTCCCGGTTGGAAGAAGAAAAGCCTGACTATCCATTGGAGTTTCTCAAGGACGAGATCCAAAAAGCACAAGAGGTTCTACCAGAGATCAGCAACAGCAATGCCGGCGATCCAGAGTTTTGGATCAACTATTACGAAACAGACATGGTAACTTGGCAAGCCCCTGTTGTGAGTCCCTGGTTGGTGAAGTACCTCCCTGACTTAGTGGGATCATCATCGGCGTCAAAGCGAGTTTTTGTGCCTCTCTGCGGCAAGAGTTTGGATCTCAAGTTCTTGTTGGATAATGGCCACCACGTCATTGGCGCCGACTGCAGCGGCATTGCTTGTCAAGACTTCTTCAAAGAGAACGATATCCCTGACTACATCCAAGAAGTTGTAGCTCACCCCGAAGGCAAGCGTATTGTTCGTCACAAGTCCAAATCACTTCCTATTGAGCTCTATGAAGGTGATATCTTTGACTTGACTCCTACAATTATTGGCGGCACCGTGGATGCTGTGTTGGACCGAGCTGCACTAGTAGCCCTCCCCCCACAGATCATTCAAAACCAATACTTGCCTCATATTACCAAGCTGCTCAACAAGCAAGCTGGTGGCAAGGTGTTGTTTGCATCTGTGGCAGAGCTACCATTTCCCAAGGCCCCACCTCATACATATGAGCAGAACATGATTGAATCAATCCTGGCTTGCTTTTTCTCAAAGATTGAGCTCAAGGAGACTCATCGTTACCGTGTGAATGCTGGATATGTCTCGGAGCCCATCTATTTGTTGGAAAACGGCGGTGACGACGACGAGTTGGGCGCATGGTGTTAATAAGAGCAGGGAACATCCAAAAGGATCGTCATTCACCGTAGGTTCTCAATATTTGTTTCGTAGATTAAAGTAAAACACGAGCTCTGCATGTCTTTCTCCTCGGCTATGCAGTACTGCAAGTAGATGTGGAGCTCTTCCAGCTTTCATCTGAGAAAAATGGGCACAGTCGTTTTTCAAAGTGTTTTTTTAACGTCACAGAGCAGCCCTAGCTGGACACCCTCCAGCTGGTTGCTTCCAAAAGAGCTTTGGGCTTTTTGTATCATATGGTAAGCCTCTCGAGGCTGCCTCGTTGGGCTGTGAGCCTTTCCATGCAAACGGTGAGCATCATGCAAACCAACTAACTGTGAATGAGTGTGACTGAACGCGGAGTAACCTTTACTCCAGCTGAGCTGCTGGAAAGAGCTATTGACAGAAGTATTGAAAGATGTAAGAACAAGAACTTCATCATCGAAAACTACCATAACAGCTTATGCAACCAAGTCCATCGGATTGTTTCCTTTTTAGAAAGTTGTCTTCATTGACTACTATACAAACAAGTCCATCGAATTGTTGAACCCAGAGGAACGCAGAACTGCGGGATGACCTGACCTGCAGGAGTGCTAGCCTCATCCGACGAACGAGTTCGTAATATTGTATAAAAGAAGACGCATTGCAACTAACTGACAAACAAATCCACACACGCCACGGTGCCACGATCTTTACGGCATCATTTGGGCAGCGTGAACCAATCACTTTCAACTAGCTAGCTATACAGAAGGCAGAGTTCATCAGCCATCTTTGCTTGACTTGGTCCTGATTCAGCAGGAGCCACTGAGTTGACGGACGGCACGGTGTAGCTCCCACCAGCTGGTTGCTTGCTCATCTTGATACGGGTAGAGCCCAACGAAGGAACTGATTCATCTTTGGCTCGTACCGTACCAGTCTGACTAAGGTATTCATACCGGTAGCTGTAGAGCAGCTGCTTCCACAACAATGACACTGCGGGTGTGAGCGGTGGCTCTTGTGGTGGAGTGACTCGACGATCTTTCCTGACTCACGGATTTCTCCAAGACAGCAAGACACGACTACCACGTCACGCTGGTTTGCTTTCGGTGGGAGTATCGCTGTAGATTCCGGCATGCAATGTCCGGATGTGTTCTCTGGTCTGGCAGCACTAAGTGCGTCTTGGCCACGTCAGACTTGAGTTGCTGCTCGGGCATATGGCAGGACCAGATGCGTACGTAGAAACGTACTGGCTCCCGAATTATTGGTCCCGAAGTTTTGAGTCATTCGAATTTTTGCACAGTGGTTCTTGTAGTGACTCGGTCATTCTGTTCTGCAGGCAGCATTGGAAGTTGGAAGAACCTCTGATCGCTTGATGGCTCCTTGTCACTCTTGATGCCAGAATTGCCAGAGCTCACAATTTGAGTTTCCAAGAAAACCAAAACCACAAAAACACTCAACGGATCATCCTTACCCAAGACTACCAACAAGACAACAAATCAATCACCATGATGACATCTGCTGCCACTGCTTCCAAGCACTCCACTCTCCGCCTACTAGTACTGGTATCTTCCTTCCTGGCTTCTTGTACTGCATTTCAAGTAGCGACGCAAGCTCCTCCTGCAGCGACCAGCCTGGGTTACACGGTGGGATCAGATGTGATTCCAGAGACAGCGTGGAAACCAGCTCCTCCTGCTCCTGCCGTGGATCGTAGTAGCAGTAGTAGCACAAGTAGTAGTGCTAGTGAACACCGATTGCCCAACATGAGGACAGTTTCGACTCGCGCTGAATTTGACGAATTTGTGAAAGATTCCACGCAGCTGACCGTGGTTCGATTCCACGCTCCATTTTGCAAGGCGTGCAAAGCCATGGCGCCCCAACTGGAACGCTTTGCCAAGAATCATCCCGAAATGAACTTTGTACAGATTGCTTATGATAGAAGAGACCCCGAAGTCAAGGGATTGGTCCAAAGTCTCCGCATTCAAAAAGTACCCTACGGGCTAGTCTACCATCCTGCCGCGGGACTGGTCGAATCGGCCAATTTCAACAAGAAGTACTTTTCCAGCGTCGAGCAAATGTTAGAGGAATACCATCAAGGCATTTGCTATTTGCCCGATCAAGTCGACGAGTATTCCAACGTGTACGAGGCGCCTTATGCTATTGTGCAATAATGAATGTCTTTACTGAGCCAAATCAGGGACGACCGAGACGGGGGGCGCTTCATGCGAAAACTACGAGCCTCAACTACAACGACAGCCAACAGCAACGAGATACACCACCACTATAGAATTCACTAAAAGCTAACTCATAAAAGCAATACAGAAAACGTTTACACAATAGTTGACACTCAGCCAGCACACCGGTATCCAGAAAACTTTCAGTTCATCAGGCCAAGAATCAAGCAGCACCAACAGCCTGTTGATCGAGGTTTGTGATGGCTTCATGTTGATGGCTTCAGATGATAATATATATTTCCGTTGGCTACCACCAATATTTCCGTTGGCTACCGGTGCTACCGCCACCGGTACCGGTAGGAGGCAATTACTACCAAGGAGACGCTGCAAAGGGGGGCTATAGAGGCATGGCTCAGGTGAGCTCAGCCAATGACTCTTCCCTTCACCTTTTATTGCACCATTTCAAAAATGGCAGATGTGAAGAGGACGGGGCTTCAGATTCTCATTTTTTCTTTTGGCTAGTACGCATACGGTAGCTAGGGAAGCAACGCCATTTGCCCCTTTTTTGGCCATTGCTGCCAACCAATTGCTTCAGAGGTTGATTTTCTCCCATGTATTCGGTGTTCTGAGCTCAACAGAAAATCAGTGTCCCCAATATTCCGCTTTGCCAGCTCCTTGGGTGGTCCGGTGATTGTACATAGATGATGACATTGTGTCGAGGGAGGGATTGATTGTGATTCACGAGCTCCATGGCAAAAAGGGTCCTGGTTCCAATACCACGTCTGATACTTTGTTCACTGTTTACCGATGTTTACCCACAAGTTACCCTCATTTGTCTAACAAACGTGAAACAAGAGTGCCACTTTGACACTTCTCAACCTGGACGCACACCGAGACGGACTTCCAAGTGGATCGAGAAGCACCAAGCCCAGGGCTGCATTTTATCCTCATTATTGACATAGGCTATCCCCCCCTCAGCCTAACTTAGCTATAGCACTCGATCGATATACTGGTTGTCAGCCTTGCTGATCGTGCACCGTCATGGAGCCAGACGGTATGTCAGCCAGTGCCAATAAGGCGGGTCTCCCGGTAGCTTCAGCAGAGGCGGTCTCTGGGGTCCATGGCAGCGAAGATACCCCTATGGTTCCCGTGGTCCTGATTGAGGAGGATGAAGCGAATGATCCACCTGAACCTCCTTCATCTGCAGCCTTCAATACTACTGGTACACATAATACCAGTGGTGAGTTCAAGAAGAAACCAGGATTGCGACGTTCCAGTAACCCTACTACCGGTACCGGTACCGGTACGAATTCTGGTACACCAGACACAGTCAGAGCGGCAGTGGCGCCTGCAGTAGCCAAGCATGGTCTTGCAGCACGTCGACCCTCGTCCCAACAAACGACCACAAGAATCCCTGATCCTCCTGATCATGAATATGACTCTCACTCCACAGATTTTCATGAAGGACTGGTTCCTCAACCTCCAGCTGCTCGTCCTCCTATGGCAACACCAAATTCTGTCATGGAGGTTCCCAGAGCCCCCTCAGGAAACGTTTTCACAGATACCATGATCCACTACAAGACAGAAGCCATGAATCACGAAGAGAACGACGAAGAAAATCCACCCATCGTTGAAGAAAATCTATTGTCTCCGCCTACTGATCCGAAAAGTGCTACCGATAAAACCGCTTCTTTGTCCGTTCCTTTATCCGAAAAGCAAGACAGCAAGAAAAGTATCAGCGAGGATACTGTGGCAGTCCCCAAAGTTTGGATATGGACTTGTCTCGTGCTTATTATCTTGGTGGGTGGAATTGGGGCGGCGGTTGGGATTACCTTGAAGGTCTCCAACAACGACAGCGAGAGCACCCCCACCACTACCACCACTACCACAGCAACCTCGTCTTCCTCGGAATCTCTGCCCGCCACTGTCGGTCCAATCGCGACTACACAACTCACCGACAGTGGGCCAACCGCTAACGATTTGGACCCTTTGGACACTACCACTCCAGCCCCAACAGATGAACCTGTCTCGTCACCCGCTCAAGAACCGACAATGTCACCCACTACAGAGCCTACTGTATTGCCAACTACACTGCCAACTGAAGAGCCTACCATCTCACCCACTATCTCACCCACTGCAGAACCTACGGCAGTTCCAACTCCAGTCCCTACCGACGAACCAGTGTCATCTCCGACGGTGGCTCCCACAATTTCAGTTACAGATGCTCCCAGTGCACAACCAACATCGACAAACCTTGACGGTCTGACACCAGAGCAGTCTACCAGTGCACCAACCACACTGACAACAACGACAGCAACAGCCACCAATCCACAAACCACAGTCCCAACTGAGCCACCTAATGTTTCCCAACCCAGCACTAGCCCTACCGGTAGTGAATCGCCCAGTCTCCCCCCCAGCACCGCCCCAACAACTCAAATCCCTTCTGCTAATCCTTCTGTCACCCCTACTGTTGGTACTAACAATCCAACGACGCCACCATCCACAATGCCGCCAACAGCTAAACCCACTACCCCAAGCCCCACCACTAGCACCATCAATATCCCGTCCAATCCTACCGGTACATCAGAGAGCTCTATTCCTTGCTCAACCAATGAAAACTGTGCCAGCGGCATTTGTATTAACAATCAATGTGCCCAAGATTTCCTTTCAGATTTTGAGCTGTGTCAAGAGGATGAAGACTGTGAGTTTGATGCCTGCAGAGCCAATGGAACCTCTCCTGGAAGCAGCACAACTGAAGAAACCTTGGGCACAAAGATCTGTTGTCCAAATGGGATGGTTTCACAGGACAGCCGGGTTTGTGGTGGCCTCCCAACTGGCACCTATTGCAGAGACATTGACACAGGCTTCTCCTACAATAGCCTCTATCAGTCAGAAGCCAACTCGATCTGTGCCAGTGGAATTTGTGTCAATGATGTTTGTGTGGAGTCACTCCAGCCTCACTCATCTCCCTGCACCGAAAATGCAGATTGTTCAAGTGATATCTGTGTGGAGGATGTGTGCTTATCGGGGGCACTGGCAGATTTTGCCCCTTGCACTGAAAATGCTGACTGTGGAGTGGTGCCTGTCGGGCCAATGGAACATCTCCTGGAAGGAGTACAACGGTGGAAACCTTGGGTTTAAATATCTGCTGTCCAAATGGGATTGTCTCCGAAGACAGTAGAGTTTGTGGGGGCCTTCCCATTGGCAGCTACTGCAGAGACATTGACACAGGCTTCTCCTACAATAGCCTCTATCAGTCAGAAGCCAACTCGATCTGTGCCAGTGGAATTTGTGTCAATGATGTTTGTGTGGAGTCACTCCAGCCTGACTCATCTCCCTGTACCGAAAATGCAGATTGTTCAAGCGATATCTGTGTGGAGGATGTGTGCTTATCGGGGGCAGTTGCAGATTTTGCACCTTGCACTGAAAATGCTGACTGTGGGAGTGGTGCCTGTCGGGCCAATGGAACATCTCCTGGAAGGAGTACAACGGTGGAAACCTTGGGTTTAATATCTGCTGTCCAAATGGGATTGTCTCCGAAGACAGTAGAGTTTGTGGGGGCTTACCCACTGGCAGCTACTGTAGAGACATTGACACAGGCTTCTCCTACAATAGCCTCTATCAGTCAGAGGCGAACTCGATCTGTGCCAGTGGAATTTGTGTCAATGATGTTTGTGTGGAGTCACTCCAGCCTGACTCATCTCCCTGTACCGAAAATGCAGATTGTTCAAGCGATATCTGTGTGGAGGATGTGTGCTTATCGGGGGCAGTTGCAGATTTTGCCACTTGCACTGAAAATGCCGACTGTGGGAGTGGTGCCTGTCGGGCCAATGGAACATCTCCTGGAAGGAGTACAACGGTGGAAACCTTGGGTTTAAATATCTGCTGTCCAAATGGGATTGTCTCCGAAGACAGTAGAGTTTGTGGTGGCTTACCCACTGGCAGCTACTGCAGAGACGTTGACACAGGCTTCTCCTACAATAGCCTCTATCAGTCAGAGGCGAACTCGATCTGTGCCAGTGGAATTTGTGTCAATGATGTTTGTGTGGAGTCACTCCAGCCTGACTCATCTCCCTGTACCGAAAATGCAGATTGTTCAAGCGATATCTGTGTGGAGGATGTGTGCTTATCGGGGGCACTGGCAGATTTTGCCCCTTGCAATGAAAATGCTGACTGTGGAAGTGGTGCCTGTCGGGCCAATGGAACCTCTCCTGGAAGGAGTACAACGGTGGAAACCTTGGGTTTCAATATCTGCTGTCCAAATGGGATTGTCTCCGAAGACAGTAGAGTTTGTGGGGGCCTTCCCACTGGCAGCTACTGCAGAGACATTGATACAGGCTTCTCCTACAATAGCCTCTATCAGTCAGAGGCGAACTCGATCTGTGCCAGTGGAATCTGCATCAACGACATCTGCTCCAACTCACTCCAACCAGACTTGTCTCCGTGCACGGAAAATGGTGACTGTTTGAGTGGCATCTGTGTGAATGATGTGTGCTTGTCTGAGGCTCTCACAGACTTTCAGGCTTGTGATGAGAATGCCGACTGTGGCAGTGGTGCCTGTCGAGCAAATGGGACGTCTCCTGGAAGAAGTAACTCAGACGAAAGCCTGGGGAACAACATCTGCTGTCCCAATGGGATGGTGTCACAAGACAGCAGGATCTGTGGTGGCCTGCCTGCAGGATCTGCATGCAGAGACATCGATACAGGTTTCTCATACAACAGTCTTACTCCCACACAGGCCAGTTCAATATGCGCAAGTGGGAATTGTATTGATGATATCTGTGTTTGATGGCCAGAGCGTAGAAAACCAACAGGATGTGCATGAAAGTGGCAACAACACCAACTGCACGGTCAGCGGCCAGTTGTTACAAGAGAACAATTCGCACCTATACGGTAAAAGACTTTGTTTTATTGATTTCTCATTCCCTTTAAGAGATCATGTCTTCTGGTCTACCAGGGAAATTAATCAAACTCGGTGGATCAACTATGTAATCACCATCCTATCAGCACTACTAGTGGGAGCGATATCGTTCCCGTCTGACGCTGTGGGAAGACATGCTGATGGCGAGATAGTCACAATTGAGTTTTAGATTGATCGTTCCGCCTTATATGACTGTTGGGTTGACGATGGTGTGCTCAAGTGGATATCAAGTTTGGGGTACATGTAGAAGCAGCCAATGGCTTGCACTGATGCACGGAAGATGAACACGATGGCTGAAGCTGCGCAGCTGTTTTGTGGAATTCACCTCAGACGAAAGAAGAATGACTCCCATTTAGATAAGAAAGCAGGTCTTGCTGAGACATTGAAAACGTCTACTTTAATTAATTGTTCAGTCATAAAGAAGGGAGCAAGAACAGTTCCATCGCATTTCGGCGTCGGCTTTTGAACAGATGCGGCTTTTCTATTAGTAGAAAGCTACTCGCTACTCGCACAATAGGTACGGCGCGTGGAAAATCAGCTCTCAGCTCTATGCATCAAGGTTGGTTCGCCAACTGCATGGTCGAGGGCCAGAAATTAAAAAGATTAACTAGTCTAGTCTAAAACCACGATATGCTACTAGTACGGTACGTGCACATGCAAAAGACTGGGGTTCTAAAGCTCTTCTTCTTGTGGTTGTAATTCTCGAGATTTGGTTCCCTCACTTTTAGAAATCAGCGCAATTTCCGTGTTGCTTTGCTCGGATTGGCAGTGACAGTGCGTGTGCCCCCATTTGGATCCGCCAATCGATAAAATGCTTTTATAGATGAAGCAACACGCCATATGTCGTCATATAAAACAGGTGTAGCAAATTCGCCATGACTTGCTTCCGTTGTAGACCAAATCCACTCCACTGGTTGGGCTGGACTCGACTCGACTTGGAGCTCTTAATTGCGCTGTTCTTCAGGCCCTCTTCGTGCTAGCATGCCCGTGTCTCTAGCTAGTTTCTAGCCCAGCTAGCTGGCTGACCACCCATTCCCATACGAACACCATGCATGCAGATGGACACCCGATAAAGTGTTGGTGTCAGGAGACGCAGAAGTAGATTTTTGTTGGAATCTCCGTGGCCGGCACGCCAAACTCACGTTCATGGCAAGCTCGTGCCGTGTGTCGAAATAGTGATGATTTACTCGGACCGAAAACCCTGGGTTTCCAATCACATCTGCAGCACGGTAGAATAGTATAATTGTACTCTCAGGGCTGCCTAGTAGATTGGAACAACCAGCGCACTAGAAGATTGCAGCAGGGAAAAAGACAGAACAGAGGAGCACAAATCCTCAAAAGGAATTGGAAATTCTTTATAAACAAGCTCCTAAGACAGTTGGCATACTCAGTTGGCGAGGCAAACCCCTGTCTCATCGCAACAACTGGTGCAGCCATCAGAAGCACACTGGATGTCAGGAACTCCGGTTGCTGTGTTGGGCAGACAGTCAGCCACCAATGAAACTTCAGCGAGCTTGTCATGTTCAAGATATGCAAAGTTTTGGCAGACAGATACCGGAACAGTTCCAGACAGATTGTTCCCATTCACCAGAAGTTGCTTCAGGCCCGTCAGTGTCTCGATTTCATTCGGAATGGTGCCATGGTAGTGGTTGTTTGCCAGGTTTAGCCGCACAAGATTTGTCAAAAGACCAAGTGATGAGCCGATTTTCCCAGAGAAGTTGCATTCGTTCAAGTGCAGCCGTCGTAGATTATTGTTGAGTCCAGTGTAGAGCTCTTCTGGGAGCGTTCCTTGCATATTGGTGTTGGAGAGCCTAATTTCACGAAGCTGGCTTGCCAGTCCAATCTCAGAGGGCAAGGGCCCAGAAATGCTGTTGCCAAAAAAATAGAGCTCGCGCAAGTTTGCAAGTAGGCCAACTTCGGTGGGCATGGTACCCTTGATCTTTTGAGTTTAGTGAGGCAACAAGCAGAAATATCAACTTTTGGCGTGGCTAGCATGTGCACGAACTGAAGCAAATGAGAATCACTTACCTGATTGTCTTCCAAATAGAGTACGTCGAGTGATTTCTGGTAGAATAAGTCCAATGGAAGTGACCCCGTCAAAGCATTTGTTCCCAATACCAACCACTTAAAAGGAATCAAACCCACTTCTCCTGGAATTGTCCCGGTCAACCTGTTTCTTGAGATCAGAAGTTGCTCAAGTTTTCCGTTTTCTTTGTGAAGATGCACAAACCATTCCCCAGGGATTCTTCCAGTGATTTATTTCCAACCAAGTCAAGAAGTTCCATGGTCAAGGCATATTCACTCGAAAGTACCGTGGGGAAAGTGTTCCTGACAGCATGTTGTATCCCAGGTCTAATCGTTTCAGTTGTGCCAATTGTGAAATTTCCCATGGAAGAGGACCATTGAGCTGGTTTCTAGCTGAAGAATCAATAAATCTACAACTGTTAGGAATCCAATAATAGCGCATTCACAACTTAGGTCATGGCAGTCCATGGAAACAAACTTACTCAGTCTTAGCTTGACGATTCTCTTTTCTTTGGCTGTGCCACAAGTGATTCCAGCCCACTGGCATTCATGACTAGCAGAGAGCCACCGATCCCCCCAAATGTGGGTTGTTATCTTACCAGAAAGATGATGCCGTTCATAACAGAAACCAGAGGTTGCACTCCCTTGAGGAATTCCTGCTAGTGGATTGCACTGTTTCCATGGCTTGTGCCTTGTGATCTGATCGTAAAAGAGTACCAGAAGGAATCTTTGCACAAATTGGGAGCATCATACTCCAACTGCATGGGATCCCCATTGACAACCCAGTCAAAGGCTTTCTGCCTTGTTTCCAGCAAGAAACCAGATTCATCCACTTGTTGAAAGTAGTCCCTACCAAAGGAGCTGGTGAGGACAACTTCAATCTTGGGTGCCACCACAGCATCTCTGGTTGTGGTAGGTGCAATGGTACTACTGTCATCCACATATATGTTTTGGCTGCAGTGTCCTGTGCCACAAACAGCCCCCACAATGATAGCCCCCACAACTAAGAGGAAGCAAAGGCATCCCATAAGATAGAATGGCGAATTGCTTGGTTGCTGTCTGTGTTTGTTGCCAAGTTCTGCGGTGGCAATGGGTAATTCACTGTCATGGACAAGATTTGCTTCTGCCAAAGAGGACTCTGGCAGTGATGTGACTCTCTCCCCTGCCAATGTCCCAGCAGGTTGGAATTCCCCTCCGTGTTCTTCATCGGTGGAGGTGCTGGCAGGAACTGGGTTTGGTTCCGATATGGTCCGGGATGGTGGAAAGAGAGGATTAGCTCCTGGTAGACTTGCTTGGTTGGTATTGGACGAGATGGGCATATCTGCTACACTTTTTCGCGGGAAGCCGAAGCACCGCGGAGCTTCCCCTCTAAATCTGTCACTACAAGAACAACAACACTAATAGCAACAAACACAACCAATCGGTCATATCTATACCATTACACTACCTATTAGCACCATTAGAAGCATTGAAACGAAGCGAAAGGACCTCAGGAAGCCTGTTTTCTGTTATCTTGTTGAAGAGTACTGTTTTACTATAGGAATCCACTCAACGTCATCACGGAAAACAAACCTCCTTTTTCCCTCTCTTTACAACCTATTCAAGCCGAAAGGATCAATACCTCCTATCTCCTCCCACCGCACCTCTCCTATCAAGCAACTATCAAAGCGGCGTTCACCGGTTCAGATCAGAAAGCCATCCCAATTGAAATCCTACGAGATCGGGCGGGTTTTCTCTTCTCGGCCGCCGCCGACCAAGTTGGAAGAATTTGACAGCAAGAAGAAATCTCCGGCCTTCCACAGCACAGTACAGAAAACAATTCCCATACGTATTTGTTGTTTTCTGAACTAAGCTCCTGACGATCGACGAAATCTCATTGTCGCCCTTTTTGGTACGATCGAACGATCTTTCCGCAGCAACAACAGGTTCAGTTAACCTTACCCCTAAGGCAACTGACTCACCCGAATCGCGAATCGAATCGATTCAACGAATCGAATCGAACCGAATCCAAGACCCGCTACTCCGTGAATCGATCGAATCTTCCCGCGACCGTACCTCTTCCTCTGTACACCACTATCAAGAAGGACTTCACGAGATACCTGCAGTGACCGTCGAGAACAGAAACACAGCTGTATTCTTACTTTCTCACTGGCTACTCTTGGCTTCTCCCGACGTCCTTGTTGGAACTGATCCTACTGATCCAACCAGTCCTATTCCTATACAGATTGATTGACTGATCAACACCTGCTACTGTTACACCCCTCCATTAATGTCTAACTCCTCTCCAAGAGGAACAACAAACAACAACAGAGTTCCTGTAAGGACTTGAGTTCAAGAGTACACCGGCTGCGGCTCTGCACAGCCATCCTACTCAGACTTTATCACCAAGCTTGGCTGACATTTTCAGAGTCTGACAGCCCCTCCCGGGATATCCAACCCCTCTCCACAGGATCTCACCCCCACAAGAACAAACTACAAAAGCTGCCCCTCTAGAGTATCTGGCTAGATTGTGCAACACTTCATTGACACAGCCACCTCTCTGCTACTGCACCTGACTCTCCTCCTGAGCGTGGAGCTCCAAAGGATTGAGCCCCAGACAGAACTGCAGCGTGGTGTGGCATAGATATTAATACATAACTGACTCTTTCCCTCTCTCATTGATTGTTGAGTGACTCTCCAGTGACTTTCCCCAGTTCCACCTGAATCGAGTACCCTCCACATCTTGGCTTGACTCTCTGTTGCATTGTTATCCCTACAACAGATTGAGTACCAGCCTTTGAGACAACACAGTGTCATCCAGCAACACAGCCCCATCAACCAACAACACCCCTTGATCCCCCCACCACTGCCTCTACTGGCTATAGCGTGACTTCTCCAGTTTTCCCTGAAAGAATCCCTAATAGCCTTTGGCTCTGATCCCATCTTCTCCTGCAGGTAGTGGTATACCTGCACCCGACTTGGCCCCAGCCTTTGATCCAGTGGCAACAACAACCCAACAACTTGATATACCCCTTGATTACCAGTGCCTCAGTGCATTGGCCCTTGAATAAACCCTTCTACATCAATCCTCTCGCCACCCCACAAAGCAACCTCCATTGCTTGAGTTGATGCAACGACACTCCAGTCAACACTCCAGGATACACAACTCTCCCACCAACCCACCTACCATCCACCATGACTTCCCCATGTCTATCCACAACTTCACTCAAACCCAAGGTCCTTCCAGACATCCCCACACTCCCACACTTCACCCAACCAACCACATCCACCATCCTCCGCAGACTACCCAACACCACTCCCCAGATGATCAGACAACAGCTCCTAGAGCATGCAGCCATCTTGAGGATCACACCCTTCCGAATCACACCCTACCCTATCAGGGAGGATGCCTTTGTTCTCACCCTTGAACAGAGGCACGCCTCTATCCTACAACACACCATCAACCATACTACCTCCCAACTCCTACAACAACACTCCAACACCACCAGGAACTCCCCTCCTGCCCCTGGCACCAGTCCACTTCCAGTGCCCCCTTATCCTCCTTCCATTGACTCAACAACCCCTCAAACAGCCCACAACACTCCAGCAGCCACTGTGCCTCCCTCCTGGGAACCACAGACTGCCAGTGTGTCATTTGATCCCATCTTTTGCCTGCTTGTTGGCCTCTATCTAACAATTTTTGTGCATTGGATGGGTTACACCCTGCTCTGGTCCAGTACCTCCTACGGGCTCTGCTGGCATCTTGCCTTGCATGCCAAGGCAATTGCCGCAGCTTGGGACCTGATCACCCAGACACACTTACTGGCAAGCACTCTTTGGTCTGGCAATCTATCTGGTCCTCACGGCCCCTTTGGTGATAATGGTTTCAATACCGACAAAATCCTGTGTAAGCCCCTGTAACCCAGGTTTTGCGCTGCAGGTTCTCTATCAATGTGCTCACCCCCCTACCCAGGGCATCTGTCTACTTGGTACTGGCTCCACGTTAGGCCAGTGGATGAGGTCATGTTGATTGGGCAAACAAAGTAGATGACGACTCAGCTAGGTGGGGATCTCCCCCATCCCATGCCCGCGTCAATAAAGTCACTCCGTGGCCAATAGCTTGTTAAGCTAATGAGTAATTTACACTCGATGGGCATATCTGCTGGCATTGGTATATATTGAAGCCACGCTGGTGACAGTGAGGTGGTACCAGTAACATCCTCCTGATTCACAGTAGCAACTTGGGCAATAGCTGCACTTCCACCATCATTCAGCATTGCTGGATCCTTGTTTGTTCCCAACCCACAGACTTGGACCTGTAAACCTTGCTCGCCTTCTGTGAGCGTGTCGTCGTTCTTGGTCACAGGATCCATGCCAGTGTTTCCGGCTGATTCAAAGGAATTTGCCGAACCGAGTTAACCTGGGTCTTCTGGTATTAGTTTGCCACCGGTTCAAGTTGAACCAGAAAAAACTGGGCAGGCTATTCTATAGTAGAATTAAGAGCGGTCGGATCGAAATCCAATTATTGAGAACATAGTTACACTCCAGACTCGAATATAAGAAACTCCACTATAAGAAAGCGAGCCCTGAGATTTTAGAAAATTTTAAGAAAATCTTGATGCTGAAATATCACAGACTTGTAAGAAACCTTCCCAGTATTAAGACCTCAAAGCATAAGAAATACTACTAGTCGGGATATCAAAGCATGGCTGGCCAATTGGCTTCCAGTTGTGGACAAAGCAATGAGGGATGAGCACGCACGCGGGCAGCCTTCCCAATCAGGGTAACTATGTGCCGATGTGGGATTCCCATAGCAATAGCGGGCGATTTAGCCTAGCGTAGATAGTTAGTCGTACAGCACCCTCCGGAGTTTTGTTCAATTTCTCCGGTGGGGGGCTTACACTAGGCCCATCCTAAGTGGGCGCCCTTGTGCGTCTGAGGTATGTGGGTTCGTCACGGCAACGTTCAGCGGATCGTCTGACGAGGTGTAGCCTTTAAAATAAAATTTCGTTATTCTTTTTTAGCCCCCTTCGCACCTTAACCCTTTATTTAGTTTAGCGTTCTACTATCGTAGCATGGGGCAACATACACAGCCACCAGTTGGTCAAGGCAGCAGAATGGAAAGAAGCAGTTCAAAGACAGTTGCATACCCTGCACCCACAAAGGAAAATAAGACAGAACACAGGCGCCCACAACCCAAAAAGATGTGGAAACTCTCTAAAGATCATCAGTACCTCTGATCAACACAGTATATAGGCAACTTCAGTTGGCGAGGCAAACCCCTGTCTCATCGCAACAACTGGTGCAGCAGCCAAAGGCACATTGTATCACAGGAATTTCAGTTTCTGTATTGGGTAAGCAATCTGCCACCAACAAGATTTCCGATGCAAAGTTTTGGCAGACAGATAACGGAACAGTTCCAGACAGCTTATTCCCATTCACCAGAAGTTGACTCAGGCCGGTCAATGTCTCGATTTCATTCGGAATGGTGCCAAGGAAGTGGTTGTTTGCCAGGTTCAGCCACGCAAGATTTGTCAAAAGCCCAAGTGATGAACTGATTGTCCCAGAGAAGTTGCAATCATTCAGGGACAAAGCAATAAGGTCTGTAAGTCCAGTGTAGAGCTCTTCGGGGAGCGTTCCTTGCATATTGGTGTTGAAGAGCATAATTTGACTAAGCTGGCTTGCAAGTCCAATGTCCGAGGGCAAGGACCCCGAAATGCTATTGCCACAAAAATAGAGCTCGCGCAAGTTTGCAAGTAGGCCAACTTCGGTGGGCATGGTACCTGTGATCTTTTGAGTTTAGAACGGCAAACAAACAGAAATGTCAACGTTTGGAGTGGCTAGTGTGTGCATAAATGCAAGACACGGAGAATCACTTACCTGATTGTCTTCAAAATAGAGTAACTCGAATGATTTCTGGTAGAATAAGTCCATTGGCAGTGACCCAGTCAAAGCATTTCCTCCTAGTTGTAACCACTTCAAAGAAAGCAAACCCACTTCTGATGGAATTGTCCCGGTCAACCTGTTTCTTGATATCCGCAGTTGCTCGAGTTTACCACTTCCTTTGTGAAGATTCACAAACCATTCCCCAGGGATTGTTCCAGATAATCTGTTTCCAGTCAAGCTAAGAAGTTCCAATGCCAAGGCATATTCACCCAAAAGCAAACCTGGGGAAAGCATTCCTGTCAGCATGTTGCCACCCAGTTCTAATCGCTTCAGTTGTGCCAAATACAAAATTTCCCATGGAAGAGGACCATTGAGCTGGTTTTTTGCTGGAGATCCGATGCATCCAAGTGTTAGGAAGACATTAATAGCACATTCAAAAGTTAGGCAAGTCCATGGGAAGAAGCTTACATAGTATTAGCCTGACGATTCTCTTTTCCTCGGATTTGGATGTTCCACAAGTGATTCCCGCCCACTGGCATTCATGACTTGCAGAGAGCCACCGATCCCCCCATATGTTGGTTGTGATCTCACCAGAGAACTGATTAATTGCATAACAGAAACCAGACATTGCACTCCCTTGAGGAATTCCTGCTGGTTGGTTGCACTCTTTCCATGGTTGATGCCTGGTGGTTTGGTAGTAGAAGAGTACCAAAAGGAACCTTTGCACCAAATTGGGAGAATCATACTCCAACTGCATGGGATCCTGATTGACAATCCAGTCAAATGCTTTCTGCCTTGTTTCCAGCAAGAAATCGGCAAGGTCATTATCAAAACCTTCACCAGATTCATCCACATGTTGGAAGTAGTCCTTGCCAAAAGAGCTGGTCAGCACAACTTCAATCTTGGGTGCCGCCACAGCATCTCTGGCTGTGGTGGGTGCGATGGTACTACTTGCGTCCACATAAACCTTTTGACTGCAGTGTCCTGTGCTACAAACAGCCCCCACAATGATAGCCACCACCACCAAGAAGAAGCAAAGGCATCCCATAAGATAGAATGGGAAATAGGTTCGTTGGCGCAAGTGTTTGTTGCCTGGTTGTGCTGTGGCAATGGGTAATTCACTGTCATGGACAAGATTTGCTTCTGCTAGAGATGTGGCATCCCCGCTGATGACAGCCCTTTCCTCTGAAAATCCATGCTCTTCAACGCTGGTGGTGTTGGTACGGGTAGGAACTGGACTTGGTTCCGATATGGTCCGGGATGGTGGAAAGACAGGATGGGCTCCTGGTAAACTTGCTTGGTTGATATTGGATGAGATGGGCATATCTTGTGGCATTGGTAGATCTTGAAGCCAAGTTGGGGACTGCGAGGTGGTAGAATCCCCTTTTGCTGCGTTGAACCTGTCTTCTTTGCTGCTATTTGGCAGGTCGGCTTTGGCATCAAGTACCGGTACTCCTTGCTCCCCGTGGCTGTGTAAGTTTCTAGCTACTTCATCCTCTCCTTTCATCTCAAAGGAACCTGGTCGAATCGAGTAGATCTGGGTCTTCTGATTGATTCTGGATTCCAAGCTAGTCATCGAAGGAAAATTGGGCGAGACATCTTGTATCGTAGCTTTTGGGTGTTCCTTGAGGAGTCGATTTTCATCGATTCTTTGGTGGCTTGTACTGACACCAGTACCGGTACTCTTGCTGTCAGTGGGGTGTTGGGACAATTCCTCCTGAAGCGGCGGCATGACCGAATGTGTCGTTGCCTTTGGCTGCTGTGTGACTGGCTGAAAGGTAGCATCGTCTAGGTTATCGTCTGAGTCACGTAGACTCTGTGCTGACGGGTACATATGAGGGACAAACAGCGCAGCATCTTGAAAGTGAGTCGTCACTGACGAGGCGCAGCTCATGCCTTCAGGTCCATTAGGGATATCGATCACACTGGGTGGGTTCACGACTGAATCATTGTCTATCTGCTGATTACTGATAGCACCTGCGCCTGACGGAGTGGGAATACTCCCACCATTCTTATTAGAAGACATGTTGATGCGTACGGTAGACACAACTACTGCTATTAATAGTAGTAATAGTTTGGTCGTTTCGCCTTGTTGGATTGGACGATGGTGCTATAGATCTATAGAGTGGAGGAGGACAGCAAGTCTTTGGGGTTGAGAGGGAGGGACAGCGACATTGCGGAAGAATGAACACGTGCCAAGTGAAAGTTTTTGCTGTTGCATGTTGCGGAAGTTCGCCTCAGTCGAAAGACGAAAAGCAACGGGACTCCTATTCGTCTAATGAGAAATCATAGAAGTCTTGAGGGAATATCGCAATATGACTCCTTGTTAAATCTTCGAGACCGAGGGCAAGAACTAATTAATTAATCAGCAACAATGGTAAATTGATGGTTGCGGTAAATGTAGTTTTGTTACAAAACATTAAAAATGTAAAGTAAGCAAATCGCATAACCCTAAGTTTACCTAATCTACCCATCCAAACTGTCTTCCAGCATGATACTAGCTAAGTAGGAGGCAATTTGCTAAAATCGCATGACAACACAGAACATTTCCTTACGTGTCATGGACACTCAATAGCTACCGTAGGCGTGTGGGCGGCGCGAGGGGAATATAGTGTTTCTTTGTTTTGCCCTGTCCGAACGATGCGTTGGTGATACCACAACCTTTGGCTCCATGAATGCATGGTGTGACTACGAGTACATGTAGCTAGTTTTGTTTGGTGGCCGGTTACGAATCACTTCGTGATTCCCTTCGGGCGCCAAACTCCTGCCTTCTTCGGTCCGAACACTGTGTCTGAGGCAAAGTTGATTGGTTGTTGGTTGTCTCTCAGTCTCGCTGAGGGGAGAGCCACCAATGCTTGAGCTGAGCAGAACAGAGCCCCAGGAGAGACATGACACACTCTGGAAGTGTGTTTCGGTGGTTTTGTGAGTTTATGCCTGAAAACCACTAATTCAAAAGCCAACAGCAACAAACACAATGGGCAACCACACCTCCGCACTCCCCTTGGACATGAAGAACATTCCCCCAGAAGTCTTGGCCATGCTGGAAGATGAAAAGAAGGGAGCCCAGTTTTTGGCAGATGTCCAAGCCAGTTTCACAGCAAATACCAACAGTGACGACAGTGGCAATCTTGGGTTAGACTACACTATGCACAGTATCTTGAAAGCCTGCAAAGTCAAGCGCAACAAGGTTGTGACAAGAGGAATCAAGAGAACCAAATCAGGCTTAAGCGCAGCAGCAACCAAGGCAACTCCCAGCAAGCCTCTCCTGTCAGGGGTTCCATCGGATAGCGTGAACAGTGAACACAGTTTGAACCCCCAAGAAATTGTAGATCTGTTAGAGCAGTTTGCCATGAAGGATTGCGACACGGGCATGGCATTCTTCAAGGCATTGGAGACCAAAAAACCAACTTCCAAGTACCACAATGGCACACACGCCAACACAAAGGCCTCAAAGGCTGCTTAAGTTGGCTGAAACATCAACCAACAAGCCAGACCATACAAAAACAATGGACATCATAGAGATAAAGAAAGAGAAATAAAGCATATTCTGAAGCATTATTGGCTAGCAGCTACAACATCAACATATCAGGCTTGGCTTGAAGCAATGGGTAGATGACATTATTGGAAGTGGCAGTTTTCTTTGCTTCAGCTGTGATGGAATATAAAAGGCAAACCAGCAGCTGAGGACATACACAGGGGTAGCTTTTGCTTGATTGGTCTCCAGCATCCAGCCCCGGCATGTTGTAGTTTCGCCGTTTCGACTCCTTGAACTACCGGTACATGTAACAAGCCAATGACTTTTAGCTGCGGTTCTCGTCGGGCAATCCTGGTTAGGGTCCCCAGCGTTCTGAGGTTGCAATTCCAATGCCAATCATCGTCACGTACGAAAGGTCGAGAGGATTGATGAACTAAAAGGGCGGGCAGCATGGTGCGTGCCAAGCTTACCGTATGCAAACAGATCAGTGCATCGATGGATGCGACACTCGCGGTTCGGCGCAGCATGCAATGCATTCAAATCCTATCGAAGTCGGTCTCACAAAATATGTGATCTGCTCTGAGAATGAACCAGAAACTTCTCGACTTTCTCTAGCTAGATGCTATGTAATCCTTACTTCTTAGTTTGGTAATGTAAATATCAAAAAGCCAACACTGGTGGCGCTATTGGTATGTCGTTTCCTACGGTAGGCGCCTGGCTCCTTCAGCAATTCACGTAAACAGATAATCTTCGTTTCTTCCTAGGGTACTAGCTAGATCTCAGACGCCAATGACAGAGACCCAACCTTATATTTCTTTGCGGACGCTGCCTTGGCGACGATCTCCTTCATCATGGCGTCGTCTCCAGCACCACGAACAGAGTTCTTTCCTGGTAAATCGAGAGTTTGGTTTGTCCCAGGAATAACGACTACATGGCAGGTGGCGGTTTCAACCAAGCCCGCCGCGTCGGTTGCCGAGACCACAATCTCGTAAACCCGGTTCTGAGCTCCCAAAGGAGAATGACAAAACGATCCAGAAGAAGCTCGAGTCTCACTCCTGCACCTGCACGACACCAAAGGCAAGCAAAATGTCAGTCATGACGAAGTGCAGTAACTTTTGGGTGGTCGGTCACTCGATCGCTGAAGGTGTAACGTACGAAGTGGCCGCGACAAAAAGACAATTTTCTGCATGTTGTCGTTCATGATTTCCATATTCCCGAAGACTGCCTCGGTGTTCTCGTAGATAACGTACATGTCAAAGTCTCCGATTTGGTCACTGCCCAGCTTGTATTCCAAGTAGGTTTGTGCCTGTATAAGAAAAGAAATTGGCAAAAGAGGTGAGCCAGATATGCCCACAGGAAGCACCGAGGGCAGATCTAAGAAATTGCTTACACCTTGCATTGCTTTCAATGTCCCGAGAGCAATCAAACTGGGTTAAGTCAAAGCCTGTAAATGGAATTGGGATTCCGTTCGGGCACCTTCATGCATGAAGGGGGAAAGCGCGTGCATGAGAAAGGACGCCGAATCTGCTCGATGGGGCAGAGAGGGTGTTGCTCAACGTACTCAAATCCATCAATCTTTTCATACACCACCTCGAGGGCCGAAATCCATTGGGCCCGGATGTAGATATTGTGTCCTTGATCGTTGTAGAACGCGGGATTGTTGGCAGCTGCAAGGGGGGAAAGAAAATGTGAGTGGGCAATGGGCAAATCCACATCAGAAGCCTTTTAAAAGGCATTTGCTCTCACGCTTTTTTGGCGATTTCAACCCGTGCAGGACAATCTCATCTCCAACTGGCGTAGACCCCAAGCTGTCAATCTGGCCAAAGTCATTGCTGTACCGCAAGAAGAAAACATCCTCACAAATCTCAATTTGATCTGAAAGGAGACAAGAGAATTGAGGTTAGCTCATTGCTTCAGCTGACTCCTGCGGCAAGCGAGCCGACATACCGGGATAGGTTGATTCAAAGCCTTTGACATAAGAAATAGATGTTGAGGGTCCATGGTTGACAAGCTGGTCCACTTCCACGTTTGTAACGCACCGAAGTACTCCTTGAGGTCGCCACATTGCTTGACATCTGTGTTGTCGTTCAGCTTGGGGGCTGCCTCAAGGTAGCCCTTGTACGTCTTTCGGCCATTCTTCTTCGCCCATGCAATCTCATCACTTACGCAACTTGTCAAAGTGGAGCAATCCTTCAGGAACGGCAAATGAGTGGGTGCTTATCGTGCAATTTGCACCGAAAAGGCAGCGGACAACTCACCGTAGGATGAGGACACCATGTCCCTGAGTAGAGCTTGCAGGTTTCCTCTGAAAAGCCAGCAAGTTTCGGTCCCTGGTTTTGGCAGGTATCTTTGCACTCGTACTGCAAAAGAGAAGGACAACCAAGCAGCTTAGTTACGATGTCGCACTTGCTTCAACTTTCTTCAGTACTACATAGCTCTCACCTTGGTGCCAAAGTCATCAGAAGATCTTTGCCACGGTTGGTCTAAGCAGCAGTATCCTGGAACACCTTGCTTTGACTCTGAAAAAGCACATGTGAGGCCGACACTGAAGCCAAGAATGGAGGGAGGAAGCAAAAGAAGGATGAACACAAAAAGGTGGAGCAGTGCAAGTTCAGATAAGCTACTTGAACATGCCATACCTCGTTTTGTCTCCAAGGACAAGCGCCACCGCAAGGTCCATGTCGAAATCCTGCGACTGGAAGGGACTTTCAGGGGTGTTGATGTATTTTGTCTTGCTATCCGTACTTGTTGTAGGATACTTGTACTTCGGAATTACGTTCCATTTTGAGACTCGGTACGTTCCGCAGACTTGTGTGTCTTCGATCCACACACCACATTTGAAGTAATTTCCATCCCTCCAGCAGTCGTACTCCAGCGTGGGATACTTTCGGAGCAGTTGGGAGTTATGAATGCGACTCCATGTGTTGCCTGTACTTTGAGTTGACAGCCTTGTAGCAGCTCTTTTTCTGATGGTCTCCCAAAAAATCAAAACTAAGATGGAAGATGATGCGTATGAGCGTTGCTGGCCAGACATGCTGAACAGCAGGCAAAGCAAACTTACTTGGGTCTTCTAGTCCAACTGTCATAGTCTTTAAACCTCTTATGGAATTCCAGGATGTCTGGGCAGAAATGGATGAGTTACAAAGCAAAAATTAATGGCTTCGTGGCTCGGTACCGGAGATTGCCGTTTGACGTACTTATTTCTTTCTGCAATTTAGGCATATGTATGCCGCAACAAACACAGAGCGTTCCATGAACAGCCGAATGAGTTTTCAAGCCCCCCTGCCGCTAAAAGCATGACTTGTAGCAAGCCACCAACTTACATAATCATAGAATGTCTTTGTATCAATCGGAGTTAGAATCTGTTGGGAGCCGTAATCACGGTTAGCCCAATGATTGATCGCGTATGGCATGGTCGCCCCCTCTTAGCCCCATCCATTTGTGTTGCCAGCGAAGAAGGGGTTGCCGTCTCCAAGCTTGCACACATGCCCATATCCTCTAGGATCTGATAGGCGGCGCGTTGGTCAACGTGTTCATAAATCTGGCTGAGCTTGATGTATTGTGTTGATCCCTCTGCGCGACTGAGCCAACCAATAAAGAGAATACGTTGAGTCAAGCTTCACCACAGCTCAAGTACTATACATGCTGCCAGTTGAGAACATGCGTACCAAACGTCCCGCCAACTCGCGCCGTTGTACTGTTGTTTTAAAAGTGAATGCAAGCAAGCAAGAGTGCTGAGCCAAAACAGGACAGAGTGTCGCGGACACTCGATCAGGAACACAACAATGCTCACCTTCCCAGCTTTTGCTTCATCGTAAACTTTTTTGTATCCATTTCTGAGGGAGGGCATTTAGTGCATCGCTCGGTCAGAGAAGCACGTACCAATCGCAGCAATAGATAGCTCAACGTACGTGTGGAAGTGCTTCAGAAGAGCCTCGCAATTGCTTTGTGAGTAATAGCTTTCAACCTTTTTGAGGGCGTCCCTAATGCTTCCCAACGTCGCCTCTAGGCTGCTCGTGTATACAGCAACATTGGGATCCATTTTGTCCTTTTCGATTTCTCCATCTTCGTCTTTTCAATCCAGAAGAAGAGTTCAATCAAGGCGTGAGCAGACAAGGGCACAGGTCAAAACAAACCATAACTTAGAGCACCGTACTTGTGAATGGCCCCCCTTTAGAATGCAGAGCAAGCAATCATGTAAGCAAACAATCATTGTGTGAGAAATCAGTGAAGGCGTTGCATCGAACAACCAACCATAGTTGCCAGCAAATGCTTACAGAAGTAGGCCACAAAGTCAAACAGACTATAGTTCTTGATGCACGACACCATCTGTTTACAACTCTCCTTCCATTCGGGAGTAGCTCCGAGAGCACGGTGCCCCTTCGATGCGTGGCTGGATTGAGACATGCGATCCACGTAGTGGTCCAAAAAAGAGAGATCTCCGTTCTTGATCTTGTCGTGCTGAGAGAGTTCGAGAGAGAGAGTTCGAGAGAGAGAGTTCGAGAGAGAGAGAGAGTTCGCGAGAGAGAGTTCGAGAGAGACAACGGAGATCATTGGATGAGCAGGGCTGAGTGTGACAAACATCTGAAAGGATGCAATTGAGACATGATTTTGGAACTGACCATCTCAAGGTGGCGCTTGATCTTGGGGTGCTCAGTGTACTTCCTCATTTTCTCGTGATGGCTACTGGTGGGCATGCCTTCGTTGGCGGCCTCGCCTGCATCCCTCAATCGACGGCGATGGTGGGTAGCCTTGACGTTAGCTGCAATCTCGTCCGCCTTTTCAAGCTCAGCGGCAAAGTCGTCGAGGTATTCCTTTAGCTGAGAGGGGGCTAACTCGCCTTCGGGCGTGGCTTGAAGATCTTGAATCAGACTTCGGATCACACCGCTGGTGGAAGTCAGCATGTCCATCTGATCGACGACTGATGTGTCCTCGAAGGACAGCCCAACTTGATTGACCGCCAAGAGCTCCTTGACGTCACTCAGACCTTCGATGACTTCTCTCATCGCTGGCGAGTATCCTTCCAGTGAGCCGTCCTATTGAATGCATCATTGGATAGTGACGGCGAAGCGAGTAGACACTCTCCGATGTACGTGACCGCTCTGGTGCGGATCTTACCTCCATGTCCAAAGATCCAACACTGACCACAAAGTTTCATTCTGGCCGTAGACGGGGGCAACAGCAAACCCGGCAGCGGCGGCTGAAATCAACCAGATACCGAAGCGCGTCTTCATGGTGTCTTGTACACAATACAATCAGCAGCCAGTGATCAATGATGCAGTCAATTTATTACAACGACAAGTGACAAAACCAGACAAACTCTTTCGTCCGACAAGCCAAAATATGAGCTCTGTGGGCAAACATGAACCTTTCGTTGCCAGAGGATAGCCCAACAACTGGCAAAGGTTTGTTGGACGAAACCATCGGCTTCAAAGGTATCCTTTCATCCACTTCATCCGTTTTTGCAACTGGTCTCCCAAGGAAAGAAGGCGATCACTTTTTGCAAAATGTTGGCCCGTGGAGTAGGCATAAGATTTGCAATGCCACTTCGTAAAAACTTTTTACTTACCAGATGGTGGTATGATGCTGGATTCTGGTCAGGTTCTGTGCACCTTTCGACTAACTAAAGGCGGACAGACCGAAGCCCAACCGTTAAGTCGTGCCGAGTCACCCTTCCAGCTGTGTGTTCTGGACGCGTAGCCGAATGCCCCCCGCGATCACGACGAGAACCAACTCAGTCACCAGCGCAAATACAGGGTACAGCTGTAGCGAATGGTGGCTCGTGAGGCGGAAAGAGCAGTGAATGATTCGTCGTGCTCTTGTGGACCCTCGCATAGAGAGCTGAAACTGATGATAGGAAGCCATCCATGCCCAAGGGTTGCCAGCTGAAGCGATTATTCCTGTCTGATTCCTACCGCCACCTGGTGCGACATCCGACCGTGTTCCTTGGTGAGCGCCGACCAGAATGCTGAAAAATGAACAACCTCCAGCATTGGCAGCCGGAAGCGATCAAATAAGCAGATCCATCCAGTGGCACATGTGCCGTACGTCGCTGGGGCGGAGAGGGAAAATGGGAGAATCGGGGTCAGAACCACAGGACAACCAACATGCACAAGCCATCCGTTTTGTCCGAAAGAGACCCCGGGAGCAGCCAACCGAGTAGAATCGAATCGAATCGAATCACTTCGTTGCGTCCAGCTTGAACCATTCGGCTTGCAAATGAGACTGACTCAGGGTCCATACCGGTAGAAGCCAGAACTGATTTCGTCCGAAAGGCCCATGCTGTGAGCGCGGCTGATGGAACTGGAAACGCAGGCGTTGGGCTGGAACGAGAGACCCCTTTGGCTATGATCGTAACCACTACCAGCCAATCATGCTACATGTAGAAGCGTGCATCTGGTTTGTCCTCGTGCATTAACATGCAAAGTTGGTAGGTGTTGTGGTTCTTGGTACGGCAAAAGGGCATTTGATTGTCACGTCAAACCAGACTGTTTTCGAGTGTGGAAGATGGAGACAACACGACGTCGCAGCTACCTGGATCAGAAACTGGATAGCTACCATACCGAAGCATGGAATAATGGAACCACGATATTTCCAATAGACGAACGTCCAGCTGAAAGCACAGGATTTGCTTCCTGATGCATCTTTGGGAACTTCTGCCCGCCGATGTCTTTGCTTCCTGTCCAGCAGCTGTCTTTCGCTGGCTGAACGGAAGAGCATCAAGTTCGATTCATGCATGATACTTCGAGGAACCTGCTTCCTTCGAATCGATGCTCTACTCGCTTGTGGCCTCCGTGCTTGTTCGGACACTCATTCAGTTTCGCCATGGCGAAAGTTCTGGGCCCCTCAGAGCACCCAGCAAGAGAGACGAATGGAAGGAAGTTAGGCAAGCACACAAAGTAATTAGCCTGATGCCGTAGGTGGTAAGCATCGACGGATGGCAGGTAGACAAGTGGTGACGAGGACGAGGCACCATGGTTTCAAAATTCGTTTCTTACTAGTTATTAATTTTGTTCTGCTTGCTGCGGTTGAGGTTGGTTACCTTTGCCATCAACCAAACCCCTGGCCGCAGGCAAACGAAAGAGATAATATCGACACAGCCTTTAGAACACACAGTAGTATATGCAACATGAATGGAATCTTCTCAATTTTCTCCGCATTCCTTGAATGGGAAGCGGCGACAAGAGCGATCACAACACCCAGCGACCTGGTGTTGTTTGTTTGTTATTGTTGAAATCTTCACAATTTCCTTTTTAGGCAGGACCTCACTCTCTGGTAGTCGTGACTGGTCACTGCCTTGCACTGCCAAATAAATGTTTAGCACTCGACGACATTCTTGACGGTGAAGGATTCCCTCCTTCCTCCTGTCACAATGGTGATGGTTTCAGGAGCCAGGCTGGAAATCACAGCCTTGGAGGCAGTCGGGGGCGATGATGGCTTGTAGACATCTTCCTCGGGTGTTTCCTGAATGTCCTCCAAGTTGAAGGGCGTGGAATCGCCAATGCTTCCGCGCTTGCTCATCCTTTCCTTTTCTTCTCCACTCCAGGAGCTCTCAATGGTGTCGTCGGTCAAGGATCGTGCGCTGGTCAAGGATCGCATGGATCGGAACGATGCACGTCCCATGGCGACTTCCTTGGTGGTTTGGCACAAAATGGTGACGGATGTCACATTTGCCTTGAGCAATTCGGCAACTTCCTTGGTGGGCATTCCCTTGGTCTGGACATTGTTGATGGATCGAATGACCATGCCTTCTTCCAACTCGGTGAAGGAAGCAGGGGACTGGGGAACGACATCCTTGATGATGCAGTTTCCTTGCTTGGTTCCGGCCAACTTGATTCCAATACTGGTTTCGGGTGTCTCCTTGATAATGGCGGCGGTCAGGTAGGAACCAGCGGGCAAGGAAGGACGCTTGGCCAAGACGGTGATAGTACCTTCGGCTTCGGACAGCAGCTTGGCAGCTTCGCCAGAGGGCATCTCGGTGACATCGTTGTTGTTAATGGACAAGACTTCCATACCAACAAGAAGATCCGTGTCGGCGGTGGCAGTTCCTTCGGTGATCTTGGTAACAACGAGTTGTCCACGCTTGCGAACAAAGGCGAGTCCGACCTTGTTATCCACGGCACCCTTTTCAATCAAAGCAGTGACAAAGGAGATGTTGTTATCGTTTCCGTGCTTGGTGATGGATCCCGTCTTGGTGGAAGCGACAATGGTAATGTTTCCAACGGGTGCATCACGCAAGAGCTTGGCAATGACGAGTGCATCCATGTTGCGGCAGTCTTCATTGTCAATGGAAACAAGTTCCATTCCTTTAATTTTGAAAAAAAAGAAGAAAAGAGGGCGTTAGTCTAGCTACATGGAAGCAAGCTTGAAAATTAAAATCCGTCGTGATTGGCACACTTACCTGGCAACAACTTGGTGGTGGATGCCAAAGTACCATCCTTGATGGAAGAGATGTAGATGCGTCCACTCTTGCTGCGGATACCAATTCCGAGAGGAGTGTTGGCTTCCGTCTTGGTGATGATTTCCGTGATCAAAAGGTTGCGTGGCAATTCTTGACGCTTGGCAAGGAATACAAGCTTTCCTTGTCCCTTGATCATGGTTTCGAGCCCGGTCTTGGAGAAAATGTTGGTTTCGACATTGTTAATGGCAAGGATTTCCATACCGGCACGAAGAGCAGTTCCAAAGAGGAATCCAGCGGCAGCGCCTTCGGTGACGGTAATCTTTCCAGTCTCGCTATCGTATGCCAGAGCTCCTTCGGTGACTTCCGTCTTTTCGGTAATGTCAATCGAGCCGGTGACCAATTGCGATGTGTTCAATGGCTTTCCCTTGGGTGTGCATGCCAAAATGTTGAGCTTCTCAGTGGCATTAGTGAACATGGCAAGGACCTTGTCGAGGCTCTTGAGAGAAGCGCAGTCGACATTGTTGAGGGACTTGATGAGCATACCAACTTGGAGATCAGTTTCCGAAGCGGGTCCACCTTCCGTGATTCCACTAACGACGTAGTTATCGCCAATGGCCTTGATCTTGATTCCCTTGGAGGGTGGCTTCTCACCAGGAGCCACAACCGGCACGGGGATGGATGCCACGACATGAGTTCCAGGAGCCAGATCGGGCTTTTGGGCAATGACGGTCAAAACTCCAGTGGCCTTGACGAGCAAATCGGCGGCATCGGTTGCCTTTTTCTTGGTCAAGTCGACGTTATTGATGCGAATGACTCGCATGCCCACCTTGAGGTCGGTATCCTTGGCAAGTCCGGACTCCGAGTTCTTGGTAATGACGATTTTTCCTCCTTGCATCTTCATGGCAAGTCCAACCTTGGTGCTGTCATGTTTCTTGACCATCAACGCAGTGACCAATCGGGAAGGATCGAGGAGGGCATTGCCTTCAATCTGTACGAGGAACGTAATGTGTCCTTCGGCGGCTCCCAAAATTTGTGCGGCTTCGGCAGAACTCTTGTGTGTGACGGCATGGTTATTGATGGAATGAACAATCATTCCCGGTTCCAATTCGGTGGTACTTCCGAGCGTTCCCGAAGCAATTTTCTTGATGAACAACTTGTTGGCCTTGCTGGCGAGGACAATTCCCAACTTGGTGTTGATGGTTGGCTTGGTGACGATAACGGTCAAGAACGCTCCGGGAGCGCGACGCGCCGAAAAGCAGTCCTGCGCGAGCAAGGCGATGTTTTCACCCGGCTTGGCACTGTCCTGAATGAGGGCATTGACTTGTTCGGCCTTGACTTTTGGATTGGTGCAATCAATGTTCTGAACCTTGGAAATTTGCATACCAACGCGCAACTCGGATCCAAAGAAAGGACCATCGGGGTCAATGGACTTGATGACAACCATGGGAGCACCGGTGGTGTGGTTGTTTGCCGTCATGAGTTCCAATCCCGCGAGGTTCTTCTTTTCGGGTGCTTCTGTGGTATCGGCATCAACATTGACTTCTTCGTCCTCTTCTTCTGGGATTTCTACCGTGGCAGAAATCAAGTTTGTCTTGGGGGCGACTCCAGGGAACTGTGCGATAATTTCGAGCTTGTTTTGGGCTTGTGCGATCAACGTCGAAGCTTGATTCGGGTTGAGTCCGGCAAATTCGAAATTGTTGACCGATTTGATGTACATGCCGACTTGCAAATCGGAGTTGAACGCCAAGCCAGTAGAACTGATGGAAGAAATCATGACTTGTCCAGCCACAGTCTTCATGCCAATTCCAATGCTGGAGGTTGGCGTGGGTTTGTTCAAGACGCACGTAACAACGGTACCAGGCATACGAGCTCCTTCTCGCTCCTTGCAGAGAAACGTGACCATCTCGTCGGCATTCAACAACTGTTGCGCACTCACATCACTCAACATACTGCAGTCCACGTTGTTCATGGTCATGACCTGCATTCCACGCTTCAAGCCAGCCGTGTGTTCGCCTCTCTCCACGAAAGACACAATCAACTTGCCGCCCAAAGAGCGAAGTGTGATTCCACCGTCGCTGCCGTACTGCTTGTGGATCGTCGCAGTGATCAGACTCGCGCTGTCGCCCATGGCGGGGGCTGCAGCTGGAACAGATGGAGCTGGTGTAGGAGTTGGAGTAGATTCGGCCATTTTGGATTTGTCTTTATATTTATTTTAGCTGGCTCAGTTTGGATCAACAGAAAAAAGTGGATACTTGTCGAGGCGTCACTGAATCTCTTCCTTTTGCTTTCTCACTTTCACTCTCTCTCACTCTCACCAATCACTGTAAACTCACTTCAGCCAACAGCCGAACAAGCAAAGATCCTCGAGCAGAAGATTTCAGCTTCCTCCTTCACTGGCGGAGTTTGGCGAGGCGTCTCACTTTCTTCGCCGGCACGCACTCAAACTTCCAAACCATCACCGATTCACACAAAAAGCTTACGTTGATTCAGCCTTGGCCATAAATCTATCACCTTCACTCAAGAACTTTAGTAACACTTACCAACGCACGCAAGTCTATCCAGTAACTGTACTTGATAACTGTTTTGGTTAAGTATCTTCCCGCCCATTCGTTCCAAGATTGGTACTTAGTGGTGCTAAAGTAGGGGTGGGCGTCCACAAGACGCTCCACCGCGAATCCCATGACTTCTCATAGAGCGGGGTGACACTATTTTTGTCTAGGATCCAACACTGAAACCTCATTTGCTCTGGCGACGGCATCTCATGAATCTTCTGCTCCGAAACACAGAAGTAAAAAATCCAGCCAGATCTTTGCAACAGGTAAAAGAGCCTTCTCGCCAAATGAAATCACCCAAATGGTGATGTCATGATGATGTTTCCGTCAAAGATCATTAACAACGGATGACGTTTTGTATCACGAGTTAGCTTCCGAATGGATATCAAGGATGTCACAACGGCATCAGGCTTTCTTTTTTGGAGAATTGGGGAGCCAATCTTCCATCTTCCAGAGGCCAATTGCAACGGTCGGCAGCACAACAAAGGGCCGAAAACAAAAATGAGGTAACGGTTGGTTTCAACATCCGACAAAAAGATTCCCACGGGAAGCACCATCCATTTAGCTTTCAACCGGAAACAGCCTCAAGGTTTCAGCAAGACGCCATCTGTCAATCAACGTTGGAACGATGGAACCTCACGATGGTTGATTTATTTACATATGATTGGGCTGAGAAAGAAATTGCAATACACCCACGTGTTACCAACACATCCACTGGTGTCAGAATAGATCTAATATCCATTTGTTTGATGATAGCAAAAGAAGCAAATCGAACCGAACTCACTCAGGCAGGCAGAATGATTGGTGGTAGTTGGCGAGGTATCTTTTTGGGTATCAGATTCTTTGGATGTTTCAGGAACCCCTTCCATTGGCTTGTCTTGAAACGTGCTGTAGGGTAGGCTGCAGTGGGCTACCCTTCTTCACACTCTGGTTCTTATTAAAAGATTGTTCGTACGGGTACGGGCACAGTAGCATGCGGGTGGTGATATTATGGTGCAGTTTCTTTGTGCGCCCCAAATGCAGCGGGCAGCATCGTCTTCAATCTCAAGGCGTTTCTTCAATCGGAATCATAACTAATGTGATCACTTGGAAGATGAAAGTGGTCCTCCAGACAAACGCTGGAGATTTTATCAATCACCATGACATGGCTGCTAGCTACTACTATTAATAGTGCCGGACGATAGGTGCCCCTGAGGTGTGGAGTGTGGAGTGGAGTGGGCTTTGCAACGAGCTCAAGGATCGTTGGATCTTTTTCAGTCCCGAAACGAAAAGATCCAAGATTTCGGTCACACATTCTCTACCGCTCACATCTCCTGGACCGAATTATTCAATCGGCTCAATTCGAAAGCTCAGGCACAACTCGAACAGCTTTCGGGCTAGCAGCGGGCACGTTACTTGCCACAAGCTTTGGATGAGGATGATACCGGTACCGGTATGGAGCGCCATCCAAGAATGTTAAAACAGCCAACCTCGTTGGATCCTTCGTTTGCGGTCCCACTATAAATAGGGCTTGGGAAGGGCCGAAATGATCCATTTCGCAAAATTTTGTTGAGTTGTAATCAAACGTGGGAGGATAAAATGGATGTTTTCTGTAAATTTGTAGTCTAGAGCAATTTGTATACCAGGACAACGATATGCATTGCAAGAGAGAGTTTACAAAGCAGTTTGATTTTTTGTTTGCTAGTCGTCATCATATGATCGAATCAAACTGCGAAAGTTATTCCTCGCGTAGCACGGATTGAGGAGACTGCAGTAATGACCACAGAACATGCAACACATGGTACAGGGCAAGCAACCAAAGAGGCACCCAACCACACACTTTTTCAGTATTCCGACTTTTTCGCACAGAATTGTCTCGATTTCTTGTGGAAAGTCATCCCCAAGTGTAGCACACACAATGAGAAACAGTTCGGACGGACGTAGAATATTGGGATCAGCCCCCGCGTCCAACAGCACTCGAGTGGTTTCGTATTGCTCCCGTCGAATAGCCATACACAAGGTACTTCCAAGAAGCATCTCTGGTTTCATGGGCTTGTTTGGGTTCCATCCAATGTCCACGAGTGCCTTGGTGCATTGTGCCGATTCCAGGTCCGCCTCGTTCCGTTTGTTGAAGAGAATGACGGCCACCTGTAGATCGTGGAGCGTATCGATTACGACCTGCCTCGAAAACCTGGAGCAGGCAAGCTCCAACGTCCTTGTTAGAATTGTCGGATCACACGTTTTGCAAGAACCTTGCAATGCGACGGATAGAAATTTTTCGCGGAGTGTCTGATTGACTTGATTTGCGTTGGATCCGACCCACATTCTAATTCTCTCTTGGTCTACCGGTTGTGTGGCCTGCGCATCCAGTATATTGACTTGCATTCCTCGCAATGCCACTTCGACTGGGAAGGAACCAGGCTTGCAGATTCTTGTTCCCTCGTCGTCCGGAAAATTCCTAGGATCGGGATGATCCGTCGTCCTGAAACCGAGGCGATCCCCACCCGAAAAGGATAAAAGATGAGTTTCGGAGAGAATCCCAGCACATCGTAAATTACTCCTATTGTTTCCTGATCTGTACGATCCCTCTGGAATGATGGTGGCAATGTCGAGTCTGTGACGTTTCCTCTTGTGTGTCGTTTTGGCTATTGACACGAATGCTTCAAAGATACACCAGGATCTCTGGAGTGGTGTTGCCTTTATTTCATCTAATAGCATGACTGTGCCAAGACAGTGTTCACTTGAGATGACTCTGGCAAAGGGAGTCTGCATATACGTTGGCGTATCTATTCCTTCTTGGTCTAAACTATGCTGTCGATTGGAAAAGGCACATATCCAAACGGAATAAGTGCGATTGCGACGGCATTTCCACCTCTCTGTGCGAGCATCCCATATGGAAAAGGAAGCGTGTCGGTGCAGCTTGAGCATACGAATGGTATCCACCAGGGAAGTTCCCCAGTAATGGCTGACCATGAAGATGGGGGGTTTTGTTACTCTTTCTGTGGAGACAAGCTCTGCAAAGGAACATTGCTCTTTCTCCGTCAGAGGTTTTACAAAGTGTTCATCTATGTGATACAGATTGATGGAATCTAGATTCACTGTTTCTCCACTGAATCTGTCAGTAATTTCATAGCCAGCATCCAAAACTTGTCGGATCAGGTCCAGCAATTCTTCCAACTTTTCAAGAGTGATACCCCTCAAGGCTGTGTCTTCCACCAGGCATCCTGCTTTCTTATACTGATCAGGAATTGGAACTAAATCTGACCATGGCACCATCATGATGTTCCCTCCCCACCAATGATAAGGGGGTGGACTGAACTGAAATCTATACTCAAGTCGAGGAAAAGAGACTGAATGTTCCTTGTCGTGGTGTATGAATACCGGTAGGTCAAGCATGGATGGTATCTTGGGCTGAAAAAGGCTTCCAACATCAGAATCTAATCAGAATCCAGATTGATGACGTCATCAAGGCAAATACATGAGAAAGGCTTCTACGAAAAGTGTTGTTTTAATACGTCAGAAGCAGAAAGGCACGATTAGTTAATTAGAGCGTTATTACTGAGAGCAAACTTACTAATACTTGAAGGACTCGTTCTTCAGAAGCGACAGGTTGCGTTACTTAGAGCTCAGCGGCAAGAAAGAAAGCACCCCTGCGAATAGATGACCGCGTAATTCATCCATGCTCCCACCAACGACAACCAAGGGTGGGACCGCAAAACAAAACAGCGTCCGCATTGATCCAACCACAAGACAACACCAACAGCGAGCTACCCAACTAATAACACTGTCGTTACTATGAACTCCCAAGATAACAATGATCCCGCCTCTGGAATTGGCTCTGGCACAGGTGCTAACAGTAATCAGCAGATAGATGATGATTCCGTCGTGAGCCCGCCCAGTGTGATTGATATCCCCAGACCTGCAGACATGAGCTGTGCTTCTTCTGTGACGACTCACTTTCAAGATGCTGCGCTGTTTGTCCCTCACATGTATCCGTCAGTACAGAGTCTACATGATACCCAGGACGTTGAAGATCCTACCTTTCAGCCAGTAGCGCAGCAGCCAAGACGACCGCCAACAAAGACAATTACAACAACCGACACACCCGAAATTTTACCCCCACTCCCTGAAGAATTATCCCAAGGCCCTGCCAATACATGTAGCAATAGCAGATCTTCCAGCAGCCAAAAAATCAATGAACATCGAATCCTTAAGGAACAAGAGCTCTTGCCCATCATTCCTTCGATGGCTAGCTTGGAGTCGAGAATCAACCAGAAGACCCAGGTGTACTCGGTTCGACACATATCAGTGCGAGACACTGGGGTGGATCCAAACCTCCAAAAGGGACACAGTGAGGATGAAGTGACCAGGAAAATTATGGCGCAAGGTGACCACATACCTACAATTAATAGTCTGGGCCAAAACAAGGAACCAGCAGTCGGTAGCACAGACAACAGCAAAGCAGCCATTTCTAATGAGGTCGATGCTACCACCTCGCCATCACCAACGAACATGCCATCCCTTACTCGTTCAGGAAGAGTTGTGGTGCTTGAGAGTATACCAGGAGCGCATGCTGTCCGATCATCCCAAACCAGTGAGCAAACACATCAGCCAAGCTGTTCTAGTAGTGTGAACACTGATTCTGATGTTCTTGCTGATGAAGATGATGAAGCGGAAGCGGATATCCAACCACCACCATCCGAGTCATTGGCAGAAGCAAGACCTGTTGCTGATACGGAGGAAGACCTACCCGTTGCCACAGCCGATGATGGCCATAGGAAGGCCCGGCAGCAAAGTAACTGGCCTGTCTATGCCATGGAAGGCCTGTGCATCCTTTTGGTTGTTGCAGGTATTCTTATGGGGGCTGTCTGTGGAACAGGACAGTGCAGCCAGAAGGTCTATGCGGATGGCAGCAGTACCATCGCACCCACCACAACAAGAGATGCTGTCACAGCACCCGGAATTGAGACTGTCTTAACTCTCATTTTGGGCAGGGATTATTTCGAACGTGTTGAAAAAACTGGAGACGTTTTGGATGTTGACCGTGCTGAGTTCTTGCTGGGAACTAGACTGAAGGCGTTTGACTGGATTGTCAATCAGGATCCAATGCAGTTGGAATATGATTCTCCCAATTTGGTACAAAGATTCCTTTTGGTTCTCTTTTACTACCAAACCACCAGGCATCAACCATGGCATGAGTGCAACCCACCTCCAGCTACCCAAGGGAGTGCAACCTCTGGTCTCTGTTATAAACCTCATTATCTCTCTGGTGAGACATCAAACAACATATGGGGGGACTGGTGGCTCTCTGCAAGTCATGAATGCCAGTGGGCTGGAATCACTTGTGGAACTTCCAAACACGAGGAAAAGAGAATCATCGAGGTAACACTGTGTAAGCATGTTTGCTTGGACTTGCCTGACTTTGGAATGTGCTACTACTTGATTGAATTCCTAACACTTTGGATGCGTTGGATCGATCTTCAGCTACAAACCAACTCAATGGCCCACTGCCATGGGAAATCTTGCAATTGGCACAACTGAAGCATTTAGAGCTGAGTTACAATGTGCTGACAGGAACGCTTTCCCCAAGGTTGTTCTTGAGTGAATATGCCTTGACAATGGAGCATCTCGACTTGATTGGAAACAGATTGACTGGAACAATCCCGGGAGAATGGTTTGTGGATCTTCACGAAGGAAACGGTAAACTTGAGCTACTTCTGATTGCAGAGAACAGGTTGACCGGGACAATTCCTTCCGAAGTGGGTTTGTTCCCTTTGAGGGTGTTGGTTGCAGGAAGAAATGCGTTGATTGGGTCACTTCCAATGGACCTATTCTACCAGAGTTCATTGGCGATACTTCACGTGGAAGACAATCAGGTAAGCTATCCTCATTTTATATTGTTCATGCACATGCTGATCATGCCAAAAATTGACATTTTCTGCTTGTTGTGGTGCTAAACTCCAAAGATCACGGGAACCATACCCACTGAAATTGGCCTACTTGCAAGCTTGACCCAGATTAATCTTTCTGGCAATAGCATTTCCGGGTCCTTGCCCTCGGAGATTGGATTGGCAAAAGGGCTCACTCGTATCCATCTGAATGCTACAAACATGGAAGGAACGCTCCCCGAAGAGCTCTACAGTGAACTCAATAATCTACGACGGTTGGACTTGAATGGATGCAACTTCTCTGGGACAATCAGCTCATCACTTGGTCTTTTGACAAAACTGCATTGGATTCAGCTTGCTAACAACGACTTCCATGGCACCATTCCGAATGAAATCGAGACATTGACCGGCCTGAGGCAACTTCTAGTGAACGGGAATAAGCTGTCTGGAACTGTTCCGGTATCTGTCTGCCAAAACTTTGCATATCTTGAAAAAAACAAGCATTCCGAAGTTTTGTTGGTGGCAGACTGTTTACCCAATACAGAAACTGGAGTCCCTGCCATTGGTTGTGCTGATGATTGCTGCACAAGTTGTTGTGACGTGAATGGGGTTTGCCTTGCCAACTGAATGATATGCCTACTGTCTTGTTCAGAGCTCTGAGGAGCTTCTCTGGAGATAGTCCCATCTTTTGGGGACTGTCTTCTTTTGCCAGCAACAAGCTTCTAGCTTCTAGCTTCTAGCTGGCTACTGGTAGTGGGATCGACGCAATTGGTAGTACCGGTACTTGCCTGCTTCGCTGTGGCTGTAGCTAGTATTGCTGCCGTGAGGTCGCTGCCTTGAACGGTAGAGGGTGGAGGGGTCTGGTCGTTTTGACGTCATACTTCAAAACACGTTCATTGCGACTTCAGAAAGTAGGAATTGCGTCAGAGAAAAGACTGCAAGATAAATCAATTAATTAGACTAGGGACGACCAAAGACTATAAGGCAAGTTTCGTTCCTTTCGATACAGCGAACAGGCGGCTTTACTATAGCTGGTTCAGTAAAGTAGCCAGGTTGAGACAGTTCGCAGCTGTTCCTTCTTCTGACCCCCAATACCGAAGACCAAAGACCAAGCACCATTGCAACAGCAACAGCAACAGCAACAGCACTTCTTGCCGTTGTTTCACAAAACGCTCCACCACCCCCAAGAGCCAAGAGCAATACCACTACTACAGGTAGTACTCTAGCTAGTATAACAACCAGATACCCCCTTGGGAGACAACAACACATACACCAAGCTACCAGCTAGCTAGAACCTAACCAACACTGTCGTTACTATGAACTCCCAAGGTAACAATCGCCCGCTTCTGGAATTGGCTCTGGCACAGGTGGGCGAATAGACGAGGCTCCAGTCGTGGACCCACCCAGTGTGATCGATATCCCCAGACCTGCAGACATGAGCTGCGCCTCGTCAGTGACGACTCACTTTCAAGATGCTGCGCTGTTTGTCCCTCACATTTACCCGTCAGTACAGAGTCTACGTGACTTTGACGATAACCTAGACGATGCTACCTTTCAGCCAATTAATCAGCCGTTGAGGGGGCCAACAGGGATGCCTTCAATTTTACCGCCGCGTCTGGAAGAATTATCACAAGACCCTGCTGATACATGTAGCAAGAGCAGCACACCAAGCAGCCAAAAAATCGATCAAATCGAATCCTCAAGTAACAAGAAAAACTTACGATACAAGATCTCTCCCCTGAGACTCCATCCATGGCTACCTTGGAATCACGAATCAACCAGAAGACCCAGGCTTACTCGGTTCAACAGATTTCCTTTGACAATGAGGGAGGTGTAAACATTTGTGTTGACCCTTTCATCCAAAAATTACGCACCGAGGGCGGCCCAAATTTAGAGGAGGCAACCAAAAACAGGAAGCACATGAGCCAACGAAGCCATTTCCCATTCTATCTTATGGGGGGCATTTGCTTCCTCTTGGTTGTGGTGGCTATCATTGTGGGGGCTATTTGTAGCACAGGACACTGCAACCAAAAAGTCTATGTGGACGCCAGTAGTATACATACCATCGCACCTACCACAACCAGAGATGCTGTCGAAGCACCAAAGATCGACATTGTTCTCACCAGCATCCTTGGCAAAAACTACTTTCAACGGGTTGCAGAAAATGGAGAAGGTTATGATAGTGACCTTGCCGACTTCTTGCTGGAAACAAGGCAACGGGCATTCAACTGGATCGTCAACCAGGATCCCATGCAGTTGGAGTATGATTCTCCCAATTTGGCAGAGGTTCCTCTTGGTTCTCATCTACTATCAGACTACTAGGCATCAACCTTGGAAAGACTGCAACCCAGCAGCAACAAACCGAAGAAGCACTTCGTCCAGTTTCTGCAACCACCCACATCCTATTACTGGTGAAACCACATCACAATTCTGGGGTGATCACTGGCTCTCTGCAAGTCACGAATGCCAGTGGGCTGGTATAACGTGTGAAGAAAAGAAGCAGACACATGAAATTCTGCTTGGTAAGTAAATGGCAGAATTTGTGCGTATTGCTGGATTCATGCTCATGTTCTTGTCTTGTCTTGGTTGTTTCTCTAGTATGGAATCAGCTCAATGGCTGCTGACTGCTGCACCAGTTGTTGTGATGACACTGGCTTTTGCCTTTCCAATTGATTGGTGAAGTGCTATACCGGTACATAGACATGTTTCATAAATAGAAGAATACTGTAGTGTAACAGGTATTTTTGGACAAGGGGAGTATTCTAGTTCGTACCCGTATCGGTACCACTTTCCGTACACCGTCTTCATTGCTCGTGATGCTGGCAGTACTGGCAGTAAGGTCCCTCGTCCCGACTTTTTGATTCGAAAAATAGAAATGAGTCAAGTTGCTATACAACTAGATCAAAAGCAGCCAGTCAAGAACGCAGATCTGCCACCAAAATGATGGGCTCGTGTTTAGCCTGCCTCTTCTCCCGTACTGGTACACGAGATATACTTGTGTCGACGGGGGTTCTGGGCACAGTTACTGGCAGAGACACAGGCCAAAATAGTAACCAGCACCGGATACGATTCACGTCTACATGTATTGTCATCGCGGCTAGCTCACAGTGCGGGGCGGCCGACCGCCACAAGTTCCGCACCACACGCATGTGCCTGTTTGAGGGATTTCGTGATTTTTGGCAATCCGTTTGCCAAGGAAAGAGAACTTGCAAAGGAAGGTGCTTGGTAGACATCGTCCATCGAATTTTCCACATACACGCCAATCGACTCCATGCAGTTGCTTTTCACGAACAGACAATCTTAAGTTCGAGAGTTTTGTCGAGGCCGCAGCTGTATCACTGCATTGTGTACATCTAGACAAGTCCAACTGGTGGGCAGCCAGTTGGTGCCGGCACCAAGTGTGCTGACATCCAGTGGTGCCATTACGACGAGTAGCAAGACACCAACAACACAGGGGTCGACGATTGCTCGGGTTGATGCGGCCACCGGAGACAAGTGCCACGGTGGTTGCAGTATGCGCTACAAACGAAAGTCTAGCTGCTACATGCATTTTGTACAATAGATGTTCCACAGAATCACAGACAAAGTCATGGAGCCAGTTGCTGTGCTGCCCCAAAGCTTTCGAATGTGCAGGCTCTGTTCGGGCTCCACAGGCAGAGCAAGAAAAGAGTGGACGAGATACTAAGTCGGGTCTCATTGTGTCCATGTCCATGCACGTTCACCAACGGGTCGAAACTCCCAACCCCTTTGAAGGAAGTCGGATTGCTGAAGGAAGTCCGATTGCTAGGCGTGCAAGAAAGAGATAAATAAGCGTCTTTGCAGCATGCATGAAAGCGCTATTTCCTGGGGTAACAACCTCACAGCACACGACCACTTTGCTATTTCCAGAAGGTGGAGCGCAGCTTGACTCGACTGAGTCACTCAGCTTCATCACAACAGAGAGAAGGATTGAGTGGCGATCATAGCAAAGATCTTCTACGAAACTCGATTCGATTGAATCATTCATGTTGTTCCGGTTGGTATTGTCAAGCCAGGAACTGATGACGGTCCTGCTGGCAAGAAGTGCACGGTACGTTGGTGCAGTGCCAAACATGACTCACTCGTGCTCCTGTGGCTCCTGCAGCATGCGATTCCATTCACTTTCCCTTCAAATTGCGCTTCGAGCTAGTAGCTACAAGCGGCAGCAACCTTCTACTAAAAAGAAAGTTGTCTGGCTGAGAAGGCATCGACGCCCCTTCCTCCGGCATCTGATACGGTGGTCTAAACAGAAAGATATATACTTAAAACTGTCATGTCCACGGACGAAGGAAGGAGGCTCACTATCGTACGCCTTGGCTTCTTGCGAGACACAACATCGAAACGACTTTCCCGCCACAGAAGGAAGAATAGCAGGCAGAAACGAAAATTATCTTCACGGGCTATCTATCTACGGTACCGTATGGGTGGGATGCTAGCAAAAAGCCATGGGTCTGGGGTCTGCCTGTGATGGACAGTGATGACAATTAATTGATAACTCAGTAAACGGCGAACGAGCAGTGCTGATCTGGTCCTTGCATTACAACTGGAGATCATAGTTGGAAATTGGAACCATCTCGGTTTCCGCCCCGGTGGTACCTGGTACCGGTACTACCGGTATCTTGGAACCCTTTCCATTCGAGCGCACCCAAGCTACTAGCTAGCTATAGTGGCTAGAGAAAATTAGCATCAACATTCATGTTCTCTTCGCGATATCGTGTCTTGAGTGTCATTTTTTATATTAATAAACAGGCCGGAGCTGGCTTACAACAAAGTGCCGTAAATGGGCGTTAGCCATCCGTTTATTATGACGTCACAACAAGACTCACGAGCCGACGGTTTGCTTCTCACGGTTCGTTTGCCTTCAAAAGAAAACTTGCGAAATCAAATTTCCAAACCAAACACGACGGTTTGAAACTCTGCCGAAAGCGCTTCTCGACGACGACGTTTCCCTCTCTTCTTCACAAACCCCTTTTGAGGGAAGTACCATGATCGTCATCTCATCATGTCCACAAAAAGAGTTGCCAAAGGTCTTGTGTCTGCGTCCAAAATAGCCAATTGAGGTTTGTGAACAGTTCATGCTGATGGCTCTCTTCCTACCTTCCTACCTTCCTTCCTTCCTACCTTCCTTTGTCGGGTGAAAGGCCGTGCTCTGTTCCATGGTATAGCCGATTGTGGTTTTGGAACAGTTCATAGCTGAGTAGCATTGGATTGGCTGGTTCGTACTCGTGCAAAGGTAAAGTCGGTTCTTCTGTTTGGCGGGTTGCGATGCTCGTTTCATTCAATCCAACTGTGGCGCCTCAAACCCTTGTCTCTTCCTCGTAGGTCTGCTGATGCAATGTTGGCCGTTGGCCGTTAACCGTTGACAATAGTGATGTTGGTATAGCCGCTTGAGGTTCCTCTGATATCTCAGCCAGTGCTCTCTCTTGGATCATTGCTTCCTTTCTTTGTCTGTCGGGTGAAAGGTCTTGTTCAGCGTCCGAATATAGCCAATTGAGGTTTCGCGAACTGTTCATGCCGAGTAGCATTGGGTTGGTTCGTACTCTACTCTACACGCTCTTGGAATGGCAGTTAGTGGTTGGTTCGTGCTCGTGCAAAGGTAAAGTCGGTTCTTCTGTTTGGCGGGTCGCCGTTTGTTCTCCTGCTTCGCCTCTTCAACCAAAGCCACGTTCTTCTAGTCCAAGCGAAACGGCACTCTACCGATGGTGAAACCTTCTCGAAACTAGTTGGCTATCTTTCAATTCTTTCGGCGGAGTCCTTCCTTCTTCGAGTCTATCAGCCGTTGCTTCATCGCCCAGGTCTTCTTTGTTCCTTCAAGTCGAGTCGATTCCAAGCGCACGAGCAACCCTACCGATACCGATGATACCTTCCGGATCAAGGCTAGGCATTCTTTCGGGTGGTGATCGCGCAGCTTGGTCGGACAGCAAAAGACGTTTTTCCGTCTCCGTCCAAGAGCACCAGCGAATCATTCTCCGCTTCATCGCCCAAGCCTTCATTCTTCCATCCTCTCGCGGGTTCTTTCTTTGCAAGTGGAGCTCGGAATTGACTGCGTCGACCCTCTCTCAAGCTCTTGCGCCCTTCCGCCCTTCCGCTGTGTATGCCATCGATTGGGGCACGTCGCTGGTTGGTGGTTGGTTGCGTTGCATCGATGGACAAACAAGTCGGCGTCCTCAAGATCTGGCTGCGATCCTCTTCGACTTCAAGACATCCATGAATGCCACGTTTTGGGACGCTTTGCGGTGGCCTTGTTAGGAGCAGAGTGGTTTCGGCGCTCCAACCATCTTGGCTGGAGTCGAGTCGCTTTGAATGGTACTGGTCCTTCCTAGCTAGTCTCGTCCGCCACCCTATGTTTCGATTGCATGCGCAAGGTGCGCAAGCTGCTAGTACTGTAGACTAATTCTTTGATCCCGACGCCCGCTTTGACCTTGGCGTGGCTCTCTAAGCAGCCCTCCAATCTCATCTGAGCTTACCTCAGCTCACTTCACGTCTTGATTCCAACTTCTCACTCATTCCCTTCCTTTGCAGAGCTACTCTTGCTCACGTTCTCACGTTGTATACCGTACCCTCACTTGCTTCCACTATTATTTGACTGCCGAAATCGAATCGAATTGGTGGAGGATCACTGACCAAGCAATCGAATCGAATGGAGCCTGGGCAGCTCATGTTGGATTTCGAGGCTCGTTGGTGCATGGTCTTGCTCTCTATGTCTCGTGTTGATAACATTTCCCACCGCTTCCGGACAAATCTCTTTGTTTTGGCAAACACAAGAAACGCATCAGACCTGATCCGTTTGTTCACTCATACCGGCCCTGTCACGATCTATTGCCTGCTGACCCAATGCCAAATGATCCCACTCCGGCCCCCAAATCTGGAAAGAAGCAGCACGGCGCGTCTTCCAAAGGGCAACACTCAGGCTGGGGCTCACTACTAGTATGCATATAGATAAGCTTCCCGTGGCTGCTACATGTGCATAGCTGGCTACAAGAAGAACGAACGACCACTTTCTATTGTAGCTACACTGTGTATGGCCAGCTCAGGCTGTGATTCTATCTATATAGTCTATCAGGTAATTGTGCTAATTATTATTTTTCCTATTTCTTTTTGAACAATTTCCCGAAAACTCCCTTTTTTTCTTTGGTTTTGTTTCTTTCTGCGGCATATCTCTCCTTGATGGAACTGAATCTGTCATTTTGAAGGTTTTGCTGGCTTTCTTGCGACAAGCCTGTGCTAGTGCTAGTGCTGCTAGCTGTCTTACTACTACTCGTAGTATCAGCGGTGACAGAGCCACTCTTGGCAGCGACGATTTTGTTTTGAATGTCATTGAGTCTTGAACTCCGCTGTCGGGACTTTGCGTTCATGCCGCGCTGTTCTTCGCGTCGCCGCCCTTCGCGCTTCGAGTCTTCAATCGCTCGACCAGTCGCATTCACGGCGGCTTCTCCTCCACGATACGCTGCGTAGCCACCCACGCCCACTGCTGTAGCCGCCAACAATACCATCTTGCTCTCACTGTCTATCAAGTTTGTTCTTTGTTTTGTGTCCTCTTGTTGCACACGACTGTTTTACAGACACACCAGCCAGAGGTTCGCATCCGCTTCTCATAATGCCAAATCGACAACGCCAGGCGGTTACTCTTTGTTTCTGTTCCATTCACTCCGGAAATGACCGCTCCGTTGGCCGATGCCCGGACAACTGGTGATATATAGCTACTCAAGCAATCATACCGTACCTTAATCAAAGCTAGCTATAGTACATCATCAATCTGTTATTTACTTATTACTAGCTCAGTTGGAAAGGCAAAAGCCAGTATCATCACAACAGCTTGTGCAGCAATCGGCACCACACTCAATGGCAGCAACTCCAGTTTCCGCATTGGGCAGACAGTCCGCCACAAGCAGAGCTTCTGTAAACTTGGCAGTGTAAGCAGAAACCGTTGAACCAAGCTGGGAGAATCATACTCCAACTGCTTGGGATCCTGGTTGATAATCCAGTCAAATGCTATCTGCCTTGTTTCCAGCATGAACTCTTGGAGGTCTCTATCGTAACCTTTTCCATTTTCCGTCACCCCTTGGAAGTAGTCCTTGCCGAGGATACTGGTCAGCACAATTTCAATCTTGGGGGCGTGCGCAACGTCTCTGGTGGTCTGTGCTGATGATGGAACTGGGTCATTGGCTGTACACAAGCCAGCCCCACAAACTGAACCAATCACAATCCCAACCACAGTGATGATGAAAAGCAATCCTGCCTTGTCCATGGAACAGCCCTACCATTGGCATGGACTGCCACTGCTTGGGGCACACTCATGGGATCCACTAGATTTGCTTCAACTAGCCCTGCAAGATCGTTCAAATTTTGAGTTCCATCTTGTGAGGCTTTGACAGATGAGGATGTTTCTCTGTGTTCTTGTAGTCCACTCCCTCCAATAGCCACAGCTCCAATCAACATTTCTTGTTGGATCCCATCGTGGTTAGAAGTGTCACTTGTATCCACATTGCTGGTCCCTGTAATAGAGGCATTGACTGGTTGCAGTTCATCATTCTTCTTCTTGGTTTCAAGAAACTGTGTTGACTCCAACTCTGCTTCCTTGGTGATCTGCTCTTGAGTCGGATGCGTTACTGGATTGTGCGTAGCTGTCTCAATTTTGACTTTGCTATGATTGAGATGTGAGCTTGCTTGAGCATGGCGTCTGTTTTCTTCAAGGGCTGTTGTTGGCCTGGGCATAGAAGTTGGTATTGGTGGGCAGGGTTCACTTTGTTCTTGTTGTTGCTGCAGCCTTGCCATCATTTGCTTGTGCATATCTTCTTCTTGTAGGATCAGCTGCTTGCCAGCCATTCCAGGTACTGCATAGATTTCAACTGAGGTTTGAGTTTGAGATTCAATGTCTGCATCAACATCCCCATCTCTAGCATCATTGCTGGTGTTGTCCTCCATCCCTGCTCGAGGTGGCTCCTGTGTATCCTGCCCGTCGCCCCCGGTGCCATCCTCATTGGTAGTTGTCTTCGTCATCTTCTTTCTACAGTGCTGGCTCAGTTGATTATTTGTGTGCTGCTGGCAACTAACTTGGAAAACAATAGCAAGAAGCTGGGTTGGACGTTGGACGGGGACAGGAAGCAATGGCTCGACGAAAGTTTGACCACCGTGCTCGGTGGTGGAACATGATCCAGAACACTTGAATGAAAGCGTGGAAAAGTTTTCTCATTAAGGCTTATGTACCTGAGGATTTGAGTCATGGTACACATACATAAAGGGCCTTGCTCCAGGAAAACTGTTTGTTAATGAGTATTGTCCACTTCTGCTGTACTCAGAGTAAGGCTTAACTCACTGCGACAACCCAGGCTAACAGTAAATGTTCCAGCAAAATATTTTATTCACTTAGCCTGCAGCACCAACTTCGGCTGTGGGTACTAGTACATCAACGTCTAGGGAACTACTGGTACCGCTGCCAGTGGCAGATGGACCCTGCAGTGAGTTAGCCGTAGTAGTCTAGCTTCAGGTCCGAGGTTAGAGAGGCGCGAAGACCGAGGCCCTGGGCAGCGTCCAGCCCCCGGGCAGCTGCAGCAATGATCACTATGATACTCTGGACATCCATCATTCATCCATCTGAAGCCAGGTTCTAACCTCTAGAGCTAGCTAGCTATTATGTGAGCTGAAAAATTCAGAAGCTTGGCTGGTCATCAAGCTCCCTCCCATGAAATCCCGCAGCAGCAGTCGTAAACTCACGGACCGAACTGACTTCTTCTCGCTGGTGGAGCTCCTCTGCGGCCGGTTTCGAAAGCTACTCTTCAAACTTGAAGGAAGTCCAAAGCTCAAAAGGTTCGTTCTGGATCTATGGGTCTTGAGTTCATACTTTGGTTTGTATTCTTGTGGTTTCAAGCAAAGGATTGCCCGGACAACCCATTGGACACACAAGGATGCAGCTTTGGGATTACATAGGATCAAGAGACGAAGTATACAGTTGGCCGCCTGTGCCATGAATCTCAGATTGACCAGCCACAAAATAGCCCACAAAGAAAAACTTGGAATCCCAGCACTGTCTGCCGTTTCCTCCCCCACCGCAAGCCGAAAGGATGCAGCCCAGAAAGTATGAGGGACATACCGTAACAGACCCAACTCCTTTTTGGAAAGAGCTGAGAACAATGTCTTCAGATTCAACGGTGCTGGTGAACTCAATTTCAAGTTCCGGCCAAAGGTGGCGTGAGCATAGGCTGCATCATCCGTGTAGTCTTTGGTCAGCAATGCTTCTGGTATGCCCAGGGCCCACCCTACATAGCGCCATACATGATGGAACGCTATCCGGTCTTCTTGGCTAACCTCTGTTCCCAGGATGAGTTCTGTGTAGAGTATTGACAAGTACGAGAACGATAGTAGTGTCCCTGCTTGGTCTTCATGATTGATTGGTGCCCCCAAAGCTTCGCTATCCCATCCATGCTGCTCCAAAAGAAACTTGCGTACTTTTGAGTGCAGCAGTCGCACTTTGATAATGTCTTCCCGACCCCTGCCATTGGCCATGAGAGGCTCTTCATCAGACATGATTGTGTACACAAAGATGATTGTATCAAACAGTCGCGATGGGGCACCTCGTTTGAAGCGACCAGTGCAAGATAGAACTTGCGCTCCGTCAGCGCAGAGAAAGGTGATGGGCAAGGAAAAAGTCGCAAGGCCAACAAGCATCCCCGGAAGTGCATACTTCCAAAACACCTCTCTCCCTCTTTGTAGCAACTTGGGATCTACCCAGTCAGGTACATTGCTGAAAACTTGCTTGTAGAGTCCCTGATAAGCTCGATCTTTACCGTGTTCAAGTAGAATGGAGTCTGCGGTTGTATCTACCTGAGATCTGAGTTCCTGGCGGCTATACTCAAGGAACAATGGGTGTTTGGACGGGGACAAAGTCCAATCAGCAAGGACAAATCTACTGGCTTTGCTCTTCAGTTGACTCCAGTTCCATGCATAAGCTCCTGCCAGTAGGAAGCACGCTATGAACACAGGAGCAGCACAGATTGGGGTATTGCTGGGCTGGTCAAGCATTGTAGCTTTTGTTTTTATGAGAGGGTGTTTCGATGCGCCAATGCATCGGAACTATAATATCCGATGCAAACCTGTGCGGAGTTGTGGTGAAGATGTCGTGATCTTCCGTGTCGAGTCAAGCTCGTGTTCATCATTGGCTCGGTGTCCCGATCGTACACAGAAGCAACGACAAGGAGATCAAACTTGCTTCGGAATGGAAAGTTTTGTTAAATCCCGAACAAATAAACAGGATTTACTCTATATAATTGTCTGCATCTAATGTTTCCGTATTTAACCGAAAATAATTTCCGAAATGAGGATTGCCCCCCTTGTGATGGATTGTTGTCGATCGCAATAATCGATGCGATTTTGCACAGAAGAGATATCAACATGTTTTAGTGTCGAGCGCTACAGGGCTGTCAATAGATACGATTGCATGGGGCTCGCCGATTCTGGCTAGCTTAGAGCCTATCTAGGTTCAAAGGGGTGGAGCCCTATAGCTAGTTCTTGCTTTCGTTTCCTGCCAAACGAAGTAGGACGCTTTCCCAAAACAACAGCCACTGGCCTGCTGGTATACCTTAGGGCATTCTCTAGTAGTTTTCGTTCTAAAAATCGTCCTAAGCTACTCGTCCTAAACTTAGGACGAGTTTTTAGGACGAATTGGCAATCTCTAAATAAGTCGTTCTAAAACCAGACTTAAGATAGAACGAGTTTTAGGACGGACGAGTTCAGTCTCTAAAAAGCTGGTCTTAAAACTCATCCCGCATGCACCTCTCCTCTGTCAGCCTGTTAACATGGTCCTGATAGTGTGGCTAGAGCTTCCCACGAAGCACCTCTGTGGTCTGTGGTGCAGTACAATACTAATTCTGTTTGAGTTTGTTATCTACTAGCTAGCTACTCCTACCGTACGGTGGCTACCCGTAGTAGCGAGTTAACAGAGTCGAGTCGAGTGGTTCAGTCAATCGTGTTAACTTGATGGTGGATGATGTCATTCAACGTCATATGACTCAAATGACTGAAAGATTTAAGAAAACAATAGGACGAGTGTTAGGACGAGCCGAAATAATTCGTCCTATTTTCTGAAATAGACGGAGAAAATAAATTCGTCCTAAAAATAGAACGAATTTTAGGACGATTTTGAGTTAAAGATTGCTTTTGTCCTAAATTTTCGTTCTAAAATAAACTTAGAACGAGTTTTAGGACGAACGAATCTACTAGAGAATGCCCTTACTGAGCAAGAACGTTGGGTCTCGTGAGGGTTGCATTGCATGTATCCATAGGCCATTTCGTCGGGATCCCAGGCCCAGTAACAGCTACAGGTACATTGGAATTCAATCATCTCCTCATTTCCTTCCGGGTAGGTCTGGACGAATGGTGTTCACAAGCAAAACCGTCGGGTTTGGTTGGATAAACCGGTAGGTCAGCTCCACCTAGAGCGATGTGTGAGTGGAGTCGGAACTGGCTGGCTGCATGGTTACAGTAGATAGATTCCTGAGCTCACGTATGGAAGACGCGAAGAGGTAGAGGCCGCCGAGTCTGAGCTACAAGCAATGTGATGATAGAGCGCTTCTGTGTCTGCTGCCTTGCTTCTGGCAGCCCCAGCACCAGTGCAGGTGCGGCGACATGTACGGACACGGAACGGAAACATTGTCTTCCGTCGTTCCGTCTTCGTCCTCCCGTGCAGCATACTGCCTGTAGCCTGAGTGCTTTTAGGGATCATGCGTGGACAGCTGTTGCTTGGCTGCACAGCTGGCTTCAGAGCGAAAGTATGCTTGGCTAAAGTTCCGAAGGCTGTCTTCCAGCATCCGAGAGCTCAACTTTTGGCTTAATTCCAGCAGTGCCGCATGGTAAAATTTACGTTTGAAACAACAAAGACAGTTTTAGAAAGGTAGATGCGGTAAATATAGAGTTCAAGCTACAGTTTACTTTGCATATTTGAATACAAAATTATGATTACCGCAGCTACGAGAATCCCAAACCTGTCTTCCAGCTTCGCGATCTTGGCATGGTACAGCGTACTAGTACCTATTTGTTTTCCCCTTGATCGATGACTACAGCATGCGACCTTCTCGAAGCTCAAAGCAACCCATGCTGACAATAGTCTAACTTCCCTGTTCAGCAACAGTCATTTGTTGGTGATGGTGATTAATTATTGTTGAGCGAGTGGAAGCGACAGCATACGGTGTTGTTAGGACTATAGCAAGAAGCAAGATGGACGATACTTCCATAGGTAATAGTCAAAACAAGGAAGAGACAAATGGCAGGCCTACCGGTATTGCTAAAGCCACCGTCAAAGATTCCAATGCCACTGATGAACCAGTTGGTATGGTTGGCAAAATACTTGTCCTAGAAGAGCAAGACCGAAGGGAACGGGAGAGATCTCAAGCCGCTGACAGTCAACGACGACCAACACAATGCGGGCCAGTGCACACAACCGTAGAAGGACCTAACTCCTTTCTTTATGATTCGGAAAGCAACAATGCCATGGGCATGGTTGGAAAGAGGCTCATTCTAGCACAAGAAGAAGCTGATGCAGCTAATGCAGCTGCCATAGTTACTAGCACTGTGGATAGAGCAAGTGCAATTGCCCCTGCAGGTGCCAGTGCCAGTGCCAGTGCCGGTGCCAGTGCAGCTTCTGTCCTACAGGTCTCTGGTACCAACCAACATACTAGGAGTGCTATGGAAGGATCCAATGGAAGGAATTCACGGAAGAATCCAACACCAACGGAACCCCCTCAACTTATGAGACAGGACTATGTGCAACAAAATCAACAGGTTCTGCCAGGAGCAGTGGCGGTACCAGGGGTTGGAGAAAGGCAATTTGGATCCTCGGCAGGAAACAACATTTCAGATCCGGAACAGCAGGATTTTGTTCGTGACAACCATCATGATGACAATCACAATTTGGGCTTGGTGGAAGCAGAGTCAGTGGACGACCTGGAAGAGCCCAAAGCCATTGCTGTTCCTGCCATTGAGAGCACCAACACCACACAGTCCATTACTCAGAAGTATCAATTTCGATTTGCAGCTTTTGCAATCACACTATTGCTTATCGGAGGGATCTTTATTGGCTCAATTTGTGGGGCTGGATTGTGTAAGGCTGATGATTCGTCCTTGCAACCTACAATGACAGACAGGGACATGCTTCAGGCTCCCAAAATGAAAGCCGCCCTTACTGAAATCTTGGGAGATAGCTACTTTGATCAAGAAGAGGAATCCGGTGATGATTTGGAAGTGCATCTATCTCAATTTTTGGTGGCAACAAGGCAGAGAGCATTGGATTGGATTGTCAATCTGGATCCAATGCAGTTGAGTTTTGATGCTCCCAATTTGTTGCAACGATTTGCTCTGGTGCTCTTCTACTATCAGACCACAAGGAACAAACCATGGAAGGTGTGCAACCCACCAGCAACCGACCAAAGAAGCACAAATAATTTTTGCTACGAGCCAGATTTTTACAATGGTGAAGTAACATCGGTCATCTGGGGTGATCAGTGGCTCTCTGACAGTCATGAATGTAAGTGGGCTGGAATTGGCTGTGATGAAACTGTACAATCAGAGGAAAGGGCAGTGGTTGAGATACACCTTCGTAAGTCTTGAGATAACTCTCCAAAAGGTTTGCAATCATCTGCGCTTTGACTACTTCTGACACTGTGGATATCTGGATTCTTCAGGTTGGAATCATCTCAATGGCCCTCTGCCCTGGGAGATCACAAGATTGCCACTGCTGAGGATTCTCCGGCTCAACAACAACATGCTGACTGGAGCACTGCCCCCAAGACTCTTTTCCAAAAAAGCAGGTGTTGCCCTGGAAGCTCTCTTGTTGGGTGAGAATCAATTCTCTGGCACTATTCCTGTAGAATGGGTTCCTGACCTTCTTGAAGGAAATGGAAAACTTGTCAATATTCATCTGAATCGAAACACTTTGACCGGGAAAATTCCATCAGAGTTGGGTCTACTTGCTATCAAAACTCTTTCACTTGCAAACAACAAACTTACAGGTTCTATTCCACAAGAAATATTCAACCAAACTTCACTTGAATCCCTTTTCTTGAGAAAAAATGACGTAAGTTACTGCTGAAACACTCACACCCATGCATGGCCAAAGCTTACCTTCTTTTTGGTCCTCTCTGCTGATATCAAGCTCACTGGGACATTGCCAAGTGAAGTTGGCCTTCTCACTAATTTGCAAGAGCTGAACTTGAATTACACACAGATTTCTGGTACCTTGCCTTCAGAGATTGGCTTGGCAAACCAGCTTCAGGAACTTTTTCTCTCTAACACCAACATGCAAGGGACAATTCCCGAGGAACTCTACATGGGACTTGACAATCTCTGGTTCTTTGGCTTGGATGGTTGCAACTTTACTGGGACCATCAGCTCATCAGTCGGTCTCTTTCAGACAACTCTCCGGCACATGTACCTAGCCAATAACAACTTCCATGGCACCCTCCCCAATGAGATTGATGCATTGGCACTTCTAAGGGAACTTCTGGTGAATGGGAATGATCTATCTGGAACAGTTCCAGTCTCTTTCTGCCAGAACCGTTATGCTGGGGGGAAAGCTTCGAAGGTTGTGGCTGACTGTTTGCCTAACCCGGAAACAGGAATCCCTGCCATCCAGTGTCCTTCTGACTGCTGCACGAGTTGTTGTGATGAGACAGGACTTTGCCTTGCCAATTGATGTCTATGCCCTTGCCAAACAAGCAACAATTCTGGCAACACTGCATCCATTATACCACCCTTAGCATGAAGCTTTAGTGAACCGGACATCGATCCCGTCCACTCATCCTCCCGTCCACCCGTGCAGCAAACTACTTGTAGTTCAGCAATAACTGCAGCAATCAGCAAATCAATTGTGAAACGCGGAGGGACGGCTGTTGGCTACACAGCTGGCTCACCTTCCATTGGAGTTCAAGGTTTCCATTGGAGGCCGCAGCTTCTCTCTTCTGATAGGAAAGTCTTTAAATGTAGTCAGTAAAACGTTGGCTCGAAACACGAATAGCCTGTAGCCTGCTGTGGTACGACCTGACCTGATTTGACCTTACACTTGAAGGGCTTTTGGAGGAAGAAACAAGCGAGAGCTAAGACCTGGGTGAGAAGCTACATAGTGCCGATACTGTAGTAGCTAAATGATGTGTTATGTGACAGCTGTTTCTTTGAACTTTGAAGGATGCTTGAAATGGAACTATCTTGTCGAGTCTGCCTGTACCAAAATTGAATGTTCACAATGCAGACTGAAGCCCGCCAAAGTTGCCGATTGTTCCTCTTCCACTAGCTAGTCTACGCTGGCTCGCAAAGCTACTAGACTAGCCAAGATGCCCGATAGCACTGTGATTTATTTTACGTATCTGTGGATGCCACATAAATAGAATTCTATTTTAAGGCTACTCTGAGTACGACTGTCCACCGTGCCGCTACCCTAGACCGATATCTGTGGATGCCACAAGCTGACACGAACATTGCAGTTTGATGCCACGTCCACCGACTTCAACTCCATGCTTGCCTTCGTCCGTTTGAGGTCATCGGATGCTGACCGTCTTTACGTGTGCGGATTGTTCTCGGATTGCTTGCAGGAAACCTCACGGGTATGTTTCTGCATTTTCTTGTTGGCAACTTGAATAGTAAAGCTAGATCTGATTGTCATGCACCCTGTGGTCATGGTTCTACAAGGCGTTCCCATATCTAACCGTTCTTTCCGTATCCCTTGAAGTGAACAATTCTGTTTGAAGTTTCGACAGGGTTCTAGCCAACCAGAATCACTGACGTGGTTGTTGTTAAAAAGGCTTTTCACAATGCTGACGTTGCCCTTGCATGAGCTTTGGCTGACCACAGTTTGACGGAATGCTGTGGTATGAATGATCCGATCCACACTGACTGACATGGCGCTGGATAGAAGCTAGCTCTAGAAGGGCAGCAATCAAGCAATACTAGTAGATGCTGATGGTTGATGATGTGTGCTTTCCTTCTCCAGCAACAACACGTTGAAAGGTCTTTCCTTCCTTCGCACCCTTTTGGGCCAACTTGGATATCTCACAAATTTTGATTGCTTTCAGTAATCTACCTCCAAATCTTTTGCAACCTCCATTTTTTTGTGCATCAACATCCAAGATGTCTCCCAAACCTGACCATGACAGTGACAATGTAAGTTCAGTTCAGCTTAAAAAGTCAACTCAAGTCAACTTAATAAAAGTTGATCAATGGAATCAAAAGTTCAGCTTCTTATTGAAATTTCTACTGTTCTCTATTTTATTAAACTTTTCAGGAGGAAGAAATTGAAGACTTGACTCTTGACATGATGAAAGAAGGGAATGACGATTTGATTGAAAATGCTGGACAAGTCCACTTGGCTGCTTCTCAAGCCTGGGGAAGAGGCGTGGTGGCTGATATCCGCCGTACCATTGGAACCCACTGGTTCAAGGAAATGACCAACTTTAACCAAAAGACGGTCGCGGTCGCGTGTCTCATCTTCATCTCCATCATTCCGCCCACGTTGGCATTTGGAGCCAGTTACGGAAAAATGAGCAACAACCGCGTTGGAGCCATTGAAACCATTCTGGCCACTTCTTGGGTTGGAGTCGCATACTCCCTGATTGGAGGAATGCCCATGTGCATCATTGGGTCCACGGGTCCCGCCTTGGCATTGTCCACTGCCATCAAGAACATTTCCGAAAGTGCTGGCATGGAATACCTATCATTCAATGGATGGATCTCCATCTGGTTGCTATTCTACTGTGTCGCGGCGGGATTCTTTGATTTGACGAGATACGTCAAATTGGCCACGAGATTCACAGATGAAATATTTGCTCTACTCATTGTGGCCATCTTTGTCATGGATGCCGTTGGTGATCCATTCAGCCCTTCCGGAATTCTCAGATATTTTGATGACGAACACAGGTCACACGCTATCCATGAAGGAGACGAAGACTACGAATACTTGACGGTCGCACTTCTCAGTACCATTCTCGGTTTCGGAACAACAGCCCTTATCTTCTTCTTCCGAAGCTTCAAATTCTCGTCCTTCTTCTGCAGTGACAACAGCCGAAGCTTGGTTCATGATTTCGCTGTCACCATGTCGGTACTTATCTGGACACTTGTCAAGGAATTCCTATTCCCCAATGTCAACACTGAAGGTCTACAAGTGCCCGATAAATTCGAACCATCCTTCCAATGCTGCGATGCCGAATGTACAAAGTTCTGGCCGACCGAGTGTGAAGGACAAGAGGCGCCAGTCGGAACCAGAAATTGGTTTGTCGATCTCTTTAGCGTTCCATCCTGGGCTCCCTTTGCTGCTGCAGGACCTGCCATTATGGCATTCCTTCTCTGTTACCTCGACAATGGAATCACTTGGCACTTGATCAACCACAAGCACCACAAACTCACTCATGGAGAAGCATACAACTATGATCTTTGCTTGAGTGGATTCTTCAACTGCATCAATGGATTGATGGGATTGCCTTGGTTGGTGGCAACCACTGTTCCCTGTATCATTCACTTGAACTCGCTCGCTGACAAGGATGCACAAGGAAATTTCCTATACGTCCAAGAGACTCGATTGACCATGTTCTTCTCTCATGCCTTGCTGGGACTTTGCATGCTCTTCTTGGGTGTCTTGAAGCTTTTGCCGCTTCCGGTGTTGTACGGTGTCTTTCTCTTTATGGGTCTCTCCTCTCTTCCTGGAATCCAGTTCTGGAACAGATTCCTCCTCTTCTTCCAACAACCCAGTCGATGGCCCGAAACTGTGTTCACCAAGTACATGGAAAAGGGAAGAATTCACAAGTACACTATCATCCAAATGCTCTTCTTCTGTGGTGTATTTGGTGTCATGAATGTCAAGGCTATTTCCATTGCATTCCCTTTCATGACCTTCCTCTGTATCCCTGCCAGACTCTTCTTCTTGCCCAAGTTTTTCAAGGGGTGGGAGCTCTGTGTCTTGGATGGAGAAGATGATCAAATTGAAGAGTGGACACAAGCTAAGCATGATTCCATTCGAGGATTCAGCTTCCGCGCCAATGACGATCCCGCCGTGTTGGGAGAAGACGACGAGGACATTCCAGAGGTCTAGACGAACTAGACCTCCTGCAGTGATGATTTCCATTATTTCCGGCCTCCTTCCGTCTTCTTTTCCAGACACACTTTTTAGCCATGTACAGTAAATACAAAATTAGGAATACTTTTTGATGTTATGTTGGATCACATGACGCTGTCGTGTGATCCAGGTACTCTTTTTCGGAAATTTTGGTTGCGTCGACGATGCCGTCAATTTCAATATACCAGGGAGAACATATGCGGTGCTGCGGTTGCGCGGTTGGGGCAAGATCAGAGCAGAGCAGCAACAACCGGTCACAGCACCCAATTGAATCAAGCAACGAGGCGGGTTACGAAGTGTCCTGGCGGTGGGTTGCATGTCGACGACGACGACAAGTCAGCACACTTGGATGCACAAAATCGCTCGGGGCACACACACCCATGATTCCAATGAAGCCGAAACCACGTTGAGAAATTGAACGAGATCTTACGTTGCTATGGTACGAAGGAGCTGTATCGAATCGATCGAGTGGACGGTTAGGGTGTGTGCGGTTTGGCCCGTAACATTTTCGCTTCGAGCAGAGCTTCATGGAAAACCAAAGCCACGCTGAGATTTCGCAACAGATCCCTTCTCGTTCATCGGTCTCGCAAGAGCTACCAAATCCACAAGGAACCACGAGAAACGGACAGCACGGCAGCAAACAATTCACAGCGAATGACACCATGGGTGGCAACAAAGAAGGAATGCTCTTTACGAAGTGATCCACACAGAACCAGGTGCAACTTGCTGCGATTTCAACGGTGTCAAACGAGAAACACCGCTGCAACTCGCAATGAGATAGCTGCCGAGCACCACGGAACACCCATCGCACCAATTTCCTGGAGGCTTGGATCCCTCCAGCGAAACGAGTGGCTGAGTTGAGAGAATCGTTGCACGGCAACAAGACTTCAGGAGTCAGAATCCAGTGTCGGGTGCGATGTGACTACTTCACTGCAAGCGGACCAGTGCGATCCATGATTGCACCGGATGCTTAATGACTACAATCCACAACAAACGAAGGGCTGTCAAAAACAAAACAAAATCTGCGTTTGAGGCATACTGGTACCGCCAGCCAGGAGCGTACACAGCAAAGCAACCCTCTTGCTCGTGAACTCCTCTGACATGATGGACGATGCTCCTTCTTTGTGAAGAAGTGGAGAGCACAATGGCGCGGCGAGAGACGGCGAGCGAGCTGAGGACTACAATTTACACCAAAAATAGCATTCGGGTTATGGAGAAGGCTGAAAGAACCCTGCATTGAAGGCGGACCGTGACGGTTTGTTGATGTTCTGGAGTGCGAAGGCGACTCGAGGCACAGAGTTTGGTTGTCATATTTTCGTCACACCGAAAATCTACCGCTATGAGGTTGAACAGACCAGCATAGCTACTCTTGGTCGCTGACGACTCTCTGGACGATACAAGGTGAAAGCAAAATGAGAGCGCCAGCTTTGTACCCATGCAACTGCCAACCCTCCAGACGTCGACAGCCTGTTCTGTCGGTGTGGGCCAGAGGCTGCTTCGTCTTTCCGACCCACTACCTTGACGTGCCATCCTGCGCCCTTTCCGAGGGATGCACATCTGAAGGCATAGGCACGTGTTTCGTTGCTTGCTTGAATTTGCGACGGAGAGTTTTAGAGTTCCACTTTCCTGGATGAATACCTACCGGTTCAAAGTTTGGAAGGCACCAATTTGTGTGAAGGAATGTTCGAAGGTCAATCTGGTTGGCCAAGAAGACGAACCAAATCCTGTTGCGTTCTTTTGGTGTTCGGTTTTGTTTGAAGAGCGATGGATAGCCTCGCGGAGAGCCCGTTTTAATGATGGGGAAGAATGCTCAGGGCTCTGCTATCTTGCCCTACAATGACTTCCGCAGAAAGAAACGCAGTACATGAAGAAGGATCACCAGCCAACTACTGCACCCAAGTGGAACTCTGCACTTCCCGTTTCCCGTAGCTAGCTATACTATGCTAGTAAATCGTTTCATCAGAAGAATGGATACAGAGAGCTAATGAGATGGGCTTTGAGACCTTGTTTCTGTTTGGGTACGGCCACCTTTCCGTCGTTCAAGTTGGCTGATGCCTGAGGTTCAGGGTTGGCCATCACAGAGCCGTGATGTGAGGATCCAGTGACAGATCTAGACCGAGGACGAACGCTCGGGGAGGACCAAGTTTGACTCGACTCTTACTCGACTCCACGACGTGGAAGTCTCTAACCCAACTGTAGATTTTGCGAGTCGACCTCACAAGTCCAAGTGAGTCGACCGCAGAAACCCTCTCATCAGCTGCATCTTCGTTTGCCCTCGTTTGACAATCCAGTGCCCAAAAGCTATTAGACTACTATAATATTTCCAAGGATCACCTTGAACCCTCAAATAAAGGGAGTTGATGGCCAACCCAAACTTGTCGCGACACAAAAATGCCCTGGTTTGGTGGATGAACGTTACTGTTAGAGAGTTACTGAGGAGCTACAATGAAACAATGAGCCCAGAAACACTGCTGCTCTGAGGTCAATTGTACTCAATCCCATACCTTTGGGCTTGAATGAATTGACGCTAGCTTGGGCGAGATGCATGCTGATAATCAAGGTGGATTAGATCAAGCTTCCAGTTTGCAGGCAGAGCAAATTAAATGTACATACAGACATGCAGTCTACTAGTAGAATGCCAAGGGGGGCAAATCTATCTTTATTTTAGTGTTTGGTAAGGTAGTCATGATGGATTCCCCGTGTTCTCACTTCGTGGTGCCTGATTTTGCTCACTGAGACGAACAATGCTACCAATGCTGACCACTAAAAGGGCCAATAAAAGTCAAAATAGCATCCTTGAAAAAGCGAGACTGCTAGCCAGCCAGCCAGTTGTTAGCTAGCTAGCACATCCCATCTCTCTGACTTGATTAAACTCCACTTCAGTCTTCCTTCTTAACACCACCAGCGTCATTTTCTTCCTCTTCCTCGTCGATTCGGTACTGCTCGTTGTACCCTTCGGCCATGCTTAGCATGGTATCCACGGCCTCCGAGACGAGCTTGAACTTGAATTCCATTACAATGGCCAGAAGGGCTCCCACAAGCATGAGTATCTTAAAGGCGTCCATAGTATAATAGTACTAGTACGGTATATCTGATCAGTAAGTACTCTAGTAGGTCAGTAGCTGTTGAGGTACATGTAGTAGTACTACTAGCTAGTACATGTATGTATGGCTTCATTGGTTCATTGGCTTTTGGTTATTTCCGCTGGCTGGCCAGTTTAGAAGCCAGCAACAGCAAAGATTTCCCAGTTTGATCCGTCCAAGGCGGTGTAAAGTATCTTGTCCACGTCATGGAAGTCTTACAATTCTAGCCTGCTAAGCTGTGTATACTAGGTGCTTTTCTTGCTGGGTGTTTTCCTCGCCAGATTCTTTCTCACAAACTTGAATGACCATTATTTGCAAGCCAAGCTATCTACAGTATCTATCTAGTAGCTAGCTAGCTATCTTAGCTAAGAGAAGAAGATGGCCATGACAAACAGGATGACCGCAAAGGCAGCCGCTGGAAGAGCTCTCCTGCTGTTGCTGTTTTCAGTTCTAGTGGCACTAGTTCAAGCCGAGGTTGCCATTGGGTCTCTGCGTGCTTCAACTACCGGTACTGCTACTGGTGGCATTGCCAGTAGTTCTTTGCTAGCTAGTAGTGCTATTATAGCTAGTAGTGAGAATGCTAATCACCGTCAACTGCGTAAAAGCGACGCTCAGAGAGAACGAGATCGTCAGCGTCAAGAGGAGCAAGAAGCAAAAGCCAAAGAGCTTCTCAAGCAACAAGAAAATCCAGAAGCCACAGCCGATGATAAGGATGCCAGCAACAAAGACAACAAAGACCAAGAACAAGATAACAAAGACCAACAGGATAAAAATGACCAAAATGACGTCAAAAATGAACAAGAAGGGGACAAAAGTGACCAAAATGGAGAAAAACAGGAAAAAGATGGAGAAACATCTAACCCTAACTCCAACAGGCAGGAGGAGTCCAATGAGTCGACCAACAATGACAAGGAGAAACCCACGGAACGCACTGCCAATGGTGATGACACTACCGGCACGAGCAAGATGCCAATTGGGGGCGCCGATGAGGGTTTTCTACCCTTCAACTTTTCATCCGTCAACATGACCGCATTGACCAATCTTGTACCGGATGTCGACTTTAATGTGACTGCCATTAGTCTCACTGCTTGTGAGCAGATTGAAATGGCCGTCACATTCCTGACCAGTTTGGATTTTGACAACAATTTTCAGCAAAATTGGACTACCAAAGTCAAACAGGCCATTGACGCCGCCACGGCCAAAGACGCAAATTCCAAAGATGCCGCGGACAAGGCGGAATCACAACAAGACTCCAACCAGAGAAGAGCCATGTGGGATGTCTATCTCCTGCAAATCATTGTCACTCCAATGTCCTTGGCCATGGGATTCTTTGGGTCCAATCTTCTGCTCCCCACTTGTTGTTTGGCGGCCGCTGGATTGGGCGTCTTTTTGGTATTCCATTTCTTGAATCAACTCGGACAATCCAGTTCCAAGTACGCAATCTTTTTTCAATTCGATTGTCAAATGAAATTGGCACTGGGAATTGTTTCCGCGTCCATTTCTGCCATGATGGCCAATTTCTTTGTACGATTTGGACTCTTCAGTTTGGGAGCATTGGCGGCGGGAGGAGGAGCCTATCTCGTATTGGATGCCTTTCCGTTCCTCGATCCCACGCGAGAAGGCGCCACCGATCTAATGATGTATTCGTACAACAGCAATGCCAGTGCGTCCTACAATGCGGCCGTTTCCACACTCCACCACAATCATTCCGGTGCGTCCGAACTCACGGCCTTTGGGTGGGTTGTCACCACCATGATGGGAATGTGGGGAGGATTGTTCCTGCGATGGTACGAACAAGCCTCTCTCGAAGTCGTCACGGCTATTATGGGAGGAGTCGGATTCGCGTACTCGCTTCATACCATGGTGGTGGTGCAAGGTGGACAACTCGGACGATCCATTGTCTTTCTTATTGCCAACTTTATGACGTTCTTCGGATGGCGGTACCAACGACGAAGGCGTCTGTACAGGGATGAGTACTCACACAAAAAGAATGAACAGCCACAACAACAACCATCCTATGCTCCTGTACCAACCTCTCCACCGTCACAGGCTCCGGCTTCGTGGGATCAGTTGCAGAATACAGTGTATTCCATGCAGGGACTCTTGCAGCGCAGCAACCAGGTACAACAACCACAAGCACAACCCGCGCCTTCCGCAGAGCAAATTGTGGAATTGACACAATCATTGCAGTCGTTGATCCAGCGAATGAATGTTCCTGAGAGTAACAAAGATGGAGCCGCGAAATCACCGAAGGCAGCAGGTGACGAAAAGCAAAAGTAGAAGAAGATATTCAATTCAACAAGTCGTTCGGAGCAATCGGAGGACAGAACCTTAGTGACTACTGCACACCAACAAACAACACCCATCTAGTGTCAAAACTTGCATCTTTACATTTAACTTGAATAATACGAAAAAACCATTAGCTATTCTTCATTTTGTTTCCCATTCTCATCTCTGCTGACCGCTAGCTACAAGTAGCTACCGGTAGCAAACTCGTCACCGAAGATATGGCAATTCAAAAAGAACGAAAAGGAAAGAACACGTGCCCAAGTTCAGATATTTGGATTGAGTGTTTGGTTGGACAAAAGGAACCCCTACCTGGCTAGTTTAACTTTGTATTGGTCAGAAATTCCCGAAGATAGGTCACAGTGATGGGCTTTCGAAGCAGTCCGTCAAAGCCGACATCGTGGCATTTTCCCTCTGTTTCCGATCCCCAATCTGCGGAACATGCCATGATGATGGGGCCCGAACAGATATCCATTTCTCGCATGTGTCCCATCAGTTCGTACCCGTCCATCCCCGGCATTTGCAGATCGCACAAAATCAGATTGGGAACCAGACTGGGGTCGTTCCGTATTGGCTCCAGGTACTCCAGCGCTGCAGCCCCGCTGAGGGCTGTCTGACAGTGCTGAACCTTCAGCTTGGTCATCATCCTCGCCAACACCTTCAAATTGATCATGCTATCGTCGATCACCAGAACTCGTATTCGAGCCATCTTCTCCTGCTGCAACTCAACTTCTTGAAAGCTATCGGTCCGACTGCTCTCGTTCATTACCGAGCCGCGTTTCGACTTGCCCCCAGCATCTTCCTCGCCAGCTGCCAAGAGGGAGTCCCTCTGCGAGCGAGACGAATTCAGATAAAAGCTAAACGTCACACCGCCCTTGCCGTCGGTGCAATTCTCGAACCAAATATGACCATGCATGAGCGTCACGAATTTCATGCTGAGGTTCAAACCTAGTCCAGACCCACTCGACTGACCCGACCCGCCTCCCTCATACTTGTTGTCTTTTTCCGCCGACACGTCCAATTGTTGAAACTCCCCAAAGACCTTGCCGTATTCTTCGGGGGGGATTCCGTTTCCATGGTCACGAACAGAAAAAATTGCGACGTCTCCGTCACCAGAAGCGGCCTTTTCATCAAGCTCCTTGAGATCCTCCTCGCTCAAGAATTTGAGGGAAGACGACGGAGCAGATTTGACTTCTTCGAGGACTGCCGCCAGTGAGCTGTTGCGGACACTGGCTACAACCGCAGTGCCGGGAGTCGTGTACTTGATACCATTGCTCAGGAGGTTTACAATCACTTGTTCCAGACGTAACCTGTTTCCAACCACGTTGTGCTTCTTCCTTAGCACGCCCGTCAAGAGATTTGATTTGCTGGTCGACGTACTGAGTATTTGCGGCAGCTTAACGTTGGTCCCGGATGGGTCTGCCAACTCCAACGCGGCCTCGTTGATTGATGCAAAGGGTCCACAGTACTGGAAACTGTCACGAATGCAATGCATCATCGAGACAGAGCTCATTTCAATCTTCTGCATCATGTCTGCGTTGATCTTACGAGTGTCGAGTGTATTGTTGATCAGAGTTAATAAAAGCCGGGAACTAGCAAGAATCGTTGAAAGACTGTCGTACATGGCTCCTTTGACGCCGCCATTGTTGGGGGAAGTTGCGGTGTTGCTGTTGGATGTACTCGCTCCATCGTTGTCCTCGATGTCCATCATGCTGGTGGACGCCACACCCATGATTCCCTGCAAGGGCGTGCGGAGTTCATGCGACAGCATTTGCATCATTTGCGTTTTGGCTTCATTGGCAGCGGATGCTCGTTCGGCAATCAGTTGTGCCTCTTCGGCCTTTCGTTCCGCAGTAATGTCTCGAAGGGTGATCATGAATTGTCGACTCTGTGGCGGTGGAGTTTTTGATTTTTTGATGTTTGCGTCTCTGGTCCGGATATCGTCCACACTGGACGATTCATCCATTGGAAACAACGACGGGTGCTCTCGTTGGTCTCCACTTGATTTGTTCAGCAACTGATCTTTGGTCGGCTCGAACGCCAACGACGAGGATGATTCGGATCCAACCTGATACTGTCGACGGGAGGATTGTGATTTCGATCGTTTCACGGAAATTGGCGCTTCCGGAGGCATCACTTCGACGCTCACCATGACATGTAGAGGTCTGCTTGGTCGGTCTATTCGGTAACAAATGGCGGCCACCGGCGGTCGTTTGGGTGGCTTGTAGTACGTCCGTGGAGAAGATGGTATTGTGGCGTCATCCAATGACGGCACACCCGCCCCAATTATGTTCGTTGTGTCTGGATCCGTGGTTCCATTCTTGTCTTCGCCCTTGTCCGATTCGGGCAAAGGAGACGGCTGCGATTCTATGCATTCCTCGTTGATTTCTTTTTCCCGTAAAAAGTAAGATTCGAGCGAAGACGCTTTTTCGTCTTCTCCACTAGTTTCCAGATTGCTAGAACTGGAATCCATGTTGCTGCCACTTTGGTTGTTGCTGCTCGACTCGTTTAAATTGTCGTGTTTCCGTTCCTGTTGTAGCGGCAAATCCCAGGGAAACATGCCCAAAATGACATCTTTTTTCAATCCGAGCATGCGACTGACGGCATCGTTGCACCACGATATTTTGTAATTGTGATTGGTGATCAATACGCCGGTATCAGATTCTTTCATGGCGGCGCCAATCATTCTTAGGTGTTTTTCTCGTGTGAGCAATTGTTCCGTCCGTGCCACAACTTCCTTTTCCAAATTGGCATTGAGTTCCTCGAGTTCGGTCACCACATTGTGCAGTTGGCTGTAATCGGCACTGACGCCGATAACGAATTGTACTTGCTTCTGTTGGTCTAGAATGGGTGTGGTTGTGACATGAGCCATGAATTCAGTTTTATCCTTGCGTGTGCACAAGTACATGCTTGAAAAGTGTGCTCCCTTTGCCATTTGCGCCATCATGGCGTCACCTTGTTCTCTGGACAATTTGGAGGATATCAAGTCTCGAATATCTTTGCCCAATGCTTCTTGTGGAGAGTACTGATAGAGACATGATGCGAATCGATTCCAGAAAACGACAGTCCCCGATGTTGTGGTGGCAATGACAGACTTTTCAATGTGATCTTCCACCAACCAGGAAGCGAATTCTTGATGTAACAGTTTGCATCGATGTTGGCGTGAGTATTCCAAGGCAGTTATTCTGATACTGTCATTGGCATTGTTGAATGTGATGTGTGTGAAGCAACATAGATGCAATGTTCCACTGGTATGGATAGCCCGAATTGGACTGGCAAAGACTCCTTGAAGTGGCGACCTATCCGAGGGCATGGCCGCCTGGGGTGCGTTGGGAGCCCTGAAAACCAGATTGATGGTTTGAAACGAAGGCTGTGATTGTGCTTTCAATTGGCTGAGGGCATCTTTGAATTTGTCTAGCTCGTGTTCATCTGCCAGTATGTTGGGCAGTTTTGTTGTTGTGACTTGAGTATTAATAATCGAATCTGATGAGGATGATGTGAGGGATGGTAGCCTCAATACTTGCGCAGTGTGATCATCATATGCCACACACTCCAGAGTGGATGCAGAGATGGTAAGATCTAGCTTGGTCATGATGATGGCTGAAGGTGTGCTTCATTCAAGCTAGGAAGTACTTTGGCAGGATGTCTTGAAAGTTGCTTGAGATTTGTAATGGTTGGCTCAGATTGAGAGATTGAGCCTTTCAAGTGCCCAAGCCTTGAGGAGGATCAGCTCAGTAATTGGGCCCAGGTGAAGTATGGGCTGTGCCAAAAATTTGAACTTAGATCTAGCTTGAGCAGACCTGAACTGATCCAAGCTCAAAGTTCTGCACTGCAAAACCAAGAAGAATGATTGAATGAAGCAACTTCAGTTAGTTAGAGTGTTTGCAGATAGAGTGAAGGTGGAACAAAGCAATAAAGCAATGCAGCAGTGGAATAATGCAACTGTGACTGAAACTTGCCAGAGCATTGCTTTCAGCACAGCATTGCTCCCACAAACACAAACACATACACTACACACTGCTGGAAAGCATTACTAGCTAGTAGTAAGCTCACTACATGTAAGACTTGACCAACTTTGAGCTGCCCTGATCCTATCTTACCTCGCTGCTAGCTAGTGCTGCTAGCTAGTACTACACAGTACTGTATGTAGCAATTGGATTGAGATTCCACCAACTCCCAGTTACCGATATACTTCTAAGGCAACCTGAGCTTCGCTCTTCTCATGAACTGGTTGGTTGAGAGTTTGTTTGCAGCTCTCTTTCTTGCTCTTACAATGTACTTTCGGTTGCTTGGTTGCTTGGTTGTTGTTGTTGCCCTGTGTTGCTTTTTATGACATTGTTTTGTTTGTTTGTGATTGTGATTGGATTCACTTGCTGCTTGGCACAAAGTGAGGAGAGACAAACTAACTATTTTATTAGACCGCCAGTCATGCGGACAATCAGGACAGAAATATCCAAAATGAGAAGGGCAGAAATCGTCGGCAACCGAAACTTAGAAGCAAAAATCGGTTCCGCCCTTTCTTCGTCCGGCTGGACTGGAAACCATCCTGTGACTGATATGTCTTCTTCCACCAACAACACATATAGTCCACTCAGTCACGTAGATCCCATCTTAAATGCGTCATAGCAACATTGCAAAATTCACCGTTCGCAACCAAGGATTGATAAATCTAGATCTGTCCATTCACCCTTCGAATTTCAACCAATAGAGTGAGAAGAATCAAACTTCGGATTCAAGCCACGTACCTCATTGTGCCTCACAATAAGTGTTCCGCCGAAAGCAAATTCTTCGGACTGCCCTCCAGCCCTTCAGAAAAGGTTCGCAAAGACTTTGGTCCATTGGTCCAAGGGAATTGTCCACCGCCGACACCGGCTACATAGCTATTTTAAAATAGCACAAGCTTTGAGCTACTAGTACCAGGTAGTACGGCACAGTATCAGTTACGTGTATTTGCAGCTGCTATCATCGTAATCCGGTACCTACCGGTATGTACCAATACGCCTTCCACCACAATCTATGCAATGACCAGGTACAGCCTACTCTACCGGTAGCTAGCAAGTAACCCAAATCATACTCAAATAGAGTGTGGCCTAGTGAAGCGTGACAGTCCTGCAGCCACGAATCCACAACTGTGTGGTTGGCTGATGGCTACCGTACGGCTTTGGTTCTTTTGCGTCCATGAAGCCATTACACAAACTACTGGGGGCCAGCTGGCTACCGGTATCCAGCTCTGGGAATCGAATCAATCGAATCGAATCCTTGTCATTAGACCCAGCCTTTGCGGAACAGGGAGCATATTATAAGAGTGATTATTAGCAATTTTGGCTGTCCTAGTAGCTGTATTTGCAGAAGACTCCGTATTGCCTCGATTCGGAAACGTACCGCTCATAGCTTTCGCATTGGGCACAATAGACTTACTGAGGAAGTCTGAGGAATTGCTTCTCCAACCGAGCACGTTCTTTGCTGAGCTTGGCTCTCGCGTGAGTGGCACAACTTCAACACTTTCAACTTTTTACAGTTCGCTCTATGCAAGCTGTAAGCAGCTGTTCGCTTCTCTGCTAATCATGAAGCGAAAACCTAGCAGAGCTGTTTTATACTACATGAGTAGAGCACCGGTACAAGTACCAATAGGGGTGCAATTCGAGGTTGGAAGTACTAGTAAGTCAAAGGGATGGTTCATCAGAGTGGTCCTTGTGGTCTCTGTTGCTTGTCCACGTTTCCTGAGCTTCAACCTGACTTTCCTTTGCATCCTTGCTGATAGTGCTCCCGCTACCGGTACTGGTACTGGTACTACTTATCATCAATGGTGCCATGGCTGCTTCTCTCAAAAAGGGAGGCGGGATCAACTTGGATTCATCTTGAGGGCATGTCTGTTCCGAAAGGTACGCTTGCTTCAGTCGAGCCACAGCATCTTGAATGGGAATCACATAGGTCACTCCTTCGGCAATCTTGACCGTGTTGATTCCAATGACATGGCCATCAATGTTCACTAGTGGTCCTCCGCTGTTGCCCACATGACAAGCCGCATCGGTTTGAATGTACCGTTTGTTTTGGAACCGGCGGTGTGCGTTGGACACAATTCCCACCGTGACGGTATTCTCCAATTGCAAGGGTGCTCCCACAGCCACGACGAATTCCCCGGCACGGACCGGGCCACTCTCCCGGTGCAAGAGCTGGGACACAGGCAATGCACGACTACTACCATCCACCGGCAGTGGCTCAATAAGGGCAACATCTTGATGAACATCAAATGCAACGATTCTTCCTGGAATTCGTTGGTGATGAGTGGTGGGGTTCTGGTGGTCGTTGATTTCCAACCAGACCGTTTTGTGCTCGTGCAACGTCTGATTGCTTCCAAACTCTTGAGGGGTCAAGACACAGTGCGCATTGGTCATGATCAGGGGCGTGGGCATCCTACTGCATGGTACTACCGGTAGTAGCACATCCCGGGCATCCACGACGAATCCCGAACCATTCCCGCGTTGGTTGCATCCGGCCTGAACCTCTACACGTACCACCGAAGGCAATACTTTCTCGACGGCATCAGCTACGAAATTGCGAGACAAAAACGAACGACTAACGGAAGCTGGAGCATGCGGCAATGCATTGGCTGGGAATTCGTTGGGGTCGCACTTGGCCGTTGTTTTGGAGGCGTACGCGGCCGTCGCTGCAGCCGCTGGCAACAGCTTGACCAACGAAGAAGCAACTCGGGATGACAGCATCATGGTGAAATCAAAAAGTCAGTGGATTCGATTCAACCAACCAATTCAACAACAAAACTGAAAGCGCAATGGAGGCAACAACTGGAATGATCACTTCATGGCCCACTACTAGACTAGTACCTCTATCTGCTCAACAAACACTGGCTATGCAAGTGAGCAGAACTTGGAGGGAAGTTGCAACCAATGACGAGAAAAACTGACCGTGTGACGTCAGAGACAGTCAGGACGCACGTTTTCTCGGCGTTGATGGAATCTAGATTCACACAGGTATCCAATCTGTGCTGATGCCAACTGCTCCCCAGTCACTGGAGTAAATGAAGATCAAGACGTTGCTCCTTTCTCCCACCTCACAATCATCGTGCCGTTGCATTTCAGATTGCTCAATGAGCCCGAAGCAGGAACATGCTTCACTCTTCGTTTCCAATGCTCTTTTTTGTCGCGGTGTGTGCTGGAGTGGATGGCTACATGTAGCTAGCTTTGTGAAAGCCAGCCAGGGAAGTAGTAGTATGCATTTTGTTTACTAGTTTATTGTAATATATATCATCAATCAAATAATGTGCAATCAGGCAATATGCAAAGAGGTTCGCTTTTGAAGCACAACGGCTGTTGGGTCCCCTCGTCTTGTGATGCGCTCGATCAGCTGTCTAACTTCTGACTTTTAAAGACAGCGAGAGTCTCATTACAAGTAATCGTTCGAGGGGCACATGCACCGCAAAATGTAGCAACGGTGGTCCAGCCAGACTCTACCAGGCACACCCAGCGAGTTTAGAGGAGCGTTCCGCGGAGAGCTCGCTCTCCTCCATCGCGGCCTACAGCAACTCCCGCCTCGTTGTCAAACAGGATAGAGTTCTCGATTCCTCCTTTGGGGCACATCTTGTTGGTGGTGTGGTAGGTGAAAACTCCAACCTCTCCTCGCAGGCATGGGGGTGCAAATGGAGGGTCCACTGTCATGTAGTATCCATAGTTGCCATTGCTGTCCGTCTTGCCGTTGCAAACGTCAAGACCTGTGTCGGCAAAGGCGGCACCACGTTGGAGCATTCCATTGTCATCGTAGGGACCAAAGATGGGGAACCCATCGCGAGCAAATCCAATCACAGGACTGGCTGGGCCAGATTCGGGAAACTGCGCTGCCATATCTTCATAGTCGCGGGTGGCGTTTCCTTCGTCATTGATCCACCACTCATGCGAGTCTGCAAATGCTACGCCCAGGGATTCCATGAAACAAATCGGGGGGATGTGGTAGTGGTATTGGTGCTTCGTGTCAGAGTGCCCGTTGCACATGTCATAGGCCCAAGTTTGTCGATGGCTGTCCAAAAGAACACCGTTCGAGAGAATTCCTACAACGTCATCGTCCAAGGGTTTGGGATCTCCGAGTGTTGGCTCCTTGGGAATGATCATCGTGTAGTGTTGGAACAAGGGATCGTAGGTTCCAACGTTTGTGGTCTCGTGACTTCCTTGACTGGATCCACATCCGCTTCCACAGCCACCGCAGCCACCACAGCCACCGCATCCACCACATCCAGAGGCTCCACATCCTAAAATCGATGGAGCGAGTGCGACGAACATTGAGAGAAGTCAGACGAAGGATCATTCATGGGCGACGCAACGACAAACACGGGGGACAGTCATGCGCTTACCAGATCCGCAAGAACCGCAACCCGATGCACCACAAGCACCACAAGCCCCGCAACCCGATGCACCACAAGCACCACATCCTGAAAGAACGAAGGGAAAAGTCAGACGACAGAGACACACAGCGACCAATGCGGGTGATAGTCTGCCACTTACCGGCCCCACAGGCAGCCATTGAGGCGGCACTATTCATGTTCACGGTAAATGGGTGGCGACCGCTGTGATAATCAAGAGAGTTGGTGAAGCCATAAGCCACGAGGAACTTGTTTTCACCATTCTTTTTGATGCTCACGTCTCCGACATCCAAGGGAGTTGTGAAGGAAAGCACTGTATGGGTGTCGTTCTGTTCAATGTTCTTGCTGATCAGATTCTGCTCATTAGCCAAAGTCACTAGCGGAACAGCGTAGCCACCCAAGTTGTATTTGCCAGGGTTTGCAGCGCCAACAGGTTCGTCGGGGAGTCCAATGATGGCAGTGGAACCAACCATTACACCATTGGGACTAATTCCAAATCCAACCCATCCTTCACCTATTTGGGAAACAAAAAAGATGGTCATTAATATCAAGGCCCAACATCGTGTCTAAGAGAGCACGCAGAAAGTCCACCCACCTTCATAAATCACTTCCGCTGAAAAGGTTTCATCGCCACTGGCAGCGTCAACTCCAAGCATGTAGGTAATAGTCACCCCAGGGAGTTCAGCAAAGGTAAGTGAAACGGGCGCAGAAGCGTGTGCGCCAGCTCCACCTGAAACAGAAGAAAGATCGAAGCCACAAGTTGTCAGACGGGATCGTTCTTCACGTGACTATCTTGACGCCAGAAACAAATCAGAGGTTCTTACATCCTGCAGCGCATCCTGCGGCACACCCAGCACCGCATCCTGCACCGCATCCTGCGGCACACCCAGCACCGCATCCAGCACCGCATCCAGCACCGCATCCAGCACCGCATCCAGCACCGCATCCAGCACCGCATCCTGCACCGCATCCTGCACCGCATCCTGCACCGCATCCTCCAGCTCCACCTGATGCAATAGAGCAACAAGAAGTCCGTGATGGTAAGACAGATGACTTTTGAGGGATGATTGGGGTCAAAAAACTTCAGCAAAACTCACAATCACCTGCGGCGCATCCTCCAGCTCCACCTGATGCAATAGAGCAACAACGGTTTCAGGGAGGGTAAGACAGATGGACTTTTGAAGGGTGATTGGGTAAAAACACTTCAGCAAGACTTACAGTGTCCTGCACCGCATCCTGCACCGCATCCTGCACCGCATCCTGCACCGCATCCTGCACCGCATCCTCCAGCTCCACCTGATGCAATAGAGCAACAACAAGTCCGCGAGGGTAAGACAAATGGACTTTTCCGCCGGATTGGGGTCAAAACGCTTAACAACACTCACACCCGGCCCCACAGCCTACATTGCTGTGGCTAGGGCGATCGCATCCATGGTATCCCGCTCCACAGCCAGCTCCACATCCAGCCCCGCAGCCAGCCCCACATCCAGCCCCACATCCAGCGCCACAACCAGCGCCACAGCCAGCACCACCTAGAATGCAAGAAAGGCAGAAAATGTAAGCATTGTACTAGTAGAGCTGGTAAGCTGTTGACCGTGGGCCACTCACAACCGGCATAGCAGCCAGCACCGCCTATCAGGAAGCAAGAAAGACGAAGCAGGTTGAGGAAAACGCCATACACTGGCTTCAATGCTGTTGACATGCTTGTGCTGCAAGCAGGCGGCATCAGGGACTTTGACCTCTTCCAACCACTCTGATTTACTCACATCCAGCTCCGCAACCAGCTCCGCAACCAGCGCCGCAACCAGCTCCGCAACCAGCGCCGCAACCAGCTCCGCAACCAGCGCCGCAACCAGCATCACAACCAGCTCCACATTGAAGGTTTCTGTTGTCGCCGTCGCCTTCGCCTCCAAAGTAAAGGCCCAAATCAATCGACACATATCCACGGGAAGGCCATCCATGGCTTGACGAAGACGAACCAGCGCTTGGTTTGGAGGCTGAGTCCAACAAGACGGTATCAGGAAGTGTGAGCACGAGCTGTAATCCCTGGTTGGCCCAGATTGCTGCGTTCAGTTACTTACAATCGGCCCCACAGGCACCGCAAGCACCACAGGCACCACTCGCTCCACATGCACCGCAAGCTCCACAATGGTCAGCTCCGCAGGCACCACATGCACCGCAGGCGCCACCTTTATTTCCGAGAGGAAAGAGACACAACATTAGGATTGGCAAAAAGCGTGTATGTAAATCGCAGCCATCAGGATCATCCACTCACATCCCGCACCACAAGCACCACAAGCTCCGCACGCTGCGCTTTCCTCCGGAGGACAGTCGTCCAGGTCGACAAAAGCGGATGGATCTTCTTGGAAATGTGGGACGGTTCCGTTGCTTCCAACCATGTTGTCGTGATCAGGACATCCGTTGGATTCAATGTAGATGCTGTTTTGGGTCTCAGTGACGACAACATCCGAGCGGTAGCACATGTTGTTGTCATTGGCGCTTGGAGAATCGGAATCTTCGCAGACGACTTGAGTGGTGGGAGCTCCGCTGTAGGGTCCCGTTGTGTTGTCCATGTCTGGATCGTAGTCCCAGGGATCTTCAATGGTGGCATTGTATACGAGAAGGTGGTCTTGCTGGATGTAGTCCACAGTTCCAACCACAGAATCGTCTTCTTCATAGACAACGGTGGCGCGAGGAAAGGGGCCCTTGGTACCGGCTTTAATAAAGTCCACAACAGCAGCCTATGACAAAGCAAGGCACAGCAACGCAAGATCAGAAGAAAAAGGGTCAGAGGCGTACCGTACACATAGACAACCATGGCATGCAGCAAATTTGAAGCACCAGACATAACTAGCTAGCTAGCTAGCCAGCTATCAGCTAGCTAGTGCCTCGAGTTACGTACCTGACTAGCATCTCCTGCGAGATTCAAGAGAATGGAATGGCGACCATCTGCGTCGGTAGGGAACTCGCTGAGCAAGGAGTACCCAGAGTTTTCGCAAACGGGCAAGAGCAAGCACCACCCGCTGTGGAGTTGAGGAGTGTACAAAGCGTTGATCCGATCAGGAGTGCACGCTTCAGTGGGGGCTTTGTCCTTGCAAAGATTGACGCACTGCACGAAAGGGGTTGAAAAGCAAAGGAAAGGTAGATCAGTCAGTCACAGCTCTTACTCAGTACGGTAACAGTATCGGGACATGTAGCTAGCCACAATAGCTACATGTAGCTTAGCTTAGCTTAGCTTGGCCTACCTGATTGTCCATAATGTATCCCGTCATGCGGACCTCAGCAGCATCCGCTGTCATCGTCAGCATAGCCATTGAGGCCAAGCTCGTCAAGATGGTTGAAATAAGCATCTTGTGTTTGTCTGAAGCAATGGATCGGTTGAATGGGGTAGAATAGATTGTGTAGCAACTTGATAGCTGGCTGGATATATTGTAGCTACTAGTACTAGCTAGTAGATGGCTGCTGGCAAATCAAAATCAAAATTATGAGAAGAATGAATGAGGGTGGTTTGGTGGGAAACGGCGAAGTTTTCAGGTGAGGAATGGCGTTCAAATCCCACGCGAGTTGGTAGGATAGCCCCTCCGAGGATCTTTCCCTTCCCAAACTGGCTGCGTTCCTGTTTTTCTAATACCAAGGCTACGGAGCTGCTACAGCAAAGATCTCGAGCTGTTTGAAAGATGGATCGACTAGGTGGGATATATGGCCCACCGAAGCAACGGTACCGGTGAGATGTATGTGGCTGAGATAGAGAGAGTCGATGCGTCTGATTCAAGCAGCAATCAATTAGGGCAACGTCTCCTTTAGCCCTTCCTCTCACGACACTTCGTTTCGATGTTGACAATCGACTCCCGGCGGTTCGCTGCAAGGAGCTGCTGCCTTCAGTTTGTTAAGTCGTCAGCGGCAACTTGGATTGAAGGCTGCCGGAGCAATCTTTGCCTCCAATGCTCGAGCAGTTTCAATGCCACAAACGTCAGTTTTCGAAGAAAAAATGAGACGCCGTGATGGGTCGCTGTTGCAAAGATCTTTGTTCCCAGCAACGGATTTAACACTGTTGCAGTACCATGCCTGTGTTTCTTACACGGAGGCTGGGACTTGAACATGGTCGCGGATTTTACTATAGAAGCTGTGTAGTCTCCCGGGACGACACACACGTTCCTGGAACAACCTACAAAGTCCAACGTTGCCCAAGCAACAAGTGAATTTGGTGAGAAGTAAGTAAGAAGACACACTTCGGAGAGCCAATTGGGCCAGAGGACTTAAGACTGCAAAAGGATTGAACGGAAACGAAAGTGGGTTGGACAAAAACCATTCTTTCCCCAGTGGCAGGACACCAACATACAATGTACAATCGCAGCATCGCAGCTCCAACGCTCCAGCCCATTGGGGCTGCAATGCTGCAATACGTGCACATGACATTGTAGCAGTTCTTTCAGCCTCCTTGCTAGTTCGGACAGGTTGGCTTGTGGCCGATGGCCGATGTTGATGTGGGTTGCCTGACACCTGACAGTCGAGCCATCAAGTTTTTGCTTCATACTACTAGTCTAGCTAGCTACTACTGTGAGTATGGGATATAGCTCTAACCTGCCCACGAACTCTTTGCAGCTCCAGCTCAAAAGTGTCAGCCTGGCTAGCTAAGCAACAAGGTAGCTGGCTTAATTCAGCGGAGGTAGCTCAGGCTGGAGGACACTTTCTATTGGGCCACCTAGCTAGTCAACTTGTTGATCAACACATGGGACGCCAGTTTTTTGCATGTCAACAACTGATTGCCTCTCAGGTCTCAGGCAGAACATTCCTTACTTCACAATGTCATGTGGGCTCGGTTCCTTTTCTGTTTGCATTAGGCTTTTGGCAGGAAGAACGTCTAAACGCAGGTGACGTCTAAAGCCAAGCCGTTCAGCTGGCTTAATTATTCCACGATATGCTCCAGAAAGTCCATCGTGGAGTGCTCGGATCAAACTCGGTCTTGGAAGAAAGCTCCACTGACTTTGCTAAGCAGCCAGAGAATTTCTGCCACTGAACAGAAGAATGCGACTGATGAATGGAATTAGTGCAATACTATTCTTATATGAAGCAATGGAGTAAATATATATCTATGCATATCTAGCAAGAGTGCGCGTAAGAGGGTTTCGTTGGAGGTCGAGGTTGAAGAATAGGTAAGGAACGCACTGCACTCATTGGTCCCTGTTTAGACATCTATCAGATTGGTGTCGTGTTGACTGCCTGGCAACAGCAGACCTCGCTGGAGCTTCAGGTTTCCTTTCTCGCCATACTTTTCACGGCATTCTTGGAGCATCTCTTTAACTGCAGCCTCACCCTTGAGCTCCCATTCCGCCCGATTCTTCAAAGCATAATTCAAATACTCATCGCTGGAAACTCCAAAGACACCACACTCCTTCAGTTTTCGTGTAAGAGGAATGATATAGTAATCAAAGAAGCCTGAACAAGAACATGGAAGAGATGGAAGAGATGGAAGGAATCAAATTGAAGGATGAGGGCCGGAGCAGGAACCTTGGAGTCTGGTGACATTGAGCTGCCACTTACCGAACTCCCCCTGGAACCAGAATTCACTTGGGTCCTTTTCCATTCTGCCATTGAGGTAAGCCAAGTAAAGTTCTTCAAATAACTTTTGGTTCCATTTCCTACGATTTTTGACGGTGGACAATCAGCATTTGAGATACAGACGCACCACTGGAGTCACCATACTTGTTAGACAAGGAGTCCAACTTACCTGTACACATGCCAGTGTTGCATGGTGTGACTATAGTAGAAGAGAGAAAACGTCCCAACGCGCATGAGACTTTTGACGATCATGCTACGAGCAGCATCCACAAGCATGCGTAATATCTTTTTGTACCTGATGTCGGAGGCCTGAATGATGTGTTCAATCTGCAGTAGCGAATCAAAAGTTGAGCATACACTTTGCCTGAGGAAAATTTCCTTTCGGGTGTAGGTAGTCTTTTAAGAATCACGTACCACAATGGTTGCCTTGCGGTTGACCGCGTCTCTTTGATGCTCTTGAGGTTGCTTCCCGGAAATAGCTCCAGCAGCATCACCAGTATTGAAGGCCTTTTCCCATCGTGCATGGCGTAGTTCTTTCAACTCCTTATCTACAATGTCGGTCGCCATGACCGACTGCAAAGATGCGAATGACGAGGACAAAGGCGGCGCGGTAAAGCGAGACGTTGTGCGATTTGAGCCAGGATTGCAAACCCCCAAGTGGATCGAGACGACGTACATTAACCACCAGCTGCCGAAAGTGGACCATATCCTCCTGCTTCGGGAAAAGGAAAGATCGCAATATCTCAAAGCGGGGCTCCATCAGCAGATCCCAGCTCAGATCCAATGAGTTCTTGGGGCGGGCAGATAAGGATTCAAATACGTGAGCGAATGCAAGGGTTCAAAAACTGGATGGCTTTTCCTCGACATCACATTAGTGACAAGACAACAAACCTGTTCAGCGACACTCCTATTCTTGTACTTGGCAGCAATGGAAACGCCTTCCTTGACCAATTGTACATTGCTAACACCAACATGATCTGTTGCCAGTAAAGTCGGTGAGTATGGCAGGCACAACACAACAACGAATCGTCCGAAGCGACTCACCAACATCGTGGATCAAAGCAGAAAAGGCACAGGAGAAGAGTGTCAAAGGGGAGCTGGTGATGCCATATGTATGGCTGGGGTGGAACAAGGATGAGCTTGAGTTAGTGAAACCCGTCCAATTGGAAGCCATCAAAAACAGCGCACAGCTTCAGACGCCAAAACTTACTCGTGAAGCTGAGCAGCAGCCTCGCAATGGCTTTCGATATCCTCCAAATCAGACGGAGCCTGTGACAAATCATTTTGAAGCTAGGATGTGAGCAAAGAGGCACTTGAAGGGTGAAAACCAGTTCTCGAGAAAGGATTTCTTACCACAATACGACTCATGAGCTTTGTCACTGGGCGCAAGAAACAATTTGTGATCGAAGACGTGAGCACCGGTTACTGCTGAGCATGTCATCACCTGGGACAGTATCATAGGATAGAAGGCGTAACTTACCACTCAACACGACATGACTGTCAAAGAGTACCAGGCGAAGAGGGAAAACGATGAGTGAGTCTGTGACTGGTGCATGGGTTCTGCGTAGAAGTGGACACGAAATGATGTAATGAATGTGTACCTGGCATGGTCAAAGTTGTGGACTGCCAGGAGTAGGACAAGAATTCCAACGAAAATCATTGTTAGGATCAAACGTGGTTGAGAATACATCGAGTGACGTCCCTGACACTTACAAGGGTTTTTATTGTACATCTTGGCAATCTCGCCCACGAGCAGGTGAAGCTGAAGGACAACATCAGGTGGGATTTCAACCTCGCTAGGGTCTTGTTGAGTAGACGCCTGGGACCACTCTGGCAATCTAATGATTTCCTTAACTTCATCCAGCGGTCGGCTCCGCAATTCGAGGAATCCTGAAGCTAATGGACGCTTCGAAACAGATTTTTTTGTACGAGAGCATCGACTTGCAACCACAGGCTTCAATAGCTGCAGAAGTTGTTGCACATTCCAGTCAATCAGTCGGTTGGTTCTCCCGTCGAGGCCAACCACAGGCTTCCAGATCTTTGCAGCGCCGCTACTGCGGACATTGTTTTGGATTACCTCGAGGCTCGTGCGAGAAGCAACACTGACCGCCCTTTCAGCATCCACATTCACAAAATAGCTCTCAATGAATCCTTTGCCTTTGATTTCGGTCAAGTCTTGACGCTTTTCCAGCCATTTCTCCTTTCCCGCATCAATGATGTGTTGAGCTGTTTCCCAACTACAATGGATCCGGCCTCTTCTACTCGTCGACTCCAGCCTCGAGCAAACATTCATTGTGTCACCGAATCTGTTTTGGTCAACAAAGGAAAACATGGAAACACAAGGTCAGGTCAGTGCCTTGCAAGTCAGAGGGTTCAAGGTAGGTGGATGAGGCAAAACACGCACAACTGGAACCTGGCTCTATCTCCACGGAGCACGCCAGCCTGTACATGTTGAGATTGAGAAATTTAGAGACCGGTGCCACGAGGAGTGAAGTGAAGCACACAGCATCACATCACGTGCGACTCGACTCTAGCTAGCTAGCTTACCGTCACCGGGCCTGAATGGATGCCCACCCTCAAAGCAAGATCACCAGTTTCTGGACCCAGAGTTGTCTCCAGCTCGCGGGTCAAAATATTCATCCTTGCAAGGATGTCTCTACTGCACCGAGCCATAGCCACTGCATGGTCCTCGCGAGGTTCTGGAAGACCACATACTGCAACCTGCAACATGAAGATTTGTCGTTCAGCATTGAAATTCGAAGCATGATGCAGGATATGACAAACGAGGAACTTACATAGCAGTCTCCAACTTTAGTTCAAGGACCAGAAGGAAAAAGGGGTACCGTAAGGAACGAAAGTCTCAAGCTCTGGTGTGCAACACTGAATCCGACACTCAACATCCTGCCCTTACCCGTCTCGACCTTGAAAACACGCCTGGGATCCAGATGCAGGAAGAAGCAACATGTGAAGGACTGTTGAAATCTTATGACATCTTTATAGGCGTTACACACATTGACTTACCTGCGCTTGGCGATTCGGTCAAAGCTCTGATAAAGAGTCTCAAGGAGGAGGAACACCTGTTGGTATAAAATGAGTATTGGGGGTGGGCGTGAGTTAGCTATGGCGTTCTAGTTGAGCAACGGTGAGGGAAGGAAGGGTTTGCTTGCCTGGCTTGGCTCACGAACGGAACTCCAAGCAGTGAAGCCACTGATGTCGGCGAACATTACTTTGAATTCAAAAAATATATGAAGAAGACGGATACAAAAGAATGTGAATGAGCAGGACTTGAAGCAAAAGCTTTTCTCTGATCCCAACGCAGCTGCAGAAGCGAACGTACCAGTTGTATCCAAGAACAAGTCTGCCAATGGTTTCTGATTGCAGTCCCCTGACATTCCAGTTCCGTTGTTCAAGAATGCTTTTAGATTTCCCTTGGACGATCTATTCAAACTGTTCTGATCGTCCTGTTGGCCCATGAGACGGTCTCGAATGTTGTCTGGGAATACGGCTGACACAATGGCAATGGATTGGGCAGCTTTCACCACGAGGTTTTCATTTCTGTTGAACACAGCCACATCGTAGACAAAGAACACCACAGCAACCACGACAAAGGTAATGGCAACTATAGTGGCAAAAAATTCTGGAGTGTTGGAATCGTAACTGGATTTGAACGTTGCACTTGGATACAAATGCTACAATGTACGAGATGAAGCAAAGATTGATAGAAAGTGATGCGAGGATGAGTACACGAGAAAGGCTGAAGCACAACGTTGGTACTTGCATCACAGATGACACGCACCATGCTGTAGGAAACCACGCCCTTGGTAGTCTCCCACTTGGGATTGGTATGAAGTGCGAGATCCACCTCCATTTCCATATCTGAAAAGTCCGTCTCGTGTTGGTCGCCTTCCCCCAAGAAGATTGCTTCTTGTCCATTGATGACGTATGTAAAGGTTTGGTTGACGTTGTTCTTGATGACACAATGGATTCCTTCGACTCCTTCTGGGAGTAGATTCAGCAAGGACACATCCAATGCCAGTCCACAAGAAAAGAGAGCCACGATGTCCGAGTCATAGTCTGTGGGGTCACGATGCACAGGATGCTGCACCAGGACATGTGGATGATCGGGTGCCGAATCTGTGACACGACTGTGCAATGCTGCGTGTTCTTGCTTGGTCATGACTAGGTCGATGCTCCTGTATGGCATGACCTCGGAAAAGGTAGTCTCGTATTGGAGTTGGAGCATGGCATCAATGGAGGATCCAACAGGAGGTACGGAGTATACATTCCAATTGGTGATGCCGTATGTGTACTGCGGAGGGGAGAATTGCCAGCTTGGCCAGTACTGCTCGCGTTCAATGTCATGGAAGTATCCTTCTTTGGTCTTTCTGGAGATGTACGGCTTGTAGTAGGAAGTGTCATTGTTGAGACGATCGAGGTTTCCCTTTTGAATCCAGTGGGCTCTCTGGATCATTTCTTGGTAGTTATCGGTGGAGTAGTTGGTCCATTGGTCCATGGTCTGAGGAGTGACGCTGTGGTACATGGCAATGAGCTCGAACTTGCCATGAGCAATGGCGTCGTGAGCCTGAACTTCGAAGTTTGGGTTCGTGACGTTCGGCTAGCTCTGATTGGCGGCCAAAGCGTAGTTGGAAGCAGAATGTGCCAGTGTCCTGAGAGATTCTCGAATGTTCAACTGCTGCTGGATGGCTGCATCACCGACAGTGCGAGAAAAGCGGTCGAACTGTCAAAACGGCACGAAGAAAAGCAAAATCGTGAGCTTCGAGATTTTGCGGGATCTCAACTCTAACCCTATGGGTCACAGTTGCATTGGATGAATACTTACGGCCACTCGAAAGCTGTGTTGTTCCTCCCGTTTTAGCAGCTTGTAGGTAGTCAAGGTCACGGTCAACGCAGTCAACAGCAAGACGACCGTGACGGCCAAGCGCCCTAATCGGACTCTTCGAGTGTCTTTGGCAGACATTTTGTAGACTTCCTGCCTTTCATCGCGACTGCCTGAACCGCTAAGAGACAACGGGCGATCCGTCGAGTCTTGCACAGGTACTTCGTCGTCGTCATCGTCATCGAGGAAAACACTCGAGTTGTCTTGGTTCAACAACTGGTCTTCCGCTGAGGTCTGGTCTGTCATTGTCATGGTTGAAAGTTAGTTGAAACAGAATAAAAGTAAGAAAGAAAAAAAGAAAAGGAAAGGTTGGGACTTTCAATTTGTGAGCAATCCAAGAGCGCGGTTCATGTTGTACCGGTTCCACTCTGGAGTAGTGCACTCAGAATTGCTCTTTTAAAAGGCGTTTGGTGAACAGGTTTGGCAATTTCAGTGCACACTTTCCAGATTAAGAGTTATGAGTATTGCTCCACAAACACAAAATTTTAAAATCTCTCTGCTCCTACCTGTTGTCGGTACCGGCACATGAGTGTTTGAGGGTGTACATGTGTACTGTACCGTAGGTCCGTAGGTGTTAATAGTAGCTTAATAGTGCAGTCTTTGATGACCCAAGTCACAGTTTGCTAAAGTAAGAGTGAATTATGTAATTAATTTTTTGTGAAAAAACGATTTAGAATGCCCCAAAGTGCTTTAATACTATACGACTTGACTGATTTATGTTTAGGTGCGCTGCCCTTAGTGATAAATCCTTTGAATGAGAAGGGTTGTTCAGAGCCTTGCTTTTTAAATCGCGATTTGCAGGATTACCGCCAGCCGCCACAAGCTAGCAACAGATTGATGATTCGAATGATTCGATAAAGCGGCCGTCTCCGTCTTTGATTTCTGAGATTGCTGTAACAACAGAATGCTTTGAAGACGGAGCGATTGCCCAAGAAACAGGGAAAAGAGACACATTGGTTGAGGTTCCACGGTTCCACAATAAAAGGATTCAGTCGTTTCCGAGCAAGTTTGGCAAGTTTTGCGCTCTTTGGCTTAGAAGACCGGCTCCTCCGAATGGATCAGTCGCAATCTAATGTTGTAAGAGTAGCTACTGTCTAAAAGGCTGTACGTGTACTTCAATCTTCAATGACTCAATCACACATTAATTTTGCAAGGAAGTGTCATTAAAATTTCGCTTAAATACAGATTTGAAGAGAAGCGAAACTTCTTACATGACATTGTAACACATTCGGCTTTATTGTCACTCCTGCACTAAAACCTGGTACCGGTACAACTCCATCCAAAAAGATGCCTTCCCTCGATTAAGATTCTGCATTACTGAGTTGGAGTTGATAACAGAAGAAAGCTCACCCAAAGAGAGCAATATGGGTGTTGTACGTGTACTTTAGATCTCCATGTGTAGCTGGCTCGTAGTAGTAGTCTAGTATCGCTGTTCTCTTAGGCGGAACCCATACCGTACCGGTAGCAACAAGACAGCGGCGTCTTGATGGTCAATTGAATTCGGTTTCTGCGTTTCTGCGGGAACAGAAGCTCGCAAGACAAGGTGATACCCCAGAGCTTACTAGAACCCACCAGGCACCGGGCACAAAGAAAAGGAAAAGAGACAACACGGTTGAGCTACATGTACCTGTAGCCTGTAGCTTGCCTAGGCTACTAGCTAGTAGAACTCGAGTATATACCGTAGCGACACATGTACCGGTACCAGAGCTCGGGTCCACGGAGCACAGAGGTCCTTGTTTGGGAGGTATTAATAGACATCCTTTTTGCTGTGGCCAATACCGGTACGTGTACGTGTGCATGTACTGTTGCTACATTGCTACCCCTTTTAAATAATTCTTCTTTCCTCAGCCAGTAGTTGGAACACTACTGTCGATTGACCTTCACTCCTGTTGCTTTGGTTCCGCAAAAGGAAAATACCTCGGTGGTCTTACTTTAAATATTGAGGCAGAAGCTTTCATTCAAATTCATGCAACAGGAACCGGAACCACTAGCTGGCTGGTTGTGCAGCTTTGTTTTTTGTAGGAGCTCTTGCGGTTTGGACTTGGGTCTTTGGTCTTGGAGGCAGGTTGGAGGGGCCTTGTTCCGATCCTTTGTTCTGTGCGTTCTCGGGAGAAGAAATTGGAAGTGTGCTAGCTAGCAACGTAGAATCGTACAAAGGAGTGCTGAACAGTCGCTAGTACTCGAGTACTAGTAGTCTACTGAGGCTCCGCAGCTTTCATGGTGCACTTGATCATTGCCGGGTTCGGTTCATACATATAGCTTCCCAAAAACAAAATCCGTTGTGGATCGGTTTGCCGCTGGGCAACCCAGCTGGCTTGTTTCAACATCAATGTACATCATTCATTGCGTCATAATGCACAAAAGGTTTTTGCCTGGCTACCAGCCCAAAACTGACCGGTAGCTCCCTACCTACCACAGCTAGCTAGCTGAAAGGGAAAGAGACGAGAGTATGTGATGATCTATAGTGCACTCTCTAGTTGGCAAGGCAAACCCCTGTCTCATCACAACAACTGGTGCAGCAAACACCAACACAACTGATGTCAGGCACTCCAGTTTCTGGATTGGTGGGCAAACAGTCTGCCACCAACAAAACTTTCTCTCGGGCAGCTACCATGTGTTTGAGAGGCTCTCGTATTCCAGCTATCAAGCTTTCCAAGTGTTGTTATGACCATGGTGCTGGCTGCCCTTGATCCTCCCTCCCCCCCCCCACCTGGCATCCCCTCCCTCTTTGGTTTTGCTGCTGCTCTGCTATGGATTGATCCGCTCGCGTTGTGCATCCCGCTCTGTCCCTGCACCCCCTTCTCACCATAGTTCCCTCTAATAGAAGCCATAGCAACCAATCTCTCACACTTTTCTTGTTCCTGCTCGAAACCCTATTTCTTATGATGTCACGTCATGAACCGGCACATGTGCATGCTTGAACATCAAAACCAGAAACGGAGCGCATGCACCACCATTACCACCAATTCGAATGATCTGGGTGTACAGTCGTGCCATACCGGTACGGTAGGTGGCTTGGGGTCTTCTAAAGGTCCAGTCCGCCCACTAGCTAGCTAGCTGTCCCCGTGCCTTCTGATTAACCTCCAAGCACCGTTTGGTTTTTTCAGTTCAGTGGAAAAACTGATCTGCTATTCTAGTAGAGTATACCATCCGAATGCTTGTAGCAAGCCGAACGAAGTTTGTGATGCTCGAGGATATCTATTTTATTGGGTAAACTACAAGCTACAAGCAACCTGCTATGTATGTATACCTGCTGGTTGTGCGTAGTTGTCTTGAATGCTGAATTCCCAACTGAGTTGAAAGAAAGAATCCCTTGCTTCTTGGCTCATGGAAACTTCGGGGGTTTGGTTTGTTGCATGTATAGGACGATATTAGTTAGATGGCTGTCATTGGTCAGAGCATTCATAATGTTGCGTCTTTTGTCTGCCAGACATGCAGACATCATACGGTACAATACTAACTAAACATCTGTGAAGAGCATTCTGCGTTCCAGATCCCTCATGACTCCTTGCTGCGGGTTTTGCAGACTACTGGCACCAGTGGTCCCCAAGTTGGGACAACTCCGGGGTTTGTTTTCGCCTTCAGGGACATCCGTGAAGAAGACGGTGCGTTCCGCTTCCTTGTAGGCTCGTTTGGTGGATTCACCCATGTGGTTCAACTGTTTGGCAACTGTGCGTTCAATTTGTTGCAGCATTTGTTGGAGCTTGACAACGGCCGTGTTGACGGCGGAATCACTGTTGGAACTGACGACGGACCGATCGTCTAGATCCGTGAAGAAGACAACCCTCTCTGCTTCCTTGTACGTACTGTCCATGCGACTCCTCAGCACCATCAGCAAATCGCGCAGAGCCACCATTTCGTTTGCCGCGGTGCCCGTACTACCGATACTGCTGTTAGCCAGATCCTCGTGCTTGGACTCTTCCTTCTCGTCTTCACTCGTCTTATTATTAATATCAGTGCTGTTGTCTTTGGTCGTTGCGTAACACTTGATGCTGACGTTTCCCACCTTATCCTGAGAACTCAACCAACGGTCCAAGTCGTCCATGGCTAATCCCGCAGCTTGCTTTTCCTCGTCGCTCATCGTATCGAGGTCCGTGAAAAACAAAACACGCTTCAACTCGTCAAGCACACGAAGCCCATCCTCCGCAAGGCTTCGACTGGACGATGGTGGACGATCGTTGTTGCTTTTGTTGTTGGTAATGCTTGCCATCTTGCTCGCTTGCTTGCTTGCTACCGGTATGATCCCGCTGTTTCTGGTTTCTGTGTTCTCGAATCGAAGAATCAATCGAAGTGAGTTGCTTATTTCCTCGCTGCGCCAACATCTGTTGGTCCATCCGTTCCACTGCAAGTCGCGCATGCTCTTGCTAAGTAAGTGTCACGCTCTCCCGCGCACCTTCCTCCCTGCCGGGGGACTTCTTACCGTTGAACAGGCTCACATTTTACACGGAGCCCTTAGAACGCACCTCTTGTTTGTCTTGCTCTTGCAGGACAACCGTGAGTGAGTCTTGATGCCCTCTCCGTTGTATCAAACATCATCCCGGGATCTTCAAGTAGACTAAGTGGATCCCACCCACAAATATATCATGACTATTATGGGAGAAAGACAACCCCTGATCATCAGTCATTTGGAAGCAATGGTGTCTACTGTGGCTACTGTCGTTGCCATCATCAGTTCAATTAGCTAGCTGGCTAGCTGAACAAACTCTTTATGTTCTGGCCTGATAAAACAAACAATTCAATATCAGCTGAGTAAAGTACTGTACCGGTAGTTGCTAGCTAGTTGACTGGCTGTCCAGAGAGCTACTACATGTAATACTTTTACGGTACTCGATATTTGCTGTCATTCTAGCTATTGGCTAGTAGAAGAGCACCAAGGACCCATACAGATCATGGACGACCGTACCGTGACATGTGCTTGACCCGACAGAGAATGAACTACCAGATCAGCTAGCTTTTGACTCGTCACTCGACTCGACTCACTCAGGCATACCGTATCAGTGACTGGCTACAGTACCGTAGTTGAGTGACGAGTGACGAGTCTCGAATTTGCCAGTTTGCGTGCCGATGCCAGCAACGATCAGTGACCGCCGCACCGGCGCTAATAAGGCTGTCTCAATGTCTCAATCGAAAAGCTTCTCTAACTAATCTGACTCAGCCATACCGGTGGTAGCCATAGTGGTAGCTGGTACCAGTACTCCTGCAATCGAGCAGCAACAAGAAAGCATCCGACCAGGAAATCAAGTCGAGTCATTGCGGACTAACAATTAATTGCGTCTCCAGTTCAAATAATCACTTTTTCAACTCGGCACTGCGCCATGTGCTACTGCACGGCAGTAGTAGCTAGCTAGCCACTGGAAGGAGGAGGAACCATCGTCAGCGTTCCTGAAGCTGGTAGGTCCTAACGTCCTAACAGCTGTCCTAACTCAACCACTCAACCTACCAGCCTGGCAAGTTGCCTGTTGTCAACTACAAGTGTACTGGTACTTTAGAAGTGGCGTTACTAGCTAGCTACTAGGTCGTCCAACTGTTACTATAGTTAGCGGTGGAGTTACTGGTACGCGACGGTGCGGTATCCGTAGAAGTAGATACTACACTTTTAAACTTGTGTAGTCTGTAGTAATTACCAGAAAGATTCATTCGTCAATCACTTGGCAATGACCCTCGGAACGTCTTTATCAACCGGTACTGGTACAGTGTATAATAACAGTACTGCTGACTCTCGTACGGGTCGTACGGTGTGAAACTGTGTGGCAAGGAATTCGGTAGAATGACTCTTGTTGGAATCTAGTGAGAGATGGTGCAGAAACTGAATTAAGGGTCACAACAATTCTGTGGTAGTTAGCTTTAAGTGAACTGGTCTTTTAGTTGGCATACTGTTCATTCGGGTCATTGGATGACTGGTAGGGGAAGACGAAAAAGACCCACACCAAAAACAACGACCAAACCACCACCCAGCAACACCCCGATCCCTCATCTATCATCTCTGTACCGAAACCATTCAACTCACAATTTTGACTTGAGCAAAAGCAAAACCACTCCCACAACCACAACTACCAACCTTTCAACTACCTACCCACTTGCTTACTTACTTACTTACTAACTAACTACTATCAAGATGATGATGAAGAACAGTATTTTCGCCGTGTTCATGGTTGCTGCCGCTAGCATGATCTCTACCGTTTCTGCCCAGGATGCGCCTGCTGAGCAGGTAGTCTGGTCTCAAGAGTACATGCTGCAGACCAAGACCAACAGAAATTCCGGCGAGTGGTTGGAAACTACCTTGGATTTCTGCGTCATGCAAGAAGTGGCTGAAGGCACTGCTGCCGTCTTCCCAGCTCAATTGGCCAAGAATGACAAGCTCTGGCTCACCAACGATAGTGTCACCCGCCTCGTACCTGTCGAAGGAACTGTCCAGTCTGAGGCTTGCTATGACCGCAAGTCCATTGGAAAAAAGAACAAGCAGTGCGGAAGTTACCACGTTGACCAGAACAAGTCTGGTAGCCTCCGTGTTCACTACTGTGAGTAAGCTTATGCTTATGGAGAACGTGATGTGAGTGAAGAAGGTTACTATCTATCTATCTATCTATGTGGACAGCCAGCTCAAGCCAGCTAGCTAGCCACTAGCTAGCCAGCTTGACTTGATGGGCTAGCTGCTCGGTGGGGTGCCTGTAGAAAAATTTAATAAAGAAAAAGACTGTCGAAACGAAAAATTAGGAACAAAAGACGTACATGATTAATAAAAAGAACTTTTAAAAGTAACCAAATAACGCAAAACAAATGATAGACTAACAAAAACACAACCTTCGTGGTAGTGGTACATACACTGTGTAACTAGCTAGCTGAAGATGCCTTCACAAACCAAGATTTGCCTCTTGGCCATCAACTAGATAGCTAGCTAGCTAACTTTCCGTCTAGAACTCGGCCAGGTCAGGACCCACATCGTCGTCGTCTTCTTCGTCTTCTTCGTCTTCTCTTGTGTCACTCACTGTGCTGCTGACTTCCTCGTCTTCGCCACCATCTGCCTTTAGCTTTGCTTCTTCACTTCTTTCGTCACAACTCTCTTCCCCTCCTTGCTCCCTGTCCCCACTTGCCATCTTGATAAGTTGCTGGGACTTCCAATCGACGACTTCGACTCCTTCTTCCATGACCTCTTCTGCCTCCTCCTTGGCTTGTTGTGCCAGTCGTTCCAGCTGTCGCAATTCGTACGGCCGGCCACCAATGACAGGGAATCTTCCACAAGTCAAGCATCCAGAAAACAAAATAGCGCCAAAAATGGGATAGTAGATCAGATACGAAAGGATCAGCTCCACAAGATAACTGACCACAAACGAGTAATCGGCAAAGTCCTGTTCGTAGTAGTAGACTGACTCCAGTTGTTCTTGGACTTGAGTGGGCGACTCCAAAATGTTCGGACCATCGTTATCAGAATCAACAGAAGAGGTAATGTTCAGGCTGGAAACGTCAATCTCTTGATCTGCCTCCAATGCTGCACGGAGCATGACGGCAAACGAAGCAATGGCAGTGACCAGGACAACTGAAACCATCACCAAGAAGGATCCCGTGCTGCGGTACCGTCGCACTCGGCGATCCCAATCTTGTGAGTCCCCCTCTTGTCCACCACTGCTGTGCAGGGTACAGCACGTGCAGGCAGCCAGGGACCAAATCGTGTTGTCGTAAATGGAATGAATGAGCGCTCCAACGGTCCAAAGAACAATGTTGCCCGTGGTGACACTGATGCTGGATACCGTGTCGTCGAGATCGCTGTTCAATCCGGTCCTTGTCAAGTTGGTTTCGAATTCAAACACCGACATTTCAAACGTCTCGTCTTGATCTGTAAACACAAACAGCAAAAAGATGATGTTGGTCAATGCCAAACCAAACAGCATGCTCCCCAGTAAGGTGACAACTCGAATCTTCCAGCTCAGCGGATGAAAACGGTGGTGCAGGCAAATGCCAAAGATGGGATGATTATTCGTAAGGTACTGCCACATGTCTTGTCTCCAAGTATGATTCTCGGGAAGATGGTACGCATGCATCAAAAGATATGGTACCACCGCATCACGTTCTTTCCGTTCTTCAGCCGTCAACTGATCCCGTTGGCAACAACAGCACTTGCCATTGTCCCCAGCTCCATCATCATCATCATCCTCGCTTTCACAGTCCAAGACGGCGCCGACATTCTCGATTTCGCGGTCCAAAACGGCGTCGACATCCTCGAGGTCTTCCACGTTTTCCCAGTCTGCAGTTTCTTCGTGAGTCTCCCTTGCCCCCAATTCAAAGACCGACATGTCAGCCGTCATTTCTATATCTTCGCAAGAAAGATCCCTCCTCAGCTGTGTCGCGGACTCGCTCAACATGGCTGCACGTGGATCGTGATCTGTCATTCTAGGATTGCTGATCTGCTAGCGAGGCACAGAGTTCCGTTGTTTGTTTGTTTGCTAGCTTGTCAAAGCGACGCTATCTTTCTCTATAAGCAAATTCCTCTGCCATCCAGCATCCTGGTATACTGGTACCTCCGTGCGAATTGAGCCAGTAACGCGAGTTCAAAATTTGATAGCCAAATCTTTCCTTTGAAACTCGACCCACAAAGTAAATTTGGTTGTCGTGGCCTCCCTTGGTGTCAAAAAGAACAGTCACCGGGCCAGCCAAATGGGTGGGCTCGCTTGCGATTGAGATTGAGATTGAGATTGAGACACACTTGGAAAGCCCGAGCTGCTGCCTTTTTGTTTTGTGGGAAAAGGGATGGCGGAGGTCACCTGCATTATCGTCACTGTTCGAATGGCATTCAACCCGTAGATCCATTGACTGGAAGAACATGTGTGGGAAGATCATGTTAATGCAGACTGATGCAACCAGGGGCAAGTCCTGTGCCAACTTTTTCTCTTCTCTTGCTCGGGAAGAGCTCTTCAGTACTATGGCAAACTAACTCAGAGTTTCTACTTGGCTTCATTCTACGGTCAAGGGTCGTGTACCATCTACAGCAATTAATCGACCCAGTTTTTTAGGTCGGGGGAAACAGTAGTGGAATAATCGACCCAGTTCTGGTACCGATAACGGGGTCTGGGCAAGCTAGCCAGCAGTCTTTCTTGAACTCCTGAAGTCTAAACAGCATAAATTATTTCCCCAGCTGCTTCACTCTTCACTCTATCCTCACTAACAAAGTTCGAGTATCCTAGTTGTCCTTTCTCTCAACATTGTCCAGAAAAGACCTGGCATTCTCAAGTGTGACATCGACTGTGAATACCTGCCTGTCAACGTTCTCTCACAAGCTTGTTTCCGGCCAAGCCATCCAAGCAAAATGTACAACAGCACCCGAGCTTCTTCTGTCACTCGTAGCGCCACCAGATGAATCCAAGCCAAGCGTTGGGAAGGCCAGAGCCTGAACGTGTGGATTACAAAGCTTTCGTTTCCTGTGGATTTGACTGCGAGAGCAAGCATTTCGAGGAAGAATCCAAATGCGACGAAGACAAACAGCAGGAGACCGCAGCTGCAATGCCGCGTCTACTAGTCCAGGTAGAAAACCAGGGAACTAAGCGGCCTACATGGAGAGACCAGAGTGAAACATGTGAGAGGGTAAGAAAAGTCATTTCTAGACAGAAAGAAAAGAGAGTACCTCATCCTCTGCAAACAAGCACCTAAGGGGAACCAAGAGGGACACCCCCGGACAAGGACGACTGCAGCAGGGAGACGAGAACCTGCAGACAAGCACAGCCGTGTGGCAAAGATAAGGATGATTCAAAGCACAGCAAGAGCACACGGATCAAGAGTAGAAGGATGAACGCTAGGGGCAGCCAGTCGTGCTCTCTTTCATCAAGGCGAAGCCATTCAAAGTCTCCACGAGACGCCCCTGTGATCCTTCGACACAGGAAGAAATGAAAACATCGGCGCCAAAGGCATCCGGCTTGCGTCGTACTAGCACAAGGGCAAAACTAAGCCAGAGATGACGACTTGTACTCCGTTTCTTCATCACTATGCAAAGAGTCTGCTTCCTCGAATCAAAGGCGACCAAAGAGAAACAAAAAGCAACCGAGGCACGATCCTCCGAGAGGAAAAGCCAATAGTGATGTTGGTCACACCAGCCAGGTCGATGACAGAATGGAAAGGAATGCAGCGAAGCTGCGGGTGCGGCGGAGCCCGCCACGAAATTGTTCGTCGGATGTATCTTCGTACGCTGAAGGACCCAGGAGACCACTACCAAAGACGAAAGGGGTTTCTAAGGAAGATCAAAATCCACCTTGGAACAAATGAAGCTCTTAAGAACGCGATATGCTCCAGCAACAGGCTGAAACGTTGCGAGCCAGTACACTGTCCAGAACACGCAGGAAGAAAGCCAACAGGTGGATCGGTGCTCAGACCATGTGTCTGATATGGCTACCGGCAGCACTGCTAGTTCACACGATTCCAGCAGAATCTCGTTCTCTGCCTTCGAACTGTGGGAGGAAGCAGTACAGTAGCCTCATGCAGCGGCAAAAACGCCTCCCAGTGCTAGCGAGTAAGCTCAAGCCTTGGTCTGAATTTGGAATCGATTTCCATTCAAGACGGATGTCATGCCGAGAAAACTGGAAGCGGACTCGAACAGCAACTGGAGCAACTTATTGGGAGGGAGAAGAGAACAGTCGCACCACGGGCAGGATAGAGAGCCGCATGTCGAAAATGCATCTTTTCAATCGTCATACCTCATGAAAAGAAACCAATAAGTAGGAATAGTAAACGATCAAGTCGAGTCGTCGACTCGATGAACTAGCTAGTACCAGCTTTTGATCATTGCTGCTTCAGTATGTTCGTCCAATCGCTGGGGTGCGGACATCAATTCCCGATCGTCAGGCTAGAGCGGATCTTATCTGTCCGCCAAACTCCAGCCGGTAATGTGCTCAACCCACCTCCTCCGGTCGATGATCCTGAACATGGATCACCGACGAGTCCGATATTTAGGAACAAGTACATGAACTACACGAGCATATCACCTTGTCACAGTCTACTCTCAAGTCTGTCAAGCCAGGGCAAAGGCTGGTAGGGACGCTGCCGGCAAGATCTGTGTCATACAGCCACAAACGAGACAATCTTGTCAAGTCACCGAGCTCCTCTGGAAGGGAGCCAGTCAAAAGCGTCAAATGCACAAAGAGCGCCGTCAGCTTTGTCAGCGTTCCGATTCCGGACGGAATCATGCCAGTGAAAATGTTTCCTCCCAAGCCTAGATAGGTGAGTTCCTGAAGGGCTGTGAGGTTTGGGATCGTGCCTGAGAATTCATTGTCGAACAAGTCCAAGCGCGTCAATGCTGTCAGTGCTCCAATTTCTGCCGGCAAGGTTCCTGTGATTTGATTATACCCCAAATCCAAGTTTGAGGTTGTGGCGATATCATAAATTGTGCCAAACAAGGTGACAGATTGACTGCTCGAAATGTCGGGGTTGATGGGTGGAGTAGGCGAAGGATCATCAGGGACTACCCCATTACATGCACAGAGGGAGCAAGCACAAAACACCTCGGAACAATCAACCCTCAAAAAGGTCAGGCCTGTGAATTCGCACAGCTCCGATGGAACGGTCCCCGTTAGCATGTTTCCATCCAAACCGACCGCTCTTAGAGCAGTCAGTTGACCAAGCTCACTGGGAACTGGGCCTGTTAACTGGTTCACTCGCAGGCCCAACGTAGTCAGAGCATTCAGCAGTCCTACTTCAGTAGGGATAGTGCCTGACATGCCCTCACCACCAAGCTCCAGAAGAACTAAATTGGTCAACAAACCAATATTGGATGGAATGGGTCCTGGTGTTACAGATGAAGATCGACCGATCTGAGTGGTTTCACTGATGCTGTATATCTCATCCCAGAGCTCCACAGAACCAGCAGGTGTGGGAATCGGTGGACCAGCAGGTGCGGGATTGGGTTCTACTGCTTCTATGTCATCGCAGCAGGTAACTTCAAAGCAATCAGCATCCAAGCGTCCTGCCAGCTGCAAGCCTGGAATTGAACAGACTTCAATTGGAACACTGCCTGATAACTGGTTGCTCTGCAACCTGAATCGTGTCAATGCCGTCAAGTCACCAAGCTCCTCAGGGATTGTACCGGTAAGTTGATTTTCATACAAGTACAACTCCCTCAATAGAGTGCAAAGACCAAGTTCACTCGGAATGGTTCCTGAGACCGCATTGCGGCTGATTGTAAAGAGTGCCAGGTCGGTCATCCTGCCAAGCTCGCTTGGCAATGCATTGTCAATGTTATTGGAGGTGAGGCTCAGGTGAGCCATCCTTGTCAATCGCCCCATTTCAGTTGGCAAGGAACCACTCAATTCATTTGCATAAAGCAGTAGCCTTGCCAGGCTAGTCATCAACCCAATTTCGGACGGAATCTCTCCAGTCAGGTCATTTGAGTCCAGCTCCAACGTTGTCAAAGAAGTTAGAAGCCCGATTTCAGATGGCATCGATCCATCCAGATTGCGGCTGCTGAGGTCAATAACAGTAGCGCTAGTGTCGAAAGTGGTCCCAAACAAGTCAATGGTGCCAGGGGAATCTGAGGATATAGCATCACAGCAAACCACCTCACTGCAATCAAGGACCACATTCAAATCTGGCAAACTGCAGACAGCATCTGGTGCAGTCCCTGTGAGGTCATTTCCCCATAGAGAGAGATATGTCATAAGGGTCAGCTCGCCAAGCTCCACAGGGACTGTGCCCGTGAGAAAGTTGGAGCTCAGAGTCAAGCTTCTCATGGCTGTCATTAACCCGAGCTCTGGCGGAATAGTTCCACTGATTTGGTTGTTGTACAAGCTCAAACTAGACAGCACTGTCAGCCTGGCAAACTCTGTAATGATTGTGCCAGTCAGTTCATTGGACCAGAGGTCCATGTAGGTCAGGGCCGTCAGCAAACCAAGCTCTGTCGGCAGAGGTCCAGTCAAGTCGTTGGAATACAAGACCAAGCTTCCAAGGGCTGTCAACATCCCAATCTCTGGTGGGATTGTGCCAGTAAGACCACTACTTGACAGGGAAAGGGAGGTGGTTGAGCTTATGCTGTAGGACTCATCAAACAGAAAGACATTAGCCGGGGTTTGGGATGGTGGCAGAGCAACATCATTACAACAAACAACTTCAGTACAATCAAGACTGAAATGGCTCAGACCCTGAAGTGCACACACGGCGGTTGGCAATGTCCCTGTGAATAGGTTGTCTCGTAGGCTCAAGTATGTCAATGCTGTCAACAATCCCAACTCGGAGGGAATACTTCCGGTCAACAAGTTTATACTCAAGATCATGGAACGCAGAGCAGTCAGAAGGCCAATCTCAGTTGGCAGCGTCCCACTCAGTGAATTCCCCCCCATGTGCCAGAGCTCCAAGGATGTCAGCAAGCCAACTTCAGTTGGGATGGCGCCTTGGACCGAATCATTTGTACGGAAGATGTATCTGGTTGAACTTATGCTGTATGTCTCGCCCCAGAGCTCAACAGAACCTGCAAGTGCAGGATTGGGTTCTGCCGGTTCTGCTGGTTCTGCTGGTTCTAACTCATCACAACAGGTCACCTCAAAGCAATCAGCTTCTGGTCCCAGTGGACCAAGACCTGGTATAGAGCAAACACCAGTGGGAACCGTTCCCGTAAGATCGTTGTCCTGCAGCTCAAGGTTTTCCAACTTGGTCAGCTCCCCGAGCGCTGCAGGGATTGAGCCTGAGAACCGATTCTGGTATAAGAATAGTGATGTCAACTCTGTCATTAGGCCAAGCTCACTCGGAAGCTGCCCTGACAAGTTGTTTCTGCTGATGCCAAAGAAAACCATGTCATCAAGCATGCCAATTTCTGTTGGGAGCTTCCCACTGATGTCGTTCAGGCCCAAGTTCAAGTAGGTCAATGCCGTCAAAAGACCAATATCTGTCGGGACAGACCCAGAAAGGTTTGAGCTGAAAAGGTAAATTCGTGTGGTCGAGCTTGTGCTGAATGTGCTTCCAAAGAGTTCCACACTACCAGGAGTAGGCAATGGAGCACTCTCTTGCTCGTCGCAACACACAATTTCATCACAGTCAGCCAAGAAAGTAGTCAAGCCTGCAAGTGCACAGGCCTCTGGTGGCACAGTTCCCGTCAGTTCTGTCTCCCAGAGTGCCAGAAATGACAGCTCAGTCAACAATCCCAACTCGGAGGGAATACTTCCGGTCAACAAGTTTTCACTCAAGATTACAGAACGCAGAGCAGTCAAAAGGCCAATTTCTGTTGGCAGAGTGCCCGATAGTTCATTGTTTCCCATGTGCCAGACTTCCAAGGATGTCACCAATCCAACTTCGGTTGGAATGGTTCCACTGATGAAATCGGAAGAACGAAAGATGTGTGTTGTGGTACTGGAGCTGTATATCTCTCCCCAGAGCTCCACAGAGCCATCAGGAGTTGGACCGGTTTCAATCTCAATGTCATCGCAACAGGTCACCTCAAAACAATCAGCCATGAAGTTCAGATCTTCTATGTCACAAATACCAGCAGGAACTGTGCCTGTCAACCTGTTGTCTTGAAGCTGTAGCCAGCCCAGGGCTGTCAGTTCCTCAAACTCTTCTGGAATGGTACCGGCGAAGTCATTTTCGTACAGATAGAGCTGATTAAGGTTTGTCAACAAGCCGAGCTCACTAGGTAGTTGCCCTGACAGCTGATTACGACTGACACTCAAGAATGTCATGCTGGTCAGCATGCCAATCTCGGTGGGCAGCGGGCCTGTTATAGAATTCACTTGCAACTCTAATCGTCGGAGCTCTGTCAGCAAGCCAATCTCTGTCGGAAGGGTTCCTGTAAGCCCACGCGAAGTTCTTGTGATGCCCGTGGTGGAACTGATAATATATGTCTCTCCAAAAAGGTTGACAGAGCCTGGGGATGCCATATCAACGGCATCACAGCATGTCAACTGGAGGCAATCCACGGACAGCGTAATCAAGTCAAGCTCGCAGACAGATGATGGTATAGAGCCAGTCAAGAAATCGTTATCGTCCAGGTAGAAAAAGTCCAATGAAACCATGTTGCCCAGTTCTTCCGGCAACGACCCAGAGAAATTATTGTCTTCAATCCACAATGAGCTTAATGATGTAAGCAGTCCAAATTCACTTGGGACAGACCCTGAGAGTTGGTTGTCCCAAAAACTTGCAAAATTGAGATCTGAGAGAAGTCCTATCTCTGTCGGCACTGTACCAGACAAGGCATTGGGACCTAGATCCAAGAATGTGAGTGCCGTCATGGTTCCAATCTCACTGGGAACTGGGCCCGTGATTTCGTTGTCACCTAGATTCACATAATTCAATGCAGTCAGCCAAGCAATCTCTGTTGGAATGGTCTCTGCTGCAATACCACCAAAGCCCACACTGAGTGTTGTGGTGGAGCTAGTGTCATAGTCTGTCCCGAACAGATTCACTGTCGGAGGGATTGGCGCTGCTGCTGATGCCGGAGGAATAGTAGGGGGAGTTGGCGGTGGTGTTTCGACAGCTACCACATCAATGAATCCATCTGAATCCACAAATAGATAGACCGTGGTTGGCTGTGCCTCCGCCAAGTCTCCCTTGAGGCTCCAAATCATGCTGTCATCTTGGGCCTCGATGGAAACCCATCCATTGCCATATTCACAGCACAGCCCATCACCATTTGTGTCCCAGATAGAGAATCGATAGAACGTATCATTTTCCAAGTTGGAAATTGGATAAGTCTCCAGTTGCCCAGCTTGACGACCGTCGTAGGCAGAACCAAAATAATACCAAATGGTGGTCCATTCATCCAAGAATGGCTGTGGCTTTCCTTCCGCCATGGCTTCTTCAGAATCCACCGTTGGGTCCATGGTGGAGCTATTTTCGTATTTTTCAAAAATCCACTCAATTTCATTCGGGTAGTCATCGTACTGAATGTTGACCGTGAGCGACGGATCGGAGGGAAGTTCGTCACACGTCTCTCCGACGCAGCAAGCTCCGGCCACACAGGCCAACTTGCGGCGAAGAGCTTCGGCCCTAGCGACATCAGGATCGTCATATTCGTCATATGTCTCAGTACCGGTACCGGTACTGGTATCAGTATCAATATCAATAGCAGCAGCTGCTTGACAAGGGCCCAGGCTCACAAGAGCCAGTGCATGTAGCACGATCAGAAAGCTCTTCATCTCGGTACTGGTACAGTATTATACCATAAGGTAGCTTCTCTCTTTCTCTAACGCTAGATAGCTAGCTAGTACCGTAGCTAACCTTGACACCAACAAACTATGTATGGTTGGCCTCTCTCTTTTGGGGTTCGATGCTACGCTGCACTACTTCAGCTGTCGGCTATATCTGATGTGGCCGTTCTCAAGAACGTTAGAACTTCAAAAGTGACTTTGCGGTTGCACGTGTGAATTTTTGTCTTTCTCAGATTCTGTCGTGGATATTACTGGATCTTTCGCATAAATCTAATTCATCAGAAAGCCTGCGAGACGATTGGAAGTCCCGGATGGTACCAGGTATCATATCTTCGGCGTTCTTTTCCCCACGAACAAATTGAAGTTACGTTTCGTTGAAGAACATCCAATGCGAGAGATAGAGCAAGGCCGAAAATACCCCTGACTCAATGCCAATTTCGCCAGGCGATCTATCCTTATGAATAAAATGCTGCCGATGAGGTTCCCGAATGATGGAGCCAAAGCTCAAACAGGTTCGTGGTTTCATAATATATATGTCATAGCGCAGATGCAACGACATGCCTGTAGGCTAGCTTCACATCCCCAGAATTGCTTCACCTGCAATATCTGACTCACTCGACTGATTCACTCGCACCGTATCCGTACCGGTACCATACTACATGTAGCTATCTAGCAGCTACGGTGGAGCGGGTGAATTGCAGGTACCCCGCAATAATGCATCTTGGAGACACCCGTGACACCGTGAAATGGAACCACACATCCTTGCTTTGACGTGACGGTACATGTACAGCTTATCTACCGTAAATTTACAGTACTGGTACAGTTGTACAGGATATATTGACACGTAAGGAATATGTGATTCATTTCTATCGTACTGTAGTAGCTAGGCATCAAATTCAGCAACATTGGTCGCAAGCTTTTTCTTGGACGCACTTCGTAGCATGCTATCCACAGTTTGTGGTTCGTCGGCTGTTTACCCCTCTTTGTACCGGTGGTACCACTATTAATAGGACGACCCATGGTTCGACCACTGCCCGCTCGACTCAGCATCGAGAATCCAGGCCATGATGTACGATTTCGAGTCGACGACGGTGCACTCGTATGACGCAAACGCTGCTGCTGCTCGATATCGTGCAAGCCATGATCATTGTCGACATTGGCGTCGTGTGGATGCCCGCTGTATCCAGCCCGAAACGATTCCACGAGCACAAGTCGAAGAGCCGACGTCGACGACATGAACCGCCTTCCACTCGCCAGTAGTAGTTGTGAACCTCAACTGCTCGAGGAATGGTGCGAGTGACCATCCTCGTCGCTTCCATGGACGGACAAACCGCTGTGGGCTTGCGAATGAGAGGGTGAATGTCCCAGGGCAGACGAATTGCGGTTCGTGATGCGCAAGGATTGTTTGGCAATTTCATCGTCAACCTGATTGTAATGTCCCCCGCTGGCAGTGTTCGATGCCATGTGACTTGCTGCCATGGTGCCCCCGGTCGGTGGAACAAACGATGGTCTGGTGGCCGTACTTCCCCGGCTGAATAGCGATTGCCGGCTATTGACCTTCATGTCTCGCAGCAACCAAATCTTGGAAACCAGCAGTGGCACAAAGCTCGCCAAAGCCGTGACACAAAACAGGAATGTCAAGACCACGTACCGGTACAAGGCAGTCGTCTCTTCTCCGCCACCGGCCACTAACACAAAGGGTCCACCAATCAGAATAATTTCCAAAATGGCAGCCATGGAGATCTGTATCCAAACTGTTTCGTTGAGCACGTCCGAGCGAATGTTGCGGGCTTTGTAGCTCATGTAGTTGGCAACCAACACGGGAATAGCATTGATGGTCAGGATCGAGTACGCAAAGCCCTGCTGAGTCGTACTGAGTGAGACATAGCAACTCCCGTAAGATTCTTTGGGTCGACCATAGGGATCCAAATTGTAGTCCACCGTTATCCGTTGCCATGTCAATGGATCGAGTGTTTGCCAAAAAATGAGCAGTAGCAGATTGAAACAGGCCAACGCTACCATGGGCTTGGCGACATCTCGTACACCCACGGTGATTCGTCTCATAGCCGCTGCACTTTGAAAGATTTTGTAGACTCGCATGGTTTTGGAGAAGAGCGCCGAAAAGGCAATGGTGAATCCCATGGAGAAGCACCAGGGCGTGAGCATGCATCCCGCATTTAGAACGGAAATGCGCATGGATTCTTGGAATCCTAGAAAAATGGTACTGGTGGCCATGAGGAACGCCCCGACACAAATGAGCGCCAAGAAGAAGGGCTGCGATGCCTGAATGACGCGATTGGATTTTCTTCGAGCGACGACCCAGACGAGAGCGACGAGTGCCAATGCCATGACGATACTCGCCAATGTCCATCCCGCAATTCGTACCGGATCAGAAATTAGGTTGAGTTCGATTGGTTTTTCGGGTGGTGGCAATTCGGCCGGAATATTGGTTGTGTTGTCGTTGTAATAGAAAGGGGTATCGAGGGCCATGACAAGAGGCGCTTCTGCACTATCGTTGTAGTTTTCGCTGGTTGTTTTTCTGTTGGCGTTGGAGGAGAAATCAACACGGTGTGTTTCGGTAACGTCAAATCTGGCTGTTTGGTTGTCGCTTCGTTGAGGACTGAAGAGTAGATTGAATACGGAGAATTGAAAGTTTGCGTAGGATCGGGTCCCTGTGGTGGCATTGAACTGGACACGTCCGGATGCTCCGTCAAAGGATGTTTGGACGAGTTGATTGTAGAAGTCGATTCCCGAAAAAAAGTTGGGGAGCCCAATGGTAAGATTATTATTGTTGTCGTCGTGTGTTGTTGTAGACACCTGACAGGCTGCAATTCCCAGTGCCATCATGGCATCGTACCGTAGGCCGCTTGAATGTAGAGCGACGCGTCGGAGGGCGTACCGAAATTGTGATTAGAAACATTGAAATTGTCGCCCCAATAAGTTTGTGGAATGACGGAGGAGATCAAGTGTTCTTGTGCTTGCGTATCCGTGTTGATTTGGTTCAACGCTTGGACAAAGGAAGGATTGGGTTGACTGCGAATGGTAACGTATCCCCATCCATGCATGGCCCGTGCGAGTCCGGGATGAGTGGAATATCCCGGATCGATAATCCAAGAGCATGCTTCGCTCATGAGCCAGACATGATTTGGGTCGTTGAGTAGTCCCAATTGGTATAGTGAATTGAGTAAACGCCATTGAGTGATACGGCAAATGATGCCTTTTTTTTTTATGGCGAGCTGTACATCCTCTTCTGTAGATTCTCCCTGATTATTGTCTCCGTAAGAAGCGGCAATGATTTCATGTCGGCATTCTTGGCAGCGGCGAGAATTTCTTGAAAAAAGCCGTTCCGTATTCATCTCTTAGATACAGCACATTGAAATGTTGGACATTCAAGTGTTTCAAGTAGGCAATGAGGGCATGAACATCTCCCCGGTTGGTGGGTACTGTTCTGGCAAAGGTAGGATTCACGTCTTTATTGTCTAGATCCGAGGAAGTGGAAGCAGGACTGATCTGAGGCAATTCATAAGCTCCTGCGAGCAAGGATAAAGATGCCGAGACGGCAGATCTGACACTTCCCACGACGGCAGCCGTTTTTCTGTGCTGGAAAGGACTTGAAAAGTCTTGCAAAGTTGTTTGCAAGGATTCTTGAAAAGTTGGAGTTGGAGGTGCAAGCGCCTGATAAAGATTGCGAGATCCTGCACCTACTGAAAAGTCACTGCTGCGCTGATTCATGGTGAGACACAAGTTGCACTGAGTTCCAATTTGGGTTTGCAAGTTTTGCAAGTTTGGCAAGAATGGAGAAGATCTTGCATTAAAGTGCTGCAAAGCCATCAACGGTGCATAAGCTACCCAAAACCAAAAGCCACCCTTGCTAAGTGGCAAAATCTGAGTCACATGAAGCAGTTGCACGTTTTCCTCAGGCAGAAAAACAACGGCGGACTTGGAATCCGTTGGACCTTCCCAACAGCCATACCGGTACCGGTAGTCCTCACTACTACTAGTACTACTATGCATACTAGTAGAAACACAGGTAGCATTCTCATAGCGCCTCTGCAGCTCGGCAAGTTCTCCAAGGGACTTGCCTCTCATCGCAACACTATTTGCTGAATGAATCTGATGCAGATGATACAACTCTTCTTCTCTTCATTGGTGATGCCATGATGCTCTATTGGTGTGGACATGGAGACATCGAGACATCAATGCATTTTGAGGCTATTTGGTATTCGGGGTTGCCTGGACAACCAGAATAGCTCAAGAATCCAGTTGGCGAAGCACTGGGTCGAGACACTGTTCAAGCTTGTTCCACAGTGGTCTGACACGTGCTAGCAGGTACCATGCCGTATGCATCGTTGCGCCGGGTTAGTCCTTACGTTGGGGACCGCGTTGGAATCCCTGGTGTTGTTCTTTTTGTTGTTTCTGCTTCACACCAGCCTTGCTGGTGGTAGTCCGGCAACTCCGCGACCCCCTGATGGAGAAAAGCACTTTTGCGGACAAAGCCTACAAACATGCATTGAGTTGTACCACCAAGCATCGTATATGTTCTGACTTCCTTGCCTTCTGACTTCCTTGCCTTCGGTACCGTATCATCTAGCTAGAGTTTGTTCTTTCGATCATCACAAGCAAATGCCTGTACCGGTACTGCAGCCACTCGAGCATCAAGACTGCCTTCTTCGTAACGCATGTTTATTTTTACATGTACGGCGCCATGCCAATCTTGAGGCCGCGTTCAGCAGCAAGCTGTGGACTCGACCCGTATGCAGTTCCTCTAGATGTGGCTGAGTTCTTGCCAAGAAGAACATCAATCTGTTGGAGAACATAGCCGAGTCGATGCTTGCCCGCTTGCCCGGGCAAACGAACTGAACCGGATGCATTTTTCGGATACCGCGATTGCACCACCTCCCCACTCGCCGCACAGAATCAGATTCCAACCAATCTTGCATGGTTCGACACGGCGATGCCCTCATTACAATACATACTGTGAAGAACGTCTGAATTCCCGACTGAATGCGAATTGGTGGCAGCCCTTCCGTTTTGGATTAATGAGGAGTTGCTACTAGCAAGAGTACCGGTACAGTAGTGGATGAGTCTGCGGAAGTGGCAGGGGGGGCAGGGTTGTTGACGCTGAAGGGCCTTTGAGCGCTTTTCCAGATCCCAGACCCCCACACCCCACACCCCACACCAGCCTTTGACTCTCAGCCGAAGCCAGTGGAATTCCCAGCTGAGAGCCAGCCATACACGGATTTGTTCGGCGGTTTGATGATTTAGAGCAGGAGCACGCTTCTCTTGTAAACACATCAAAGCTCATGCTAAGTAAAACCCGTTTCAATGTCATCGACCAATATCTTGGCCAGCCAGCGCACCTCCCTCACTCCGCCAAATTTACAAGGGCAAGAGCCAGACCTCCCGCCTCATTTTTTGTGTCGGATCCACGACAAAGATACGTCAAGCAAGACACACCTTTCGAAACAACGCCTAAAACACAAACAGCAACAGCATATGACAGGCTTCGCAACACTTCTAACGATTTGGCTGCTTGACTCCTGTTGCCTTTCTTTAGCAAAGCACCCAACTAGCCCAAGCTGTGCTGCAGTAGAGTAAGAGCAAGAGCAAGAGCATAGAAGAACAGGATGAAGGTGCTTTCCAGTTTCTGGTTGGTTTTTGCAGTGGTTGCCACTAGCGCTGCAGCTTCAGCCTTGGATACCGGTATCCCCGATAAGGGTAACCCTAACCATACTCCTCGTAGCATGCACATGAGTACCAAGAAGAATACCCAAAGCCACCGCAATCTGGCTTGTGACACGATCAATGGAGCTTGCTGCGTTGGAGAGACGTGTGACGAACTTCCCTTCGATCCGTCTCTCACCGTCAACGTCCAATATGACGATTACCCCAATGAGATTGTCTGGCTTTTTGAAAAATACGAAAATAGCTCCACCACAGATCCAACGGTGGATTCGGCGGAAGCCATGGCGGAAGGAAAGCCACAGCCGTTCTTGGATGACTGGACTGTTTGGTGGCACTATTTTGGTACTGCCTATGATGGACTCCCAGGACAGACAGTGGCTTACCCCATCTCCAACCTGGATACCGATACCTTCTACCGATTTTCCATTTATGATACTGAAGGCGATGGTGTCTGCTGTGAGTATGGAAATGGCTGGGTCTCCATAGAAACTGACAATGGAGGCATGATTTGGAATCTCAAGGGAGATTGGATTCGGGCAGATCCCACCGTGGTATACCTTTATGTAGATTCCGTTGGAGCCGTGGAAATAGTGGAGGTACAATACGCACCCGCACCAGTCGCACCACCAACCACCGGGGCCGGGGCCGGTCCTGTCCCAGCTCCCATTGTCGTTCCGTCCACGGTCCAGATCTTTGACAACACCTACAACACGGCAACAACCACGTATCTGGATCTTTCCTTTGATCTACTTGAAGGTACCATTCCCACAGAAATTGCATTCCTCACCGAACTACAATACCTCGAGCTAGGAGACAACGACTTGACGGGACCCATACCCGATCTGAGCACACTGACCAAAATGACGTATCTCGATTTGGGACCATCCGAGGTACGCAAGCAACCATGCATGGCAGACTGTCACTCTGGGTGGCACGTCGGTGTTTTGGTCTCGTCTCGACTCACCACATAGACCTTTTTGTTGGTCCTTCTTTTAGTTGACAGGGACCATCCCAACAACCATGGGGCTCCTAACCGAACTCATCTTTATCTCGCTTTGGAACAACCTCCTGACGGGCGAGATTCCGTCCGGTAAGAATCGAATCGAATCGAATCATTCCAAGGCCGGGGTGGTCTCACTAACAAACCTACCTGTCCTCCTTAATTTGCTCTCCATACTCTATATTCGCTCTACAGAGCTTGGTTTGTTGACCGAATTGACAGCATTGACGCTGGCATCCAATCAGTTCACAGGAGCATTACCTGATGAGCTCGGGGAACTATCGGCCCTTACTTGGTTGAATGTGGAATACAATCGATTGACAGGAGACATACCAATTTCCGTGTGCGTGTTGCCCTTGGTAACAATCTCTGCGGATTGTTCCGAGGTGACATGCTGCGATGAACAACCCATACCACCTTCCGTTGCTCCGCCTGGGAGTGTGGAAATCTTTGGAAGAACCTACAGCACCAGTACAACCTACACCATTGATATTACAAACTTTGGCTTGTTCGATACTATCCCTACGGAAGTGGCCCTCATTACCTCTTTGGAATTCTTGTATATTGGAGGCAATGAATTGTTTGGGACTATTCCAACAGAGCTTGGGTTGTTGACAAATTGCCTTGGATTCAATGTATGGGAAAACCTGCTCACTGGTACGATCAGCTAAGCATAGCTGCAATTTGGATACAGTTGCTGTTGTTTTCTCTATCCGTGACACAGGTCCTGACGCTATGCTCTGTTGCTTCGGAATATATAGGCACAATCCCCGAAGAGCTTGGGGAGATGACGAAGGTGACGCATTTGAGCTTGCATACCAATTTCTTAACAGGGACAGTCCCCGCTGTCCTTGGTGATCTTCCTGACCTTGTTGGTCTATACTTGTCTGATAACTCACTCACCGGTACAATCCCGTCATCTATCTGTGCGATTCCATTATGGGTGTTCACTGCTGATTGCGATGAGTTGACTTGTTGCGATGAAATTGGCACAGGTCCAACCCCATCTCCAGCATCAGGGTCTCTCAACCTTTTTGGCGAGAGTTATGACATAAGCTCGACCACGTCCTTACACCTCGATGGTACTGATCTCTCAGGATCGATACCAAACAATATTGGTTTCATGACGGCTTTGACTTCTTTGAATCTTGGGAGTAACGATCTGACCGGTACTCTCCCCACTGGTACGTTCTTCCATTGAGACTCATTCACTTTGGCGCTTCTGCTTGTTTCTCACTGAAGATAACCCTCTTGACAGAGCTCGGGTTGCTGACGGGCTTGCAGTACTTGTTCATGGGGGGCAACAGTTTCACGGGTACCCTTCCAACAGAGCTTGGCTTCTTGACTGATATGCTTTCGATAGTTTTGAGTGCAAATCTTCTTACTGGAACGATTCCAGATGAGCTTGGAGAAATGACAGCTTTGGCCTACTTGAGCTTGTGGGGAAATGACCTTACGGGGGAGGTGCCAGCAGGTAAGGGAGAAATGGGATGACGTGTAATGTTGGGAACGATCAATCATGAAAAGAAACACCTAACTTGCGGTTGCCGCTTAGAATTATGCGAGTTGCCTGATTTGGGATTCAACCTGGATTGCAGCGAGGTAACTTGCTGTGGAGCCCTGCCACAACCAACACCGAGCCCACTACCACCAACAGCCCCAACGCCTGGCAGAGTCACCCTCTTTGGCGAAACTTACTCAACCAGCACGACAAGAACTCTAGACCTGACTAGTGATGGCATTGGAGGAACAATCCCAACTGATATTGGACTTCTCACTGCCATCACGAACCTGTTTCTTGGTGGCAACAATTTCTCAGGGACCATTCCAACGGAGGTGGGCCAACTGATCGATGTAACTGGCTTCAACATGTGGGATAACGCATTGACCGGTAGGTTCCAAACCCAGGCAGTCTTTGGTATGTGTTGTACCGTGTGGCTTACATTTTTGCATCGGCTTGTGTTGCTGCAGGAATGATTCCATCAGAGATTGGGCTTCTCACAGAAATGACGTGGTTGAACATCCGAGGCAACGAGCTTTCTGGTCCTGTTCCGGAGGAACTCGGTCAATTGACTATGTTAACTGGGATGTGGTTGTACGACAATGACTTGTCTGGAAGTGTGCCTTCCAGCGTTTGTCTTCTTGGGCTTACAGACTTTAGATTAGATTGCGATGAGCTCACATGCTGTGGTGAAGTTGGATCTGCTCCTGGACCAACACCTGCTGGCTCTGTCGAGCTCTGGGGGGAGATATACAGCATCGGGTCAACCACAAGACTCAATGTGGCATTTGACGGCATTACAGCAGAGACCATCCCAACAGAAATTGCTTGGCTGACTGCATTGAATTATATGAATCTAGGTGACAACGAAATCACGGGCCCAGTTCCCAGCGAGATTGGAACCATGACTGCGCTAACGTATCTCGATTTGGGTCCCAATGCCTTGTCTGGTACAGTGCCGACAGAGATAGGACTTCTCTCAGATCTCACTTTTGCAAGTTTTTGGGACAACCAGCTGTCCGGTCCAGTCCCAAGTGAATTTGGACTGCTCACGTCGTTAAGCTCATTGTGGATTGAAGACAATAATTTCTCTGGGTCGCTGCCGGAAGAACTAGGCAACATGGTTTCATTGGACTTCTTCTACCTGGACGATAATGATTTCTTGACTGGCTCCGTACCACAATCTGTCTGCGAGCTGGACTTGATTACACTGTCCGTGGATTGCCTCCAGTTGACCTGCTGCGATGAAATCGAACCAGGTCCTGGCCCATCTTCATCTCCAGGTACTGTTGACTTGTTTGAAAACACCTACAGTACAAGAACCACAACTTCTATTGGCCATGGCTCTCAAGGACTGACAGGGACGATTCCAACGGACATTGGTTTGCTTACAGCCCTTACATTCTTGAGCCTGCACACGAATGAACTAAGAGGCTCCCTTCCTACTGAAATAGGAAGGCTGAGCAGGCTGGGATACATTACCATGAGCAGAAATCAGCTGTCTGGCCAACTGCCAAGTGAGCTTGGCCTCCTGACGGGTTTGACTCAACTTTACTTGTATGATAATCGATTCACCGGTTCAATCCCAGAGGAGCTCGGTTCTTTGACAGCTCTGTCAATCCTGCAGCTTCAAGACAACAGGTTGACAGGCACAGTGCCTACTGATGTTTGTAACTTACCCAGCCTGGGTTCACTAGGCCTTGAAGTTGACTGCTTTGAAGTGGTCTGCTGTGATGAAGTGGCACCAGGTCCTGGCCCAGCTCCATCTCCAGGTACTGTTGACTTGTTTGGGACCACTTTCGACACTAGCGCTACTGTTATTGACCTCAGCAGCCGCAATCTGGATGGATCGATGCCATCTGAAATCGGGCTTCTAACTTCTTTGACAACTTTGGAGCTGGACTCAAATGACCTGACTGGAGAGATTCCGTCCGAAATTGGTCTGATGACTAGCCTGACAAGGCTACTGCTTTATACCAATGATTTAAGGGGTCCCTTGCCAACTGAAATGGGGCGATTGACAAGAATGTCGCACCTGAGCCTCAGCTCCAATAACATTGCCGATCCATTGCCGAGTGAGCTTGGCAGGATGACCGACCTGGTATTCTTTACAATCAGCCGCAATGCGGTCTCGGGACCCATTCCGAGTGAACTTGGTCTTTGCACTTCATTGAGGGAATTGTACTTGTACATGAATCAACTTACGGGTACGATCCCTGATGAGCTTGGTGACTTGACGGCATTGACTCGATTAGAGTTGCAGAGCAACCAGTTAAGAGGCAGTGTTCCAATTGAAGTCTGTTCGATTCCAGGCTTGCAGCTGGCAGGACGCTTGGATGCTGATTGCTTTGAAGTTACCTGCTGCGATGACATAGAAGCAGTGGAACCCAATCCAGCACCCGCTGGTCCACCCAATCCCGCACCTGCTGGTTCTGTGGAGCTCTGGGATGAGATTTACAGCACAAGTGAAACTGAATTCATCTTTCGTACTGGTGATTCGGTCCAAGGCACCATCCCAACTGAAATTGGCTTGGTGACATCATTGGGAGTCTGGCACATGGGAAGCAATGAACTATCTGGCAGTCTACCAACTGAGATTGGCCGCATGACTGCTCTGCGTTCTGTGATCTTGAGTGAAAACTTGTTGATCGGACGAATTCCCTCCGAGTTGGGATTGTTGACTGAGCTGTCATTCTTGAGCCTACGTGACAACCGCTTGACAGGCACAGTGCCAGCAGCTGTGTGTGCACTTCAGAACCTGAGTTATTTCAGTCTTGATTGCACTGAAGTTGTTTGTTGTAATGCTGTTGTACAGCCACCACCCCCATCCCCCGCCCCAGATCAGTCACAAATTGTTTTGGAGGTTTCTTTGGAGTTTGGCTTCTTTGATGACACCAAAGTGCGTGAGCCAACAGCAACTGAAGTGGATGATCTGGTGGTGCAAATTGACAGTTTCTACAGTGACCTTCTCGAAGGCTCTTTTGATACCTTTGCCACATTTGAAGCCAAGGGTAAGGTTCAGCTGAGGCCAGTGCATAAACGAATTTAATAATTTTCTCATCTCATCCTCAATTTTCTGTTTTCAGTGGTTGACACCGCAATGGTCAATGAAACTTTTACACTTGACTTTGACTCCTTGGTCTATTTTGAAGAAGGAACAGATGTACCATCTCCAAATGAAGTGATTTCTGCAATGCAAGGTACCTCTGGGGATTACGCCAGTTTTATAACAGAATATGTTTGGAACGTGACAACGGACAGCATTTTTTATGACACTGAGATTGTCACATTCCGGGCAAGGTCTTCTGCTACTCCAGGGACTGTCTTTCTGTTTGGTGACTCCTACAGCATAAGCTCAACCACGTCCCTTTCCCTGTCAAGTAGTGGTCTTACTGGCACAATCCCACCAGAGATTGGGATGTTAACAGCCCTTGGAAGATTGGTCTTGTATTCCAACGACTTGACTGGACCTCTGCCAACAGAGCTTGGTTTGCTGACGGCCCTGACCTACATGGACCTCTGGTCCAATGAACTGACTGGCACAATCATTACAGAGTTTGCCAGGCTGACAGTGCTGTCTAGTTTGAGCTTGTACAACAACCAAATCAGTGGAACTATTCCACCAGAGCTCGGGTTAATGACAGCCATGAGAAGCTTGACTCTGAGCTCCAACTTGCTCACGGGCACAGTCCCTGTGGAGCTTGGCGAGCTGACCCTTATGACATATCTCTCTCTATGGGGAAATGACCTCACAGGAACTGCACCAGATTCTGTCTGCAGTTTGCCCGGTTTGAATGTGGTCCTTGATTGCAGTGAGGTGGTTTGCTGTGATGCTATATCATCAGGAACAGTAGACTTGTTTGGGCAATCCTATTCAACAAGCACAACATCCTACTTAAGTATGGGGGGAGGCGGTCTCATGGGAACACTACCAACAGACGTTGGCTTGCTTACGGCCCTTACATTCTTGAGCCTGCACACGAATGAACTAAGAGGCTCCCTCCCTACTGAAATGGGAATGCTGAGCAGACTTCGTTACCTCACCATGAGCCGAAATCTGCTGTCTGGCCAGCTGCCAAGTCAGCTTGGGCTCCTGACAGGTTTGACCCAACTTTACTTGTATGACAATCGATTCGTTGGCACGATCCCAGTGGAGTTCGGCTCTTTAACAGCTCTATCAGTCCTGCAGCTTCAAGACAACAGGTTGACGGGCACAGTGCCTGCTGATGTTTGTGACTTACCCAACCTGGGTTCATCAGGCCTTGAAGCTGACTGCTTTGAGGTGGTTTGTTGTGGCTCTGCTCCAGCCCCAGGCCCAAGTCCAGGCACTGTGCTTTTGTTTGGTGAAAGCTATAGCACAAGCACAACAACAAATATTAACATCTACAGTGCTGGCGTTGATGGAAGTATCCCAGCAGCAATCGGTGACCTTACTGCATTGACATTTCTTGGGCTGAATTGGAACGATCTTACTGGAACTATCCCGACAGAGATTGGGACGCTAACAAGGTTGAGATGGATGAGCCTCAGCCGAAATCAATTGAGTGGTCGGCTCCCTACAGAGCTGGGGCTCCTTACAGCTCTCACGGAACTCTATTTGTATGACAACATATTCATCGGCACGATTCCGGAGGAGATGGGAGACTTGACAGACCTCACAGCTCTCCGATTGGAAGAAAACCAGTTAACAGGCTCAGTGCCCGATGATGTGTGTTCCATCCCGGGATTGGGTGCATCAGGTCCGCGGGTTGATTGTTTGGAGGTTGTTTGTTGTGACAGTGCTCCAGGTCCTGGGTCGTCTGGCCCAGATACTGTTGTTTTGTTTGGTGACAGCTATAGTACGAGTACAACAACAAGACTACCTCTCAACAATGTGGGTCTTGTTGGGACCATCCCAGGAGACATTGGAGAACTGACAGAGCTGACATACTTAGCATTGAACTGGAACGACTTGATGGGCACGCTCCCCACAGAGATTGGGAGGCTGACCAGTGTAACATTCATGAGTGTGAGCCGGAATGAGCTAACTGGTCAGATCCCATCAGAGCTCGGCTTGTTGACCGAGCTGACTGCTTTGTACCTGTATTCCAACGCGTTCACGGGGACAATTCCGGATGAATTCAGCCAACTGACTGATTTGAACATCTTGGAAATTTATGATACAAGTCTAGTGGGCTCTGTCCCTGCGGGTGTTTGTGAGATTCTGGACCCTCAGGTGGACTGTGATGAAGTTGTGTGTTGTGGCTCAGCCCCAACAGAAAGCCCAACTACTGATCTATCCGAAGGTGGTGTCAGTGGCTTGGTCTTGCTGTTTGGCGAAACATACAATACAGCAACAACTACTGTCATTGATCTCTCCAGCAACGCCCTTACAGGATCCATCTCTCCCGGGATAGGAAAGCTGACAGGTCTCACATCGCTGGACTTGGGTCCAAATAATCTGACAGGCCCACTCCCTTCTGAGATTGGCATGCTTACAGAGCTGACATTTTTGAGCCTCTTCAACAACATGTTGACGGGCCCAGTTCCAAGTGAACTTGGGTTGCTGACTGCCATGAATGCTTTGACTTTGGCGACAAATGAGTTTAGTGGACCCTTGCCGGACGAACTGGGTGCGCTGACTGCCATGACTTGGCTGAACGTGGAAGACACTTTATTGACAGGTAGGCACGACGAAAATGTGTTTGTTGGCTGACGTCGCAAATCTACGTCCGATCCATCGTACATGTATCTCAAGAGTATGTATCTCTTTGCTCGTTTCAGGGAGTATCCCTTCCAGCGTCTGCGAACTAACGAGCTTGGAAACGTTGAGAGCAGATTGTGATGAGGTTGAGTGTTGCGAGTAGGTCCCGCCATCCTTGCCGTACCGGTACCGGTACCGGTACCGGTCGTACGATGACTGTTGCATATCGTAGGCTGTAATTGAATTTGAGGTAATGTGGGTCAAGTGCAGTTCTAACTGCGCATGTTCATAGCGTGTTGGTAGGCACACCCCACTTCTAAGCGTTGCCGTAGACTGAAGATCCCAGTATTTCAGTGGTGGCTATAGCTATAGCTAGAGGGCGTCGACGAACTGTTCTTTCATGGCTCTGGCTGCCAGCCTCAACTCCTGTGTTTTCGTTCCATCTAGCCAGGCAGTGGCAATGCTCGGTGGGGACTGGGCCCCTCGTCGCTCGTGTTTGAGGCACCGCGGATTAGTATAGCTGGACTGGAAACCCATAGAGCCACGGTGGATGGCGGAGCCTCGGGAAGGCAAGACTATGGAACGGCTTGATTCCCCGATTCCCGAGGGAGCGTTGGCTAAGGGCTATTTGTGTACTTTATCTTTTCTATTCTTTCTATACTTGTTATGGATGAATCGAATCTATTTTGGACGCACGCAGTAAACAAGCTGGCTATGCAGTCCTTGCTGAGAATGAGGACTGACGCATAAGCTGCGTTGTTGGCATTGCAGCTTGGTCCTCCCGTCCATGGGTAGTGCCGCTGTCTAGGTCTTCTATCTTTTGCTGGAGCAATGGCTTGGTGGTTTCCTTGGGCAGACGAAAGGAGTTCATGCGGCTCTTTTGCTTGTGAGTTTGCAGGAGACGACAGCGGCGACTTTTCTTCGTGGCATTGGTGGCAGTCTTGGTGGGACTGGAAAGTTCTTCCTCTTGCTGCTCCGAGCCTGCGTGTTCCTGAGCTTTTACATTGAATTTTAGCAGGGCTTGAGTTTTGTCCTTGGGAAGGCGGAAGGAAGTCATGCACCGCTTGTTTCGCTGAAGGGCCATCTTGCGTCTTTTCAAGCCACTGACTTCGTCTTTTTCACATGTGTCATTTTCGGGTTCATCCATGTCCTCCGAGTGGAAATGCAGTAGAGCACTAGTAGCCTCCTTAGGTAGGCGAAACGAGGTCATTTTCTGCATCTGAGTGCGGCGGCGCAAAAGGGCACTGCGACGGACTGATAGGTTGGCATGAGAGGCGGGGGTTGCCATGGTGAGACATTCGGTAGAGCTGCGCATTTTTGCTTTTGCTTGGATTGCTATTTGCTATAGCTATATAGATTTGTGTTTGTGTTTTGGAGTTGTGATCGTGATGAGAGATTGTGAGCACGATAGCAAAACAAGACAAGTCATGGGGAAAGGGGTTCCTGGACAAATTCGTCGCTCCATTACCCCGTATGCACGATTTGGTACTGGACGAAGGTTTAAGCCCAGTGACTCCAATAGTAACCAGTGGGAGATATTATGACATTATGACTCCAATTGCTTTTCGAAAAAACTTGCTCAGTACCCGATTATCACAGTGACGTAAAGGTTTGGTCATACTGGGCTGGAAAAGAATATCAAAGACTGCTCCTTCTTGCCAACAAAGACTCTCTGAGTGTTCAGCCGCTCACACCCGTTACCCGTGCCACTTTAACACCAGTCACAACTTTGGCTACCGGTACCGGTAGCTACTTTTGACATAGACACTTGGACCAACCGGCATGAACTACACTGTACCGATATCAAAGTAGTTTGTAGGCCATTGCCCCCCCAACCAGCCACCATCACCAGCAAGTAGGGACGGCAATACCAGTACAGTTACAGTAGTTGGGAATGCTTCTTTTGTTCAAGTTTTTCCTTCCATTCCCCTCCTCCTTGCTTCAGCCTCCATTGTGACGTACAGTCGTACCCCTCCCGCCAACGTCCCAAAATTTGATGAAAGATGGATATGGGAGAGCTTTACCAGTACAGTATCTGTTGCCACAAGGCTTTAGGCTTTAGCTACGGTCACCCCAGCTGAAGGCTTCGACAACCTAGTTTTTGATGCACACATACCGATACTGTAGCCACTGCAGGCTATGTCTGTTCAGAGTGTAGGTTTCGCCCACAAAACACAGCATCCAACTAGGTCGAAGCCTGCTTGACCAAAATTCGCCATACATGTATGTAATTGACAGGTTGACCGGTTTGCTGTTCTCTTTAGCTACGTGTACGCACTCTACTAGATGGCTCACACTGGCCAAAAGCTTGCGAGACTAGTAGAGTGAACCACTGGGTTGCTGCAAATTGTGTGCTGTGCTGTTCAGTTTGCCCAGCCGATGGTGCTCTACGGCTCGGTAAAGCAGCAGCAAGCAACCTGCGTAATACGCTATAGACGCTGCAGTTTGCTTGAGATGATACGAGCTTTGCAGTGAATTGGCGGCTACGTCACCATAGCTACGTGAAGTACTAGTGCAATAGAGTTTGCTTGGGCTGAACCAAGGCAAGGAATGCATGGTTGAAGGCGGGGATCGATCCCTCGCGAATAATCCAATGCCCAGAATGCCGACACCGCTATCATGTGCCACCGGTATGCCAACAGCTCTAACCCCGCCCCCCATCCTACGTGGCTGCCTTGTGCATCTGGCTGATGAGGTACCGGTATACGGGAGCTAGTAGTAGGCCAGAGAGGCAAGGTGCTTGGGGATCTGGACGTGATATTGGAGTAACCTGTACCGGTAGCTATCCCTGACAAATTCGGTTTTCGTGGTGCACAAGGCAATGGGTAACCCTCAGCACACCGCGGGCGGTGTTGGTCACCAGTTGGCACTCAAAACCTTGGAACTACAGTAGGCGAGTAGCTGAATAATACCGTGACATCGTACCTCCAGACACTTAGTCAATGACCCGTTTGCGAATGCCTTCATTCGAACTCAATGCTGCTATACGGTAGTGAGAAGACATGCTACCAGGCATCATGTTGTGGTGATGGTGGGTCTCTGAAGGCTTTCTGCTCACTTGAAAGAGGTGAGGGTGGACTGACACTGAACGCATTGCCATTTGCAGTACCTGGACGCGAACCCACAATACAAAAGCAGGAGCCTTGGTCGCCTCATCCCGGGCCCCCATCCCACTCTACTAGATAGCTAGCTAGATCTGTCTGGAATGGTTTCCACAACCATGCAGCTGAAGAAGTACGAGTAGAGGGTGATCATTCGATCCAATTTTCACGGTGAGTTTGTTATGACACTTCTTTCCGCAACAAAACTAGAGTAGATGCGGTACTTTTGTCATTGTATTTTAAATTTATTACCTCATCTACGAACTCTCACTGGGTCGTTGGTCAAGACTCCCGAGATCTTGCCAGACGTCCCTCCTGTGGAACATTCAACTCCCACCTCATCAGTGGTGACAACGAGGTTCACCTTCCATTCCAAACAGAGAGGTCTTCAAGCTTTGTGACTTTGAGCCAGAACACAGCTTTCGACCAGGAGCTCACAAATTCCAACTGAAACATCCAATTTTCCAGAACATACTAGTAGAACACCACAAAGAATCATGGAATTGCTGGCCAACACTACCGATAAACACAACCTGGAGTTGCATGCAGCTCTTGGGTACGAGCGCCACGATGAGAAGCTCACTCCGAGCCAAGCGTTTGTGAAGGACGCATCCACCCAAAGAAACCTAAAAGAGCACGGTATGAAAGTGGATTCGAAGCAAGGCCCAGTCAGCCACAAAGAGGGTACGGACAAATTGGAGATCCACTTTCCCGTCAACGCAGCCAGGCCTCCTGTTGGAGATGGCGCAAGAATCGTCCGAGGCCCCCGAATGGTTCGGCGCTGTAGCACTGGATACGTCCGTCGATCCAAAGCTCGTCGCCAGAGTGGTGCGGCAGTGAATGAAATCCTCGAAATGCAAGACTTTCAAAAGTTTGAAAACAGTCTCCTGGATCGTAAGGATAGCCTCCGCTTAATCAGAGGTGTCTCGCACATGTTAGAGGACAGCGCTAAGGAGCTAGAAGAAGCAGTGCAGGACGACGCGGAAGATGCAGCACCAGAACAAGATAGCGATATGGTGATGCGTATCTATCGTCGCAAGCCACGACGAATGAGCGGTTGCGCAGTCTCTGGCACCACAATGGAGGGCATCAAGACGAACATGCCTTGTCTTCTCCAGCGAGAAAACAGTATCGACCTCTCCCAGAAGAGGATGCGATCCAGAAGGGCCTCCATGACATTCTGATGATAAAAGAAACTAAAACGAAGATGCATCCAGCAAACCAGGCGCAGCGAAGAAGAGGCGACAAGACATGCGACGTGCAACTCCTTTCAGGTAGGACTGCCAGCTGGAATACCCAAGTGTATCAAGTAGGATACATAGTGCATAGTACATACGTAGTTACCAAATGATTCGCATTGCTCTGTCTACCCCTGTTCGCCCCAGTTTGATTTGTCATCCTGATTCTGCTGGACCGGTTCAACTTGCACTGCCAGCATTACAACTTGCATTGCTCTGTATTTTGCCTTAGCTCTGGAGACCGATCCCGGCCCTGGCCCAAACCGGTGGGCACATTATCATGCCGAATACCATACCGGTTGGATGTAAGTTGTGTGTGGCATTGGTGGCACTTGGTGGATGTAATACAAGGTCACACAATGTATGTAGACTAACTGTTGCTGAAAGGCTGATGTGGACCTTCCAAACTTGCAGAGCTATCAAATGTTTGGAGATACATGGTCATGGAAATAGGCTCCCACGAGCCGGAGCGGAATGCCCGTGGAGCTCTGCGTGCCACCTCGACGCCACTACTGCCCTCCTTCTCGCTTGTGGCATTCGTTGAAGTGTTTGTTTCCCTCCCCCTTTCTAAGAAGACATTCACCGAAATAAATCGCATGCTGACCACATCGCCTCCCACCGTTCCTTTATGGAACGTAGTGACATCAGTGAGATCACTTATTGACATTTTAAAGTCAAGTCAAAGTTTAGTGTAGAATGTGCTTCTTCACCAATGACCATTATAGTCTATCAATGACCGTCAATACTTATGAACGAAGTCTAACCATGTCACAAACCTTCCGAACAAAAGAGGGATTCGGGGAAAATACAGATGTCTTCGATACTAAGATTATGCAGCATATGCTTCGAGGCTGAAAGCGTTCTGATCATTCACAGCACGGGGAGAGGTGTGTAACCAGACTGGACTCCTCTACGGTATTGGCTGCGCTTAGGACTGGGTCTACTCTCTGGCTAGCTAGGTACTACATGTAGTAGCAACTAGACTAATCGAATGAGTGGACGCCACTCTGCTCCCGAATGGCCGGGCTGATGCCTCACTCTCCACCGTTCTACAAGGTTGCTTGGTTGCTTGCCCTAGAGCCGCGGTATAAGTGCGTCCTGAGTCAGTCAAGCATATCATATCCATCGCTCAATGGACAAAGGTGCGAGGCTAAGTAAGATATTGCACAGTAGTAGACATCCAATGCTCTACTAGCTAGCTAGCTAGGGTTTGTGCTGATTACCGTTTCTCCTGAAGCTGGAGCAAACTACTCGCTAGCTAGGTACATACTGTACCGGCACATGGATATGTGGTGCTTGAACTACCTATCGAGTTCCCAGCACGCTCAGTGCCTCTTTATAATGTGCAACTTGCAATCGTCATCGGCTGCTCTCCCTGCATGTCCTGCAGGAACAATAGTTGCCCCTGGTCGTGGCTGAGCATGCTCTCAATTGAAAAAGTCCTCCATCCACCTGAAGCTGAATGATGAAGATTTCCGAGTGAGCATCCACCAAGACGCACCTTGAATGCCGTCAGCGAAGAACAGTGTAATCCCCACTTCTCATTGGCTGATTGTGTTCGTATCCAGAAGCGCATTCAAGGTATCAACCATCTCACGTGCGTGGCGAATTGGTCAATGAAAGAAACATTCTTGGACTTGGCAACCTTCCTTGCTCTCACAATCTCAATCTCATTGAATAGTTCAGAAAGCCAAAAGTCCCGCAAAACAACCCTTTTACTTTTACTTTTACTTTTTGCAACACCATGAACTCCTTCAACTCCACTTCTTGCTCTGCTTCATCATCTGCATCTTCAGGTTTATCTTCAGGTTCAGGCAGAAGGGCCACTCACCCAACCACTGCGCAAATGTTTGGCGGATTTCGTCCCCGCGCTCCACCAAGGAGTTCAAGAATTTCTCTGAGTGGCAGTGGCAGTGGCAGTGGCAGGAGTAACTTAAGCTCTCTGCTTGGCCAATTCAATGAAAGTCAAGGTCTGCCAGGTTCAAGTTCAGGAGGAAGGAGAAAGACTGCCATTGAAATCCTTGATGAAGCCCTGGGGATCTCTACTGGAGTTACTACTGGTCCTTCACCACCTTCCACGCCTCCTTCCTCTCCAGGATCAACTCCACGATCTCAGTAAGCAGCAAACCTTTTTCCATCCAATCCAATCCAGCCCATGAGATATGAGATCCTTGTCAAGCAAGTCCAAGAACCGCTAGCTAATTCTGTTCTACTGGTACTCCCTGGCAATTTTGTTGATTTATTTCCAACTCTGCACCACTTACATCTACTTCTACTTCTACCTGCACCTACACCTACATCTACAAGTATGATGTGACATGATATGATAACCACTACAATAGCTAACTAATGACTAAGAATACTTTGCATGCATCCATTCAGCCATTCCTGCCTTACTGCATCTTAGCTAAACACAACTTCGCATGTAGAATGGCTGTCTGCCAACAGCTTCTCAACTACCAGGTACTAGCTAGTAGTACCAGGTAGCTATTTTAATAAAAGGGTAGCAGCTTCTCAACTTGGCTTGTAGTGGGCTGTGGGCTGCCTCTGAAAAACAAACCTACCAGTCAGGAGGATCTTCAACTTCTTTCCTCTCTCCTCTCCTCAACTTTCTTGGCCCGAGTGACAGTCAGGAGTTAGGTTCGCTGCCCTTTCAAGGATCCCTGCGTTGCGAAAGAACAAGCTACTTGCCCTTGCACTTGCAATTGTGGCGAGCCAGAGGGCAACGTGCAGCTCTGGAATAGCTACGAGTTGTACTGTATCCAAGCTACCGTACCATGCTACCATACCGGTAGGGAGTAGCTAGTAGCGATTGATTGAGATTCGATTCTCACCTTCTTTGGAAAGTTAGACATCAAGAACAAAAAGTTTTTCCTCATTTCGATGACTGGCTCAGGAAGGTCGATGACGTACGCACTACTGTATTCGCATTACGGAACGAGAATACAACAATGGCAACCAAGACGCATAAGTCCATTAGTGCTCGCTTTCTGACACCACAGGAACATCTGGTCCCGTCTTTTTACAACCTGACGCAAGTCTGTTAGAACTGAGTCGAGTCACTTCTGGACAAGCCAAGCCAGTGAGCGAGGTGAAACATCCTGTGTAGGATTCGGTTTATCATCCAATCTCTCATGCCAGCCATTAGCTTGCGATCCATGGAAACGATGTTGCGGGGCTCGTCCACACAGTTTTGATAAAGGTATTCAATGGTCAATGGGCGAGATATATATACCTGTTGGAATTGTTTGCTCACTACTGGTACTGCTTTTCAATCCTTGCTACAAGTTGGAACCAGATAATACGACTATATGTTCTGGCTAGTACATCATCCTCCAAGCAGTCAAACCCAAGAACAAGGCCACGAATTCATGTTGGGTCACAGGCATGATGATTGGCATTGTCAAGGTTCTTGGAGCATGGGAAGATGCCAGGGGTACAGGGGCTTGTTCATACGAGTATGCTGCCCAGTCAATGCTGGCTGGGTCGGTGGTGGCACAAGCACTGGCCGTGCAAATGGTCTCAATGATTTGATCTCCCACAATGATGGATACCTGCTTCGACGGGAAACCCTGTACTCCTTCTTCCGTGGATGGGTATTCTTGCACTTCAATCGTTGCCTCTTGTCCAGAGAGGGAATCTACCAAATCGAGAAACCAATCGGGGCATTGGTTCGATTCGGTGCATTCGCACTCGGCCAAATCACAATCTAGTACAACATAAGTGAAAGGGGTAAGCTACTGTGCAATATGCAATGGTCAGTCTCGATACATGTATTAACGTACCTCCTCCCATGCCTCCTTTCGTGTTGAAATTGCAACCCGAGAGTTGACAATCCATGAGATGGAAAGAATCCACATTGCGGGTGTTGAAGACACTAATCTTGGCCAATCCAGCAGTCAAGTCCAGGAAGAAGGAAGCCTTGCCATTGGGAAACAGTTCCTCGTACTCGTTGGTCAGAGTGCACTGACCATCACGAGAAAAGCAGGAGAAAAGGAAGGTAAAGAAGGTAAGGTAAGATTGGTACCAGTAGTATGATAGGTAGACAGATGGCGAAGCACGAAATGTACACAACGCACCTTGAATGCCTTTTGTGTATCCTTTTCAGCATAGCGAAAGCCTGAGCGGCAAAAGAGTCCAGGATCTTCCATCTGACAAGCCGCGTCGCTTTCGCAGTAACCACAGTCAATCTCACTGAGGCCTTCGTAACAGCGACAACCGTCAGGAGCACCGTAAATAGGCGTCTTGGGGTGGTCCGTGTCCAACCAGCGAAAGGCAGGACAACGATCATCGTCAGAGTCAGCAGTGACAGGAGCATCAGCAGGAGCATCAGAAGCTGCATCTGTCGTGTTCATGCCATTAGTGCTAGCATCGTCGTTAGCGGTGACAGCTACACACAAGTGTACGAGCAACCAAAAGAGAGACTTGAGCTTCAAAGTTGATCCCGCGGAGACAATCATAATCGAACGAGCAGATCTGGAGTGGTGGAAGTAGTCTAATTATTGCTGTATTCAATTTGTGTGTCAATACGTATTCCACCTGTATAGATCGCAATGGAGTGCTCTTCTTTTTTAGTGGACAGCAAGTGATCTCAACAAGCCAAAAGATTTGAATGGCTGGTATGGAGAACCAAATTATTCGAATTATACTCAATCAAGTCGCGCATTCGTGAGTTCGTCCCGATCAAGTTCGGTCTCCTAAGATTACGGTAGTAAACCGGAAGTTCAGAAAATTCATTTCGTTTTTAAAACGATCCGTTCTACTTGCTACCAGCCCCGCCATCTTTCGTTGAGCTTTTGTCGCCTTGAGTTTGTGAACTAGCTAGTCCAAGTCTTGAATTGGCTGTGGTTCTTGCCCACAGCAAGATGAGTTGCTGGTCCCTCATTTCTGCGTACCACAAGAGGGCTTTGGAGCCTTCGAGCTTTCTACCGTGCATCATGAGCTTCTGGCTGGTTTCTTACTCCTTGCATCGTACTCCGGCTTCTTCGTACATGAAGCAATTATGGCTGTACATGTACTGTCTAGCTGTGGCTCCAGCATCCGGCTGTGCGGACTACAATCTTTTCAAGAGCCGCATATGCGTAGAATGGTAGTATCGGTACGGGTACTGTTGCGCCAGTTGCAACTGCTACCGGTAACAAGTGGCCAGCTACGAATGGTAGGAACCCGGCCCATACCGTCTGGTGCAGCTACAGACTCTGAAGCAACCGTAACCGGGGAGGTTGCTTGCTTGTTCGGATACCGGTACATAGCTATAGCTATCTGAGAGACGTGGTCTGGCACCACTCCCAATGCAAGTCATCTCTACTCGGTTGGTATTGCATCGTCGTATTTTAACGCTACTAGCTAGTAGTACGAGTTCCTTGTGTGTACCGGTATTGTGAAAGCCGTTCCTCTGCGGCTTCGCACCCCCGTGGCTGAACCAAGATGTTCCGTGCGTCGTTAGTATTGGATCGTCCGGTCCCGGTACGGTAGTACGGTATGATTCATTCCTTGTGTGGCTTCCTTGTGTGAAAGCCGTTCCTCTGCCGATTACAAAGGGTGGGCACTGGTACCCCTGTGGCTGAAGATGGTCCCTTGTACCGTACCGGTAGACACCCGGCTCCGTTCGTTCATCCTTGTTTGTGCGTGCGTATCGAAGCAACCGTGGGAACTAGATAACAACGTTATGATTGGTGTCGGTGTGATTTGAATGAAGTACGGTAGGTAGCTATGCAAGTTTTCAATTAATAATTATTAGCCATGACGACTACATTCTAGCCATAGGTCTAGAGTGCATTGTCATGTTGTTGTTGTTTGTTTGTTTGATGTTTTGTGTTGTGATCTAGTGCTAGCTATTCTAGTCTATGATATCATGTTTGTACATTGAGGTAAAGAGGGGAGAACGACGTTTACCAGCTAGCCAGCTAGTCAGTCGTCAGCGGATGGCGCTGACGGAAGCTAGCTAGGTAGGTAGGTAGGTAGGTAGGTCGGTAGATAGTTGGACGAGCGCCTGGAACAAAACTGTGATCAAGCTCACAAGCACGCTCATTGTCGACGATGAATCGAATCCACCTTGCGATGTTCGCCTTTGAGACACCATACACCTCCATCCAATCGCCGTGTCTAGTCAGTCAGTTTGTCTATGATGATTCGGTTGGTTTAGGATCGGCTAACGACAGCACGGGTTTCATTTCGATTCCGTCCTGTTCTAGTCGTTTCATGACCTGTCGAACAATCAATCAAACATCAACAAACAATCAGCAAAACAAGTGTGAGCATACCATCGACGTGTAAGTGTTGTTGTTTGTAGTTGCTTGTGGTTGTTTGTGTATACTTACAAAGCTCCGAATCTCTTGTTCCATTTCGGTTTCGAGTAGAATATCGGACGTAAGGGAGAGATCGTACTTGTTTTTGTTTTTGAGTTCCTTCTTGTCGGGAATCCGCAACGCCTGCATGACAGTGGCAGCCATATCCGGTCCTAACGCTTCAAGAAGTGCTTCATCTTGATCGTCTCCTGCCGAATAGAGTACAATCTTTTCCTTTGTGGATTCTCTCATGATTGGCGATACGAGTTTCCACACCATGTTGAACCATTGAGGAGCATTGATCATGTATGTCTTCAAACCTCGCGTGGGATAGTGTGCATCAATCATTCCCACAAACTCCTTTACAAAACTAATGAGGTCTCCTTTTCTGAGTAGCCCTAGATGAAGCCCTTGCATGTCTAGAATACCAATCATGAGAGCATCTGGATCTGTAGCAGCAGTCTCATGAGGATGCATAATATTCCAACAGTATTCAAATACATATGCGTATTGTAGCGACATGTCTTGTGATTGTACATTGTTGTGTTTAGCCAATTCCATGTTAGCCAGTCCTGGTCGTTGAATGAATACGACGTGATTGGTGGTTGTGGATCTTCCAATGAAGTAATGCGGCAGAATGGCTTTGGTGACATCGTAGTTGGGGTTGGGTCTTGACAAGATGGTGTCAATTTGGAACTGCTTTCGCCATTGGAGAGACTCTAGAGTGGCTTTTCTGGCTGGACCTTCCTTCTGGTGAGCATCTAGGTATCTGAAGGGGATGGGGGCATTGGGGTCTTTTTCAAAATTGGCTTGGTTTGGGAACAGTGGGAAGTCATACTGAGGCTTATTAGTAGCTTGGTCAGGTTGCAGTTTTTGCTTCTTTTGAGGAGGTTCTTCAATCTCCACTTGATCTTCAATTTCTTCAACTTGTTGACCTCCAGAGACTCTGGTAGCAGTCTTAACAGCAGTCTTAGTCTTAGTAGGTTTAGTAGCTGTGGTTGTGGTAACCCCAAAGACATGAACTTTGGCTCTTCTAAAGAAAGGCACAGCTTCCACCACAGGCAACAGCATGTCCGTCATACTAGTACTTGTCATAGTTGTAGGGTCAGTGGAGTACAGATAAGGCATTCCAAGAATGACCAACAGACAGACTGTCACTGGACCCAACAAACAGTTACGCCGGATACGCTGTTGCAATAGAGCCCATCTGGTGTGGCTATGGCTATGACCATGAGTATGAGAGTGGCTATGGTGAGAACTATGGTGAGTATGGGAAGTCACCATCTTGATCTGTCTGAAGTTGTTGTTGTGGTTATTTGTTTGGTCTGATCAGAGGAGAGGTGAGTGGAGTCAGAACGAGAAAATGAAAATGAAATCAAGACGACGAGTTCAAGTTGCTGGTGTGTGAGAAAAGCACCGGTCCCGAAAAATATTTAAAAAAGGGGAACCCTAAATATTTCTATGTAAATCTACTTACCCCCAAAACAAATTCAAATGTTCTGTGTGCCCCCAAATAAATAGAGGACCTGACAAAGCATGATTGCAAACCCAACACGTAACACAGATTGCCATCACCAGACCCATGCCATCCACACCATCCGTCCAATCAAATCCGACAAATTATGCCGCCACTAAAAATTTAGAGATCACACTTCAAACGACCCCAAAATGGAACTCCGATGACCTCGAACATCAAAAGGTGGAGTGAAATTCAATCCTTTACCACTGAAATAACACAAAAGACAATACTACAAACAATTTCATTGGTTCTACTCGAACAACCAGACTCACTTCGACCAACTTTCACTCGTTCGCTTGTGTCGCTGAAAGAGTGTCCACACGAATGGCTTGCTCTGCATGCACCACCATACTTCGTATACTTCCAAGAACAGTGACCATGCTCCCGCCCTCCAAAACCGTAACCATGAAAACCAGGCAAAGGCAAGAATCAATTCTATCCGTGAGTGAGTGAGTGATGTCTGTGATGACGAGTGACAGTCAAAGCTTCAGCGTTCGGCATCAGAACATTCCTGTCACCTTCGTCATCACTTCATCGTAGCACTACGAACAGCCTAGCTAGCAGCTACCAGTCTGGTACTTCTTGATGGACCCAACACCTCAACCTACTAGCTAGTACCTGGTAGTAGGGTAGCTTGTAGCTTGCCAGCAATTCTGATGGCTCTCAATTCAAGTGCGTATTCTAGCTATCTATGTACCATAGCTACCGTACCGTAAAAGTGTCACAGCCTCCAACCACGGCCTGCTATCAAGTTGGTACCAGTCCAAGCCATTATCCCTATTGAATGGCTGGCAGGCTGTCATTGCACTTTTCCCCTTTTGCCTTTTGCCTTTTGACTTACATGTACTTGATTGACACCAACGAATTATCAGCTCTACAGCAATCCGAATAGCATACTAGCTAGCTAGCTAACTTTAGAAGACAGCCATCTAGCAACGCCTACTTCAGTAGCTACTACTAGCTACCATTAGTATCGGTAGCTCATCAAAGAACAGTGTATTACTACCACTACTTAGTCTTGACCTACATGTCTACAATACACTGAGTAGTGGTTGCTACTAGTATGACATTGTGTACATGTAGTAGGAGAGTAACCAAGACAGCATCCGAGCTACATGCGTGAGTGACAGTCAAGGATTCCAGAGAATTCTATATTCAATATCCATGTCTCAGACGTCAAATCAAGCCAGCAGAGTGACAATTCCCACTGTTACCAGATCTATTACCACGACGCACTATTTTTTTTAAATAGCACTCACAGTCTCACAGTACGTACACCGTAATTCTTCAATGTCATCTTCAACAGATTAATTAACAGACCGCCAACGGTACTTACCTCCGCCGGGACAGCCACGCGGCCGATACCTCCCACCGGTACTTGTACATGTACTACTAGTAGGTACGTACAAGCGCACAAGCAATACCGCCAATATGGACTGCCGTTATCAAGCTCCATCCATCTCTCCGCTCGATCTGAAAGCCTCATATTTTTCATACTTTTACTTCCTTGAGCCTTTCATTTCCAGTTTCCAGCTCCCTACGCTAATACCCACCATGAAGATTGTTTCTCCCTTTGGCAATATCGTTACCACCGGTATCATCACGACACTATTGATGGCCACATCATGCAGTGCTTCTGTGTGCCTTACCCTGAATGTTCCAGATGATTCCTCCTTCTTTAAAGGATCTACTTCACCTCCAGCTGGGGCCACGGACGTTGTATGTGATGTTACATGCACCTCTGCTACAAACCTCAGAATTCTACTGGAACCGACTCCAGGCACAATTGGGGATTCTACGTTCTCTTGTGGGACCACCCTTTCCTACACTACATCCTCAAGTGTAGAGATTAAACATTTGGCAGACGCCAACACGGGTATGGTCATTACATGCAATTGCCTTGATCTCAGTACTCCTGTTCCTGTTCCCACTTCTGCTCCTGCTCCCACGCCTCCTGCTTCCGCTTGTTTTTCAAAGCAAGCCACTGTCACAACTCTACATGTAGAACAACCACAAACGACCAAAATGGTGGAACTCAAGATCGGAGACATGGTCTTAACAGCCAACAACCGGTACCAACCTATCTATGCATTTGCCCACAACGATGCCACAACTGCGACCAAATTCCTCCAGATCCATAACACAAACAACAAGAACCCATTGGAAGCCACTGGTCAACATTTGGTCTATGTGCAGGGGGAGGATGCCCCTGTCACAGCCAAATCCATCAAGGTCGGTGATACTCTCCCCCAGGCTCAAGCTGGACACGGACAAGGAGGAGCGGCCATTGTCACCAAGATTGATACTGTACAGCGCCATGGAATCTATGCTCCATTGACCCAGGATGGCACCCTTGTGGTGGATGGCATTGCATCCTCTTGCTATATTTCCCTCCAACCCAATGGCAATCCCAAAACTATGGAACTGCAAGGCCATTCCACATCCATGTTGTCACACCACAATGTTGCCCACATGCTCATGACTCTGCCTCGTTTGGTTTGCATGGGTGGGATAAACCCCAGAATGTGCCAGACATACAACAACAATGGTGTGGCTCTCTTTGTGCAGATGGCCTTTGATTTGGCCCACTGGTTCCATGCCCAACACTGGGTGGTTCAGATCTTCCTATTGGCTGTCTACTTGGTTGTCTTGTGCCCCCTCTATGCCTTGGAGCTCTTGTTCGGTGCCAAGCTGGCTGCTGCTATGGTTGTTGGTGGGCTGGTCTTGGTGGGTTTTGTCCGTGGAAATGCTCCTGCTGTGGACCCAGTGGATGTCAAGAAAGAAGCTTGAAGCATGCAGAACCTGTCCCAAAAGTAGCTACTACATGTAATTATTCAGTGTGAACTCGTCGTCCATCGGCGCTCCTCTTTGAACCGTGCCATTCTCTCTGGCGCTTCTAGCTAGCTACTTGTTGTTCGTAGGGCTTTTGCTATAGCCAGTTATGCTTGATGACAATACGAAACACCACGTGGAGACGACACGTGTTCCAGGCAAACATCACCGTTCTTGCCTGCAAATGCACTCGTTTGAATGGTTGTCACGGGCTGCCCCCTGCCAGTGTCCAGTCATCCACGTAATCGAATCCTTCGCCCATAGCATAGCGCCTTATGACAGCTGCCATTGCTTCTGCTAGCAGAACATGCATGCGGCCATCGTTGACTGTTCCTTCCTTGCTTACTGGTAGCTTTGTGCTTTCGTTGTCATTGTGCTAGATGGCTGCAGTGCGGTACCGGTATGTGGCTCATACGTGGGCACCTCGGCGCCACCAACTGATGGATTGAATAGTTCAAAGACGAAGAAGTGTTCGTTGGGTGGAGGAGATACGTGTAGACTAGTATGACGACCAAACGTGTACCGGTAGGGGGGTGGGGAAAAAAGAGGTGGTGTGTGCCGTACGGCATTCGAAGACTGTCACTCGGAAACGGCTCTCGAGAGAGATAAACACGTTGCTCCGTACATGTAGTTCTTTAGCCTACCAGTACGTGCCTCATAGATGAATTACTGCATTTCTCGAGTCGTCTTTCGGTACGTGTATAGAGCCTCGTCGGATGTCACGAGTCCCGAGACGTCCAACTGCTCGAGACCTTTTTCGGTATCCGCGCTGCACACAGATTGGATGCAGTACCAGCAGGGTGTCGGTACCAAGTATACCTACGTCCTAGTCCGAAGCCGCCAAACCGGTTGCAAAGTCGCTTATCGTTTCGGCACCGTACCGGTACAGTACGAGGATCCGTCGAGTGTTCATTCAATCCGTGACGGATCACGAGGCCAAAAACGATGGAGCTACATTATTTTGGACGCCCGTGCGGAACCAAAACGAAAAGATTGATCAATTAAAAAAAGCGCACGATGGTATGATAGTTGGTTGCTACCGGTAGGTACTGGTACTGTATATTGATCGAATAATCACGACCGGGACGGAGTATGGTATGGTGCTTGTTGAGTGCGTTGTGATTGATTCCCGACGAGCTACAATTCATCCTTCGCTTTGTCAATGGAGAGTTCCTGTTTTTGAATGTAGTCGATAAAGTAGGGTGCGGCATGCACGAGGACCGTCTTTCCGTCGGCATGGAACAAGTGTCCACAATCGGGCAAGGGTAGGAACTGTGTATTGTGTGATTTTTGAAAGAAAGCTTTTCCCTTTTTGAAATTGGAAATAAAGTCTTCCTCGGGCCATAGAACGAGACGTGGTAGTTCTGGAGCACAATCGACGGGAGTTCCCATCCAATCTGGATCCTTTCCCTTGTGCTCGAGTAGATTGTTAAAGTAATTTTTGAAGTGTCCGGGTGGTTCGTTTCGTTGACGTTCTTCCCAGATGGCTTGTAGCATGAAGGATGGAATGGGATTTGCTTTTCGTTGAGGACACGACAAGTCTTGCATGAATAGCTCCACATCGTTTCTACTGGTCCAGCAAAAGTGCTTTTTGCGTCCTGATTCCCAATCCGCCAAGAATTTGTCATCGAGAACGGCTTCAACTGCAGGAGAAATGAGCATTGCATGGGTGACCAACTCTGGTCGTTTTTGTTGAAGGAAATAGACAAGTGCTCCTCCCATGGAAGCTCCATAAGCGTATACTTGTTCGATTTTCAGTGTATCCAGGAGATCCATGACACAGTGTCCCATTTGTTCAGGACTGGGATATTCAAAATCTTGTCCATTTTGGTAGAGTTGTATAGCTCTTTGCAAGTCATGTCCATGGCCCAGACAATCAGGAGCTATCATTCTCCAAGTGGGAAAAGCTTCAGCCAGCAGTTTCACCAAAGTGGACATGTTCTTGGACTCACTGGTCATGCCATGGCACAGCAGGATGGTCTTACAACTACTGCTAGTACTACTATTGGTGGTGTCATTGGTTGTGTCATTGGTGGTGTCATTGGTGGGATTTCTTTCATAGTAGTGCATAATGACATTGGTGGTTCCTCCAACAAAAATTTGTTTTTTCTGGAGACCTGCCTTATCCAGTAGCTTTTTACTTCCCAATTCCAACAAAACTCCTCCTATTTTACCCTCCACTTGACGCAGTAGACCTTCATTAGTTGACAGCAACAACACTAGGCTTACCAACAAAACCAAGCACAAGGACAAGCATAAGGCCCACCAATCTTTCAGCATGGACTGAAGCCACCACATGCCCAAGTTCACCCATTCTTGAATCATCTCTTATTAATAACAATGCTACTGTGTTAATATAGCTTCTTCACTCAATAGAAGAAGGATATAGATAGAAAGATGGCTGAAGATGGACAATAATGGACCAGAATAGGAAATGGAAAAAATGAGACTGCGGTTCGGCCACAGAGGCCATCTTTGTTGGAGTAGGTGTGCGTCTATATATTAACCCAGTTGAGCTGCTGAGACTGTGGAGACAAAGTCAAGTCTCAAGTCTCATTGTCGCCAATCCAAGTATGCACCCTGACTCGCCTACCTGCCAACCTATACCTACAGTACCTCTAGAGATAGAGAGATCTGAAGGAGCGAAGGATCGCGAGCTGCATCGGGTGGAAACTGAAATGGATCTGTAAAAAACTAGTACTGCCAGTTCAGAATCTGCTCTTTCCAGTTCGCTCACTGTGACTTACTGTCAGTTGCTACATTCAACTATTGCACTATGGCTTCTGCACTCCGTAATAAATACGTTATGCCACGAGACTTTCACACTTTTAATTAAAAAATGATGACTGAGCTAGGGCTCCAACCAGTTAGAATAGGATGGATGCTGGCGGCGAAAACAAGATATTATCATGGATGACTCCTCTGTACTCGATCTAGCTAGGCACCGGTAGGTAACTGGCTGGCACTAATGAGAGACTTCTCACTGCAATGGATCGATATATTCGTACTGGATATACGTTGCCCAGTGAAACTATCAATAGGTGATCATTGACTGTACGGTGAGTTCGATTGGGCTCCAATTCTCACTGGTATGAAGCTGCGAAGGATCTGTCGCGATAATCATTGGAGTTGCGGGTAATCATAACTTGGATTTGTCGTTTTGGGGGTAATTGGTTTGGTTGAAAGTATGAAATATTTCACATTTCCCGTACTTTCATTACCAGCGACCTGATCGCCAGTGATCTCTTTCATCTGCTTCAGCACATTCTGGCTCACAAAACAAACTAGCTGCAGCTAAAACTTACTTGATCTTTCGCACAAACTCAGATATTGATTGCCATCAATTCAAAAAAATTGTGGTGCCGGAACTGAAGCAGCAATCATCCCTTTAGAAACTGAAGACAGTACACACTATCCATCAACAAACAAGCAAACAGCATGAAACTTGGCAACGCCACGAACCTTGGAGTTGCCGTTCTCTTGGGCATCTTAGCAAGCTCGAAGACCGTCAATGCTGGCGTATATAGCGTTGCCGTTGCCTTTCCTCCCAAGGAAGGTGAAAGTGAGTGCTCGAGTGATGAGATAGATGCTCTCGAGTGGATTGCTATCAATGCTGTTGCGGGATCTGGCTATCCGGGCCTTCGAGACGCGTCCTCGTGGGAACAAATCACAGAGCCAAGAGGAAACAGCGAATTTGGCTTGGAACAAGGCAATGCAAATGGCAACGGCAACGGACGTGGAAATAGCAGAGGCCTGATGATCCAAGACCAGTCCCACCGCCATCTCCCTGAAGACTGTGACTGCCAGCACTTGTGCCAAACCATGCAGCAGTACTGCTTCTGCTGCACCTGTTGCAATAGACGAAGACTTCGCGCCGACAGTCACCGAGAGCTCGTGGCAGCCATTGCCGAAATCAAGAGTAAAGGACAGCGTGGTGTGAGAGACGCAGGAATCTCATGTGTGGACGAAAATGGAATGGAGGTTGTCTTAGAGGAGGTTTGAGCTGCCTGCTTGCACGCGAGAAGAAAGCTGCCCTTCATTGGTGCGCTTGAGCAATTGGAAGCAGCCAAGAGACATGGAACTTGAAAGATGAAACACCTAAACCTTTGTATTCGTAGAAAATAGACTACATAAGCACAAGCAAGGTACTTGCTCTACAGGACCTATGTAGCAACCCTCCGACAAAGACAGCCGGTGTAGCTATTTTGTACATCTGCAGGGGCATGTACCAGCTGGTACCGGTAGGAACCAAGTTCTTCCATGGGCTTTGGCTGACAGCCCCCGAGGCCAAAGGGAAGCGCTCACTTCTGCTTGAAGAGCTCGTCTGAAGCTCGTCAGGGCACTCCTTGTTCACGGTCCGGAGCGCTACTTCTGACTGGTTGGAGGACTTGATCTTAACCACACAAGTCCTCGTCTCTGGCTCTGAGCATTGCAGGCGAGCAAAACGTGAAGATCCATTGTCTGTTCGCCGTTGTCGAGGGCTGCGCTTCCAGAAATGGCATTGGTTTGTGCCGCGATTGTCGCGTTTTTTCTGCGCGACAATATCTCAAAGGTGGTGGTGTAACACTGCCGAGGATATCTTCTCGTTGAAGCATACCGGTATAGCAAGGTCAACTCGTAAGTTACGGTCTAGCTATGTACAGTGGGAACCGTAGACAAGGAAAGAGAGATCGGTTTGGATGCATCCAAACGGAACATGGCTTGAGATTTGAGACACATCGTCGGGCAGTTCTGGTGGCAACCAACGGCAGCGAGTTCCGGTACGTTTCATGCCCACAGGAGGCCGGCTATCGGAGCAATGCCGTCGAACCATCTTCGCGGCGAATGGCCATTACCCCGGTTGCTGACGACGAAAGATGCCCACTTCCCTCGGCACGGCTGATAGCACTGAAACTTGGGATGAAGGATTCTCTCATGCGACGACTGCTGGGGGCACCGGTATTCAGATTGATGTTTCCACTCGTTCTGGAAAGAACAGATTGGTCAGATCGATTAGATGCGACCCGAGTCATTGCATTGACAACCGATTGCAATCGATGTTTATAATGCCGCTTGTTGTACTTTGGGATAAACAGAATCATGAGCATCCCCAAGCAGCAAAGACAAAGCATAGATGAAGCCACGAGGTAATATGTTGTTGGATCGCCTTGCACAACTACCAAAAGTGGGGTGCCCACAATCAAGGTTTCCAAGAGACTCAGCACGGCAAGGGACAAACTTGTGGCATCACTGAAGGCAGCAGGGAGATCGCGGGTCACGTAGGCTTGCCTTATCACATACAGGATACCAGCGACATTGGCTATCAGTATCACTGCCAGCAAATAGTAAAACCCACTCGCCGCAGGCTGACAAGTCCCATAACTCTCGAGGGGTCTCCCAAAGCTGTCGACGTTGCCTTGTACCAGTACACGTTGGTAGCGCAAGGGTGTAAAAATGGTGATGCAAAGCAGCAGCACAACATTGACGCTCATACTGATGTAGAACGGTTTGAGGGACTGTTTCACCGTGATTAAATGGTGCCGCATCGCAGAGCCTAACTCCATCAACATACTGAGCCGCCATATTTTCGAAGAGAGAGCACTGAAAGAAATGGTGAAACCAACGACAACAAGCCACAGCGTGCTCATGCAAGCGACATCCATTCCTTTAGTTTGTTCAGCGCCCTGATGAGTGTGGCCAAGATGATTCAGCGGATTGTAGGTGTCGTGTGTAAATGACAAGCTTGCACCGGGGAAAGAGGCCGGAATGGTTGCGGTGCCCATGATGAAGGTGCCCACGCAAAGTTGACAGAGGAAGAACGGCTGGGAAGCGCGCACTATAAAAACCGACCGTTTTACGCATACCCAGACGAACCATCCAATGGAAACCATCATGATTAGGCCACCCAGCAAGTAACCATATATTTGTGCCCAAAGTGGAAGCAAGTTGAGTACTTCTCCTTCAATCGGTGGCAAAGCTGGAGGTCTGACAGTGGTGTTGTCATGATAGACAAAGGGGTGAAAGTTGAGTATGTTGTCGTCGTGTATGACAGCCACCATATTTGAATGGAACCGAAATGCATTCTCATCGGAACGTCCGTCGCTCAGTAGCACATACTCGATGCTGTGCTTGAGTCCACCTGCTGTTCGCGTTCCCGTCGATGGATCAAACTGCACGTGGCCGGAAACACCATTGAATTCGGTCTGAAGGAGTGTTTGGTGGAACTCGTCTCCGGTGAACAAGTCCGTGTCGTTGCTGCCGCTGCTGCTGTTGTCTATGGAGCAAGCGGCAATCCCAAGGGCCATGACGGAATCGAAAATGGAATTGGTGAATCCAGTGGGGTCATATTGCGGGAAGGTGTAGTTGTCGAAAATGTGCGGATCGGCTTGAGCTGCAACAAACTCTTGTTGTAGCTCGCTATCGAATGCAAAAGCATCCATGGCGACATTAAAGCGATGCATGGGTTCAAAGTACAGATTGATGGTTCCGACGCCGTGCAAAGCCTTTGCCAGGTCTTCTTCCGTGTTTCGGTCGAGTTGAAAGGCACTTCCTGTCCACTTTTTCTCTTCGGCTCCAATCCATACATATTCCGGTCGTCCAATGATGTTGTGCTTGTATGCTCTGCGAATGACTTGTTTCCAGTCATGCATGATTGCAAAGATGTACCTATATTGGCTTTTCTTGAGGTCAATAATGGACTTTTCAATGCTGTGGACATCGTATGCAAATGAATTGACTTTGACGCCGAATTGCGCCCCGTATTTGCTGAGTGATGCATGGTAGTTGATGCCCCAAGAGTCTTTGATGAATATGATGGCAACCTGAGTGACTCCTAGAGAGTGATAGTATACCATTGCGGCTCTTGCATCGACATCATTGGTAACGACTGTCCTTGCAAACATGTCCATTCCATCCAATTCTGCCGAGGTGCTTCCCCCTGTAATGTACGGAATCTCCAGGCCTCCGGCAACGGTTGCCACAGTTTTGGAAATACTTGACCAATATGCCCCGTAGATAGCAAACGGTTCCAGCGCTTGGGCATCAGCTTGAAAGGGGCGAAGGATGGAAGTTTTGTTGTTTTGTTGTTGTCGTTGTAAAGTGGTTTGTGTATGATTATCAGATTCTTGAGGCATTGAGTGGTTTGCAGTTTGGCGTTGAAAAGACCATGCAGTTTCAATAGCTTGAATGAGCTGATTTGTGGCTTCTCTGCCGGACCATTGCCCATCTCTGTATTCGTAGTCAAAGTAGAAATCACATCCTTTGAGCAGCTCTGGCAAGTGCGGAAGGATGTATCCATTCCTTTCATTGAAGTGTTTGCTAGCTATAAAGGATGCCACTGCATTGTAGAGAAAGCTTTTGTCAAAGACTCTTGTAGTAGTTTCAATGGCAGTTGTGCCATTGGCATTGGGAGGAGTTTTGATGGTGGAGGTGGAACTCATGCCCTGAAGCCCCACCAACTTGCCCAGTCTGAAGGAGGTGCCATCCTTTGAGTCATGAACACGAATGACACGGGACCCATCTCTGGTGGTGGTTCTTGTTGTGCTTGGTGGATTTTGCGGTGGCTGATGATGGCCGAATGAAGCCGCCATGGTCGGTTCTACCAAATGGAGTAGGTACTGGGGAGTGGATGGGTTGATCAGTGCAAAGACATTCGAGCAGAACAACTCTTAAGGTGGTCTTGTTGGTTTGGTGCTTGCTAGCTAGCTTCTGTTGTTGTCGTAGGTGTGTCCAGGGCGTCCTGATCAAGCTAGCTAGCTAGATGGGTACTGGATGGTTGTTTGGTCTGTTGGTTGGTTCTACTACAGCTGTAGCAGGAGAGTAAGGGATGCCAATGGTTGCCAGAGAAAAGATAAGTTTATAAGTTGCTGATGAGAGAGAGCAACTTTGTTTTCCTTGGTCTTCTGCACGGTACTTGTGTTTTCTTTGTCGAGCAGGTATGCATAGAAAAGTGAGAAAGCGAAAGATAGGGCAAGGGGGGTGCGTTGGTGCGCTCTGTGCAGGGTTTTGGAGGCAATTCCAGAAGCATGATAAATAAATCATGAATCAGTGGAACAAGAAGAAGTCCTTTTGCAGTTCTGGGGGGATACTGAGCATTATCGCTCACTTTCCTAGCAAACAGATGGTGTCAATAGGGCTTAAACAACTTGAACAGCATAAAATACCATCATCTCAGGTGTAGGCCATTGGCATTAAACCACTTTCGTATCATTGTGGCACACACTGCACATGCAGAGCTCATGGAGGTGACAAAGATCTCATACCGGTACATGTAGTCTACCAGGTACGTAGTATGCTTGTACCACTTACCAATACCGGTATGCATAAGTCTTCACAACTTATTAGAGAGTCAATGTTAACAAATTAAATATGTGAGCGTTGCCAGTTCACTCGAGATCCAAGTGAAGCATCTTTTTCCACTGGCTTTCCTGTACAGTAATAATGTTGTCATCCTGCTTCCGCAATCCCTTGACTAACTCGATCTCTAACTTCAGACATAAATGTCGATCGATAGTCCAGTTTGTGACGCAATGATGACTGTGATGACTGAAAAATGGTTACGCGAGCACCTTTTCCCGCCAAATTTTAGAAGAATTGAAAAAAATCCAAAAAACAAAAATCCCTCGCATCAAAACCAAATTATACCGCCAACACCTCCACCCACCAACAACCAACAATAGAGTACAATATCAAGTCTTCAATAGAATTTAAAGAAGGGCAAGATGGTAAAGCTCCTGTCTACATCGCCATTGAAGGAATCAAGAGCATCTGACTCTAAGGGCTTGAAGCTTCGCCATTCTGTATTTCTGTTTGGACTGCTCTTAGTGGCTGCGCAGTTGGCTGTGGATCATGGAGCTACTATAGCCTTCAGTACTGCTTATACAGGAAATTGGGGGATTTCAGAGCAATCTACATTGACTGCTGCCAATGGTACTACATCTACATCTACTGCATCTACATCTACTACCACTACTTCTACTACCAACAATGACAATGACCTGCAAAAGCAAGTTTTATCACTTCAGCAGCAATTGGATTCTGCACTGAAGAAGGAAGCAAATTCTCAAAGGGAACTTGAAAGTGTCAAGCAGCAACTTGAAAAGCTTGGAAAGCTTGAAAAGCTACCAGCAGGTACTGCAAGTTCCACTAGTGCCAATGGTGCAAATGGTGCAATTGCTGCAGTAGACAAGAGCAAGTTTCCTTTTGCCAGACCGCCGGCCAAACGGGAGTTTCAAGAACCGTATGACAGAGTGGTGGTGGCCACCAAAATTCACGGACCTCATCAGTTTTTACTCATCCGACAAATGCTCTGCTTGTTCACGTTTGCATACAACAATCGCATGAAATATGACGTCATTGTATTCACCACAGACCCTCTACCAGAAGAAGATGTCAAACATCTACAAGACCTAGGAGCGCCTGCCAAAGTATCCGTTGTCTTGGACAGTCCTGGTCTGCATGAAATGATTGATAATCTGGATCCACACAGAAAGAAACGATTCCTAGATCGATGTGGAGCCAACAAAACTACAGATCTCGATTGGTTCTCCAATTGCTGGGAACATTCGGGAATCACATCCAGACTCGCATACAATTGGCAAGCGGAATTCAGATCACTACATGTATGGAATCACCCTGCCATGATGCCATACAAATACATGATGTGGTTGGATTCAGATGCTTTTGCAGGAGAAATTTGGACAAGGGATCCCATTGCTTACTTTATTGAAAACGACCTCGTCATGTTCTTTGATAATTTTGGACAAGGAACCACAAGGGGAGCACTCCAAGAAAATAGAGAACGATTCGAACAAGCATTCAACAAAACTATCAGAAACGTGAGAATCCACGAGGGACATTTGGCGGCTGATCCAGGAGTTGGTGCAATACAACAAATACATGGATTTTTCCACATTACAAATCTAGAATGGTTCCGAACAGAACCCGTCATGAAATGGATGCGCATTCTGATTGGGGAGGAATTCTTGACACGCAGATTCTGCGACCAAATGGCCGTCACGGGGGCGACGGCCGTTTTGGCTCCAGAGAGAAGTTGGGATATGCGCTCACATGCCATCAAACTAAATGTATTCCACAATAGCAGGTGGGATGGAAAAGAACAGACCAAGGGACATTTCAAAAGATACTGGAATGAACAGGGAGGCAAGGATAAATTCCCACCAGAGGCTGCAACCACCTGCACTATTGCTGCTGCCCAATAAGCAATCATCGCCATCAGATACGGTACTCCGTTTCGTTTCCGCAGACATCAACCTTCATACAACAACAATCAATCATCGCGTTTACGTAATGTATAGCTACGTCTACATTTATAATACCCTATCCAGGTCGTATATATATATATATATATATATTGTGCGCTCTGACGGAGCTACTCCAAGCATGCAAACGAATCGAATCGAGATCGATGCCGTCAAATCACGGTGCGTGTCATTGCTTCGAGTCGAAACGAGACGGCCACAAGCCATCCGCAATTGGTATCAGCTGCTGTCGTCGTTTTGGTTCTCGTACGATTGTTGCGACCACTTTGCGCGTTTTGGCAGAAATTATCGTAGACCGCGACGGGGGACGAAGAATGAGCTTCGACGACCAAGGTTTTTCTACCCGCTGTTCGAGGGAGTCAGATGATGCAATCAGTACGGCTACGCAAGGACCGAATTACCCGAAGGTCCTGATGTTGGTGACCGGCGTGGCAAAGTTCCGATCAGTCAATTGCCACCTTTCTTCATTCAGTTGCCACAGTTCAGTTGCCGTAGCTACGGTGCCTCGATAGATCGTTTCTTGGATCACAACCAACCATTGGCAGAGGAATGCCCAGCAACACAAAAAGCAAACCCACCTTCTTGGTATAGAGCCATCATTTCGGATCTCTCCTTTCCTCTATCGTTGTAAATACTATCGCAGACTTTCGCGTCTCGCACCCTCCGCATCGCAGACTCTCGCATCGCGCATACGCACAAACCAGTACGAAGTTTCAATGACAACGTCACCGCAAGAAAACGATGTGGTCATGGCACGGGTTCGAGAACGCCAATGGATTTACCTTGGTCCAATTGCTGCCGCTCCCATTGCCCACATTTGCGTGACGCTCTATCGGGACGCAAAGACACCTCGAGCCAAGCAACTGCTCTTCGGAGTGGGAGTAATCGGCACTACTGTTTTGACTATTGGCACAAGGCTTTACCTGATGCACCATGCAGGGTATCCAGGGGGGACAAATCCAGAAATGGCCAATCGAGAGCGTCTTGTGACCTTGGACGAAAAGAAGAGAATGGAGAACCCGTCTCTCACGACAATCGCCAAGGAAGCATTCCGGGGGTTTGGATAGCTACCGCACCGTAGCTGCGGTAGCCACTGCATGGCTACATGCATAGCCCGGATTGAATCAGTGCATCTGCCAAAGTTGTGATGATAACAGTCTCTGCTGTATCTCTTACTACCGTAGTAGTTCTTCATGTACCATACCGTTGCTGAAAACACACAATTCGAAGAACAATCGCACCTCGACTTTTCACAATCTTCCGTGTTTGAACCTCCGCTTCACGACATGTTGCAGATCGTCTATTCAACAACGAGCTTGGGCGCCATACGCCATACGGTAGCGACAACGATGCATCGACTTGACATCATTCTGCGTCGTAGCCCTTGAAAGCACCGGTGCCACCTACGAGTTACAGTGAATCGACTCGAATCCGCAGACAAAAATCGTCGACCAAACCAGGCTCATGGAGAGCTGCACACCGAGAAATGCAGCAATCTCCATAGACTTGATGGAAGTACATGGCTGTAGAGGCGGGAAAGCCCCCAGTGAGTGGCATCTGAGATTTTTTTCCACAAAGGACGGGGCAAGGGCGACGTTTCTGTATAGGGGAAGAGTGAGCGTGCCGCCCGACGCATGAATAATCAAATCACGTTGAAACCATACCGGTAGACTAGTCTTTGGACAAATTCTATCCATAGAGCTCATTCGTTTCTGAATCCAACAGCCAACACTCAGAGGAGGAGGACTCCGGAAGTAGCATTGACCAATGAACGCCCTGGGTTCCGCAAGAGTTCGCCCTTGGCAGTCAGTGACACAGACGCCAATGGCAGATTGACCTTCCTGCCGTCTCGTTCGTGTTGAAGTTGCTGTTGCTGTTGTTCTTGCTTGCTCTAGCTTGATTGCGTCTTGTTTTTTCTGTTTTGCGTTTGCGCAGATTGCGAGCCTCGCCACTCCCTTTACGGGAGTTTGACGGAGACCGCGCGTGAAAGGAGAAACAAATGGCTATGGAGAGCTAGCCATAGTGCTGCTGAGCCAAAGCTTCGGTCTGGCTTTCCTTCAGGGTCGAGCACGAATTGAACCGTTCTTCGACGGCGGCAAGGAAGCAACTTTTCATTCATTCGGCCACTTTACCAATTCCAACCACGCATTCCATACTGCTTCCGTCTCCAAAAGGCACCCCAGAGGAGTACCCAGAGGAGTTACACTACGGAGAACGGAAGAGGAGGAGCCTCTGATTGATTGAATCATTTGCTTATCTGACTTCAGTCCGAGCGCATGAGTAACGAAATAAGGCAGTGCCAGGAAGAAGAAGACTTGAGACTTGAAAGCTGCAGTGTGGTTTGGAGTGCTAATTATTACATGTACAGAGTATTAATAGAAGTCAAGTGTATTCTTAGCTTTAGCTTTTCGTTTCATTAGTAGTTTACAGTGTATTCTTTATCTTCTTTATCTTTATGTAGTACAGTAGCTCTATTAGGTAGTCCCCCCCAAGTGAAAATGCCAGTTAGAGATGTTCTAAGCTCCCCGTGCAATGGCGATGCTGCGCCTTGTGGGCACAACGGTAGTTTTCTTGGAGTATTCTTCAATGGACTTGAGTGAGCAGGACGAGTGACAGTCATATGCAGAAGATGCCTTGTGGATGTCATAAGCTTCGAGAGCATCCATACGAGCCAGTTGGAGTGCTTTTTTCTGATCTTGCTTACTCAGGGCACATGCGAGCATTCGCAGTCCCTTTTCGTCAGTGCTTCCTCCCAATTCTTCGCGTTGCTCTTCTTGCTGAGCCAGAATGGCTGCTACAGTATCCCTGCGGTGCTTGTATTGCTTGGGGGAAAGACCGCGGACTTGTGTGGTGGAGTGACAGTCGCCTTCACTGCGCATGGCAGCAAGCTGTTCTTGGCTCATCCAAAGACGTTCCTTGAGCGAATCAGACAACTTGTAGCTCATGGAATCACCAATGACAGCGGGACCACCAGTGCTGAAGCTTACGCTCTTGGTACTCTTCTTGGTTACTTTGTTCATGGTGGCCATCTTCTTGGCGGCAACTCGAGTCACAGGCTTGCACATAATATTAGTAGTATAATTTGATTTGATTTGATGAAAGGATGATTGGTTTTGCTTTTGCTTTTGTGAGCTTGTGAGCTTGTGAGCTTGTGAGCTTTGGATTTTGTGAGCATTCTGTTCAGCATTCGGTCAAAAGGCAAGCATTCCTCTTTTGCAAACGGTATTGCAATTGACCGAATCGAATGAATCGTCGACTACCAAAGAGGAGGGGAAGATGGCGGTCAGTTGCGAGAACAGTGAGTTTCCAACCCCTTCTTTTTAGCTGTACCGGTACACATCCAAGCTCGCAGAAACTCTATGGGAGTGGAGCACTACGCTTAAGGATGATTACTCCGCGCTGTTTTGGTAGTCAATTTACAGTGAGATTTATGATGAAGGATTTAAAGAAACAACTCTCCTCAGTACATCGACCTGTGGAACAGACATTCTTCTGATCGTGTTAGTTTCGCCCCCCTCCACGGAAACAGCTCAGCTCTCCCACAGAAACAGCTCGCGAAACTACTAAAAACTACATGTAAAAACACTTCCAAGCTGAGAAGTGAACTACACCGTGGCCACTTTCGAGCAACGATTTTGCCAATAATGATGTTCCATGCGGATGTACGTGTACAGTACAGTAATGCGATGCTCAAAGCCGCCAAACGCGTCTCTTGCCAACAGCCCTCACCTCGAGATGACATAGTAATAATATTACAAGATAGAATCTGATGGTGGCACCCAGCAGCTCACGCAACCCCAATTATTGCCTCCAATGAGATTGCTTGCACTGACTGTGCCCTCTGCCACCGCTCCACCGGCCAACCACTGGCTGGATCTCCAATCTGTCAAAGTACTGGAGTGCTCGTAGGAAATGCACCATCCGGGGAGCCTTATTCTTTAGGGGCTTGGACTCGTTCTTCGGTTGACCATGAAAGACCAAAACGCGAAGAGCAGCGTACAGGAACAGAAGACTGCAATCGACTGTCACTCATTGTATTGCTCCTCGGCGACGATGTAGCTACCAGGTAATTAGCTAGAGTGGGAAACATTCAATCGCCCGGGATCTTTCATGATGTCGGGGAGATCCGAGTAGCTAGAAGCAAGTACTCCGAGTAGCTGTAGTCTAGGTTTGATGATTCAATATCGCTCGGGACCTTTGATGATGTCGGGGGATCTGCCTAGTAGCTAGTAACTAACAGACCCAGCTAGCACTCTAGCTGGCCAAAAGCAACTTCCTGCGGAGAATTTCTTACGGAGGCCTTCTGTCCTTCTGTGATGAGGAAGGTCAATTGCCTCCAAAGCCCGAGTACCGGTACACGTAACCAACCGAGCAAACCAAGGCGAGAAAGAAACCATCAGGACGGAACGCAGCTAAGTTCGGGCGTGGAGGACGAGTTGCCTTTTGTCATTTTAATTTGTCCGAGGCACCGGAAGCTTGATAGCTTGATAGTAGTCCCTGGTCCCTCGTGTCTCGTGCTACCAAGTACAAAGCAAGACTAGTGAACGCGGGAGCGACACTCGGAGGAGTGCAGCGAAGGAAACGACCTCGCGAGTTGAGGTGCAGGAGCCAGGACCGTCCGACGTTTTTCACTCAGGATTTTAAAAAAATTGAAATTGCCACGACTGGAAACAAGCCCTTAAACAAGCCCTTAAATCTTCAACAAGCCCTTAAACAAGCCCTTAAAAAACAAACCCTTAACAACAAGCCCTTAAGTTCTGAAAACAAACCCTTAAGCCTTCGCGATAATCCCATGGAACAAGCCCTTATCAGGAGCAAACAAGCCCCTAAATATACAAGCCCTTAAAACAAGCCCTTAAATCTGCAACAAGCCCTTAAACAAGCCCTTAAAAACAAGCCCTTATTTGTACTCAAGTCAGTCGTGTCAAAGTTTATCGCCTGAGTTAAAAACGTCGGACGGTCCAGGAAGGAGCCAGTGGTTGACAGTGCTCGTGTTATTAGTGGTGGCTCGTGAACTTGAAGGCACTATTGCTGATGATTGGTTGATACTCGCCATCTTCTCTTCGGTTATCAACTAACTTTCATGTAGTTGGCAGAGCCTGGCTGCTGCCTAGACTAGTACATAACTAGTATTGTGGCGCTCGCCTGAGTGGCGCTGCAGGTAGTAGATGGAGTGCAAGCAAGAGAAGTGAAGGATCTTCAAACCTTCCTCCACTGGCCTAACGGTATCTATCTTTCAGCTTTGCCTAGGTAGCCAAGGCTGACAAAGACTTGCTGCACTTGCAGGAGCTCAGACTCGGAGTTGAGTTTTTCCTTTGTAATTGGATGTGCACCCAGCCTTGCTGCTTCTTTCCAAAAAGCATTCCATTGAGTCGAGTCGAGTCGAGTCGAGTCGAGTGACTCGAGTCGAGTCCGGTGTAGCAATCGGGGACTGGACTCAAATCGGAATGAATTGTGCGAGAAAGGATTCTCGAACCGTATTTTAGTGTTAGCGTTATCAAAAGTGGGTATCCTTGTTTCAACTTCAACTTGTGGGCCGGCCACGTAGATTTGTACGATGCAATGGTGCGTACTTAGTTGAGCTGTGAGGATCGGAAGATCGCGACCGTTGCTGTTTGTTTTGGTCCAAGAAGCTCCCCCACAACTTTTCGTTCCATCTCTTTACGAACATCACCTACCCTAAACTAGAAACCATGAAGACTGCCATCCTCGCTACTCTTATCGCCTCTGCCGCCGCCTTTGCTCCTGCCAAGGATGTTGTCCGCAGCAGTGCTTTGAAGGCCTCCCCTTTCGAAGGCGAATTGGGAGCCCAAGACCCCATTGGCTTCATTGATCCCCTTGGTTTGGTAGAGGACGGTGACCAAGCAACCTTCGATCGCCTGCGATATGTTGAGTTGAAGCACGGACGTATTGCCATGCTTGCCATCGTTGGATACTTGACCACCGATGCCGGAGTCCGTCTTCCAGGTTTGCTCGCGTTCGATGGAACCACCTTTGCTGACATTCCCTCTGGAATTGATGCTCTTGGTGCCCTCCCCACCGCTGGATTGGGACAAGTCATTCTGTTCATTGGTCTTTTGGAAGCACGCATCATGAAGGACATCACTGGTGGAGAATTCCCAGGTGACTTCCGTAATGGATACATTGACTTTGGCTGGGACAAGTTCAGTGAGGAGGAGAAGTTCCAGAAGCGTGCTATTGAATTGAACAACGGACGTGCTGCTCAATTCGGAATCTTGGGATTGATGGTCCACGAAAAGATTGGAGTCTCTCTTTTGCCCGCGGGAGCCGTTCATTAAACAAACCACTACCACTCATAGACTTGCTACTACTACTGGTACGCGGGAGCAACTCAGTTTAATCTTTTAGTATAGTCGCTTGCGTTTTTTGATGGATGTGCCCAAAAGAGAAAGAAGGAACTACTACCTTAGTACTTGTCTTGAATACTGATGTCACGTCTTAGTTGCATCCGCTTCATTGACGCACCCCTGAGCCGAAATCATAGCACTTATTAACTGGCTACTGAGTAGCTATTAATAGCTGCTAAATTGAATTGGTCGACGAGGACACCACTGGCACTCCAAGGCAAGCTTGAAGTTGTCCACAACCGTTCCGCTTCGACGGAGATTCGATTCAGTAGATACCCCGGTTGGTATTAGTCTACCTTGCCGTCACCGTCTCCAGACACGGCTGTAGTCTAATTATAGCGTTGTAGCTAGTACAGTAGTACGCTATTGTGATTGCGCGGGGATTCTTGTAAAGTTTCGAGTGGGTTCAGGTGGAATGATTCAATCGACTCATCAGCCATGACAGGTCAAGCCCCCTCCCGCGCGTCGAGCATACTATGCATCTTTCCTGGACTCGAGCGAGATCGAAGAATTGAATGATCAACCGAGCGGTATATTGAGTTGAGCTGAGCGGCTGATCCATGCGAAAAAGCCAGAAAGCAGGACATGATGAAGACGACGGCAAGATTCTACTAACTAAAGCTAGCTACTCGATTCGTACTGCAGTTGTCCCTCATACTGTACTAGCTATTAATAGTGCTGGCAAACGAGCACGGCTATATTGGCTATTGATCGTACCAGTACAGTGTAGACTATCTGATGAGCACTCAGCATTGAGAACGCACCAAACCTGTCCGGCGGTCTTCCCAACTCTTCCGGATACCGTAGCAAGCTAACATTCGATTGAATTCAATCCTTCATCATTCTTGAGGCTTTCCTCGCACCGGTACTATTAAAAATAGTACCGCTATCCCGACCGCACCACTATTGAAGTCCCGAACCGTGGAGGTTGGCGTGGATAATTGATTCGATTCAAATTTTTAAAGGGTCAGAATTTCGGATAGAAGTTTCAGCCTATTACAGTACTAAATTGTGAGTAAGTTAGTGGCGCCATCCTGCTCTTATGTGCATGCTTGTGTGTGTTTCGCCAAGTTGTAAATTTGCTCGCCGTTGTGTTAAGTGTCTGGTCGCTGTGGCGCGAGTCTTGTAGGAATTTCAGCCGGCTTGCGTGTGAAGAAAAAAGAGCGAAAATAAGACTCGTCGTCGAAAGGGAAAAGTCAGCATTTGCAACTCTGCTGGAAGTGAGTGGAGATGACAATGACAGGACCCATGGTAGCCGCAATGACACCGACAGCCTCAGCTACAGCCTCAGCCACACCCACAGCAGCAGCAATGAATGGCACAGCAGAAGCAGCGCCACTGCCAGTAGCAGCCATGAAGCTGCCAGTGACTGAAGAAGACGACGATGAAGAAGATCTGCACAGAGGCTTGATGGTTTCCGGAGGTCCTTTCGAAAACGCCAAGAGAAAGTCGTCGTGGAGCGCCACGTCCATGAGGAAGGAATTGGGATCTCCCAGAATGGCGTCGCATGGAGAAACTGCCAACTTTGCGTTTTCCAACAACAAAGACGATCCACATGTACACGCACATGCTCACTCTAACTCTTCCAGTCACACTTCACCTTTGGCAAGCAACAATGCAGGCGTCTCTGCTAGTATGGGAGTGGACACTGATCACCATCTAGATACTGGTACCGGTACCAATCTTACATCTGACAAGGACACTGCCAAGTCCAAGAGCAAGAGCAGCTCTGCCAGCAACAGTCCTTCTGCTGGCAACAACCCCAACTCTACTACAAGTAATATGCATGGCAGTGGAGCTGTCAAGCCACACGGTAAAACCAAGGACCGTTCTTGTGCAAGGGCTCCTGGAATTCAGTTTCTGCAGGAGTTGGGGTCTGCTCTAGTTTCTTGTACAAGCCAATCCAATCACAACTCAAAATCAGGTCATGGACACAACAGTTCTAAAAGATCATCCTCATCTTCTTCAGCCTGTTCCAATGCTTGTTCCAATGCCAACAATGCATACAACTCAAACTCAAATGGCAATTCAAACTCCAGCTCAAACAACAACACCAGTTGGGAAGTGCTCAAAGATTACCTTCACAAGGCTGTCAAGGGAGATCTCGATCTAGAAGCTGCTAAAGAAGCATGGAGGAAAACTACGCAGTACCACTCATCACGGGCTCAGTGCAGAGATGATTACTATTACTCAAACTCACCTGATATACACTCACTGGGAAGTCATGACTCCATTCTCACATCAGACAACTACTCCGTTCTCAACCAAAAACAGGCCATGCTACTGCAACAGGAGGAAGAAGCATTGCAGCTCAGAAGACTCACTTCCTGGGGGACCGTTGGCACTTATGAAACCATTGAAACCAATGGCACTACCAACAACAGCAAGTCTAACTCCATCACCAGCCACAGTATCAGCTCTGCCAATGGACACAACAACAGCAACACCCCTGCTGCTAATGGTACGGACCCAAGTACTGGTACGCCCAAGGCAAACACAAACACCAACACCAACAATGGCGCCTCCTCACAAGACAAACCATCCAGCAATCGGCGCAAGCGAGTCGTACGGTTCGACTATCCACCCATCAGTTCACTTCGAGAATGCCCCAGAACACAACCAGAACAAATCAGAGATCTATTCTTCACGGAACACGAACTCGAACAGATCGAAGACGATAGATACTCTACCATCAGTGCCGATGACGTCGAGATTGTCGCTATCTCCACATCCACCACTGCAGAATCAGAGTCCATGGACGAAAATGGAAACCCACTTCCAAACTCGCCAAGCGATCAAGATCCTTCCACCGGAAACTTTCGAAACTACGTGGCCACTCCTTCTGTACTGGCAAACAACAAGAACAAGAAAGATGCTTCCAACAACAGTACCAATATGGGCAAGAAACATCATCACCGCCTACGAAACTTCTCCTTTGACGATATGGTGCCCAACACAAACCGAAACAACAGCAACGGACAACAAGAACGACCCACTTCCACAGGGTCGTCGTCATGCTCTGCTACTGGAAAGCGAAATGGATCGTCTCGCCGCTCCGCTAGACGGTCATCCTCGTCAAACATTCAACACAGCGACAGCAACACGGAACAACAAAACAAGGCTGCGGCGTCGTCGCCTTCCTCGGCATCGGCCGCCTCTTCTCGACGCATGATCAAAAGCGTACAAATCTATCTCAGGGAACGATCCGTGGGGTGAGCCAGCCAACCAGCCAGCCAGCAACGTTAGACAAGCCAATTCCGTGGTGACAGGGTGCGGGGACGTCCACGGCAGCCAGGCTTGCAAAACTCGTCCAGTTTTTTTTCCTGTTCTCTTCTGTTACGGTGTTGGGGTTTGGTTTGTTTGGTAAGTGGAATGTCTCCGAGTTGCCTCGTGCTTTGCAGCGTGCCGTTACCCTGCCATCTTGATCCACTCCCTGTTCTTCTAACGAATATGTGCCTATCTTGCATCGTCAATCGTAGAGGAGACATGGGTACAATCAAGGACTGCGGCGCTACTACTGCCAAAGGCACAAGGAAAGACACGCGGTAGCAGGAAAAGCGGGCATGGACAATACAAAGTGTAAGCCTTGCCTTGCCTTGCTGCAATCACGCTTGACGGCTGCTGCATGGAGCACATGCACCGTCGAAGCTCGAATCATCGTGGTGTACCGCTTCTGCTGCAGTGGAATTGGATAGGATAGGAATGGTTCAGTGGTGGCTCGCTTCCTATTCTCATTCAACTGTTGCTGGCTCCATGATATTTACCACCATTACATAAATTTAAAAGATACCTGTCCATTCACTCGACTTCTACTTCATTCGGACTAGGTAGTGCTCAGTGCTGGTACCATCATCATGATAGTACACCTTCGTTCTTTCAGCTTTCAGCTTGGCGCCCATTCGCCATACCATAGCTGCCCAATGCATTGGATTCATTGTTCCGCTTTCATGTTACTGTCCACCTCGAAGATATCTTTGAGTGTGCAAACCTACCGGTACCATCGCAGCCCAGGAAGCCGCACTTTTGGCTGCTACCCTCACTGAAGGCATGTTCAACAGCTATGTTTCCGTGCATCCCGCAAAGCCAAACCTGTCATGGTCCTCAATTTCTAGCCCCTGATTCCACGGAATCTAGTCCTGAATTTCCATTCATTTCCACTCTTCTTTGCTCAAGCCTGGCCCCGGCTGGCTTCCACAATGCTTTTTGCTTGCTTGCCTCTAAACTAGTTTTAGGAAATACTCATAATTGAGCCATGTAGCTACTAGCTAGCTCCTATCAGCGAACTATCAGCAACTGGTAGCTAGCTAGAGCCCATTTCTAGCTAGGTAATGAGCAGCTAGCACCAGCTAGCTAGCACCAGCTAGCTAGCACCAGTAGCTAGCACCTGTAGCTAGCACCTGTGGCTAGCACCAGCTAGCTAGTGCACTAGCACCAGTTATTAGGCTGTACTAGCTAGCTAGGTAATAAACAATTGGCAGCTTGGGGAGCTACGGTATCTATAGCAAGTCTAGCTGGCTAGCCAGCCATCTGTTCCTCTTTTGGTTAGCCTACCACTATTAGGCTTGGGGTTAAAAAATGTGACACACTAAGAGTCAAAGAGACAGAAAAGATTTGGAATGACCCTATATACCTTTACAGCTATTTGAAATGACCCCACATCCGTTGACGCTATTCTATTTTATGGCTATTTGGAATGACCCCACATCCGTTGATGCTACTGTACTCTATTTTAAGGCTGTCGAACCCTGATGATTGTATCAACTTCCTCTTCATGTTCCCAAGGTTTGAGGGGCCGGTTCGTTTTGGGCAAAATCTGACTATTTTGCCTTGCTATATAGCCCATGAAAATGGTGGAAAAAGGCCATTTTTTGAAAGTCCCCGAAAGTGATACCACATTGTCGGGCACGCTTAGTAGGCCCAAGAAACGCTCTTCGACCTGGTCTAAGCACCCGTTTTGGACCTCGAATCGGCGTTTTCTTGATGGTTCGACCCCTGGAATGCCACGAGGTTGAATCGGGACCGATAAGTCCACACCAGCTGGCTCCATCGACCTCTATGCAGCATCCGGTGAGAAGGAAGGTGTTATCAGACTGTCACCACTGGCTACACCCTCTGGGTGCCACTGTATCGGCTTGTTTCGGCTGAAGGAGAAGAAGTGTAGCCTTATTCGCGACTCGATCCTAGATAGGATTTGAGTTCGACTCGTGACGTAGTCCCTCGCGAATTGTCATTGAGACAGAGTTCTCATGACTGCTAGTCATACTAGGTTGTCGATGAAACATTGCTCTAGATATTTAGCCTGCGTGGAAAGTTTCCACGCTACTAGACAGCTCTTAGCTGAAGTTTCCACGCGTTCCGGAAATGGACCGTGGAGTACGTAGAGTTATTACCATAACCTACGATATCACTCTTCGAGGCCTCCCGCGGGAGACCAACTTCAATGAGTTCCACAACGATCTCTCTCATGGATTAGTTTTCGTAGCTTTCTAATCTCTCTCATAACTTTCATTCTCTCAAACTCAAAACACTCGAAAGATCTTTACACTAGCATATAGCGTAGTGCATTTTGTTAACAAACACAATAGCTTTCAGCTACCATCAACCTATTCCTTAACCATGAAGATTGCTCAAGGAAAGCATGCGTTCAGCAACTTCGAGAAACAGTTGCGTGACAAACCCATTCTTCCTCTCGTCGACAATGACAAAGACAACGAGATCGACAATACTCGTGCCACCACCTACAAACTTCACACTATTCCTGCAGATGCAAACAGTGCCAAGTACACCTTCAAGGTAGCCATCATCAATGGCTCCAACACTCCACATGAGACCATCAAGTGAGCCTCGAATATGGAGAAGGTTTTCGCCGGATTCAACCTTGCTGGTGCCGACGACAAACATCGTCTTCTCAAGGAGATGATTTCCAGCTCTGCAAAGAGTGCCTACGAGGCTGCAATCGTGCCGTGCGTCACAACGCCCTTCGACAAATCACTGTGACGCGAGAACCACCACGCGATCCAGTCACAGAAACCGAAGCAGTGTACGCTGCTCGTATTCAAGCCGCATAGGACAGTGCAGCAGAACCCGCACTGAGCGATGCTGACATCACCACCGGAATCAACGCGGTTATCGAACAAGCCTGTCCTTACAAGGCTCTCGAAAAACAGAAGCGCTTCATGCGCCGCAAAATGCGCGAGCCTAGCGAGATGACAACTCGCGCCTACATCTAAGAAGCACATAATGGGGTAGCGCGAAAACAGCGAGGTCGGTTACAAAATTGTCAGGTCAGTCGATGGTAAGGTTACCAATCGGTAACTGACCTCGCGCTTATGTATGGTGGGTACAAGAACACCGAGGAATGATCTTTCCCATTTTGTGAGGTCAGCTGTGCAATATTCAAGAACCTCTTATCCTACTAATTGAAGACGATCAACTCAGGCATATACAGATGCAATTGCAGCACGAGTCATTGGCGCAACGGTTACAGAATGTTGAACTAAGCGTTCACTATTCCTCTACCGAATTCCGTTCCCCTTTCTATACATGGCTTACAAGTTGATGCACTTTGTGATGCTAATTACAGAAGGGCAGTTGTAGGCTATTCCCCAAGCCCCGGAATCCAAAACAGCTCAGCCATTCCTTCCCAAATGAAAGAGTCATAGGTTACTAAATCTATAAGTAGGGGTTTCCAAAATGGAGAAAAGCAGTACACAATGTTGGATATGATTGGGGCTAAATTCGTTATGGTACTACTAATAACAGAGTAGTGGAGGTAAGCGAACAATGACATAATGTTCGTAGTAAAAGGGGAGAAACAGGTCACTCATATGTAACCAACTGTAACGGTACGAGCATCCATAGGTCCGAGAAAAGGGTCCAAATGATTCCAAAAAAGGACGGCTGGGGCAACCAAACAAGGGCGCCATGGGTAACAAAGCGTCTTGGAAGCCCTGCTAAAAGGGGAGAAATGAAATTGAAGAAAGTGGAGGAAGCCACCAAAAGCCTGGGTAGGACCCCACCAAATGATGGGGTCCTAGGTTGCCAAGGGGCAACCTAATCATCAATCTCATCAAGATTCACACTGGACTCTTGGCGCTTGCGCTTCTTCTTGGAGTCCTCAGTTCCAGCATGGACACTATCAGGAATCTTGTAGATGTCCTTGCGCACACGAGCAAGGATGGCCCGCTCCACCAATTTAGCATGGTCCTGGGCTCTAGATTCCTTGACAATCTTCTGCAAATCCTTGAAGCGGCGAAGGCCTTTATCACCCAACCCTCCAAAAGCAGAAGATCCAGCCTTGGAACTGGAGTACCTCCCTTCATAAACTCCCTCCGGATCATCTGCTTTGCTGGAGCGAGGCAACTTCACGTCCAAGGTGAAGCCATTGGTAACCTTGAAGTACTCGTGCCACTTTCCATTGGTAGCGTTGCCTTCATTGTCCACAGCACCTGGTTCCGCTGTGTAACCATTCTCGAAGGCGAGGGCAGCAAATGCTTCCGAATTGGGACGATAACTTTTAGGAGCGAGAGCTCTGGATCCCGTCAGAGATAGCTCCAACAGCTATGCTGGCCTACAGCTCCAGCACCCGCACATCTAAGAAGCGCAATTGTAGGTAATTCTGAAAACGAGACCTCAGGTCTCGTTTGGGAAGCACATCCCAACCTCTCCTTCCGAACCAAGTCCAAGGTTCCAATTAGGCAACCGGTGCAAAAAAGAGCAGTGAATGGATCAAGAAAGGCCTTCTTGTTGACCGCGACCGTAAGAAAGGACAAGGGTAAGTTCTCGCTACTCGATCGGGAACCTTTTGGTTGTCTAATTGCCCAGTGCACCTGACCAATCTGGAACCGTGTGTTCTTCTCTTTCTTTACAGTGATCAAGGAAAGGCGCGCCGCATGGGTTGCCCATGGAAAGATGCTATCACGGCAATCATGAACGAGCAACGCAACTTCGTCGTGAACCAGATGTACATCAAGACCGAGGACTTTGTGCTGCACATGGACTCGACAAGATGCCAACTCCGGAACAGCTCAAAGCTGTGGTGATGCGGGAGGTTCCTCTTGAAGACCTTGCCCAAGATGCCAGTGCACAAGAAAAGGCGCGCGTGAGGAAATCAAGCTGCATTCTTCCTTTACACGGAGAAGCTTTTGCCATGTGTTGCTGGTGCATCCAGCTGGTTAGGGAGTCAATCCGCCAAACCATTGATTAGTGTGGCCAAG